ATTTAAATATAAGTTTCTATAAGATAAAAGTAAAATAATAAGCTTCCTTAAAAGTAAATTTAATTTAATAATCTTTATTTATATTTAAATACTAATATTTAAATATAAATTTTTATAAAATAAAAGTAAGTTAAGTTTATTTAAAAGTAAGTTTAATTTAATAATTTTTATTTATATTTAAATATTAATATTTAAATATAATATTAAAAAATTTAAAATGAAATTATAATATTTATTAGGTTATATAAAGTTAAAAATATAATAGTTTAAATAATAAATTTACTTAAAGCTTTATAAAAAATTATATTAAGCTAATTAGTATAAAGTTTTTAATTATAAAAGGTATAACTTATTTTAACTATATAAAAATATAGTTAATATTAATATAAAATTTATAATATAATAATAAAAGGCTATATAAACTTTTTATGTTTAGCTTTTAAGTTAAAAGATATATTTTAAGTATATTAGGGTTAAAAAAATATATAATTTTAAAAAGTAAATATTATTTTAATTTATTTAACTTTAATAAATATTAATTAAAAAATATAATATATTTATTAGTTTAATAGGAGGATTATTATAAAATATAGTTAAGCTTTAAGGATTTTATAATATAATTAGGGTTAAATAAATGGATAAAGTTAAGTATAAAAATGGTTTAATTTATTTTTATAGTTAGGGTAGTAATAAAATTAATTTAAAATAATAAACTAATAAGTATTTTTATAAATTATTTAATATTAAAATATTATATTTTTATATTAAATAATCTTATTATATATTAAAATATAAGTATTAAAATTAATAATATATATATAACTTATATATTATTTTATATTATATATATATAATTTATAAAATATATAATTAAAATTATAATTTTTATTTAACTTTTAATAAAGTTTTTATTTTAAAATTTATTTAACTATTTATTAAATTTTTACTTAATTTTTATTTAAGTATTTTTATTTTAATATATAATAAATATAAATATTAAAATAATTATTTTATTATTTTTAATAATTATAAAACTTAAAAACTAATAATTTTATTTTATATTTTTAACTTTATTTAATTTATTACTTTTATTTAATTTATATATATATATATTTTATAATATAATTTTATTTAAATTAATTATAAATAAAATTATTAAATAAAGAAAATTATTATTTAAATATAAGTTTTAAAATTTAACTTATAAAATATATAAATATATAAAAAATATTATATTACTTTTAATTTAATAATTTATATTTTATATTTATATTTTATATTTTATATTTTAGTATATTTATATTTATATTTATATATTTAAAGTATTATTATTAGTTTAATATTAAATATTTAAATATTTTTATTATAATATAAAAAATTTATATTAATATATATTTTAATATTTATTATAAATATATTATAAATACTATTTAAATATATTATAAGTATTATTTAAATATATTATAAATATTATTTAAATATAATATTTTAATATAAAATAATATTTTAATATAAACTTATAGAAAAAATAATAAAAGTAGTAGTAATATTAAACTTATAAAGTAAGCCTTATTTATATTTAGTATTATATTAAAATATAAAGTTTATATTTAATATTATATTAAAATATAAAGTTTAAAATAACTTAATAAATAATAACTTTATAGCTTTTAAAACTATTAGTTAATAAATAATAATATAAAATTAAAATAAATAAATAAATAAAAGGTTTTATATTTTATAATATTAAAATATTAAAGTATTAAAATAAATAAACTAATATTAAAAGTTTAAAAATATTTTAATATAAAATAAATTATTTTAAAATATTATTTATTATATATTAATATTTTATTACTCTTTTATTTAATATTATATTTAAAATTAAATTATAAAATTTAAAATATATTTATTTTTAATAATATTTAAAAGTATTATTATATAATATAAAATATAATATAAAATTAAATAATATATATATATATATAATATATTTTAAAGTATTTTATAATTTAATAAAATATTTTTATAAAAGATATTAATATTATTTAATTTTTTAATATAAATAAATTAAATTAAATATATTTTATTTAATTAAAACCTTATTAATATAATTAATAAAGATAGTAAAATTTATTTTTTTAAGTAAAAGCTTTAAGTTTAATTCTTTTAATAATTAATTTTAAAAAAGAAATATTATTTTAAATTATTGCTTTAAAGAATATAAAAATTAACTTTAATTTTAAAACCTAGCTATTTATTTTTAAGTTTAAGCTTATTAATATAAATATTTTTAATATTTTTATAATATAAATAAAAATAAAATAATATAAGTATTTTAATAATATTATTTAAAAATTTTAATATTATTAATAAATTAATATTTAAAAGTTAGTAAATATAAATAATAATAATATAGTTTTTTTTAATATTTATAAAATAATTATAAATAAAATACTTAAATTATTTATAATTTAACTTAAAATAATATTTAAAGCTATAATTACCTTTTATAGTAAAAAGATAAAGGAAATATATATAAAGTATAATAAAACTAAGTTTAAGCTAAACCTTTTTATTAGCTGCTATAAGGTACTTAAAATAGAGGATTTAGGTTATATAAGTTGTGTAATATTTAAGGATAATAGGAAATATTATAAAAAGTAGTTTTTAAAAATTAAACTAATAACTATTTTATTAAAAAGAAAAACTTAAAACTATTAAATATTAGTAATACTTTTTTTTTATTTAAATATTAAAAAAGATGGTATGATATTTAAATATTAAAAAAGGTAGTATAATATTTAAATATTATATTTAAATATTATGTAAGCTATAGGAATAAATATTACTTAACTGTATCCTATAAAAGAATGACAACCCTGCTGAGACTTGGTTGTCCAAATATATCTTGGCAAGCATAAATAAGATGACACCAACCAAACGAGCATCTAACATCTGTCAAGCGGGCTATGAGACGGCACTAGTTAGGCGAAAATTGGATGAATTAGACGCGCCTCATGTGCCGTGGGGGCCATCTAATAATACACGTCGCTGGCAGTATCTTGGGGGGGGGGGGCAATCTGCTATGTACACTCTTGCACGCATCCAACACTTGATCCAATATGGCCGCGCTTAAGTCTGTAGGTTGACGCGTGAACTTTGGGCTTGGGAAATATGCCCAGTGCAATTCGATGCATTGCTTTGGTAATGACCTAGATAGACAGCCAAGATTGATAGTACATATGAGCACCATAGGATCAGCTAAAGTTCCAAGGTTGGCCCACAGGATCATCAATCGATCAATAGCATCAGTGCAAGGTCCATCAGATCGCTATATTGAATTTGTGTCTTCTAATATAGGAGATGGGTGATCTCGGGCTCCACTGTTACACCGTTTTCTGTCACAAGTCATTCCAATACCATTTCATCCCAAAATTGAAACCAGTATCATGTCTGCCAACCGACAAAAAATAGGATGCCAACGGCGACAGACCAGGGATCCCTGACCCCGAAAAGGGACCTGACCGCAAGGCTCCAAGTCTCACAGCCTTACCTCGAGCCAGCTCATGCCCTGAAGCTATGCCTTGTTCCTGCTTTGGCGGGTGTCCACTTTTGAGTAACCCATGTTGCCTCCTGAGGAGAATTACGGCGCCGGCCATAGCATATCTATCAAGTGAACTCCCGTCGTAGATGACAGGAAGTGCAGCATCAAGCAGATCACATCGTCAGAACACCTCGCCGGCCAAGTGTTCCCGACCTCACCATGGAGACCTCATCCCAGCCCCAACGCATTGTCCTTTTCGGGGATCAGACCGAGAGCGTGCTCCCAGCCCTACAAACTCTGTACAAGCGGGCGCCATCTTCCATATACATCCAGCATTTTCTTAGAGTTTCCATTGACGCTGCGCGCCGAAGCTTGGACGAGCTGTGCTCCGGCTCAGAAAAGACACGATTTCACTTCGATTCATTTCTTTCATTGGCTGAAGAATCTTCACGTCGATCATGTCCAGACGTGGTTGTACAAACACTTCTATTATGCGTTGCACAGCTGGGGCATCTCGTGTTGTAAGTGCAGCAAGCTTTGGCAGCAGGAATTCATGAATTAATAACGTGGCAACAGGAAGCTCGAAGATGACCCAGAATGCTTGCACAACTCCGTGGCCGCAGGATGGTGTACGGGTCTTTTGCCCGCTGCCGTGGCCGCTTGTTCGCAATCCTTGGTACAGGTTCTCGAACTCTGTCCCGAAACAATCAGCATTGGAGTCCGATTAGGTATTGAGGCCTACAAGAGAGCAGAAGCGATAGAGAAGAGCGATTCCAGCTGGGCGAGGGTTGTCAGCGGGCTGACAGAGAGGGAAGTCGACGATATCTTGACACACTTTAATTCTACACATGTAAGTCTGGCTCAACTGCCCTTCTAACCGATCCCAATCAAGAGATCACACGCTAAACTCAACCTTAACCAGAATATTCCACCCCTAAAATCTGCATATATCAGCGCCGTAACTTCGACATCATGTACAATCAGCGGACCTCCTTCAACGTTAGACCATCTCTTCTCGTCTCAAGCATTCCAAAATCGAGGCCGCCGGCAACTGATCATCCCTCTTCAAATCGCTGCCCCATTCCACGCGCAGCATCTTGGCAGTGTAGCATGCACTGTTGCCAAGAGCGTACACTCAAGCCACAAGATAAGGATGCCACTACTTTCCTCAAGCTCAGGAAATGCAATGGATGGACAATGCTTTCAAGACCTGATCCCTCAAATTATCGACGATGTTTTCCAAAACAGGATCCAAGAGGGGCAGTTGCTAGAGTCTTGCAGAAAGACATTGGACAATGCACTTCCGATACAACTAGTCCCAATAATCGGAGCCGGTCTCCACCGCCGCCTCGAATCCCATCTTGGCGCGACCGGCAGCAACCTGCTCAAATCTTCTTCTCCTTCAACCCAGAGAGACGCAGCCTCACCATCTGAAGGCGTTGCTATCGTGGGGATGTCCGGAAGGTTCCCCGGCGCCGATTCTCTCGACGAGTTCTGGTCGGTCCTTGAGAACGGCGTGGACCTCTGCCGCCAGATACCCAGCGATCGCTTCGACATCAAAGCTCACAACAAAGATTCTTCCACCACGGCTGCCACAGCTCCATATGGATGCTTCATTGATAAGCCCGGCATGTTCGACGCCCGCTTGTTCAACATGTCACCTCGGGAGGCAGCCTCGACAGATCCCGGCCAGAGGCTACTGCTCATGTCGACATACGAGGCGCTCGAGATGGCAGGATACACACAGGCTCCACGCGAGGAAGAACGCGACACCAATGTGGGAACTTTCTTTGGTCAGACCATTGATGACTGGAAAGAGTACAATGCCGCCGAGAACGTGGACATGTACTACGTCACCGGTGGCATCCGGGCCTTCAGCGCGGGCCGCGTCAACTATCACTTCAAGTGGGACGGACCATCCTACAGTGTGGACAGTGCCTGTTCCTCCAGTCTTCTCGCCATTCAGCTCGCATGCAACTCTCTGCGTTCCGGTGAGACCAACATGGCCGTTGCAGGAGGGTCTAACATCCTGACTGGGTGCAACATGTACGATGGCCTCAGCAGGGGAAGCTTCCTCTCCAAGACAGGGTCGTGTAAAACCTTTGATAGCGGTGCCGATGGGTACTGCAGAGGAGAGGGTGTTGGTGTCGTTGTCCTCAAGCGTCTCTCAGATGCCGTGGCCAACCGCGACCCCATCCTCGCTGTCGTCAGGTCTTCGGCGACGAACCACTCGGCTAAGGCAGTGTCAATCACACACCCACACATCGAGACCCAGGAGCGGCTGTACCGGAATGTGCTTTCCCAGGCAGGGTTTGAGCCGGCTGAGGTTGACTATGTGGAGTGCCATGGCACGGGCACACAGGCTGGCGATGGTGCCGAGTCCATGTCTGTGTACAACTCCTTGTGCAAGACAACACGCTCACAGCCACTGGTGTTGGGGTCAATCAAGCCTAATGTCGGCCATGGTGAAGCCGCAGCAGGGGTATCATCCCTGATCAAGAGCATTATGATGCTGCAACGCGACACTTACCTACCGCATGTCGGCGTCAAGGGCGAGATCAACCCCAAGTTACCTCCATTTGAGGACAAGTATCGCATTGCCACACTCTCCCCATTCCTGCGCCAACAAGGCCGGACCAGGAAGCTTATGGTCAACAACTTCAGCGCCGCCGGCGGGAACACCAGCATTGTCCTCGAGGATGCGCCTCTCGCAGCAGGAGAAAAGTTGCTTGAAGGCATCCAAGACCTGCGCACCTCCCATGTGGTCACAGTATCTGCCAAGACTCCTGCATCGCTCCGGGGAAATTTGGCGCGTCTTCGGGAGTACATGGTCACATCCACCTCATCCGCCCGTCTGGCAGACGTTGCATACACCACGACTGCCAGGAGGCTGCATCAACCCCTGAGAAAGGCATACGCTGTAAAGTCCGCTGAAGACCTGATCACTAAGCTGGACAAGGACTGTGCAGAGTGGGATGAATCCAGCTCAGCAGCCAACGCTCACAAATCACCACCCATCGTATTCGCCTTCCCAGGCCAAGGGAGCAGCATTGTCGGCACCGCAAAGGCTCTATACCACAGCTCTGCATTGTTCCAGCGCATCCTCGGCGAACTCGACTCCTTGTGCTCCACCCAGAGTCTCCCATCCATTGTGCCAACCCTCCTCGGAGAGCCGTCTTCTTCAGATCCCTCGCCGCTAGAGAGCCAGCTTTGCATGGCTCTTCTTGAAGTAGCATTGGTGAGACTCTGGAGATCCTGGGGAGTCGAGCCAAGCCTTGTCATCGGCCACAGTCTGGGAGAGTATGCTGCACTGTATGCTGCTGGTGTCATCTCCGCAGCCGACGTGGTGTTCCTCGTTGCCAAGAGGGCGTCGCTCATGCAGGAGATGTGCACGCGTGGCACGCACAAGATGCTCTCCCTGCGGCTGTCGGCTGAGGATGTCAAGGCAGCTCTGAATACAGCTGGCTTGGCGTCGCTCGAGATCACTTGCATCAATGGCCCCACCGCTACAGTTGTTGCTGGGCTGGAAGCCGATTTACAAGCTTTCATGGAACAACAACGAGCTGCGGGTGTTACATCGGTTTTATTGGATGTTCCGTACGCTTTCCATTCGGCCCAGCTGGATCCCATTCTTGATGCATACCAAAACAGCACAGCTGGTGTCCACTTCGTGAAGCCAAGGATACCCGTTGCATCCAGTCGCCTCGGCTCTGTAGTCGAGCAGGAGGGAACTTTCAACTCCTCCTATCTCGCGCGACAGGCCAGAGAGCCTGTTCTGTTTTCTCAGGCGGTCACAGCTTGCCGAGAGGCGGCAAAGGCCGACCAAAACACACTGTGGCTGGAGATTGGCCCAGGTTCTACCTGCGTGTCTCTGATGAGACAGTCGCTTGGCGCCTCCCCAGCCCACGCGTTATCTACTCTCGACAGCAAGAAGGGCATCTGGGAGGGCATCTCCTCCACGTTAGCTACGCTTTACTCCAGTGGCATCAACGTCAACTGGACCGAGTTCCACCGGGATTACAAGCGCAGCCTGTCTGTCGTCAGCCTTCCACACTATGCCTTCGACCTCAAGAACTACTGGCTAGACTACACGAGCCGCAAAGACCGCGTGGCTGCTTTAGTTGAAGCTCCCAAACCAGCCCACCAGTTCACCTCGTCATGCTGGCAGGAAATTGAGGAAGAGAGTTTTGGCGCTTCGGAAGCATCGGTGAAATTCCTCAGCGACCTCAACAGGCCTGAGCTCGCCAGCATGGTCCACGGCCATGCTGTGGGAGGCATAAGCCTGTGCCCAAGTTCGGTGTACGCTTCAATGGCCTTTTCATGTGCCCTGTACATCTTCCAGAGGCGCGACTCTACCCTCGGTGCTGATGAGGTGCCTCCCATGGATCTGTCGGACATGGAGATTTTCAGTCCCTGTGTCGTCTCAACTGATGCCGACCAACCACAAGTGTTGTTGATCACAGCCACGCAGCACTCCCCAACCAGCCCGGTGGAGCTTATCTTCAGCACATCGTATGATGACGAAGAGACATATCGCCAGAACGCGCGCTGCGTCGTTCACCTCACCTCGAAGGCAGGTGCATTCTCCGAGGCGAACAAGAACCTCTACCTCATCCAGGACAGGGCTGAGATGCTCCACCGCAAGGAACCGGAAGGCGATGTGCACAAGCTCAAGAAGAAGATGGTTTATAAGCTGTTCAAGACAGTGGTGGACTACTCGCCGCGTTACTTCGGAATGGAGGACCTGCTTTTGAGCTCAGATCGCCCAGAGTCATGCGCCAGGTTCTGTTTCGATACCCCAGCTGAACCGGAGAACTTTGTCCACAATCCATTTTGGATCGACAACTTGGCCCAAATCGGAGGTTTCTGCCTCAATGTCAACCCACCCTCCGGTAAGGACGATGTCTACATTTCCCACGGCTGGCAGAGCATGCGGATCCTGGGCCGCCTGTCGGATCAAGAGAGTTACAACTGCTATGTGTGTATGCAACCTTCGGATTCGCAGCCTGGCGTCTGGTCCGGTGACGTCTACGTGTACAGCGGCAACTCCGTCGTCGCGCTGTGCAATGGTCTCAAATTCAAGCAAATGAGGAGGCCGCTGCTCTACAATCTGCTCGGCCATGCCTTGCCAAGCAAGCTTTCGCCATCAGCGCCACCAACTCCACCGACTCTGTCCAGGTCGCCATCGGCAGCGCCACTTAGCCGCGTTAACACTGCCCGCTCTACTGGCATGACCCCATTCCCTGTCCTCGAGACTCAAAAGCCTCAGGTTAGCTTTGTCGATGTACTTGGTGTCATTACAGAGTCGGCAGGGCTAGAAGCGAGTGATGTATCAGACGTCTCAACGGAATGGTCCAACCTCGGCATCGACTCACTGCTTACCATCACGATCCTCGAGCAGCTCAGGAAGCTTACCAGCATGGACCTTGCCAGCTCCTTGTTCACCCAATTCCCAACCGTTGGCGACTTGAAGGTGTACTTCCAAGGCCAGCTTGAGGCAAAGAGCCCGGTTGAGCCAGAACTTGTGCGACCCTGCAGACCCAGGGACACTTCATGCTCAAGCAGGGCAAGGTCAAGATCCTTCCTTCCCGCTGCTGTCAGCAGGCTAAGGACATCGACATCTGTCTCCTCAAGCTCGAGGGCATCTGAGGCTGACAGTGCAATCGACGTGAGTAGCAGGAGCGGCGGGGCCTCAGACTCTACTGAGCTTCTCATGTCCATCATAGCGAGGGAGGTGGGCATCAGCCGTGCTGAGCTTTCGCCATGGACAAAGTTTGCCGAGCTTGGTCTGGACTCACTGCTCACCATCACTGTCTTGGCCATGTTCAGAGAAGAGTCTGGAACCAGCCTTCCTTCGTCATTCTTCAACGATCACCCAACTCCCAACGACGTCGACGCGACGCTCAACTCGGGAAAGCAATCGCCACTCACGTCGGTTGCATCCGAAGATTTTGAGCACAGCCCAGAGTCGGGCAAGGAGATGGCGCCTTGTGTGGAAGAAACACGGTATGAAAGCAAGCCAATCCTGATCCAAGGCACACCACGTCCTGACGGCCAAGCTCTTTTCCTTCTACCAGACGGCTCCGGTTCCGCACTGTCGTACATTAACATGCCGCCAGTGACCAAAAGGTCGTCTCTCCCGGTATACGCACTCAGCTCGCCCTTCATTTCAAACCCAGAAGCCTACGACCTGACCCTACCGGAGGTTGCAGGGATCATGCTCCGCACCGTCCGTAACCTGCAGCCATCCGGGCCCTATCTCATCGCAGGCTGGTCAATGGGCGGCATCCTGGCGTACGAAGCAGCGCGGCAGCTCCTTGCCGCAGGGGAGGCTGTTGACCTCCTGGGACTGATAGACAGCCCATGCCCGCGGACGCTCCCCCCGCTTCCTGCGCCGACGCTTGACGTTTTAGACAAGGCGGGGCTGTTCTCCGGCATCGACGGGAAGAGCACCGTCTCGGTGCCCACGAGGAAGCACTTCCTCGCTAGCGTCCGCGCGCTGGAGCACTACACCCCTCAGGAGATGCCTGCCACGGCGCCACTGGGGAAGGTGATCGCAGTGTGGGCCAAGGATAGCGTGCTCGAGGGCGTCGTCGACCAGGCTAGGCGTGATGCGGTTATGACTGGGGATGAAATCGCTGGGGAGGCGAGGGACTGGCTGTTGGGGAAGAGGAAGGACTTTGGCGCTGCTGGGTGGGACAAGATCACGCGAAGAGACGTGACGGCCAGGTCCATCCCTGGGAACCACTTCTCCATTATGTCGCCGCCATTGGTAAGCATCATCTTCAAGCTCGTACAGCACTTTACAGTCACACTAACAGATTTCTTACAGATTAATGACGTGCAATCTGCCCTGACTGATGCACTGGTGGAACTCGGGCATCACTGATTGTATCCAGATGTCGAGAATATCTGGCTTCCTGCATGTGACAGCACTGCTACTTGAGAATACTGGTACTGTCGTTCTGAAGGTGGCCTTATGGTCAAGATGTTTGCACTGTCGCTTCTCTAAACTTGCATTTGATCTTTGTACGAATAAAAGGCAGTCCTCTTCAACGGTGTCGTGGCGTTTGCCGGCGGACGGTGGCATATGATTATACCCAGATCCATAGACTAGCTTCTTCCATATACAGTGTCCAGATCATCCTCAGGGAGTCGCTCGAGAGCTTTACCGAGATGCAATCCTACGTTGGACAGAAATTTAGATGGCGCAGGGAACTTGGTCAAGTCCTTGACAAATCCTTTTTGGGCTCAGCCTCGTTAGCAGCCTTGGTAAAAGTCCCGTGAAAAGATCCCACTTCCAGTGACCACACCGACAGCCTCCATGTGAGCAGCAGGGATATTCTCCCGGCTTTTGAGATGCCGAGCGCGATAATCACCTCGAACGATTGCCTGGAAAATACCTGGGTATTGTTCTCAGAGGGTAACGACACCAGACTTTAGCCTCCAAGATGCAGCCGCTCACATGCCGCTTTGGATGGTGTCCAGCATTTTTGTTGTTGACCTCGTTCAGTTCATGTTCCGACCAGCATCCAATCGCGACTATGTGAGTATCGGCGTGTTTGGCGCCTGACCGCCATAAGAGCCGCGTGGACTAAGACGCGTTCCAAGCTCGCGCTTTGATGATGAGGGGATGCGCTTCGATTGGGAGGTGGGGGTGGACAAGGACTAACACTAGTACAGTGAAACTGTCGACTCTCAACGTTCAACGTTACGATCAAGCTTGTGTGGCTATGATCGCAGGTCATCCGGGGTGTTGCAACTCGAATCAAGCTATGCAGCCCAGAAACTATGAATGATTGTTACCTGGTGTCGCTTGTATTCCGCATACGTCCGAAGACATACAAAACACGATAGATTTCCACACGTGGTAATAATTATTAAAGTACCGGCATTCCAAGGTTGGTGATTGAGTGATGCTGAACAACCTTGGAACACACAGGCAGGTAGAGTAGAGTACCTTAGAACTTAATACGCATTTTTGGGTTCAGAAATAGTTGTGTAATTTAGTAACACAGCGATCCCAACAGTTGACGAAGCCTTATTCTTCCAATGATTTGAATTGACCTCCTTGTGAATGTGATAGTCAATCCCACTCCTCCCAAACATACCGCCAAGCCTCTTGCGGCTAGCCCCAGGTGACCGCAGTCTGCTCCCCGCAATTCTATTCCGACTAAAAGATATGCTGAACTACCAAGAGTTTGCGCTGGAAACTTAGTTCCTATGGGACCGGTCCCTGCCGCTTCCAAATAGCGCATGATACTATGAGCTAGGGGTCCCCAAAATTGGCCTCATATCACAACCGGACTCAGGACGGCTTGTTCACGAGCTATACCGATGGAATCAGACATATGTAAGGACTCTCAGTGTACTCAGACACGGTGAGAGGCAGCGCGGGCGACTTCAACGTCTGATCTGAGCATGTGAAGCATAGATGACAGAGGGTCCGAGCAAACCACTGGCAGTGATTAAGTGTGCGATATGTATAAGGGCGGCTCCGTTTCCATCCAAAGTAGTATGTCTTGGAAAGAGAATGGCAGAGTCAATTCTGATTAACCATCCTTTTACGGCCCTCTTCTGAACGAAGCCTCAATCAAGGATAAACACAGGGAACATGCCCACCGCCCTCGCCGTCGCCCAGGGCGTATTTGCCCCTATCTCGGTGGACCACACTGCTTTTGCCCCATTTACAGTTCCTATGGGCGTCCCACTGACCAGGAAGAAGAGTAGAGTCCACTTTTGGGATTCATACTTCAAGATCTATACTGGCCTGGACCACGGAGACAATGGTATAGGTGATTCTGGCGGCGATCTCCCCGACATCCAGAGTAAGTAGCTTCTGCTCACTCTCTTAACTCCATGGAAAGCAGCGTTCTCTTGTAATTTGTTCGTACTTGGAGGACTGTTTCAAATCTAATTCAGCAAGATCAATTGCTTTCCCTACCCTAAGCCGCGATATTTCTCTATAGAATGATGGCTAATCTCGGATGATGCAGTGTTCGACTATTATGGCCAATGGCTCGGAGGGCATGCAGACCCAGCACTAGGACAGTATGTTTCCGCATTTGTTAAACCTCATAGAGATTGGGGATTTCCTTGATCGAGATTTGGATTCTCGCGTGAATCACGGGACTGACTGTGAGATGTGATGTAACAAAGATGGCTTGCGCCGGGTTCATCTGCAATCGTGAGGGTCGCAGACAAGGACCGACAAGGACGGCAATCTGTCTATACCCTATTCACTGGCAACAACAACGCGATATGTGTTGCTCTGATCACCACGAGCTTTGCGGGCCTGGGAGGCCAGTATGCGTGGCTCGGAGACATAGCCTCTGAGTGTATCGGCGACAAGGAATGGATGGGCTCATGGTACTGTAAGTCTTCCGGAACACGGGATGGACGTATGCCCGTCCCACTTCATTTCTTTAACTATCTCGTCGATCAGGCCAGTTAACAAATGAGTTCAGTTGGAGGGATTGTGGTGCCTGGGACTAACCATTATGTAAGTAAAACTCCCCGAGGGTACCAGTAGAAATCCCTCGTTTCACTTGATCTTTTGCACCTAAACTTTCGTAGCTGATACCGCGAACCAGCCAAACTGCCTCTGGATCGACAGAGACGGTGGCCAGCCTGCGACAGCATTTCAAGTGAATTGGCCGGAATTGCTCCCAACCAAGAATGATAGTCGCATCGGGAAAAGTGTCAACAGCACTGGCATTTGCCAGACGCCTGCTTTCCACATCCGTGAGTCAATTAAAGGATCTCTCTCACCATTCGAGCGGTTTCGCTGCCTACAAAGCAGCGGTATCACCGCATAAACCTCTCAGGTTGGTCTAGAAACTGTTGGATCACGTGCTGAACGCCTCTTCACATAGACCAACGTCACGATCCCACTACAATCAACTATAACAAACCGGAAGTCGACTCCCACGGCAGGCCTAAGAAGAAGCCAACAACGGCGTCTGATCCTGGTCACGCGAGATCGCGACGCGCGGCCGCCGCCGCGGCAGCCGCCAGCCTTCGTTTCCAGCGGAAGTACAGTAACATGCTGGTGATTAACGACCTCGATGAGCATCGAGCCCATGACCTCTGCGGGTCTACTTCCTCTGCCGGGCCAAACTTCTTGAATCCGAAGGACGGCTTTTTCTGTGAGATGCAGACAAAGACTGTTTACCCAGTGTGTACTGCACAGAACCACACCAGTGCCTGCTTCGACACAGAACAGGGGCAGCTCGGTAAGATGTCCACCAGAGTCTTTGCTTTGAACTTTCAATTTCCCGACGGAAAACTTCCGATCTCCACCGCCGCAACAACACGAACTTCCTCTTGCTAACAAAACTTTGCAACGTAAAGCTGGCCCTGGAATGCAGAAGCGGTCAGTTCCGTATGAAGTCCAGGACTGGAGAATAAATAGAGGCAAGTGGACCACCGTCGATGTGGAATACGCGTAGGATGATGCCGAGAACAATGGAATTCCAGCCAGCCGTTAAGCATCCTAGGGTACATGAAGTTTGTGAGTATGTTAGGTGACTGGAAAACAAGGCTTAGCTACGTTATTTCTTTTGAGTTCTGATGGTTCTTGTTGCTTAATTCCTTCTCTATTTGGTCCCCGTATACGACAGTGACCTTTAGTAATTATTGCTTGGAAATGTGATAGTTCTAATATAAAAATTTTTTGCTGCAATTTGGCTGAGTGTTGACAGCCTCGGAACTGCGCTGAAGGTAACAAGACGTAGACAATTATTTTAATGGGGACAGGAAGGACAACCCACTCTGCTAGTAAGGACTAAGCTGTTAACCTTAAAAGGATCATGGTTTGTCTGTGAAATACCAAGAGCCTTTGTCACCTTGACAGATTTCTTCGAAAGTCTTAGTGCCAACGTCGTGTGCCGAACCGACGGAAATTCAGGTCATCAAGAGGTGGTTGGGAGATGTGTATTTTGGTAAAATTTCTCACTGCCTTTAGTTGGAACTATAAAGGAACATGGCAAACGATGCGGACGAGCAGGACCGCCTGCGGAATCCTGCATCAGATCTACATCAACATCAACAACCTGAAGTTGACGACGATCCCGCTCAAGGGCCCAACTGCGGTGCTGGACGTCGGCACAGACGCCGGCGACTGGCCCATGGCCATGGTGGAGCCGTGGCCCGAGTCCATGGTGACGAGGGTCACAATCTTGAAGAAGGTTGTCCGGGCTGGATTGTCGAATCGCATCAACTAAACCAAACCACTTCGGAAGAATGAAGGCGACCAGGAGCGCACCAGCTGCGATGCCGCCATCGTCGCTCAGAGAGCACACATAGGAGATGAGGGGAGGGAGATGAGAAGGTCAGCAGCGACCCGCTTGCCACACGCGGCGCAGTCCGAGTTAAATGTCATTACTGACACCGCTGCCGCCGTCGTTGATTTGAATCTACCAGGCTTGGGCACGTTCCTGGCCACCATTGTGTGGGTGCTCCGCCACCGCTACCTGATGCAGTTCAAAGATTCAAATGTTATCAGATTGGTATGGTTCAAAATGGAATTGGCATCGCAATGGGCCTGGTGCCCTCTTCCGCTGGACAACGAGGTCCACACCGCCGCCATGGCATGTCTCCTTGGCAGAGCCACAGCAGGTGCCTGTCTGGGTCTTCTTGGCTCTTTTTGTGGGCAGAAAGTTGTACTAGCGCTTTGCGCAAAGCCAGGGGACTGACTCCCACGGAGGCTGCGGCACATATTTGGGTTCCGCAATAACAACTCCCGCACTCCCTGTTGATCCGGATTTTCTCGCCCAACATTGATTGGTACGCCCAATCAGTTTAGTAAGCATCCTTCAAACGACTGATCTCAGAGCACGCCAGCCGGTTTCTAGGCACCAGCTTTAGTGTTTTTACACCCTGTACATCGCGACCACTAGCATATAGCCACAGAGGAAGGACTATTGACTACTTGCTATATGTAGACCGTGCGAGCCATTTTCCTCCGCGTGAATATCCGAATTCCTCTTTAGCGTCAACAAAGAGCGCCCTCATACCACGCGCGAAAACGCGACACAACGTACACTATCTAGGACACCCACTCGAGCAAGCACATCTTCAGGGGCTCGAAAGCTGTCAGCTACGCATGCACCTGGTCAAGAACACGCAGGGAAGACTTAAATCATGTCGTATTCTAAGTTTCAAAAGCTGGATCGCGACCGGGAGCAGATTCGGCTGCTGCACCTGAAACCAGCGGAATTGCACGAACCCATCTCGGCCACCTTGTCGCTCGCATACTTGGATGAACAGCCTAGCTACGAGGCGCTATCCTACGTCTGGGGAGACGGAGAGGACCCCCTAGAAATAACCCTGGACGGGGAAACCTTTCCAGTGAAAATCAATCTGTTTGCCGCCCTTCGTCGCTGTGAGTCCCGGGCCTGTTCTTTTTTGTTTTTGAGCGTTCCCGATGCTGTCCAGGTTCGCCCAGGTCGCTAACAGGTATCAAGTGCGTGACCGTCACGAGATTAAGGTACTCTGGGTTGATGCACTCTGCATAAATCAAGAAGATGACGCCGAAAAATCGTATCAGGTACGATTGATGACCGAAATTTTTAGAAACTCTAGGCGGTGTTTTGCCTGGCTGGGAGAGTTTGAAGAGGATGTAGTCTTGAAGCAGGGTGTCACTTTAGACGCCTACCGAGGCGAAGGAGTGACTATGGACAAAGAAAATGCGCGCCTGGCACTGGATTTGGTGACGAAACTATCAGAGTTATCAACTGACGGGCACTTCACTGCCGACGAAGCCTGTGTTCCAGCAGGCTGGGTTAGTGTTTCACCGCGGGAGGTGACTGCGTTGAACAAGCTGATGAGCTTGAAATTCTTCGATCGTATCTGGACGGTCCAGGAGTTCATTTTGCCATCCCACGTGGGGATGGTGCTCGGCACCATCCGATGTGAAGAAGCTTTGGAAAGACTGGTATCCATGGATGAGCGGGACTTGTGGAAACATGATCCCGTATATGGGGGTTGTTGCAAGGCCGCTATCGAGAAAGTGCCCGATTTGCCGGCCTTGATACTGGATCTGTATGAGAACACGGTCACTTTAAGACATATGCGGAAGAGGCAGCTCACAGTCCACCAAGCCTTGGAACACTTCCGAACTCGGAATGTCAAAGACCCCAGAGACAAAATATTCGGGTTGCTCGGCCTCACAGACCCCTCGACCAGGCAGCTGATAGATTACAAGCTCAGCAAAAAGCGAGTATACATCGGATCTGTCCGCTACGGCCTTAGGACCACAAACTCGTTGCGCCCACTCATGAGATTACCCGAGAGCAATCATGACACGGCCTTGCCATCATGGGTGCCCAGCCACGAGGTAGATGCCCCAGACACTCACACCCGAAACATGATGAAAATGGAGGCCAAATACCTGTATCAAGGTCCTTTACTCTTCAGCACCGGGACTCAGCGCGATATGGAACTGGGGTCCGCGGGCGCGGAAGACGAGTTGCGGCTTGGTGGGCGCAGGTTCGACACCGTCAGGCGCGTTTTCGAAAAGCCCCCGCAGAGTCTGTGGCAGTCTCAGGGCGGCTCGGTTCTGAGGCGCCGCTTGCGGGAGGAATGGCTCGACCTCCTCGCGTCCGACCCACGTCTGGACTTCGGCAGCTATCCCAGCGGCGGGAGCTACACGACGGCTCTGTACCGAACGTTCACCAGCGATACTCTTGTGCCTATGGACCGCAAGATAACGCGAATCACGGCAGACGATGAAGAAATCGTGACAGGGGGTCTGTCTGAGCAGGGCTATGCCGCCCACAGTGGACTCTTGCCCACGAAGACGTTCTTCGTAACTGAGCGAGGCTACATCGGAATTGGACCGGATACCACTGAAGCCGGAGACGCAGTATATGTGCTATTCGGAGGTCATCTACCATTCCTTCTGCGTGATATACCGGAGGGGTTGGAGGGAAGAGGTTCCCACACGTATGTCGGACACGCTTATGTGCATGGGATCATGGACGGAGAAGTGCTACTCATGGATGATATTCAGGATGAAGAGGTTAACATAGTATAGCCAATTTCACGGAACCCTCAACCACCATGAAGTGTGAGCAGCAAAAACAGCTAATCAGAATTGGATGTTTGCCAAGGACTTCTCGGAGTTGGTTAAGATTTGAATCCATCAACAGCTGCGATCTGTGGCAAAAGAGAGAAAAAAACCTTGGTTTCCAAGGCTGCCATTCTCATGCCGTGACCGATTTTTCTAATAGGCTCTTGGCCTCGACCCCAACATCGTACTTGAAAAACCAGTCGTTGTACTCCTCCGAAAAGACCTGCGCCTTCGGACTCGGCAATGGTCCATCGTAGTACCTCCTGCATTCCTCCATCATGACCTCAGGTGGGCCCATCATCTTATTAGAGAGGGTCTGGGTTGCTTTGACACGAGGGCCACGCAGGTCATCAAACATCTGCACCCGATCCAACACCAGTTTCTCCGACAAGCAGCTGCCCTGCATAGTGCTGCCGAACAAGACCTCTAAAGCAGCGGCGTCCTCGATCGCCTGCGACGCTCCCTGCCCATGAGTCGATAACATCAAGTGTCCAGCATCTCCCACGAGAACAGCCCGTCCTCTTGTGAGGTTGGGCACCGGGTCCCGCCTCATGATGGTGAAGACATTGATATCCCGGGCGCCCTCGCAGATGACCTTGACGCTGGGGTGGAACTCGCGCAGGTCCGCCACCAGGTCCTCGTATCCCGCCTCCGCGTTCCAGTTGTCCCCGATGTCGCGCTCCTGCGGCTTGGTCGGGTGCATGAAGGCGCAGTAGAGCAGCTGCTCCCCCCTCACGGGGTACGTGTTGAGCAGGACGCCGGGCCTGCCCACCTGGCTGACGAAGAAGGCTGTGAATCCGGACGGCTGGTCGCGGTAGAAGTGGCCTGCCTGTGGGTCCTCGAGGATGGATGAGATGGGCTGCATGAAGCGGTAAATGGAGAGGGGGGACTTGATGATGGGCTCCTCGCGGCCTGTCACGCGTGTGATCAGCTTTGAGTGGGCGCCGTCGGCGACGATGATGACGTCCTTCTGGAGGGTGCGTCCGTCTGCCAAGGTGATCGTCCCGGTGTCAGGGTCGGCGTCGGACACAGCTGTGCCCAGATTGATCTTTGGTGCAACGGTATACGGCACCGCTGGGTTTTCCACCAGCTCGAGCAGGCCTGCGTGGAGATCGGCACGGTGGAATATCAACCATCGTGACCCGTACCTCTCCTCGATCCCACTGTACTTCTCCGTTGAGACCAATTCGCCGGTCTTGGCGTCGAAACGTCGAAGCTGGGAGTAGTCCATAGCCCCATACTTGTGGGCATCGAAGCCCCAGCCGGCCAGGACGCGGGTGGCATTCACTCCGATTACAAGCGCGGCTCCATTCTCATGTGTGAAGCGGGACCGTTCGAATACCTCGACTGCGTGCCCGGCCCTAGCTAAGGCGATTGTCGCTGAAAGCCCGGCAATACCACATCCAATGACCCCGACTTGCAGATTTGTAGGAGCGACTTTGCCACTGGAACCCATGATGAACAAAGTAGCCCTCAGATGATGGATTGCGGGTGCGAGAACATGTTGACTGAACTGGGATTCGTTTCGAATTCTCGCAAATGGGAAGGTTTATTTATGACAAAATGGATTCCCTTCACTTGGGGGCGAGTTCGTAAGTGGCTGTCTCTAATCTCCGGGCTGTGGGTGAAGCCAGTACATTCACAGACCGGCCGGACATCCCCATCATTGAAGGAAGCTGTTGATGTCAGCTGCATGAATCCGAAGCGTCGGAAATATTGTGATAAGAGGTGGTATCTTACGCGTCACGACAGAGTTTCATAGCACCGATGTTGTGCTTACCCCACCGGCCATTGCATATTATGTACTGTGTCAGGCCACTATTGTTCGGGGGGAAGGACAAGGCTTCACAGTCATACATTCACGGCACAGGATCCGCATAACACCGCAGCTTTGTGGTGTTGCAACATGTCCAACTGCTCTTGAAGAGTTCCCGATTGGCCACATTCTACCATGCAAAAGGCAGGGTGATAAATGTCAGCAGGAATACCTAGATTAGGGTTCAAGGAAGCCTTACATGCCAATAAGAAGGGGCGGACGGACTCCTTGCACAATGATATCACCTTTAGCTCTTACGATTAATTTGTGCCAACCGAAAACTCTTCCATAATGACACTTGCACGATCTGCATACCGATCAATGCGATCCTATAATGGCAAAAGGTGTCCGGGACGTCAATTATACCACACAACTTTGGGACAGTCTCTAGAGTGATCAAGTGTTGGATGCGTCACTTGGATGGGCAGATCCATCTGTGTGAGAATAGCACAAACAAAGCCGCCCAGGTCACGTTACTGGCTGATTGCGACCTGGATCTAGAATGTGAGGCCAACAGGCGTCGATACTTCGTGGTATTTGTGGCGGTAAATTGAAAGAAATGGGGGGCCCTCGATGCAGGCTGCAAGACTAGCAAGATGGACTGTTTCTGGGAGGTGAAACCATCTGTCAGAAGAGCTTGAAGCTGAGGGCGCCAGTAAGGTTTGCATATTAATTTCGGACTGACTGGTAGTTGTGTGCCTGTGCACGAATTTCGAAATCTCATTTGTCCTGAGTTGGCACAGAATGTGCTCTGCAAGTGGTTTTGATTGCGGGTGCAATTGATTCTCTTCCGTTCTCCAGTATCATGGGCAGCCCTGGAAAGCTGGGGTAGACAGCAGATTCCAGCTACGTTTGTCTGTCCGATACCAACTGACAGCAAGCACATCCAACAGAAGTGTCTAGTGCTATGTTTGCCAACCGTTTTCTACGGAACTCAACAACCACCCGGGCGTGGACTGAGCTGGTCTCGGCTGCCGGCAGTTACCGTTTGCCAATATAACCCAAGGAAAACGGGTTTCGACCAGTAGGGGCAGGAAGTGGAAGGTCTGCAGCGTTTTGGAATCGAAGATGAGGTAGGTGCGTCACTTCCGTTTCTGTTGTAAGGTACCTTCGTACTTAAGTACCTTGGCTCCAGGTCTTGTTTCGCTCTTGCACCTGCAACAACCGACTCAACACATGATTGTGTCGAAAGCAAACGGTCAACTCACACATACCACTGCCTGACTTTGTATCTTCTCACTCCAATCCCCTATCGATCCGAGACTCTAGGCCATTCGTTCCATCTATCATCTCAACATGGGCCGCTGGGGAATGTGTGAGTCCTTCTTGCCGCCTACTAACTCCCACGAGGCCTTGTCTCTCGACTCTGATGCCTGCCAGGCCATGCAAGCCACATTGAAGCGAAACTGACAGATCCCATCACAGGCCTTTTCCAAGGCGACCAGGACCTCGACATCCGCAGCGAGACCGAGCATGACATGGGCCTCACCAGAGATAACGACGACGACTACATCCCCGACGAGGAGCTCCAGTCCCTCGCCTTCCGGTGCAAGCTCGACGCCGGCCTGTGCGACAAGCTCTTCAAGGACTACCGCAGCAAGGAGAACACCTTCTGGATCCCCGACCGCAAGATGTACACCGTTGTCCTCGCCGCCATGGTCATGCAGAGCGGCGCCAGGATCAGCGACGACAACATGCAGCACCTGCGCGAGCTCGTCCCCCGCATCCACTCCAGCCCGGGCTACGCCTCGCCCCTTGCCGACGACGGATTCCGCGACCCTGGAAAGGTCCAGTTCCTCGCCGCACTGGAGTACTACAAGCCAGGCACCCCACGCACCTTCTGCGAGCTGAGGCAAGCAATTACTTCACACCCTCGTTGGCACCTCCTAGCAACGCGAGCTTTCCTTCACTGACCACAGCACACCAGCTGCTACCACTGTGGCAAGATCCAGGCGGACCTCGGCGAGGCGCTGAACCGCTGTGCCAGATGCAAGGTGGCTTCGTACTGCAACAAGGTGTGCTTCCGCCATGCACCGGTCTGGGTGATGCTTCTTCTAACTCAAAGCATGTAGGACTGCCAGAAGGCTCACTGGAAGGCCCACAAGCCTTCCTGCTTCGACCACAAGAACCCTCCCATGTTCTTGAACGTGTAGGCATGCTGGGCTTCGCAATATCACAGGCCACCGCTCTCAGAACAACGGACCGGTGAAGATGTGTACCAAGAATGGGATCAAAAGCATGATTGCTGTTACCCTAGGGTAGGTTAGGAGAGACGTGACCAACTGGAGTCTATGTTCGCCTGAATTGGGTCACTATACCGACAGAATGTTCGGCACATGCCCGTGGCATCTTTCGGTCGACTGCATTGTCGAAGGTGCCATTTGGGAGCATACCGCAGTCATATTTGGGAAAAGCTCGAGACAAGATCTCGCTATTCCAACTTGCTTCCCAGGTACTCACCCAAATAGTACAATCTCGTTGGAACTTGCCATGACTTTGCGTTGACTCCGGTACCGTGATGCTGGATTACCTGGTTTCGCTTCTATTCTGCATACGTCCGAGGACATACATGGCGCCTTCACACGGTGGTAAACGCTCAAGACCCAGCGTCGTCATGATTCTCAAGCCACCTAAGTAATAGTGTTTTTGGCTGGGGTCAGAGACGCGTGATGCCTTCTTCGCTCCAGAAAAAGGGTTTATGAAATTCAAAATACACGAATAATACTTGGCCCACAGCGCGTCGGTTGTCTATAGATCACTGGCGACGATCATCCTCTCGGGATGGCCTGCGCTAGCATATTTTCATTCTTTGACAACGCGACAGAATGTAACAGTAGAAGTGGACTTCATAAGCACTAATACACGTTGAAGCACGAGTCGAACGCCAAGGTAGACGCGACCAAGCAGCTCCACAACCCCATGGGGATCCGGGGTAGAAAACCTGGGGAAGTGCGCGATTTACTGCTTCTCAAGGGACCACTCCTTGGCAAAAATGGAGACATCTAATGCAGTGCTGGGGTTGAAGGATATATGTCAGATCACTTGCCGACCTGTAGCTCGGGAGGTAAGCGTAATTTCGTCCTTTAACTGCGAGTTACCAACTTTGCCAGACTCCTTGACAGCGAGACCAGGTAGGTTTCATGGTTTCCATACGCGAGCAAAGCTCTTTCATCTTCCTCGCTGCGGCCCATCATCCCAATCAAACATTCAAGAAAAGAAACTCGTAGCCAAATAGTTGTTGATTGAGGGTTGTTATCATTAGGAAGCGATAGTTCACACCTGGGCATCCGGTATTTTCCTTAGACAGCTCCTATTCCCCGCGAAACCCCGCCATATGGCTGGCCTTGGCCAGCCTTGGTAGCGTGTCTCGTGCAGCCTGTTTGCTTCCCTTTGCCAATCATGGTGTTCTGACCTACGCCTTGGCAATGTCTGCTGACAAGCTACTCTTACCCCAGATTCGCTGTGCTGCCCCTTCCATATGTACCAATTACCCAGAGAAGGAAGGTGTGCTAAACACAAGTGGGACATGTCGGCATGTTGGCCTGCTTTGTCTCCCCCGCATTGTAGGACAATAGCGGCCTCAAGAATTGAAGCCGGTACTATTTTCGGGTCCCATGTAACGAGGTCGATGATATCGCGAATCTAGTATAAGGTCTCCGGGCGCGATCCCCTCTGCTCATGATCTCCTCGTGTTGACTTCAACGCTTGCTATTATTCTTACAAACATTTTCCAGAAAACATCACCCCTGAGACCATCCGTACTAGAATGGGCTGCTTTAACACTCATGCTACTGGCACTCTCGACCCCCCAGAAGTGCGCAATTGGCGTATCCATGTCATCGCACTAATCGCTTCTATGTCGGCCCTTGCCAGTAAGTGTCACTGAGGTATGAACCGACAACAGAAAGCTGAACATAGTGACAGTGGGGTACGACACTGCCGTTATTGGCGGCACCATGGCATTGACTTCGTTCATACGCGATTTCAAAATGGACGGCATGGCCAAAACTATGCGCGACACCACCCAAGGCAATATTGTGTCTACATTCCAGGTGAGCTTCGAGACCTGATATCGTAGACCTGTACATGCTGACTCTTCGAGGCTGGCTGCTTCTTTGGTGCGCTTTTTGCTTTTCCCGCTGCCGAAAGACTTGGCAGAAAGAAGACCATGATCATCGCATCCTCGATTTTCCTAGTGGGTGGCACCCTAATGACTGCGTCACGGGGTTCCCTCAACATGATCTACGGAGGACGTGCAGTCGCCGGGCTCGGCATCGGGGCATCCTCCATGGTCGTCCCGGTCTACATCTCCGAAACCGCCCCGCCGTCCATCAGGGGCCGACTCGTGGGCATCTTTGAGATTGCCTCACAGGGCGGTGGGATGCTTGGCTTCTGGATCAACTACGCCTGCGACCGCACCATCGACGTCAACGGGCAGAAACAGTGGATCGTGCCTCTGGCGCTCCAGCTCGTCCCCGGGCTACTGCTCCTTCTCGGCGTTACGTGGTGTCCCGAGTCGCCCCGGTGGAAAGCACGTGGGGATGACTTTGAGGCTGCAGAGCGGATACTGACCAAGATCCGCGGCCTTGACTCCAACCATGCCTATATTCAGCATGAGATGGCCGAGATCCGCGCTCAGGTCGAAGAGCGTAGTACCAACAAGCTTAGCAAGAAGGCACAGTTCACGAAGCTTTTCCAGAAGGGTGTGCGCAACCGTATGGCTATAGGCCTTGCGCTCATGTTCTTGCAGTCCTTCACTGGTGTTAACATCATCACTTACTACGGTATGTAAGATATCTTATTGTGCATAAGCGTGCAGCTTATCCATGGATGGGGGTCTGTAAGAAATCTTATAGTCTGTCTAACCTGCTCACTAGCACCTCGCATTTTCGAAACTCTCGGCATCACTGGCACTTCTACCAAGCTCTTCTCCACTGGTTTCTACGGAATCGCCAAGACACTCGGCATGTTCACGTTCACCTTCATCGTCGTTGAACGAGTTGGCCGCCGCAAAGGCCTCGTATGGGGTGCTGCTCTGGGCTGTATCCCCATGTGGTACATCGGAGGGTACGTGATGAAGAGCGATCCAGCTGCTGCCGCCCTGCGGGGAGTCGTCAACCGCGATGGTTGGGGCTATCTTGCCATGGTCTGCGTCTACATCAATGCCTTCATCATCTGCGCAACCTGGCAGGGTATCACTTGGACCTACGCATCTGAGATCTTTCCCCTCGACATCCGCATGCTCTGCGTGTCTCTCACCACCGCCGACACCTGGCTCGGATCCTTCATCATTGCGCGCAGCACGCCCTACATGATTTCAGATCTTGGCTATGGCGCATACTTTTTCTTTGCGGCAATCCTCGTTTCTATGGGTGTTTGGGCATTCTTCTTTGTTCCAGAGACGAAGGGTATCTCCCTTGAAGAGATGGATGCTCTGTTCTTACGGCCCATGCACAGAGCAGTATGGGCGCAACTACGCGGAAGGCCCATTCTATCGGAAGAGCAAGTTGTCGCAAGAACGAAAGGGATAGACCCCATAAGAGATGAAAAAGAGATTGATATTGAGGGCGTTAAACATGTGGAAAGGAGGTAGACCTTTCGGTTGGTGTGGCTTGAGGCTCATTGTGAGGCAAGCGAAATGCTAGCACCTAATACTTCGTAAGAAGTGAGTGTCTGTACGAAATAAGAGATCTCGGTGCTGATGAATAAAGCTCAGTACATCACAGAAATACATCAAGTCACACCAAATTTGCTACCGTAGATCTGATGCCGACTTCTCAGGTTTGATAGTTCAAATCGGAGTGATACTTGGAGTATATGTTGAAGACAGGCTTCACCCGGATGTCCTTTGCTGGCCATTCGATCAAGCACTCTGAAACAGTACTATGGCAACCTGTCGCAAGTTCTTGGAAACATTGGCCTCGTCGCCGCGGACTCCAGCAGTGCTTCCGCAGGCCCCTCAACCTTGTTGTGAACGGCAGGAGCTTTCATCAGTGACTGTAGCAAATGCAAAGATTCTTCCTCTGGGGACGTTTATTTTCTAATGTCAGGTTGCATTCCATTCTGCAGCGAACTTGTGTAACAGTACTATCAATTGCCTCGCTTTTAAGAAATGGAAAGCTCCAGATGTCACAAACCTAACGCGGCATTGGTGTGTCTATGTAGCGTGCAAGTAACCCCCGGTAGAGAGGACTGTGTTGCTTCTCGATAGGTGCATAATATGACTTCAGCAAATTTGGAGTCTCCGAACAAGCACTACATCAACTCATCCTTAGTTGACAATGCTGCAACCGCCATTGCGGTAGTGACGCCGCGATTTCCAATCTTCACGCCCGTGGACCCGTACCGATACATCCAGCCAGGTTCCCAGCTTCCGTCATCACATTGCATGCTCAGCAAAGTCTGCTTGTCGTCCTGGCATTCAACACCCACCTGCGTGCAGGTGATGATCCGCATGGCCAGATCTAGTGCACTTCCATCATGACCGAGGCGTTCGCGCATTCTTGACTTCAACAACGGGCCCAGGGTCAAGTGGAGATGAGGATCCTTCGAAGACCGTAACAACCGCCCTATGAACCCCAGACAGCAGTCGGCCGAGGCATAATATCGTGTTCCCTGTAGGTAAGAACTATTTGAGAGCATCGAATACACGAGCTTGAGGGTACCAGGGAATTCGTGCCCACGACCATCTGGAAATTGTCAGAACCGCGGTTTGTACCACGAAACCTAAAGTTCCAGACGCGCATAAATGGGGTGGTCAATGTGCCGAGGCTTATTAATACTTACAGTAATAAAAGCAAGCCAAGATGTTTGCGCTGACGATGGGATCAATTCGTGCCCTGATACGGTCGAAATACGTCTGTCTACATAGTTAGCCAGGCGGTTCCTGTGAATGCAATGTGCGGGAATCAAAGGGAACGTGGCTTGCCTGGAAAGTTCCATCCTGATTGACATATTCGGCCATTTCGTCAAGGAGGGTCGAGACCATTTCTTTGGAAGGTGGTTGCAGAACTTGCAGAGCAAGCGAGGTGGTGTCCAAGTCGTCCGGGAACAGTCCTCCCGGTACGAGCACTGTTTCGCCTATCAATATGTCAGTTACATCCCCAAATACTAAGGCTTTAATGGAATGTCGAGAATGCAATACAAAGTTCTTACCATTGAAGAAGTTCCAGGTTGTCTTGGATCCCCATTGGAGATCGATGAGGCTTCTGTGCGCTGATAGTTAGTCACCTGAGGCCGTTCTTCCTTAGTCTCCTGAATAAATCTAGGTAAATCAACCCACTTGTTGTGCAAGGTGTCTGCGATCAATAGTTTGGCGAAGTTGTCTGAGAATACGTCGCCGCTATTTGTGATTGAATCACACGTCTTTGCGTTTTGGAATAGGTATGTCCATGCCCTGCCGACTGGACTTTCGAGTGTCATGCGCAAGGACTGTATCCTCGAATGCTCAAATACATATCCACGAATACCCAAAGATTTCGCAGCGCGGATGTTCTCTTCTCTGTCGTCAATGAAGACAACCTCATTTCCGGCCAGGCCGATGTGATCAAGGACATGTTTGTAGAACCCGAGCTCTGGCTTCCGCATGCCAGTGGCTGCGGAGGTGAAGACTTGGTTGAAAAGTGACCAATCAATGCTGGTTGCAAGTTCCTCAAAGTCCTCTTTGCCAATGTTGGACATTGCATAAACTTCGATTGCAGGATTCTCATTCAATTCACGAACAACAGCAAGAATCTCTGGGTCAGGCTGCAGAGATTTGCGCGCCTGTGTAAATGCTTCCGCAATCTCGGATGCTGAAAGGCAGAACTTTTCAGCACTTAGCTGATAACAAACATCTCGAGTGATTTCGCCACGATCGTAGGCAAACCAGATAGGGGTTGAAAGGATGTCTCTCAGCTGACGAGCTGGGATGAGTGTAGTCGTGCTAGCGGACCAGGTGAATAGCACATCACCGAGGTCGAAAATGACAGCTCGAGGTGGTGGAAGCGGGAGATCCATTCTTCTTGCGTGACTAATCTTTCTACAACCGAAAGTTCTCACCGGATGACACTGCACGTTTATATATTCCTCAAAACAGATGATGCTCACTCATCCAATATGCCATTCTATGATGACCCTCGGGATCTGGTTCTGTCTAGATCCTGAAGCCTAGGAGGAGCCGATTGGACCTCGGGACATAGCAAAATGTACGCACCAATCTGCAGGAGTTGGTCTTGATGTGGCTGGGTCCGTTTGATCTTACCTGCATCATTCCCCACCATTTTACACTTCGTTGAATTTTCGTTGGTGTCCAGATGATGACCCCCCTCGCCTTCCTTTTTCGGCCACAGGTTCCCTTATCAACTTTGCTTTGGGACCCCCCCCCCCCGGGAAGAAGAATCTGACAACACCCCCCTCTCCCTCTTCTCGTGTGCTCCGGATAGAAAGAAGCCAACAGATCCAAAGGATCAGCCCCCAACTGTCGTGATCGGATGACTCACTTTGACGGACTACCAACCGGCATCCACTATCAGCTTCACCTTTTCCCGCGAGAACCGCGTCGCAGAGCCGCATGCCTGCAGGAGACGATATCATGAGGGTTGTTAGTGCTGACGAAGGATTTGATAAGAAGGAAATGCTGTTCCATGGAGGAGTCTACAAGATCTGGACCGGTGAATGGTTCCGGTACGGATCTTGGTACCAACCTTAAGCGATATGCAGTGTGACAAAGCCCGCAGGATCTTGTCTTCAGCATGACTGTGAAACCGTGTATCCCTGTCAATTATTAGTGTTGCTGGTGAGCTGCATTTTACATCGCGAGCTTCCATCATCGTGCACGAGCCTTCCTTTGTATATTCCCAAAGCTCCCAGGAGACCTTCCAGGCCCCCTTTTTAAGGTCATGAAGACGCGATCCTTCAGTGTGTTTATCAGTTTGTTACAAAGTATCTGTCTCTACGGAATCTCAGTATGGACTACGACAGGAGCCTCTCTTACTTTGGCAAGGGTGATCTGATGCCCAAATCTGTCTTCTCGAGTTTCGTTGGCTTTGTATGGCGCATATTCAACCATACGTACAATGACGATAAACAAATGCTAATAGTGTGTCACATTCTAGTGTTTTCTTTTCATTATAGCTAGGCTTGTTTACAATGTCTACTTTCACCCGCTGGCACGATACCCAGGCCCGCTATACCTTACTGCCTCCGACGTCCCCTTGGCCATCCTGTCGCTTTTAGGCACGAGTCAATATCCACTCAAAGCCGCCCACGATCGATATGGTGATATTGTTCGCATTGCTCCCGGCACGCTCTCATATATCAAGCCACAGGCCTGGACCGAGATCTACGGATACAAGAAGAATGGCGGGGGTATTGCGAATTTCCCAAAAGATCCGGCCTTCTACAATGAGATGATGCTCGGCAAAGAGACCATAACTCTTGCCACTGACAAGGATGCCATCCCTATTCGGCGCTGTCTCAACAGCGCCTTCGCGCATCGCTCACTCCTCGAGCAGGAGCCCATGATGCAAGCTCATATCGGCCGTCTCATGGCACAATTCGAGAAGTACAGCCTTGGGGAGCGCCCTGTGGATGTGCGTGAATGGTTCACATTCTCTATGTTTGACATGAACAGCGACTTTGGTTTCGGGGAGGACATGGGGTGCGTGAGGACCGGTGTCTACCACGAATGGGTGAAGTTCGTGATTGATTATTTCTATGCCGCCACACTGCTGCACCAATGCCACAAGTTCTGGCCGCTCAACCGCCTGCTGGCCCTCTGCATTTCGCCCTCGACACGAAAGATGCAGGCCAACCACAACCAGGCCTCGCTGCAGCGAGTCCGAAAGAGGATGGCTCAAGAAACGGATCGGCATGACTTCATGCATTATTTTCTAAGACAAGCCAAGAAGGAGGGATTGTCGAAGGAGGTGACAGAGGCACAGGCTACCGTGGTCATACTCGCCGGCAGCGAGACCTCATCCGTGGCGGAGACTGCAGCAGTGTACCACCTGTTGACACATCCGAGCATCTACGAGAAGCTGCAGGCCGAGATCCGGACCGCGTTTGACAGCCTTGAGGACATCACCCTGCAAGACGTGCTGTCCAAGCTACCTTACCTGGACGCCGTGGTGCAAGAGACGTTGCGCATCCATGCGCCGCTTGCCAACGGCTTCACTCGTTGGGTACCTGACAGGAACGGAGCGCTCATCTGCGGGAAACACGTACCACAAGGTGTGCGTATCATTTCTCCCAAATCTCCTACACAACCCAAGATGACCACTACAAATCGACTGACAAATAAATTTGTTTAGACTGTGGTTACGATCAATCACTACTGCTCGAACACATCAGCTTCGAACTTCCGCGACCCCTTCAGCTTCATACCCGAGCGATGGATGGGCGATGCCGCTTACGCTGACGATAACAGAGACGTTCTTCAGCCATTCTCGGTTGGCCCGCGGAACTGCCCCGGTCAGCAGTGAGTCCAATGGCCGCGTTGTGGAGATGCATGACTTCCAATACTGATCACCGCGCAGATTTGCCTTGTACATTATCAAGCTGACGCTCGCGCATCTTTTGTGGCGATTCGACCTCAGATTGGGCGACGGTACAGAGAAGTGGGCTACGGGACAAAGGATCTACAACGGCTGGATCCAGCCTCCACTGCCGGTTGTGATGCATAAACGAGACCGACCCTGAATGTGGGGCGCTGCTGCCTACCTAGGTAGACGATGCACTCGTCCAGATTTGTATTTGATCAGTTGTAGAGTCTAGCTAGCTGTGTAGATAGATTACACAACGTTGATCTAAACTGCTTCTTCCTCGGGCTCCACTTTCCATATCATCTCGTATCTTGCATTTCAAATATTCTCCTTGTCATCGAAGCCTGTGCAATCTGCGTGATCATTGATATCTGCGGAAGGATGACCTTGACCCGGCTCCACCTTGATACAGCCCTGGAGGCTGTACTGCGTGGTCATCACGCCACATCATTGACAAATTCCGCCGGCACACTACAGGAAAATATTGCAGGTACAAATTCAGGAGGCCGACCGATTGTAAATCACCGTGGCTCAATCGGGTTACTAACTCCGGCTACTCATCAATAGCTGCGTCTGGAGACTGGTTATAGTTAGATGCAGCCTACATGGTACATCTCTAAAAGTACGCTGATGCTGCCACACCTACCTGCAAGGTAAGCTTTACCAAGATGCATGGAATCTGTGCCGAGATTCCGGCCAACAGGGTTCTTTAACCAATGCCGCTCCGTCAACCTCGCAGGATTCAAAGAAGGCTGGCTCACGGTACCATGGCTCACGGTACCATGGCTCACGGTATCATGGCTCAAGGATGTGAGATGCAGAGCTGATGTTTGAGAAACCCACACGCACAACTTTCACAAGCCCACTTGGGTGATTTACTTAAAGGTGCGGCCTTGAGGCGAAGGAATAATACTTGCTGAATTTACTCGACCCTTGCCGAGCTAGCGGTGAAACTTATCTCAGATCGGTGCAAGCTCAAAGTGTGCGCAGAAAATCGGACTCCGAACGAACGCACCACTGCCCCTTGCTGAGAATGAGACCATAAAAATATACAATTTCTAGATGATTCTAGTAAGCTTTCCGATAGACTTTCTCTACCTATAGCCTAATGGCTAAGTTTCTATTAGACTTATTAAGTTTGAGATATATATAAGGAATATCTAGTTCTTTTAGTTTAGATATCTAGTAGGGATTTAGAGACTAAGTATTTATATATAAGCAACGGGCCTTCCTCCCTCATTTTTAAGGATTTTAGTTAATAGAATTTATCCCTATTTTCATACAGAGACAGCCCGTAGGACGGCGGCAGATCGCCGGATGCTGGGGTAACGAGGCCACTGCAGCCATCACATCGAAATAAAACGTGAGAGGTCATCCAAATCGGGCCAACGGCTGCATTGTGCCCCTGCACATGAAATGACACAGACCTGGAATTTGGGTGGCAGGCTGCGTCTTGTGACCAAACCAGTTGGGATTTGATCCGCGCATCATTCTGTCAAAAGCCTTTGGGAGCCCACAGTCGGTAACAGGTTCCTTGTATTTCTGAATTTTATGAGGCATCTGCGGGATATTAACTGAAAGGCGTTGCACGCATTTCTGTACGTTCACCACGCGCAGGATATATTTTGCCATCTGCGCAGGGCCACACAGATCTACAGGTGTCTTCCTGCCATTTGACTGAGCTGCTGACTATATCGCATCAAATTGTCCCACCGACCCGCAGGATCAGTGCAACCTCACAATCTATATGATGAATCACCTTCCCTAGCTAGCCTGGGTCGATCAGATGCCGTCAGCTTGATTACTATATTGTGGAATCAACTTGAACGGCTACATGTGGACCTCGGTAATGTCCCAATCACACATCGGTCTACGTACTTAAGATGTCTCAGACTTGTCTTAGCGCATGCATACGAAAATGAATTCCTACGAGGCTCTGGGGCTGTCCGTAGCTCTAGTGGGGAAAGGGTTTGAATCGGAACAAGGGTTGGTGGCTGGGGGGGCTGAGAGGTGTGCCAACACCATTTGTACCCCGAGGTACCTCACAGTCCACCCAGTCTAGTACCCATTCGGGGTAGCCTGTATCTAACCGAGAGCTTCTCTTGCGCTCGAGTTCAACGTCAACCGAACCGCCCTCCCCATCAGGTCACTGCGCTTTCCCGACAAATTATGAAGACCGTCTTGCGTCCAACCACAATAGCCAGGCACTAGTTCTCGTTCATCGTAATCCATTCTCCTGCGTTGATTGCATCATGGGAAACGTCTTCAGCCAGTTTTTCTTCATCCCCTCGCCGACCGTCACGGAGAAAAATTGCCCGGATCAAAAAGGACGGGTCAGTAGCAGATGGGCTGTTTCTGTTCCTTCAATAGCCCCTACGACACGGATTCCTGATTGGTGATATAGGTCTTTCTCGTGACTGGCGGTTACGCCGGCGTGGGGATTGAGTTGTGCAAGATACTCTACGCCCACAATGCCATCGTTTACGTCGCAGGCCGCTCTTCCTCTAAAGCAGAGAAAGCTATCACCCAAATAAAAGAGGCGTCTCCTGAGAGCAGCGGCCGGGCCGAGTTTCTGAATCTTGACCTGTCCGATCTCTCGACTATCAAACCCGCGGTCCAGTCCCTGACTGCTCAAGAACAGCGCCTTGATGTACTTGTGAACAATGCAGGCGTACGTATTCACTTTAACATTCCCGTTCCTAATTTACAGAGTCTATCTCGAACTAGAACCTGTCTCCATGGATCTCTAACAGATCTGTGAGCCCACAGGTTATGTATCCTCCCGAGGGCAGCACTAGTGCCCAGGGACACGACCTACAGATAGCAACCAACTGCCTGGGTCCGTACCTGCTGTACCAGCTTCTCCTGCCTCTTCTCACCAAGACCGCCGCCTCGTCCACAACCGGGTCTGTGCGCGTCGCCTGGGCTGCTTCTATTGCCGTTCAAGTCGCCAGCCCGAAGCCTCATGGAATCGTCATCGACGAGAGCGGCTGTCCCACGGACCAAGGGGTATCGGACAATTACGGCCAGTCAAAAGTGGGAAACGTGTTTTTGGCGAGACACTTCGCCAAGACGACGCCGGAAAACGGCGTCGTTCATGCGGCTTTCAACCCGGGCAACCTGCGCACGGAGTTACAGCGGCACTGGACCGGTGTGAGTGCCTGGATCACCGTAAGTTGCCTTGTTTTGGGTTTTAATGCTCAGCGGAATCGACATGTATATCAGCAACTATACTGAACTGACTACAGGACAAACTCATCGTGGGCCCGCCAATAAATGGAGCATATACGGAGCTGTGGACAATCCTCACGCCCGAGTTAACACCCCCTCTCAGCGGAGCTTATGTGTACCCTTGGGGGAGGTTTGGCAGTCTGCCAGAAGGAATCGAAAATTCTATGAATTCAGAAGGCGAAGGTGGAACGGGTGTCGCAGCCAAATTTGTGCAGTGGTGTCATCGGCAGACAGAAGCCTTCGCATAGCCCAAGTACTGCTCTGCGAGTCTGCCCTCTCTAGCAATAGGCTATGGGCCTAAAAGCAGGTTGTCCTTTTCGCGGCAAAAACTTGAAAGTATGGTAGGCTTAGAAGTAGTATTTTTCTAAAAGATGTTGGATACCTTTCATCCCCTGTGCTTGAGTGCTACAATAAGACCTCTCATACTGCTCCCCTCTTCTTTAGAACAATCTTCTGCTCAAAACTTGGATGAACATCCGTATCGTACTTCCCGTTGCGCGGCCGCTCTTTTTGGCCAGGAGGGAATGAGAGATCATAATCCAGGAGTAGCCTCGCTACAATCAGCTTGATCATAACGGCTGCGTACCATCTCCCGGGGCAGGTGAATCTCCCGTTTCCCCACGACAAATTCCCGGGCTCGATCCCGGTGTAATCGTGTATACCCGATGAAAATGTGTCTTCATTGTCTCTCGAACGGTAGAAACGTAAACCATCAAATCTCTCGGGCTCGTCGTAGAACTCCGGATCGTGAGACATTGGTCCTCCAGGGGCAGCGATCTCAGCCCCACGTGGTAGGGTTGTGCCGTCCGACAGCGTGATCGGTGACATGACTTTGCGGTTAAATCCAACTAGAAACGGTAAGTGTATGGACGATGTCGGAGTTGGTCCGATCATACTTACGAAACGAGGTATGATTCATGCGCTGAGATTCCTTCAAAAAGCTGTCTAGCTGATGAAGTCTCTTGATAGTCGACATCTTCCACTCTCCACTGTCTTGATCGAGAGCGGCCTTTGCTTCGAGGCGCAAAGGTTCTATGTATTCCGGCATTGCGCAGAGGTCATATACCACATGAGCTATCGCCATGGACGAGGTGTGAAGCTGATGACGCGCTTTTGGTCAAAATTTGTCATCCATGCTCGTCGGTCGGCAGACTTACCGCAGCCCCAGTCAAGATCATGAGTCTCGCAGTTATACTGTCGGGGCTCTTGTCCTTCCCGCTCTCGACAAGCAGTTTCATAACGCTTGGCTCCTCACTAGACACCATCTCTTGGGACGAGGGAAAGAGCATATTGCGTACTGCAATACGCTGACGAAAGACTCGGTTTCTCTGTGGAATCAGCGGTGCAATGAAGCGACGAAGAAATTTTGGGAATGGCAGCAAGATGAATTTCGTTATTTCGACGTCAATTGGCAATATTGTGACAGCATGGTTCCATATCGGGTTCCGGCCGTGCGCTTTGCCCACAAATACGATGGACGTGATCCGATGTATGAAGTCGAGTAGTAGATCATAGGCGTCAAACACTTTTGAGTCTGAATAGAAACTCACGAGGTCAGCCAATTATGAATCCATCTTTTGTATTGGTGGTCAACAAGGGCTGCACCACGCAACTTGCCGTCAAATTCAAGCTTTTCCGCCATGGCAGCTTCAAGTTCTTCAGCCATGACAGGAATAAAGTTCGCTTCGCTGTCAGCATCCATCATAGTCCTGAGGTATGACTTAGTATTGTTAAGAGGAAATTACCTAGATGTCTTGTGAAAGGTCCTCTGCAAATATCTGTAGTCAAATGGTCCTTCAATAGATGATCTACCCCAGTGTATTGACCCAAAACGCTGTCTACCAAAGCGGCGGTCGAGTTCAGTTTCGATTCAGGGAGCATGTTGAACTCATTTACGAATTCCCGGCCGAGGACGATGGTGTCACCCATTAATGTCTGAGTGCAATAATTTTGGAAGGGGGACTTTGTGACTGCACTTAGTATCAACGCTCTCGACAAGTGTTTTATTGCATTCATGTACCTTTTGATACTCTCGCACGACGTTTTCATGTCCGTGTTGGAGCCATTTCCATCGAGCCCACCACTTCAGAAGATTGAAGGGTCCCGGATCTGAACCGACTCTTGGCAAACTAGCCTTTGGCTCAGTCTGCTCATCGATGATGATAGCGATAAGGGCAGTCGCCACAAGAAGGACTATGGCCTCGAAAATCATGGTGGGTACCGTTAAGGCAAAACAATAGCTCCCGAGGTCAATATGTGGACTTTCGCAATGAGCTATAGATCGATGAGATAGCTGTTTGAAATTCGGATTCCGTCTGGTGGCTATGATTTAGCGTGAGCCCGAATCCGGGCCTTTGGGAACACACACTTGGATGGGCGCGTCTATGTATTTCTTAGCGTGTTGTGCTAAAAAGTCTTCTTCGAATTTCCTGGAAAGGATATTCAGATATCTTAGGTACGTAATCGCGGGAACGGAAATTGACATATGGCCGTCTTTTCTCGTTGGCGAAATTCAAGGGCAGCATCAATCACGGGCAAAATGGGAAAACGTTGAGCATTGCTGACCGTGGAGGCTGCGAAGTTTGGTCCCAGCGTTGAGCCGCACGAATCCCCCGCTCCAGCAGCTTGTGGTTGCACCAACACTGGCAGTCGGACCCAGTCGTACAAAGTCGTACACAGTCGTTCCCAGTGCTGCCTGCACGTTGTTGCACAGCTACAAGTGCCTGGTCGACGCCTTGGTGCCGTGCCACCAAGCTGCTCCATATCGCCCAACGCGGCCTCGCGGCGTAGCACAGGCAGTTCCAAGGATTGCGGCTATCATTTGGTGCTCCCAAAGTCTAACGTTTCAAGGTTCGGAAAGAGATGGGAAATATGCAAACCCTCCGCTAACACTAATTTAACTCAACCACCTACCGCTAACATTTATTAACTTAAAACAATAAATAGTATAAAATTCTAAAGAAGATTATTATATATTCTATTATATATAGTACTTAAAGAGTTATATTTTCTTATATAGAAAATATAAATAAAGTATAATCTCTTTCTATTAATTAAATAAATATTAAAGATATATTTAATAATATATTACTATTAAAAGTAGTTAAAAGTGTACTTATTATAGTTAGACTTATAGTATATGAATATATGCGGTATATACATTTGTATATGTGATTAAAGCTTGGCCGTGTATTTCGAAAAAAAAAAAAAAAAAGAAGGGTGCCGGGGGTGGGGCTGCGAGTTTCTCACCTCTTCAGGAAAATGGTGATGTGTCTATGCGCCGGCTGCAGCCCTTATCTTCAAGGCGCCATGGTTGCTGACCAACCTCCAGGGTTCTTTTGCTGGGGGCAGGCGGTTGCATTCTGGCCCCTGACATGGAGAGATAAGGCAGAAGATGCAGATCTGCTGTGACCTGTTTGTAAGCTGTTCGCGTCTGGGTCATTCCGACATGTTGGGCCGCAGGACTGCATTAGTGCTGATTATATTGATGATGAACTTCAGGATCCTCTCAGTTAGCGCCGAGAATGCTGATGCGGACTTGCGTTGTGGTACTGCGATCGTCATGTTGGTACGGAGCCTTGTCAACCTGCAGCATCGATTCGTGCCGGGTTCTAGCTGCATAGAGCAGATGTGAAGGTTGCACAATGAGATCCTCCACTCTCAGCTTTTGAATCCTTAGCTGTTGATGTACGAAGCTTGCATGGATATTTTTGGCGTGATTTCGGGGAGACGTGCTTTTGGAGTGCATAATAGACATACTCTGTGACATCCTCGATCTCCCGAATAATGCTTGGCTTGCCGCGTACAGAGTACGGTCTCCCTGAATCGACGAAGTTGACGAAGTCTTCCCTGAGAGCTGCCATTGCAACGACATGTCTCAAACTCAACAGCCGACAATATGGGGCTTGAGTATCAGCTTTTCCATAATTGCTATCGCAGCGGTGGCGCTTCGATTCTATGCTCGTCGGATCAAGGGCCAGAAGTTAGGAGCTGATGACTGGACTGTTCTCGTGGCTCTGGTATGAATGACAACGAGTCAAGGCCTCTGACTCCGCTTTCTGACACACAAGACCTTCCAGATACTCTCACTTGGCGTTTCTATAAACCTTCTCATTAGTGAGCCTTGACTCTATGTCTGTTCTGGTCAAGATATGGACTCTGACAATCCTCATCAGTGACGCAAGTTGGTGGTCTCGGTACTCATCTAGAGTACAACGATGACGGGAGCCTCAAGGATGTGGAAGCTTTCGATGTTTTCATGAAAGTCAGTGACAATCTTCGCTTTAGCCGTCTTTACACTTGTTCCACAGTATCTAGGAAGTTTCTCACGCGCAGACAGACAATTTTTGCCTTTGAGGTTCTTACGTGGCCAACAGTCGGAGTCACTAAGATCAGCGTCGTCCTCCTGTATCAACGAATCTTCACAACCCAAAGATTCAAGATGCTCTGTTGGATACTCATAATGATAAATTGCGCATGGACCATAGCATTCACTCTCGCACTCACATGTATTTCTTTCCTCCTCTCAGATTCTTTTGCCTGGCACTGATCTGAAAGTTTAGTCTCTTGTATACCGGTCGCATCGAGTTGGGACCTGACCCTTGATAGCACCTGCGTCGACCTGAAAACCCTCTTCACCACAGCACTGGCCACAGATGTTGCAACTGACTGTAAGGAGATCCAAGCGCCCGCGTTGCTATTTTTAAAGATTCCAAAACAGTCATGAGCGCAGGCAGTGAAGCTGACTCAAATGCAAGTTCTGGTACTGATACTGCCAATCTATAAAATATGGCAGCTTCAGATGTCCACGGCACGGAAAATTATGGTCATGTTTATTTTTCTCCTTGGCGGGCTGGTCAGCATTGTAGGCATCATTCGGATCCACTATTTGACAGAAGTTTACGACATTCTGGAGGTGGATCTTGAGCTGGCGGACACAACTTGTATGCAGCTCCACAATTGGACTTCGGATGAGATTTGTTTGCAAAATGCTGACACGAGTATCAGGGATCTACTCACAAGTCTACTATTGGCAAATCATCGAGGTCAACGTTGGTGTGCTCAGCGCATGCCTTCCCACCCTGCGGCCGGTGCATGAGCGCCTGACGCGCAACTTGTCCTTCACCCAGCTCAGGGGCTCATTCGAAAAGCTTCTCATATCCTCTAGAGGGACTCGCGAAGTCGAACAAGTCCGCCTCAACTCGATGGAGCAAGGCGTGTCAGACAACTTCAACAGCAAATCCTCGAAGGGGTCGTCCGATCAGATGCAAACACGACGGCAAGATCAAAGAGGACATTGGCCTCCTCAATCTACTGAGAATTTTGTTGACGGACGCGGTCCAAACGGTGTGAATAACCACTGGCGGGCTGAACATGTGTAAGACATACAGATGCGGGGGACTCTCAGGTCCTGTATTAAAATATCCAATTATGAATACGAATTTGTTGATATGATGTTCACGTCGTTTCGGAGATCACCATCTCAAAGAATTGTGATTAACTGTTCAACAACCTCTTGACGTTCTAGCATCCCTTGAATCTCCCCATTCATGACTCCGTGTATGAATGCTTCGCCTACCAATTTGTATTCAGAACCGTCAGAGACCGGTCGGAGCACAAAAGCAACGTCGGCCCCAAATATTAGGCCGCATACATCCCCCGGCCGAGTGATCAGCGGTCCTACACCAAAGCCACCCTTTTCAGTTGCGAAGAGACACCGATTGATGCCGACATCTTTAACCTGATGCTCAAATCTTTCTTTGTTCTCTGGGATACGCAGCTTGGAAGGGTCGAGATCGTCCCGCGCACAAAGTGACTTTAGAATCGCATCTTTGGCATCGGGTCTCTGAGGAAACTCGCCGAGGATGTTGGACCAGCTCAGGTTTCGCGAGGTGTTGGAAACATCTACGAACCTCAAGGAGACCTCCGGCCTTGCTCTCACGTCGATGCAGTAGGCCTTGGAAACTCTGTCCAGTATCACGCCGGGAAGCTCGAGCCTTTCTCCTGCAAATTCGGACAGATCAGGTGCCCACTCAGGAGGTGTTGCACGATAAAGTCCTGGATACCGGGAGATATCGTTCAAGACCACTGAGACATTCCAGCGAACAACCCAGGAAAGCACGTCTTCCTCTATAGTAGACTCTGTATGTTCGACTGATGATAGTAACCGCAGCCCAAATCGTCGCAGAAGGCTGCAAGAGATATCAAAGTGCACTTGTTCCACCGACCTGGTGTAATCTGGGAACACCATCGGGCTCCCGTCTTCATTTCTCGCCAGCGGGTGGGCAAGAAATGCATAGACGTGGTCTCTTGGATCTATGCAATCCAACAACGCACCGTGGTTGAGAAGATCGATAAAGGTAAGTGGATGCGCAGGCTGGGTCCAGTCATGCCAAGCTCTGTGGACAAGAAGCGATGGGATCGCGAACTGAAGAGCCCATGTCTGCCCTCCTTTCCACCTCATGACCTTGAGCATCTCGCGGTAGCTGAACTCGCAGCGGCCATAGAGAACCCGTGGGTCGCGAGCGAGGCCGACTTCTTGGATGACCCAGGCCCGGCGAAACCACGGAAGACTCATAAAGTTCGCGACACTTCGCCAGCGAGAGTCGTCCCGTAGTGGGTCGTCTTTCCTAAGGGCTGGAATATTGGGGTGCCGGCCCCAGAGGAACGCGAAGCCGTTAATGAGCGACGCGACATCCTTGTCCTCACCGGCATTGGGCGGGTTTCCCGTGCATATCAGGACCTTGCGCGAGTGGCTGAATATGATGCCCATCATGGCCACCTGCTGGCTGCGCTCGTGGAGATCGAGCTGGTTGATGCAGATCGCGTCGGCCCAGATCACTCGCGTCTGGTGAGGATCCCGCGTTCTCAGAAGCGCCCAATGCAGGTTGACGGTGATTTCAAATGGTTTTCCATCCAGAAGTATCGTGGCCTTCTGCTTCTGGTCACCCCAGACGTACGATAAAGCGTCGTAAGGTCGTGCAGACTGCGGCCGGCAGTGTTCAAGACGGACGGAAACGCTCAAGTCCTCGGGTAACCCAGGTTCCAAGACGAGCAGCCGCGTTTCCCCTTCCTTGAGAGGTTTGTAAATTTGTTGCTCCGTCATGTCTTCAATCTAATTACCAAAGCACCCCACAGGGTGCTCCTTGAAAATTTGAAATTCTAGGCCAGCAAACTTGAAGCGATCACAGATCTTGTTGTGATTCAGCTTCACCGGCTCGATGTTTGTACCCCACACCCAACGCCAAGCAATTTCTCAGCTGTACTGTGCCCGCAGTCCCTGGTCCTTGGTAGACGCTAAAAGCAATTAGGCAGGTTCAATAAAGGACATGGGTAGCTCAGTACTAACTAAGCCTCCCCGTCCAGCAGACATATCCCCAATTAAGACAGCTCGGCTGAGGTCGTTGTTGATGATAACCTCAGAATTCACAGAGGCTGACCTATACTTCAGTCACATTGAACTCCAATGGCTCCGTATTTTTACAATTACACGCCACTACTTCTTGACGCCGATCAGATCCGGCTGTTGACGCTGCTACCGGCAAGCCACGAGAGTGGAGAAATAGTCATCAGCTTGCGTAATATCCCCACGGGGGAAGCAGCGCGTCAGTACGAAGCTCTGTCATACGTATGGGGCCCCGAAGACGACCCGGAGACTATCAGTGTTGTTGCCTCTACCACGACCGGGACAGAGCAGGACGACGTGTCGTACTCATCAGATAGTGCGGCACCTCTTCACGTGACAGAGAATCTCGCCAGCGCAATGCGTCATCTCCGGTTGCAGGATGCTGCCCGTACACTCTGGATAGATGCCATTTGCATCGACCAGCAAAACGTGGCTGAAAGGAGCGAGCAGGTGGGCAAGATGGGGCAGATATACAGCTCAGCCACGCGGGTGCTGGTCTGGCTGGGGCCAGCATCGCTGGACAGCGACTTGGCCATGGGGCTTGTGGACCACCTTGGCAAGGTTTTGCGTTTCGATCCTCTATCTGGGACTTTCATGTCGACATCGGTTGGGGCGACCGAGCCTCACTGGGCTCATATCACTGAGCCACTTCCTTATGAGCTTCCTCAACTCTGTGCCTTGGAGAGTCTGTTCGCAAGGCCGTGGTTTGAGAGGCTATGGGTGGTCCAGGAAGTCCTCACGAGTACGGAAGCCATAGTGATTTGTGGTAGACAACAGACAAGTTGGCAATCTATCATCGTCACTGTGTGCTGTCTGGTTAGGAAGGACAGCAAAATGAGGCGAGAAGGGCGGACCTCTCGTCTCGTGCAAATCGATACTGTCTTCGACACAAGCTTGGATCACAGGCTCTTGCACCTGGTAGATCGCACACGGACGCTACAATGCACAGACGACAGAGACAGGATATATGCAGTACTAAGCCTCGCCAAGGATAAGGTGCAGATCAAGCCAGACTATTCCCTATGTACGATTAAGGTCTTTGGGGAGCTCGTTGTCCACGTGTTTAACCAGCGCAACGCGGCATTCCTTGCTTATTGCGATCTAGGCAGTCGAAGGCTTGATGGCCCCAGTTGAATCCCGGACTGGACTGCGGAACGCATGACACAGATGATCATCGATTGTAATGCGGCAAAATTCGCATCTCAACAAATCCGTGAGCTACCATCAGATGAATGCATCCAAGTCGCTGCCGTTCACGTTGGCAGGATTGTAGATATCGACAAAGTGTCGATTCCGTCGTTGAGCTCAAGCCTTATCATTGACGAGATTCTCCGCCTCTTACCGGTCGACGTCGAGTCCTCGACGTACAAAACTGGATGCAGCCTGCTAGAGGCATTCTCAGGCACCCCCGTATGCTCGGGCTTCAGACCGCGAGTGCCACACAGAACCGATTCCCTAACAGTACAAAAGAAGATGGATGCGGTTCGTGCCTGTTTGAGATACAGGGACGGGGCTGGCTTTGACCAAACCTGGGATAATCGCGTTTACCTTGGCGATGTCTACGCGGTTACAAAGAACAGAGCCTTGTTCAGGACAGAGGAAGGATACATAGGCCTGGCACCCTCTGAAGTGAAAGTGGGCGACACAATCCTTGCCGTTTTGTCCTGCGAGTCCTTTACAGTGATACGACCCGCCCCGGGATATGAAGGCCGCTTCAATGTGGTCGGAGAGGCCTTCCTGTACGGGTTGAATAACGCGGAGGCTGTGCTAGGGCCTCTGCCAGCGGATGTACGTGTCGAGGATCATTACCATTCCGAATCTCGTGGGTTCTACCCAGCATATCACGATACCAGGACAGGTGAAACGTCATGGATAGACCCACGCCTCGAGGCACTGGGCATCCCAAGCAGAACGAGTGCGAGAGGATTGCCTTTAGTCGTTGAAGGGGATGAGTTGGAAAGGGCGGGCATTCATTTGTCTCGGTTCGAACTAGTGTAGATGCATTTACCTTTCTGTTTGAAATGACAGTTGCCCAGTTTCATCATTCTTCGACCTTCTTCTTACGAGTTGCTATCCGGTCTCTGTCAGAAGACAGGCGGCCAGCGATATCGAAGACCCTAGGGTGGGTGACTCGCGGCGGGCATCTGGGTGCCCCGTGGGATTGCAGAAAAAATAAATTCAAATAGCACATCACGAGGTTTCTCCGTGTCGCATGTCCGTGGTGCTGGCCTTGTTAATATAGAATCATGAGTTCCAAAACAGGAGCTTCGCGATTACAGCTAATCGATTGCTGCCTTTTTCTTACCGCGCCCTGTCGAATAGAATAAATTATTGTAAAAGTTTTGATCATTCAGGAGATCATAGGAAAATCACGTTGTGTCGGACACGATGTGATTCACTAGAAACGGTTGCGCGTTCCTGGTCCGAGACATCATACCTGGGGGACGCACCGTCTATCACTCAACTAGTTAAAGCGTGTCTGACTAGTCTCTAGACGGCTACAACTGCATTCGTAACTTGGGCTTTGCCACTACAATCTTCTCTCGATCTGATGATCCCAATTCGACTTTTTCACTCTAGCTCCCAATGGCGAGGAGATTCCCATGAGTTTTGGTTTTAGTACCCTGACTGGCCCCAACCATCAAATCACGAACGCCGATCTCGTGAGACGTAGCCTCAGCCCGCCCCCTTCACGCGTTTTCTCCATTCTGAGTATATATAGGATGATTTAACTTGCTCATGTTCGGATATGGGCTGTCTCATGGAATGCTGGTTTTGCCTCTTTGCTCCGTCCAGTGCCAGTGCTTTCCACCGGGAGAGCTGAGTTGCTCGATTTCACTTAACGTTTTCCCTCTCTTTCTTTCAATATAATTTGGGTCACAATGGCCAGCATGAACTCATTCTCTTTGCATAGGATAGCCCTCTACCTTCCACTGCTCTGGAAGGCCAGCAGCGCATATGAGGGAACGGTGTGCGAATGGCCGACTGAGATCGAAAAATGTTTGGCCTGCCCGGCAAGCAACCCGGCCGATTTGAGTTGGGGGTCCGGTGGTTACGGTCTTGGACCTGATGGCCTGCCTTGTGTCGTCGAAGCAGGTCCCGATGGATGGCAAGGCTCGCCTCCCCCCGGACCTCCTCCAAACGGGGGGCAATATCCTTCAGGGCCACAAGGGCCGCCTGGGCCGCCGGGGCCGCCTGGACCGCCTGGGCCTCCTGGACCGCCCGGCGGCTCAGGTTGTCGTGTCTTCTCATTGACAGCGACGTGGACGATTGGAGCACCCGATGGAAACGGACGGGAAATGTTCATGATAAATAACCAGTTCCCGGGACCCAAACTTGAGATCAACGAGGGAGAATGCGTCGAGATTTACTTTCAGAACAGCTCTCCATTCAATACAAGCATTCACTTCCATGGTAGGCTGTTCCCAGTGTATTCTCGTCCAGTGATCATTCTTCGGATTAACACTTTTCCACAGGAATTGAACAATATCGCACGCCATGGTCCGACGGCGTACCTGGTATTACCCAGCGAGGTATCCGGCCAGGAGAAAAGTTTGTCTACAAATGGACAGCAACCCAATACGGATCCTACTGGTATCACTCACACCAAACGTCCCAAATTGATGACGGCTTCTTTGGTCCTATCGTGATCTATCCAGCCAAAACTCGGCAGACACCATACAGCCTAATATCGAGCGACCCCAATACGCTGAGCGCGATACAGAAGGCCGTTGACCGTGTACGCCCACTCATGCTATCTGACTGGAACAGGTACACGACCCAGCAACGTCTCGACTTCACCCTCAAATCGGGGATCATCGACGTGTGTTACGACTCATTGTTGTTTAACGGGAAAGGAAACCAGCGCTGCTACAGCCCGGCTGAGTTACAATCCGTCATTCAGCCGGCACAGAGGGGCGGGTTATCTGCAGTCAATGCCACTGGCCTCACCGCGAAAGGGTATTTTCCCCCTGAGAACCATGTTTTGTTCTACACAGTCGTCTAACACCAAAATTCCAGATGCCTTCCCGCGAGAACGATCTCTCTGCAGGCACCACGGGTGGTCAAGGACTTCTCCGCCTTACCGAGCGATGTATACGATGTCTGCACTCCTACAACAGGCTCTCGGGAGATCATTGACGTGGTCAAAGACGGAGACGGCGAGCAGTGGCTCGCTCTAGATCTCATTGCTACATTTGGAGTACTGGCCATCATGTTCTCCATCGACAGCCATCCGATGTGGATCTACGCCGTCGACGGCGCCTTTGTCGAGCCGATACCCGTGGACGCCATCCCGATCCAGAATGGGGCACGATTTTCCGTTCTCATTAAGCTGCAAGATTTCGGCAACTTCAACATGAGGGTGTCCTCGATCGGACCATCACAGTCCATCAGCAACTATGCTGTTCTCTCATACCACGACGTGGGCCAGCCAGCCCCAAACACGCCGTCTGTGGCATACATCAACGACATAGGAGCTAACACCACAGCGAGTGTGAGGTTCTTCTCACAGAGACTGATGAGGTCGTTCCCGCCAGCCCCTGTTTCGCAGACCGCCGATAGCACTTTCGTCCTTACCATGATCGTGGCCGGGCAGACGTACCTCTGGGCTCTGAACAACACGATTTATCCCCTGACACACCAGACGGAGAAGCCTCTACTCTTCAACCCACAGCCATATATAAGCAACAATGTGACCATCTCCACACTGAACAACACCTGGGTTGACCTCGTGTTCGTCACCTCGACCTTCCCACAGCCGCAACACCCGATGCACAAGCACGGCGGAAAGATGTTCATGATCGGCTCAGGAACCGGGCCGTTCCCCTGGGCCACGGTAGCCGAGGCGGCGGCGGCCCAACCGGCAAGCTTCAACTTCGTCAACCCTCCCAGGAGAGACACGTTCGCCACGGCTTCCACATCCAACAACACGGCGTGGTTGGCGGTCCGGTACTACAGCAACGACCCCGGAGCTTGGTTTTTGCACTGCCACCTTTCATCGCATCTTGACGGCGGCATGTCGGTGGCCATCCAGGATGGTGTGGATGTCTTCCCCACCGTGCCCGCCGAGTATCTGAACTTCTAAACTCGGGGTCATGATTTCAGCTTTACACCAGTGGTATTGGACAAACGAGTCTCAGCCAAGTTGATCATTTTGGTGTATGGTGTAATGGATGCCTAGAAGGCAAGGAAACTGGACATCAATTGGTGGAACTGTGAATAGTAATTACTGGTCATAATTGACCTTTCGAGTTTCAACTGGCCCCGTGAAGTATGTAGCCCTTTAGATAGCAGGCCATTTTGGCATAATCTTGAGCAGCCGAGGTATTTTGTGACTGTGCAGCCCCTGTCTTACTATTGAATCAAGATCAGGGAGAACATCCTGACAGCACACTCATGGCATGATAGAGATAGGTGGTTTCGTTTTTAATCCCCATACATGTAAAATGTACGTGGCGCCTTTATATAGTGGTAAACGCTCAAGACCCAGCGTTTAAAGAAATACAGTGCCAATAACAGTGGAAAGAGAATACAGTACCGTAATGGGACTCGCAGGCACCCTATAACTGTTGCGCACCTGCGCAATGGTTGTGTTCTATGTAATGGTTAGAGGTTTGCGTAATGGATAAGCTATTTTAGGTGTAAAAGTTATGTAACGCTTTAATAAAGTGGTTTGTTTGCTTCGGTGTGAAGTTTGGCTGAGAAGGAATTTACTTTTAAGGTTATTCTGACCTTTCTGACTGCCTTTTGGTTTGGTGTCTGGTGTTTGGCGTTTGGCGTTTGGCGTTTGGCGTTTGGCGTCTGGCCTGGTGTCTTCTGGTGAAGGTCTGATTACCTCTTCGTGCTTGCCTCTTCGTGCCTGCCTTCGCGACTGCCTTCGTGACTGCCTTTGTGATTCCTGAGTAAACTTGTACTGCCGTACCTATTGAAATCCCGTTATGTGACCTTTACACCTTAATTGAATAACTGTTGCGCACTGCGCAATCGTTGCGTATTAAGTAAGGCTTAAAAACGATGTAATTGTTGCGTGCCTGCGCAACTGTTATGGGGTGCTAAGGGGCCCCGGTACGGTACGTCTGTTGGTACGTGGCTGAGCCTCGTACCGTATGCATGATAGAGATAACTAACTACATTTGAGCACTAAAAAGCAACCCTAGTATTCAGGTATGGGGTATATATATATACCTTATAGCTGGCCAGACCTGCTGTACTACATAGTAGCGCTATGTGGGAAGAGAAGTAACCCCCCACCCCCGGTAAATTAAACTTCACATACACACCGCAAACAAATTATGATATACTTTCTAAATGTAACCTTAGTATAGTAAAAATTAGTATAAAAAGGATGAGGTTCTTCTAGGGTATCTTTCTATTTTTTTATGTTTTTATTTAAAAAAAAGAATTCCAATCCACAGGCCCGTGTAAAGAAATCTGTGTTTCAAAGTGGGGTTTAGAGGTCTTGTACTAATAAAGGGAAGTTTGTGGTGAGTGTTGGTGTGAATGTGAATTTGGCCCGGGGGAACCGACTCTACTTCGTTTTTCCCGGACCGCGAGTCGTCGTAGAATGCAGGGGTCGACCAGGGTCAACAGGAGTTAACCGCGGCACGCCGGGCGGGGGTTGGAGCCCGATGAGGAGGTGTACCGGGCGGAGTTGGACAGCCTCCGCCGGATGGTGCCGAGGTAGTATTGATTACGATCCCAAGGTTTGCGCTTTTCGAGATTGAGTTTTGCAGCGCCAGTCACCTATTCTATCTCGAAGCTGGATTGATATGCCATGGTATTTACGTACGGCAGGGTCATTTCAGGGTCCTCGACTGCTCAACGAGTCTCCCACACAATCAGTCTCATCACCCGCCAGTGCCATCACATCAAGAACAGTCGGAAAGAGTCCACGGTCCGTATCGCGGTATACTCCCCGAACTTGTGAATGTGCCCGAGACTCCCGTCCTGTGTCAGCCACCCTGAAGTTCACCTTGGCTTGGCATAACGATAGTGAAGTAACGCTGTCTATACTGCGATGAGAATTTTCCGGGTGCTCCGCGAATTTGTCATCTACCTAGGCGCGATATTCACAGACGGACCAAACTCGGACGACCATCTATGAATAGTCACGTGGTCACTCCAGGCTCGCATTGGCTCGATGCTGTTTGTTCCGAATCAACATCGGTTAGTCTGTCCAGCGCCCCGAACTCTCCCCTAGACGATTATAACAGCGCTTTAATATGTCTCCAGTAGACTGCTATCATAGTGAGCATAAGCCAGAAGAATTCACAAGCTGTTGACGGGAGGGGCGGCGGTACTGCTGGCCGGGGTGTAGCACTCCCTTGCCGCGGCAGGGCACGAATTCATGGATAGGGCGACGCCCAGCAGTCAACCTGTATTATTAAGCATCCGTAAATGGCAAAAGCGTCTACCGTCCCAGGGTTTCCATTGGCACCCGGTACTGTCCACGTACAAAGAGAAGGGCATTCTACTGCGCTCATGAGTTGCCCGCTCACCCCCCCCCCTCCCCCCAGGGGGATTGCTTACTAAATAAGAGTGCTTGTGTTCTTCTTCAGGCAGCTGCCAGCAGTGCGGATCGATTTTGAGATGTGTCACGTCTGTGGTTCTCGTCCCCTCTTTGGCATGACAAAAATTCTTGGCCCGTCCAAAAATGCTGGGCAAAGTCGGCAATTCGAAGTTTCCGGGGCGCCGATGAACCTGAGAATGGGGCTAATCAGCCGTTCTAGGCTATCTCAGCCGCAATTCTTAGATTAGCTGGTCCCCTGGGATCCGTCAGCAAGCACCGCTGACGCAATATGCCGGCGCCACCACTGTCGCTGAGTCGGTCACGCTGTCTAATACTCAAACCCGAATTCCGAAGGTGCTTTTTCCCTATGTATGGCTTTTCCTTTGCATGGCTTTTCCTCTGCTTCCACGATGTGGATCTCTTCTATTTCTCCCAAGACTATAATGTTGGGGAGTTTCGTTTCTAACCTCCAAATAATCCTTTAATTACAGCCTCTTTAAGCTGCTGGAGGAGCAACAGTCTTTCCTGCCTAATCACCTGGCTAACGACTTCTTGATAAAGTCACAGTTCTCGACCGGGACTGTTTCTGGTTCTTTAACCCTTCTCCCTCACATATCCCACAGCTGCAGGACGCTCAACATGGACGCCAAAGATGGTGGAGAGGACGTTGGCCCGAAGAAACTGTCATATTTTCGCACAGTCACCGATCAATCCGGAGTCACTGCAGAAGTACTCAACTACCCATATGCCGGCTCTGGCACCGAAAGCGACCCATACCTGATCCAGTGGATCCCACAAGACCCTCGAAACCCCATGCTATGGAGTAGGCAGAGAAGATGGTTCATCACAATGATAGTGTCCTTGACAACACTGGCAGTGTCCCTCCTGTCATCTGCCTACAGCGGAGGTATCCGACAGATCATGGAGGAGTTCAAGATCCCCCAGATAGTCGCCACTCTTGGTATTTCACTCTTCGTGGTCGGTTTTGCCATAGGACCGATCCTATGGGCTCCTCTCAGCGAGCTCTTCGGGCGGCAGAAGCTATTCATCGGCACGTACGCGATGCTGACGGCATTCAGCGCCGGCTGTCCCGGGGCGAACAACGCTCACACGTTGTTAATCCTTCGCTTCTTCGCAGGTGCATTCGGGTCGTCCCCACTCTCAAACTCGGGCGGCGTCATCGCCGACATGTTCCCGGCAGCTGAGAGGGGGTTGGCAATGGCATTGTTCGCAGCCGCCCCTTTCCTCGGTCCCGTTCTTGGCCCTATAATTGGAGGTTTCCTGGGCCAGGAAGCAGGCTGGCGGTGGGTCATGGGTTTCTTGGCCGCATTTTCGGGAACACTGTGGCTCCTGGGAACCGCTCTGCTTCCCGAGACCTACGCGCCATACATACTTCGACAACGAGCAGCAAAGATGTCCAAGATGACGGGAAAGAATTATGTGAGCAAGGCGGAACATGAACAAGGCAAAATCAACCTGGCAGAGTCGTTCAAGACTGCACTTCTGCGTCCGTGGATCCTGCTGTTCCGCGAGCCTATTGTTCTGCTTCTGTCGATCTACATGGCGATCATCTACGGAACCCTCTACATGCTCTTCGCAGCATTCCCCATCGTCTACCAACAAGGACGAGGGTGGTCCCCGGGAATTGGTGGCTTAGCATTCCTGGGTGTTATGGTCGGAATGATCTTCGCTGTCATCTATACGATTCCCGAAAACAACCGGTTTCAGCGAGTACAGGCCAGAAACGACGGGGTTGCACCCCCAGAAGCCCGTCTTCCCCCAGCAATGGTAGGAGGCATCGCCATTCCAATCGGTCTATTCTGGTTCGCCTGGACAAATCAACCCTCAATCCATTGGGTGGTTAGCATCCTCGCTGGTATTCCGTTTGGTTTTGGAATGGTTTTGCTGTTCAACAGCGTCATGAACTACCTCATCGACGCCTACACGATTTTCGCGGCGTCCGTTCTGGCCGCTAACGCGGTTATTCGCAGCTGCTTTGGGGCTGCGTTTCCACTTTTTGGGCCTTATATGTACGCCGGTCTTGGAACCAATTGGGCGTCGTCGGTCCCGGCTTTCCTGGCGCTTGCGTGTGTGCCTTTTCCATTCCTTTTCTACAAGTATGGACGCGCCATCCGCTCTCGGTGCAAGTTCGCAGCAGAGTCCGAGGCTTTCATGGCTCGGCTCCGAGAAACCGATTCTTCTGAATCAGAGGAAGAAGAATCCGAACAGTCAAACTCTTCAACGTCTGAAGTGAATAAGGAGGAGACTTTAGAGAGACAATCCCATTCAGAACAGAGAATGAGTCGACGACATTCCATGGCTAGTGGCGCAGCAGTCTCCACGCATCGTAGATCTTACGATGGTAACCCATATAACGTCGATAGGGTCAACACCAGGGAGTCTTTTCATGCAAAATAACGAGCGATAAACGTAACACATTTAGGGAAATCCAATATCTACACTGGAATCAGAGAAAAATGGAAACATGTAGCCAGTGTCGCTTGGAGTAGGCAGAAACAAAATAATTTGCATACATCTGTGTTCCCAACTGCTAAGACTGTGACATCCACATGGACTGGCCAACTAAGGCGGTGTCACGCAGAGACCCATTTGCTTGCCCGAGGCTACTTAATCCTCAGGGCAAGATGGCGGTCACGAATATTGGGTCCAAGATTTTTGACACTAGAAGGAGAGCCTAGGGGACATTTAATTACCTTGGTACCGATCAACCTACCGTTGTAAGAACTTGGAAATCCCTCATCAATTCTGTGGAGGGCCCTGCACCCCCGGTTTCAATGTGATCAATAACAATAATTGGCTGCAAACTTCATCCGTTCTATAGGACAGTTAAAGGTTCCCTGTATGTACGTAGGTAAAGACGGACACGAGCCCGGGAAGTCTGAAAGACACGTGGTTATACTTACTAGTTCAGGACCAAGCAGGTTCAACGGGGCTTTCTTTAAGGAACTTGGACATACGTAGGCAAGTAGCATCAGCTTCCTGCCGCAAAATTTAAGTCTTATCAAGGCAGCGGACAATGGCGGGCGTGCTATAGTACGTATTTGCTTGACCGAGTCGATAAACCCCTATCTTCCCCCTCGTCCAGTATCATAGCGAGGAGTATATTCTACAGTCAAGTAAAAAGACGATAATGTTGGATGATCTGTACTATTCCGGATGGTTAGTCTTGGAGCTCCTTTTCGTGATGGCTGCAGGGTCCTATCTGCGTTTTAAGTGGATGGAGATGGTAGGAGGACGTTGGGAGGCAGACAAATAACAGTCGCCTCTGGTGAGAACGCGGCGGACTAAAATTTGGAAATAATAGATGATAAAGAGTTTAGACCACTACGTGGCGTTGGCACCGCTGTGTCGATGCATATGCTTGATATCGCAAGACGCGTCATGTTGCTCGTTCAGTCTGTTGGTTCGTGGCGCTGCAATGTCCACTTGGCAGATGATATCGCACACCGTGACAGGGACATCCCAACCGGTGAAAATCCGGGGGCGCCAAGACTTTTAAATGGATCGGCAAGGGAAAGTGTACGCCCCGGCTCCGACCTCCAAAGTCCGAGTCGGCGTCACATCCACAATTTAACAATAAACCATATTTCTCAGCCTCAAACCCTTAACCTTTAGCCATATACGCTGATTATTAGCGCGAGAGCAACGGGGTAAATTTCTAGCTGCCAAAAGCCAACAATACCAAAGGACAGGCGCATGATCAACTCTTAGTGAAAGACTAAGACCTGTTAGTCCAAATCTTGAACCGAAATTGGTGCACGCTAGAAACAGTTGGCACAGGTCCTGCATTACGCTACGCCGATCTGAACGATGTTTAGCAAAAGTACTTAGGTTCGATTGGCCAAGCTTGTCCTTAGTCGTCAGCGCTGAAACAGAACTTGAACAGACACGAAGGATGGCGCGCTATGGCGTTGGGGCATATATGAGTTGGTTGATGGCACCCAACTTTTTCCAACGCTTCGAGCTCTCTCGAACTTTCAAGGACCTAGGTACGTAATCATACTAAGTGCCTAGGTCACTGTACACCTTAGTGAATATTTCACAGCTCGGTGAACAACACCTTGATGATAGTACCGGTAGTCGTACTTCATCAGAGCCAGGACCGCCTTCACTCAGAGAGCACGAGCCGACGAATTTCACATAATGGCTCCCACGAGGTCCAAATCGGTGCAGGCCCACCTCTCCGAGAGCGGAAGCAAGTTGCGGCCTATACTGACGAATTTAAACGGCGACAACTCCTGGCTTGTGTCATTTCCACTCCCAGAGAACGAGAGACAGGCCAACGGGAAGGCCTTCTTCCACATCGTCTCCGATCCATGGTTAACCGGCCCAGCGAGTGCATTCGGATCCTATTATGCAGCCAACGTCTCCCTTCCCCACCCTCCCGCCTACAAGAGTGGCGGTGAAGTTGAAGCCATCGCCTATGAGATTGAACAACTAGCCCGGGACACCGGACACACCTCGACGGCTCCGACTACTAGTAGCTGTGACAGTGTCATTGACCTCATCTCGATAGCCCATCAGAACACCGATCACAACCACGAGGATACCCTCAGGACCTTCCGGAGGAATATCCCAGTGGTAGCAGCCCCGGCTCCTGCGACAGCCATCCGGGCCATGAAACACTTCGAGACAGTGGTGGACTCAATGGAACTCGTTACCGGGACTCCTTCTTTTCAATCGCTGCACCCTGGGTCTTCCGTCCTGCCAGCCTGGCTCAGTATATTTGGGCTCACCGCGGCCTCCGTCGTGAACTTTGCCACTGCTTTCGTCTGGTCGCACCCTGAAAACGGCACCACAAAGCACGAAATCATTATTAATGCCCCTCATGGTATCAAAATTGGGGAGCCAAGCGTCCAGAAGTTTATTTCTCTCCTCAACCAGGACCACGACACAACAGTCTTGGCACTGCTACATAGCCTCAAGTCGAATTTCGCCCGGATCGGACAGTTCACGTTTGGCGTGCAGGGGGGACTTGAGCTGGAGAGACCGATGAGGCCGAATTACTGGATTATCACAGATAGCTCAAAGCTCATCTATGGGGGTGTCTTGTTTTGGTTATTAGGACCGTATGATGTGTTTCACACGATGGAATGGGCCCTTGAGAAGGAAGCCGAGAAGAATGGTGGGGTTCAAGGCAGGCGGCCAAACCACCTTGAGGTGGAAAATGGGGATTGGTTTGTGCTCAAGCAGTGATCTATGGAGGCCTTTTTTTTTCAATGTTTATTCTGCCATAATCGTCAAGCTACGCTATTCATAACCGAATATCACTCATTGGAGATACTCGCCCTCAACCCATTGACGAATCTCAATCAGTCCATTCCAGGTTGCGGCTTACCCGACCCACTTTGTGTGGCCGTTTGCTTAAGCGAGTTTTTGCCATTTGCTTGCCCTGAAGGACTTGCATTCTTTCCACATAGCCCGTGAGCCTACTCGAACGTCTCGAAACGATCCGCACATCCAACTGTATTATAAGAGTACAACAATATCCGACTCCTCTTCTCAGAAAGCCGCCAGCACACACAAGACGTATGCATGCAATCTCTCGCCGTTGCCTACTCCCCCGCTCGTTGGTCATAGCCCACTGTTCGCCCCAGGTGCCGTCAAGCTACAGCACCAGCCCCACGAGACTGAACAAAAATGGCCTCCAACGACCAGTTTGAAGCAGCAGCACCTACCTCTCAGCCTCGAGCCTCCAATCCATTCACGGTAGAACATGCCCACTGGTCTATGTACGATGACGATACCGGTCAGATACATCCTCACGAACCACTCGAACATTACGGCCCTGGGGGCTATCATCCAGTGGCCCTAGGGGACACATTTCAAGACGCTCGTTACACTGTTCTACGCAAATTAGGTCACGGAGGTTACTCTACCGTTTGGTTGGCGTCCGATAGTCAGGGTATCCAGTCCGGTGTACCGAGAAGAAGATTCGTTTCCATCAAAATCAAGAGGGCTTCATCCTCAAATATGGGTCTGTATGCTGATCCAGAAGTTGTCAAGTTGAGAGCCCTGGAGAACCACTATCTGAAAGGCCCACAAGACAATCCGAGATCGTTTGTTATGTTGCTCGACTGTTTCGTCCACAACGGCCCCAACGGAACACACAATTGCCTTGTCACAGAACTTCTGGGTCCTTCACTCAGTAATGTGATGCGTGTATATCGCGACCTTGAGCAAGTATTACGACCAGACACTATCCTGCGAGCTTCGAGACAAATTCTTGATGGCGTGCACTTCGCCCATCAAGCCGGATTTGCACACGGAGGTGAGAAATTATTCAATTCTGGACCCACGTAGACTAATCTCAAGCTGTTTACTGAATGCTTCATTAAATAGATATATCCGCAGCAAACATTGTCTTCACTTGCAACGCAATCCTGGATGACAAAGATGATGACCTCCTCGAAGTACTAGGTGATCTTTACGTAGCTAAAGCTAAGACGTCTCTTCCTTCGCCTCACGCTCCGAAAGAGCTAGTAGCGACGTCTCGATGGGGGCTCTGGAATGACGGGCCTGAAGAGGATATTCGGTTCATTGACTGGGGGGCAGCTTTCCCGGTAGATCAAACTGTGTCTCAGGAATTCATGCCTCAGCCCATCGACCTTCGCGCGCCCGAGACCTTTTTCAATGGCCATCTCACCTGCAAAATCGACTTGTGGCGAGCTGGCTGTGTGGTATGAATTCAAACTTCCTGCTTCCCTCACCTTACAATTTCCAGAAGCTCATTCGCTCACAGTGCTAAAACTCTAGTTATACAATCTATTTTACCAGGAGTCAATATTTGGTGCCCGTTACAATGACAGGCATTTCTTTCTCGAGCAGGTGATCAAGAAGGTGGGACCGCTTCCAGAGGATTGGCAGTCCAAGTTTGAAGAAATCCGACAGGAGAACAAGGATGCAGACGCTGATGGTAAGTTGGATGCTGTTCGACCTGGCGCCTTGAACACCTGCATTCAAACTTTGCCTGCCTTTGTGAGTATGCTGATGGCCCCCAAAACGCAGAAGCCAATACCCCGTGGGAGAAGTTCGCAGACACATTCGAAGATCGCCGCCAGAGCCTTTTCAAGACATATACCGACGACGACGAAGACGTTTCCTGGAAATACGAGCGAGACGACCACACGGAATACGATTTCGAGTGCCTAAAATCTATCCTTTTGCCTATGCAACAGCTGCTCCAACACGAGCCGGAGAAGCGCATTTCTGCGAAGGAAGCCGCTCACCTTATCGAGTGGACAGATCATCGCCGGGTGGGTGGCGAAATTTCAGTTCCAGTTGAGCATCAAGGTGAACTGGACCCAGAGTGTCGGGAGGATAACCAGTAGAAGCTAAACGCTCCGATATGTTGCGCGGAGTTTCAGTACTTCGCGGCCTGCATCCTGTGGATGGGTATCCTTGTTATGTTGACTGGGTGGAGGGGAGTTAAGATGCTGGCCACCATCCCTGCCAGTGAGGGCTGTGAGACACTTGCGGGGCATCAAGTCGAGAGCGATGCTTGACAAGTTGGCTGATGTATCTAGCATGTGTTATGGTAGCATTCTGAATGGTGCCACTATTTCGTATCCACATGAGTGAATTCAGACTTTAAACGTTGATAATAAGGAGCCGAATCTGATCTTTCGACACAACTGTCAACAACTCATCGAGACGAGGAGAGGCCGCTTTCCCTATGTGACCTCGTCCCAAAGGCAGGGAGACGCGGCTTCGTGCAGGGTACCTGCATGTGGGCCAGGTTGGCCACTCACCACACCCAGTACACTGAATGTAGTGCCATTGACTTGACAGCCGATCAAAGCACTGAAACAATTGAAATTGGTGCAGTTGCGACGAGATGCAGGTCAATATGTGCCTAGGTAGTTTACGTATGGAATCTTCCGCTAAATATTTACATCTTGCAATACCACGCAGAGAATCATTGACCACCAGGTCCGGATAGACTCAAAAGAGTGGATGCCGGAGCCTTCCCAGGATAGAATGTGGTAGGAACTGGGGGAATGGTGAATGATGCCGTACTAGGGAATGCGCTCTTGAGGTCATTCGGCATTGTCGATGCCGCGTAGGCCGGCGCCGTCTTGATAGTCGTGTAGCTTGCGGCATACGACGCACTGCCTGAATTGCGCAGACAGGCCCCAGTTCCATAAGCGCTCTGGCATACCCAGGTAACCTCATTGCTTCCATCGCTGGTCCAAAGGTTGACATTGTCAACGGTGAGGCCAGTGCAGGGCACAGAGTCATCGCACTGCAGCCTGATCGTAGGGCGCTTTGAATCACTGTTGTATCCGTGCCAGTTCCTGAATGTGAGGTTGCTCAGTTGGACGCCGGCCCCACCGCTGTCCTTGCCCCAGGCTTCGTTGACTGCCAAGACGTATGAGCCGCCGTTGTTGATGATGTTCTCCCAGGTGATCGAGTCCACCGTCCCGCTGCCGCCGTTTGTCTTTACATACGCTCCGTCTGCTTGATTCAAGTAGATGTTTTTGTATTGTACAGTGGAGATGTTCGTATCAAGACCGAGGGACCCAATCGCACATCCACCACTTATATTGCAGTGGACGTCCTCCACAAGAATGTTGTTGGCCGGTGACTTGATAGTGACACATTCGTCTCCGTTTGTGATCTCGACGTCGTGAACCCAGATATTGTTGCCCCAGATGTCAATGGCATCAGTCATCCCAACCGTGATGCCCCGTAGGATCATATTGTAGATTTCCCCATTGCTGGAACTGTCGAAAACCAAGTAGTATGAAGGTGAGTCGACCAAGGCGAAACCATGCATAGAGAAGTTCGTCACCCCCGTCAGGCGTATGAAGCGAGGGCCATAGTTTCCTTGCGAAAGGAATTGGTATCCGAAGCCCTGGATTGCGCCTTTGGAGTTGCCACTGAAGATTTCGAGGTCATCACAGCTTTGAAAAGAAATCATGTTGCCACCGTCGGTCCCGGTTCTTTGGATGATACCATCGAGCTGCAATGCTGCTCCCTGGCCACTTCTCAGGGACGCCCAGGTACTCATGGCAAAGGTACCTGGAGGTATATAGACCAGGCCGCCCTTCCTGCAGTCGACCCAGGCACTTGTGAGAGGTGGACCAAGATCTGTCTTTCCGTCGGCCACGGCACCGTAATCCAGGACATTGCAGACTTTCTTTGCTGCTTTACTCGCAAAGTCGGTGGTCGGCCCGACCTTGCCAGAGAGCTGGCCTCGCGCGAGGCAGCCCAGGAGGGCGACAGCAGTAATGATGGAGTGAAGCATGATTGAATAGTTAGGGTCAGAATGATAGTGTGATGTAGGAATGTCTCCCTAGTCACGCCAAGGAAAACGCCATTTCTATATTCTATCTGCTCGAAGTCTCAACAGGCATAGGGGCACAAAATTTGGATTGGCTCGGACTTGAACAAGATTAATCCATCACTCATCAGGTCCGCCTTTGTGCAATCACGCTGCAGTCCTTCCCCTGTAACACAATGAAAGTGCGCCTGGTTTAGTGGATGTAACGCGTACCCACCTCATTATAAAAGTTCCGGCGTCAAGCTCAGTCCTTCACTGAAGATTGATTAAGTACTTCAATGTGTTTGTAAATAGGGGGTAACATCATGCTAGGAGTTTGCCGTGAAAATCGCACTAGGTCCAAAGTCGCCTGACGCCCCGTGGAACGACATTACTCGGGCCGTGAACCCCCGCAAAAGTTAATATATCTGGCACCGGTGGCACGCTATATTCGGAGATCTGTGATTCAAGCTTTCCGGGTTGACTGTAGTGTAACATTCTACCACTAGGATGGTAAGGATATGTACGCGGTGTACCGACATCCAACGGCCAACAAAGGAAGGCACAAAACATCGCAAGTAAAGTAGTACGTCGCTTGTGTCCCACCCCTGTCTCTACCTACCTAGGTACCTGTTGCCATCTGTCTTTGACCAATCTTCCGAATAGGCAGACGGTGGGATTCGAATTTACAGAAAGAATTCAATGCTACCGCCCCTTCATATGCCCCCCGAGGTCTCAATTCTGCAAAGAAAGTAGCATTCCTCACCACGACTTGGAGAATGCCACGACACACGTGAGTAAGGGGGCCAAGCAAGTCCGATTCTATCGGTAATGTATTACCTCAATTCTTTCCAGCCATCCATACTACTGTTTAGACAAATTCCCGACGGAGCAATAGTATTTCCAAAACCCTGCAGCTGAAATGGCTACAGCTGGCGTCAATCGTCCCGGGGTCTTGACCTAGGACTTGGTTGCAAGGACAGTCCACCGGGTGAATGCCCACCAGGCTCCACGCTTGGTCTCCTCGACCACCTCGGCCATCAGGGATTGCAGAGCTTTTGCTACCTCTTGGTTCCCAGTCTGCCTCGCAACCAACTCGTGGATCATCAGACCACACTCATGCATTAAGAAGGCCATGTAGGGGGGTGCATCGCGAACATCGGAAATTGTATTCTTCAGACCAGCGTCCACAAACAGCTTCGGCATGTTTGGGACCCAGGTGGGAGCTAGCCGCGAGTCCTGGCTTTGGGACAACTCCAGGAGACGGCGCAATGAATCGGTCTTGGAAGCCGAGTCGACCGTCTCGATTCGGAAGGATGATACATCGGCCTCGCCCCATTGGAGATAGCCGCCGGGTTCTGCATTTCCCTTATCAGATCTTCGAGTATTGTAGTTTGCAGGGATTTTTTTCTACTCACTTAGCAGATCAACGACGTTGCGCAGAACGCGCGGAATATCTGGGTCCTGCAAAACAAAGGCGAAGTTGCGCACATGGACGATGTCGTATTGCCCAACCAAAGCACCGGGGGGGGGGGACCTTAATATCCCACTGCTGCAGCGTAACATTGGGCGGAAGAGACGCAGCAGGGGGTGTTGCATCCAACGATACATCTAGCCCATCGAGACGGACCGTGTCGGGCAATTTTTGAGCCAGATCCATCAGCCAGATACTGTCGATGAACCAGCTGTCAGCTCATTTGAGCACCCCAAAAGCCACGTCCAACTCCTTGCTCGACCGCTGTTCAAAGAGGATGGGGGCTGATCCTTTCAGTGTTGCACGATGGGAAGAAGAGGATACACACCCAGTTCCGGTGCCAACATCGGCAATTCTGACGGTCGAAGAAGCATCTATAGGAATGCTCGGATGAAGGTGGTAGCCAAAAAGCTGAACCCACATGTAGTGCTGTAGATTAATGCTATTACAAAACAGTCAGGTCCCATCTAGTATTGACGGTCAGGAGATACCAAAAGTCATTCTACGTAGTACAGACCGGTTATCGTCCCAGACATCTCTTGTGAACACATATTCTGGTGGTGAGGCCATGGTTTCGGTCAGGGGAGGCAAAGACGTGTAAATCTGTAACTGAAGATAAGTCTCAAGCATATGTCACCACAGAGCAGTTTATGTGGCCATGCCCTTCTTTACTTATGCTTGTGAGATAAAATGGCTTTCGAACTCTCCAATCTTGGTCCATCCGAATCTCAATCGACTGGCCAAACGAGCTCAAGTCATTGGTGTAGTCCAATCTGGCCTCCCTCAGATCCACATTTGCATGAAATAATGACACTGCCAACAGGACATGATAAGCAGATATTCCTGCCTGAAGCCTTCCGGGTCTTCCCTTTCTGACGTAATGTTGTTGGCCAACAGACCGATAGCAAATGCCGGGTTGCCACTGATGCACTACAATGTGTGCAGAAGTACCTCATTCTTCGTGTCCAAGACGTCGTTTCAACTATGTGAACTAAGTCAAACCCTGTTCGATCACACCACATACGCAAAATGTCTTCGCTATGTCCGGGATACTCCCGTCCTGCTGATTGCATCCATGCATGTGCACCCTACAGTTGGCCTTCGTATCACGCGCCGAACACCCGTGGACCGGCCATCCCTTCATGCAGTTGGTTCTGGTTACGAAATGCTCCCGCAGATGAAAAGTGGATTTTAACCTGTCACATGAATACTGTCTCCCAAGCCGTCAGGTAACAGAAATGTGGCACTCGGCAACGCCGAGAAAGAAACTGACCACGGGATCGTATAGATAATGTCCTGGTGGTATATTCCAGGGATCCGAGTATCATTGCTGGAGGTATGCATTTTTCACACGAATGGAATGAGCAAAAGCGGCACATTAGCCAATTAGGAAACGTGGAACAACCTAGAGATGAACAATGAAAAAGTCTATTCATCGAGAATGTCGATGTTACTAAGAAATGCGCCAGAAGCAAATTGAAAGAAGAGTCGGGAATACCAGTAGCAGCCGTGGGATGAAGTTACACTTCATCCCATTGAACGTAAGTGGCACCGGGCAGAGTATAATTAGCCACAAATTGGCCGATCTCACCAGTTGTACTGTTTCGCCGCATCACGACAACGCGGTTGTTGGCCATGCATGCAGCGGCAATGAGAGAGCCGTCCTTATTGGCCTGGATCTGGCGGGGGCTTTGGCACCCGACCGGGTAGAGGTTTACAAAAGAAAGCTCGCCTTCGTCGCCGACCTTGAACACGGCAAGAGAGTCGGATTGTTCGGAATCAGCGATGCTCGGGTCAAGGCTGGGGATGGTGAAGGAGTTGTCCAGGCGGTTGGAGACCGTGATATACCCACCTGAGAGAATGATCTCACCTGCCAAGGCCCCACTCGGAACAGCCTTGTTGCCAAAGGTGCTGACCTTACCAATTTCGGTCATGCTCATGCGGTTCTCACCATCGTAGGTGACATTAAAGGAGGTGATGTTGTTTGCCAGCTCACTCACCACGTGGAAGAAGGTGTCCTTTCCAGAAGTTTGGAAGACGCCGTGGCGAGGCCCCGAGCCAGGCTCGAGGCTCACGTCATCGAGTTGTGTGAACAGGTTAGAGGCGTTACGGAGGCTGAAGACATGCACGGAGTCATAGCCGAGGTCCGGGGCCACCATGAAGTTGCCAGTCGGGTCGAGAACGACCTGGTGGATGTGCGCTGCACTCTGGCGCTCTTTGTTGGGGCCTGAGACCGGGTAATGCACGGTCATATTGAACCGGTGCCGAAGGACTCCGTTATCCTTTATCGTGTATGCCGAGATTCCTGCGGGACCGGGCGGGCCTCCATCGGGTGAGCCGTAGTTCGCAAACGCGATGGCTGGCTGGTCTGATATATTGAAACGAGTACTGGCCACTGGAGCATAGGATGTGCCCATCTCCGTCAAAGCCTCCAAAACACCAGCTGTCGGAGAATTTACGGCGGGCACCCTGAAGATGCCTAGAGTGCCGGCTTCGTCGGAGCAGTACAAGATACTGTTGTTCTTATCGTGCTCAAGCCAGACAGGATTAGCGCCGCATTCTGTTGCGACGGAAACATTCTTGAGTGTGTAGCCGGACGCCGCGTTGGTCAACTCCAATGACGTGATGCCACCAGAATAGGATGCAGCATATAGAATCGCAGGGCTCGCAGCCGTCGTAGCCGCAGCCGCCGCAAGAGAAACGGCTGACATGTTGTAATACATATCGATTGAAAGTCGATACCGAAAGATTGCTATGGGAATGCGAGGGTGTTTTGTTTGAGTGTGTGGTGTTTCTGGATGCGTCGTAATGTTGATGTGTTTGGAATAGACACGGAGGGGGAGAGCAGACCTGATGTTGATATACACCATGTGTCTGAAGCTTGAACCAATCAGACGAACGAAAAGTACGAAGTTGGTAACAAAAGTTGAAATTGCCCTTTGTTGTTCTCAGTATGCTCTCACTTGATATCCGTTCATTAAGGCTGTCGGCGGATCCCGTGTTGTCCGTGTCATTGCATTGTTAGGATGTGCAAACGGCAGGCTGATCCTTTAACTGATTATAATTCGATAGCGGGCAGAACTTCGGCACAAGTTATGAATGGAACAAGGCAGTGAAACCTGCCATTATATCCCTCCAACCAACGCGTCTCCTCACTCAAGCAAGGTGCTGTGTTAAAATTTGCTGTTACATGAATGATTTCCTTTGTGACCCAAGACATCGAAATCTGCATGACACTTGTGCCTATATTCAAGGTCATGAAAGCAAATTCAAATGACTTGCAAAACCGAGGTAGACCTGAATCCGGCCTTTGTCTTCAGGGAAAAAGGTTCATATCGGCGCGGGTGTGATACAGTAGGGCGGAGGCGACTCTGCCTTGATTTCTGACTTCAAACTAGCGCTCAATAACTAGCATCGTTTCTATTCTGTATACGTTCAAAACCATGCATGGCGCCTCCGTACAGTGGTAAATGCTCAACACTGAAAGACTGACCCTCAACAATTTCAGTGAGAGGCAATGCAGAGATCTGTTGTCATGTACTCCAGAACTAAGTAGATAAACTACCCCATACACTGAAAATGTCATTCCGGGTGGGTTGAGTGCGCATCAAACGAACGTCTGTAAGGATGGTGAATAGAACCCGCTTCACAGCCACAGCCTTCCCCTTCCTTATTATATCCCACCTGAGATAGAGACAGAAGAAGAATAATATCCATGCTTCCATGGCTGAAGAATTTAGCAGTCTTGCGGAACTATATCATCAACAGGATCCATCTTTGTTGATAACAAGAAGACGGCGAAAGTTATGCATGAGAATCAAGGTCGTCGGGCGGCGACGCATTGACCCGCGACTGGAAGGTGACACAAGATAATCTCACGTCAGAAATGATATCACAGACCAAGCATATTTGATTTGCAGATATAGCTATCCTCGCAAAGCATTGCCAGATCTTGCATGCGATACGACACATCCGGACGATGTTGAAGTTTAACTAGTACAATTACGGTGAAATACATATGTAGGTGGGCCTTGAGTGCGGGGCTTGGTTGAGTGTAATGGCTGTGTGTGCACATAAATGACAGCGGACATGTGCCTCGATTGTCAACAAGCAAGACCAAATGTTTCACCCGTCAGTGTTTACCCTTATATCATCATGTTGTCTGTCTACTATATTTCGCTCCTGGCGTTTGTGTTGTACCGCGCTTTGAAGGTAGTCTATAACCTGTATTTCCACCCTTTGGCCAAATTTCCTGGGCCTAAGCTCGCCGCCGCATCGCACTTGTATGAGTTCTACTGGTTGGTGGTTCGGGATGGAGAGTTTATCTGGGCGTTAGAGAGGATGCATAAAAAATATGGTGCGTGCGTCGGGCAAACCATCCCAAATTTTCGTAGTGAATTGACCGTCGGTAGGCCCCATTGTGCGGATCACGCCTCGCGAGCTTCATATCAGTGATCCTTCGTTCTACAATGAGATATACGCCGGTAACCCAAAAAGGGTGGATGGTGACTATCGATTCACACGATCCCTCGGTACCACGAATTCTATGTTCGCAGCTGTCGACCATGACCTACACCAGGCACGCCGCAACAGCCTGAGTCAATTCTTTTCAAAGCGGTCGATCACCAATATTCAGCCCCTAATCCAAGACAAAGCGGAGCGAGTCATCGAGAAGCTTCGAGAGGCATCTCACAGCGGGTCTGTGGTCAACTTAAACATCCTGAACTCGGCGTTTACTGCCGACACTATCTCGCATTATTCGTTCGGGGTTTCCATGGGTTGTTTGGATGGGGACGGGTCTGAGAACCTCCTGAAGGATGCAACGCAAGCAGTGCTAGCTTTGAGCCACTGGCTTAAGTTTCTGCCCATTAGATTCACAAACGCCAAGAAGGTCCCTCCTTCTATCGTGGGGCGCTTCTCCCCCAAGACAGCTGTTATCTTGAAGACTCACCGCACCATCCGCTCAATGGCCGTTAGTCTCACTGTTCTCCTGTTACGGATTCCCGTCTTTCATATTTGGGAATCTTTTACGAGGCAATACCTTGGGATTCTTACCAGCGCTAACCTCACCATTAGTTGGAAGTGCTCAATGCCAAGGAGCCCAAAGCTCCTAACGAGAACATGTTTGCGGCGCTTGCGGACCCCACGCTTCCAGCCGAGGAACGAACCCTTGGGCGCCTAGAAGACGAAGGATTTGTGTTTCTGGCTGCCGGAACAGAGACTACAGCCTGGAGCCTCAGCGTTACCATGTTCTATCTGTTAGACAGCCCTGGCATCTTCTCGGCACTCTATAAAGAAATTGAGGAGGTTATGCCGAACACAACGGAGTGTCCTCCCTTGGCAACTCTTGAGAATCTGCCGTTATTAGTAAGACCCTGGTTGTCAACGCAATTCATTTTTGATCAGATGGCGTCAATTTCGACTAACCACTTCGAACAGCGAGGTGTCATTAATGAGGGCCTCCGTTTGTCTCTGGGTACATTATCACGTCATCCTCGCATCGCACCAGACAGAGTATTGCAGTACAAGGACTGGATTATTCCTTCAGGAGTAAGTCCGCCCTCTCCCTGCATGTTCCTAACGACAGGTGATTCTATAATCGCGAAAATATAATCACTGATACCACTAGCAGACTCCATGCAGCACTGTCACTTACTTCATCCATATCAACCCAGAGCTGTTTCCAGACCCTTGGTCGTTTGATCCATATCGCTGGATACGGGCTGCCGAGCAGGGTGTACACCTCGAAAGCTATATTTCGCTGTTCACAAAAGGAACCAGGTCGTGCCTTGGAATCAAGTATGTCATACAAATCAGTCGATCAAACGCACTGGCATAGTACACTAACACACGGTGAAATTACAGCCTGGCCACAGCAGAAATGTATATACTCATTGCCAATATGGTCCGACGTGTCAAGATGAGATTATCAGAAGCTACTACAATAGACTGCGTTCTGCCGGCGAAAGACCACACCGTTGTGGTGCCAAAGAAGACTACTGGTATTCAAGTCACTGTGCTAGGAATGAACAATGCGTAGAGCGATACATAGACTGTGATTTGCGTTGGATACGTAAGTAGTTACCCGTGGGTAAACCATATCGACCAAGAGGGCTGGCTGGCTGAGCGTGTATACATTGTACATGTGTCCTTACTCACTCATATACTTATATGTTGGTTGCATGTAGTAAGATTGATTACACAATATTTAGTACACATTGTATACTATAGTGTTGTGAATGAGGCCTAACTGATAATGTCCCAACAACATTTAATTCTATTATGATTGCTGATATCCAATAATGACAAATCATTCAAGAAATAAATCGCCTAGCATACGGGTCAACATCAATGACCACGCAATCATCTAGCATGTGTCCATTCCTCACCGAATACACCTCCCGAATGACTCTGAAGTCTTCCTCATGGAAATTCAGCAGGCTGTGATAAGGAGTGCACATGATGGTGTTCCGATCGTCATCCGTCGTCCCAGGCCACAATTTTGACGGTGCCTCTTTCTCCCCATCGTCAGACCCCGCGTGCCAGTGGCGGAAGCCCAAGATGTGTGTGAACTCGTGCGCGAGGACACGGCGAATTTTGGATAAATTTCCAAATCTGTACGCCGAATACATCAGACTAGAGGAAACGAGTACCTGCCTGTCCCTGGGCAGGTCACTAGGGAAGAAGAACTGGGCAAGGATGCCCTTGGCGAGGGTGCGGCCACAGCGGATGCTGAAGACCTCATGACCAGGAGTAGAAGTGTAGACAAAGGTGATGCCCAGCCGCTGCCCCGTGAACACCTCGGCCACCTTGCGCGCATCACAAATGAGGAGCAAGATGTCCTCTTCCGGTATGTCTGCGTCCAAGAAGCTGCGCACATCCACGCTGAAACGGATCTTACGATCGCGAGGCATGAGGCGGTGGATTTCGCGATTGGTGAGATTCATGCGAGCCTGCCGCTCGGCACTTAATACCAACACCGTGTTGGGGTGTGTATGTACCGGCTCCTCTATGCCAAACCCCGGTGTTCCAAATGGAATTCCGAAAAAGTCGTAGTCTGGGGCTGCCGCGTCGCGTTGCTTGACCCTGTCGGGGGGTGGATCTCTCCACGTTCCAGTCTGGTTGAAGCTAGAACTGACGTTGACACCCGATCCCAGTAGTCTATCGACAAGTGGTCCATCAGAGTGGATGAATGGAGCTATGTTTGATATGGTGCTCCCGAAGATGGTAGACTTGCTTCTGGCGGAACTGCCAACATCCCCAGAACACTGAGGCTGGAGGTTGAGTTTCAGGTCCCAACAGAAGGTGACGTGACAGACCTCCGAGTCTGACTGTTTGTGCGGGTGGGCTATGATTTCTTACATACTAAGCACCTTTTGATGGACTCGTGCCGTGGGAATGCATTGCATTGTGGGTGGCATGGTTGAGTAGTGCTGTGCAGCAAGGGATTGTGGACTGTATGAGAATTTCGCAGACTCCAGGTCGGGTAACCAGAAGCCACACCAACGAGATAGTAACCAGGTTCAAGCTGTATGCGTGGTGGTCACAGCAGACGGATGTGTGGCCGTGGATATCAAGTGGCAGGATATAGACGGGGAGTGTTCTGGGCTGCTCCGAACCGTATCGGTGCCTTTGAGACTGGATCCTGATTGAGTGATGGTGTGTGAGGCTTCGTGAAGGTGAGGCAGAAAGAGAATAAAAACTCGGTAAAGTATTGGAAAGATTGAAGATGGAAGCTTGGAGGGGGTCGAGAGCATAGGGTTAAATAGAAAAGAGCTCGGCCCGTCTGGTTGCTAGATGGGGGGCACGAAGCATCAAATCGGACGAACAGCCACCTCACCATGTCATGAAGCTGGAATGGACCCAATCACAGCCTCCATCGGTAAACAAGTGACTTTCCAGCCCATACAAATGACATGGTGTTGGAGGTATCAAAAAGTGTGGTTGGAGCCTGCCCCGGCCACTCAGAGCTGCAGATTACCCCCTGCAATTGCTTACAGCATAGCCCCGGGGACTTGCATCAGACGGAAGGAGTCAGGCCAAGTAAAGCGAGAGATCTTTGACCTGTACTTGCAATGCCTGGCCATGCAAGGTCAAGCCATAGAAGACCTTACTGATCGAACGGAACTCTCTTGCATGGTTTCGACAGAGTGCGTAACGGCTGGTGGACCAAATGAACAAACACCCTTTCCCATCCGGGACAGAAACATAACAGAAGCGCAGTGAGGCCGTCTTCCTGGCACTAATCAACCAGAACTTAGATAAGCAGACTGCCTGGACCTCTGCTCTGCTCCATTCACATCTGCTGTACTTGTAACCATCATCGTCTGGACGTACGTAGTGTTGAGGGAAGTCAGCTTTGAGAAATCTCACCCTGTACACCGCGGTTGTCTTCGTCAGGTTTCAGATCCCGGTGTTCCAGCAAAGGTGTTAGGTCAATGGACTGTCACGGTTGCTAGAAAAGCCATGAAGTAGTCAGTCTTGAGTTCCAAGTCTTCCGAGGTCCGCTTCCCTTCAGTTGCCAGTGCCAAATGAGAAAGAGGCTCTGCAAGCATGTGTCACTAGTAGATAATTGCCAGACATCCCATGTTAGATGTCAGTCAGAATATGGATATGCATACAAGCTACACTTGTCAACTTGAAGTTGGTAACCGATGGAATCCCTGGGCTTACCTATCTCTACACCATGCACTTATGCACTATTTCATTTTGAAATATCCTGCAAGTAGGGGGGGTATCCTAAATTGAATATATCTTCCATCTGTCCATCTGTCCATCCCCTCTTAAACCAGACAGAGTAATGATATATGTAACAAGTAGCCCTGCACATACCATGCCAAAACCCCACCCACCAAGAGGGCAGCCCAAATAAGCACAAGTATAGAAAGGCTACCAAATCCTGTCAGTGCTTGTGTTGTATTGTGTTGTGCTGTGCTGTCTGCAATAGTATACACACGTATAGAGAAAACAACCGCCCACATAATTGTAGGAAAGCAGGGTGGCCTGGCAATACTAACACAAGCAGAATAGATAGGTCTGAACAGCACCAGCACATCAGCACAACACGGACCAAAACCTACCTAACCAAATAAGTATCCCCCAGCACTGCCTGACTGCCTGCCTGCCACAACAAACACCACACAAAAGTATCTCTCTCCCCCAAAGCTCTTCAAGCGGGTGTGCCAAAACAGCACAGTCTTGAGCTTGAGCGTTTACCTCTGCATGAAGGTGCCATGTATGTCTTCGAACGTATATGGAATAGAAGCGAAACCAGGCAGTACAACAGCACGTGGGATCGGCCACACATAGCAGCTCAAATCATTCAACGGCACACACACACACACACACACCCTGCGGCAGCCACGGAGTAAGCAAGTCACCAAACAGGACTCACTCAGATGGAACCACCACCACCAGCAGGCAATCACTCAAATAAATTACTCAGGTCAAAGCGCATAGTTAAAATTTGAACCTATGTAGGTAGAGGCAGGCAGGCAGGCAGTAGGCAGGCAGTAACTAAGGCTATGATCCACCACCCACCATCCACCACCATCACCATCCACCGCCATCAATGGATCCTTCCTACCAACCACTCCCACCCACTCACACAGGCGTAGCAGGAGCCTTGTGCTTCTCCATGGGCTTCCCACCACCACCACCGGCACCACCGGCCCCAGCACCACCACCAGCCATCCACGAAAACGCAGACGCCCCTCCCACCGGGTTCGACCGCGTGGCAGGCGCCTTGGGCTTGCTTTCCTTGTCCACAGAAGCGGCAGACGTCGGGGTCGGCGGCGGCGGCGCCCCGCCCACATGCACCGTGCTGCTGCTACCAGGCGCGGCGGCACTGACGCTGCGCCGGACATTGTCCCAGCGCACGGGCGCCGGCGCGGAGGAGGAAGTGCCGTTCTGCTGGTGGTGGTGGTCGAACGCGGCGCCCTGGCTCTTGCGCCGGCTGAACTCGCCGCTCGGCCGGGACGCGGCCGCTGCTAGCTGGTCGACGAGCCCCCCTGCCCCCGTGCCGTTGCGGGTCGCCGCCGCCGAGGAGGACGAGGATATCGAGACCGACTTCTGGGGCTTGAGGATCTTCATGTTGCGCCCGCCCCTGCCTGCCGGCTGGTACCCGCTCAGCCCGTTCTCGCCGCGATGGGCGGCAGCGTCGCCGCCGGCGCCGCCGGCCGATGCGCCCCCCTGCCGCCAGGATCCCCATATGCCTGCCGTGGAGTCCCGCCGTGCAGTTCCTCCTGCGTCAGAGCCTGCGGTGTTGTTTTCCTTGCCGCCGCTGCTTTCGTCTGCGCCCTCTACGCCGCCGGAAGCAGTGCCCCTCTGTTGTGGTCGCTCGCTGCCGCTATCAGACGGGACGCTGGTAGCCGTGTTCTTTGACGAGTAAGCCTGCTGATTTGTGCTCGACGAGAAGGGGCTCGTGATTTCAGACTCGCCCACATCGGTTTGAGAGGCAGACGTCTCTGCCTGGTCAGGGACGACCGCCCCCATCTGCGGACGAGCGTCGCCAGACACGAAGGCTGGTGCGCTGGCATTGAGCTTTGGCTTGTCCGGCACGACGTTGAGCGTGGTGATGTGCTTATACGTAGCCTCATCTTCAGGGCGCACAAAGGGCACGGAGAGTCTATCACGATCACCACCGTTGCCAAAGAGTGTCATCCGATTCTGGGACAGGAGCAGGTCGGCACTGTTCGCGGTCAGGGTGTCACTGCCGACGAAGATGCGAATTCCTTGCTTCTGGTCACCCGCCTCGGCGTTTTCCCCTGTGATCTCGAAGTCCACATTGATGTAAGGAACCTGTCGGCGAGACGGACTGGAGGACCGGGAGCTTGACTGGGCCACGGTGGCCTCTGCAAAGTAAACGGGAAGACTGGCGTGCAGGACACCATTGATGTTTCTGTGAGCCTCGTTCACAAGATTCAACTCGTGCAGCAGCGAGTAGTCAAGGGTCGATTTCTGCGACCCGGTGCAAACAACCGCGTATTGGAGCGTATCATGTGCGTACTGGGTTGTGAGCCAGCACCGGACAATGGACGGGACGGGCCCTAGAAACATCAGGCCTGGGGGCGGCCGGGTGATCTCAATTGGCGAAGAGTCATCATCATCGTCATCCCTGCTGCTGCCCAGGAGCAAGTCAAGACCGAGACTACTAGTCCTGCCGGAGGCCACCGAGTGGAATGAATGGACCGAATGACCCGCCGAGCTATGTCGTCCATCGGACTTGTGAGAGAATGACCGTTCCATCAAGGTCGGCCCTCCCAGACCACTTCCAGGCCTGGCAGGACCGAATTCGCCGGAGTGACGCGCACTCTGACCCCAATTGGACGAGTGAAGAGTGGCCTCATCAAAGCGGACACTATTTGCCCTTGAGGCAGCGCCCCGACGGGTGGGCTCCTCGTCTGCATCCAGGTGAAGCGAGCCCAGGAGGTTCTGACCCTGCTCATCGTCGAAGTCGTCGAAGACCTCGTTGTTGGGCATCTGCACTGGCCCTATGGTCTGTGTCAGCACCGAAGCCCTAGACTGAGTGAAAGGCAATTACTTGTAGGCAAAGAAAGGCTTACCGTGCTGGGGCGTCCCCCCCAGTACGCTTGGGAAGGGAGAGGGGTTCCAGACGGACTTGACGGCATCCTCGGTCTGGCGTCTCTCGAGCCTCATCAGCCTCTCGGCATGGCTGGCCTGGATGAACTGGACCTGCTTCACTTCCATCTGCACATTGTGGAGTTCTTGGTGGAGCTGAGGGGTCAGGCGAGAATCCATGCCAGAATGGAGCAGGTCGGGCGGGTGATGGGCTCTGGAGACTGCCGTCCGGTCGAGCGAGGCAAGGGAGGCGGCGATGAACGGACGAGGCCAGCAACTGCGTCGCTTAAGGAAGAGAGCCGGTGTGTTTGTTGAGGTCCTCGGTGTTCTCCCGTTACGCGTGCGTGCACAACCGAGACCGACGTGTTAGCCAGCCCAGAGGAGCCGCCCCCAGAGGGTGTCGTTTGCGACCTCGATCGTCGAGAATCAGACCACTAGACTGTACGCCCCCCACATCGCACGCAAAGACCAGTAGGTCTTTTCTGCGATGTGTCCTGCCGGGCGTTGGGGGGTATTGGTAGCAGCAATGTTGGCTCTGTTGTGGCGTACGCAGCAGCACTGACGCAGAGGCAGGGTTGGTCGGGGGTTGCGTTCGCGTGTAAGCCGGGAGAGCTGTGGGCAGCACTGGGAACGCGAACGTCGGCAGGGTGGGTTGAGCGGCGGGAGGCAGCGTCGGTCTTGTATCTACTAGTGCTGGGGTCGTCTGCCTGAGTTGTAATCTGGCTCGGGAATTGTTAAATGGATCCGAAGATGGCCGCCTGGGGCCTGTTGTTGCTATTCACGGCGGAGTGGCCAGGCGGGAAATCCTGTGCAGCGTTCCTTCGAGGGGGCACAGACACGTTGGAGCTTCTTGGTGCACGGTGTGGATGTTTCGACGGAAGGGACAGACCGAGGCGAGGTGGCAAAGGCACAGCTGCAGCGGCGATGTTCGTGTTCGGATGGTGGGCTGGGTCTGGTCGTCGTGGTCTGGTGGTTGAGTTTCGTTGACGGAAAGGGACGGCGAGTTGTGGTGGACGTTGAGGGGGAGCCTGTTCGAGGGCAAGGGCGGGAGAGGGACAGACAGCAAGGGCGGAAGTTTGGCTCGGGCAGGACACGACAGACCAGGTGCGATCGACAGGTCAGAAGAAACAAGGTTGGACTAGTATGTAAGATAAGGAGTCGGTAATCACTCGCTGGTTGAGACGGAGTTTTGTTTTGGGAGGAAGGCCAGGCAGGCAGAGAGGCGAGGAGATGGTCTACTGCAGGTTGCTGATGATGATGATGATGCGTGGCATGCAGTGCGGTCGGGCAATTTGGGGGAAGGCTGGAATGGAGGTTGGAGGCTGTGCGATGATGATGTGTGTGATTTATTATCGATTGCATGATCCCAGCCAGGTCGGTCAGGTCGGTCTGGCCTGCCCTGCCACAGTAAGGAACCACCTAGACAGTACCACCTACTCCAACAGCACTTTCTGCCAGACACGAGTACGGAGCACCTACATATGCGTGCAGGTGCGTGTGTACGGGTTGACGGAGTACGTACCACGGCCGCCAAGCCAGTCCCGTTCTCGATTTAGTTACGGATGCCCGACGGAGCGAATCGCTTATCTAAGCTGCCTCCCCGCCAGCCCGCCCGTCTGGTCTTGTTTCCGTCTCCAGGTTTCCGTCTGATGTTCCCCATGCCGGTCTGACAAGGAGGGGGGGACGGCAACGGGGGGCAAAAGCTGGAGATCCAAGACACCGGAAAGGCTGCTTCACGTTTGACCGTAAATTAGCACGTATGGAATGTTCAAAAATAAACCGTCTCTTTTTTGCTCTGTCTCTCTCTATGCCGCTCAACTCACCACTGTGTTGCTTGCTTGATGACCATGCTTTGTCTGCTTTGCCACGCATGTAGACCAGACCAGACTTTGCGCATGTTCATATGTATATGCTCGCTTGCTCACAGCCTACACACACTCTCTCTCAACAAACACCATTGAACTCCATCCATCCATCCATCCATCCACCCCCAGACCTGTGTAGGCGTTCCCCATACCGACTCTTTCTCGCGATGAACCTGCCTGGACCAAAGAAACGAGGGTACAAAAATAAGAGGAAAAATAACAAGAGAGCAAGGCAAAAGACAGACCAAGAAAAGCAGAGCATGTCTCTCCCCTCCCTCACTTGCTCGAGCTCTTCTCCAGGACAGACATCCCCGGCTCCGACCACGGCGCATCCCTCCAGACAGGCCACGCATAGCCCACAGTATCCGCATTGGGGAACCGCGGCTCGATCTCGGGCTCGACCAGCCCCCAGAGCACGCGGTACGCCTCCCCGCTCATGTGCAGGCCGTCGGGCAGCAGCTTCTCGAGGTGCCCCCGCCGCCCGCCCGCCGCCGACCCCAGCGGCGGCTGCGACGCGTCCCACCCGGGCGTGTTGGCCACGGCGTGGTCCATGAGCGCCTTGGCCAGGTCGACGCACACCACCCCCAGCTCCGCCGCGACCTCCCTCGCCGCCGCCGAGTACGCCGCGCTGCGCGCCTGCTCCCGCGTCGCCCGCCCGTGCTGCGCCACGTCCACCTCGGTCCGCCGGATCTCGTCCAGCGGCGGCGGCGTCACCAGCAGCACCTTGCACCCGTGCGCCGCCACGCGGGGGTGGCTCGCCAGCCGCGCCAGGTTCGCCTTGTACTGCTCCAGCGGCACGTGCTGGTTGTCGTCGTCCAGCGGCAGCGCCGCGTCGTTGGCGCCGAGGAGGATGACCTGTTGTGTGTGAGCGTGAGCAGATGGTGCGTGAGTCAAGTTTGCCTGTCTAGCTCTTAGGTTGGTAGGTAAGGCAGGCAGGCAGGTATATTTTCTGTGATGACCATTGATCCTCATCATCTTCTCCCTGAGCCTTCACCATCTGTGGGGTTTGCCGTGTGGTACAAGGCAAGCAGGCAGGCGGGCAGGCGGGCGGGCTGTTGGTTCATGGGGGACCTTGCCGGGCTTACCAGGTACTTCATGTCAGGCGTGCCGGGGCCCGGCTCCGGGAAGAGTTGTTCGAAAATGTGCAGGGCCTGGGACGTGTTATATCCCGAGAACCCCCGATTAACGACATCATACCGACGGAGGCAATCTGTCAAAGTTTCCCGGGTCAGCAACCCGAGTGTAACATCGGAGGTCGGTCTGGAGTGAGAGGCTCCGCTGGTTGGTTTGGGGGGGGGGGGAGACAAACGTTTCTGGAGGGCGGCGTAGAAGGAGAAGCCATCCTGGACGTCGACGCAGCCCTCGAACAGCGAGTCACCAAATAGGACGACCTGGGGATACGCTGCCTGGAATTCTCATCTGTGAGTGAAAAACGTTTCTGTGTGATGCGATGCTGTCGGAGATAAATTGCATACCGCCATTGTGGACCGAGTGGCTGATCGTTTCCCGTGATTTCGCTTTGACCGGACACTGAACGTTATAAACTCCTCGCCCAAAATCCAAAACTCCGCAGAAGCAAGGAACCCAAGAATGAACGAAGCAAGGCACTCCGTAGAAACAGGTCGGGCGGCGCTTTGTGGTCTTGTGATAAAATTTATGCAAATGACGTCCTGAAGCGTGGGGGGGGGGGATGTCAAGAGAGATATATATATGTTTTGAGAACGCCGCATGTGCTGTGCTGGCTGGGCCTTAGATGACAAAAGAAAAGGGTAGCGTGAGTTTAGATAGAGCCCCGGCACGAAGTCTGGTCTGGCGCAGACACAACCGCTCGGGTAGCGTGAGTTCGTGGCCGAAGCGAAGGAACCCCACTCACATCACACACATCACACACACACATACACCGCAATCTCTTAACGAACTACTTACAACAGCACCAAGTTACGAACCGGGGGGCCGGGGCTGGTCTGGTCTGTCCTACATCGCGCCCTCCGACCCAGCCCGACGTTAGCCCCAAACCGAACACATGGGTTCGATGAGAGCCAGTAGGCGGCAGGGAGAGAGTGACCGGGGAAGAAAACAAATCAAAATCAAAATCAAAAAGGGCAAATAAAAGAAGCAGGAGCCAGGGGGGCAAGGGGGGTGTGTGTGTTCCGAGGACCCGTTGGGGAGGGTCAAAACAAAACAAAAAAAAAAAAAAAAGAACGTTGGCAGGTCGGTCAGGACTCCGTTGCACATACCGGCCCAGGATCTCACGATATGCCGGAGCAGGTCACAGCGGTTGCATGGTTCCCATAACCCGGCAGCAACCCACGATTCGCGACCCCTTCCTTCCGCGTGGGCGATCATACCGTCAACAGGCCGGCTGCGTGGCCCTGCCAGCCAGCCCATGGGAGGCCAAGCCGGCGGGCCGCAGTGCAATGCAGAATGTGTGGTGGGTCTGCAACGGCTGTCCTCTTTGTCTTCTGCTTCTGGACAGTCCTGGTCGTGTACGTGGTACGTATACATATATGTGCCAGAGTGCTGTTTGTAAGTGACTTACACACACACACAACAGGAATGAGTACGGAGTAGGCTTGAAAAGTTGTTGCTGCTGGCCGGATGCTTTTTTTTAAACGCCAACTAACAACAAGCCGCGGCCGCACGACTCAAATCGCCGCTGGTGCGCCCCAGAGGCGGTGAAACCGGTCGAAAAACGAAGTGCTAGTGATATCCAAACCGCTTCTGCCTGGTCGACCAAAGCCAGCCAGCCTGGGCGGGCGCGCGCATGTGAGAAAAACACCGGTTCGGTTCCTGACTGCGGCATCCTGCGGTTTGTTGTCGTTCAACTCGTGCTTGCTGTGTGTTGTTCGTCCGGGTCGCCGCTCGTCCCAGCCAGCCTAGCCAGCCTAGCCACATGTGCATACTGCCACAACGCAGATAAAGGTTGGGTCGGGTCGGCAGGACCGGCCGACGGCTACCGTACCCAGCCAGCCAGACGCATTGGACGATCGCGCCTGCATGCAGGACAGAAGTGCCAATAGTGTAGATGAGGCAGGCGGGCAGGCAGGCAGGCAGGCACACGCTCTGGCGACCACGTTGAAGCTCTCGTGTCGAAAAGGTGTGTTTTTGTCCAAGAGAGGAACCACCCAACCAGAGCTGAAAAGTTTCGTACACAGACTGACTGACTGGCATCAGCCACGCACACGCACACGCACACGCACGGCGGCGGAACCTCCCCTAGTGCGCTGCAGTTACAGTGTGCATAGACAGTGCAAAAGCAAAGGCCAAGCCGAGGAAGACCAGGGGTGGAGGAGGGCAGAGACAGGAGACAGGGGGAAAGCATAGGCCAGCCAGCTAGCTTTATTAGTGTCGCAGTTGTAGCTGCCAGCTCTCCGGGCCGAACCACAAAGGCCCTCAGATGATCTGATAACGGTGTCCTCGCAGACTCCGGAGATGCTGAGGCTGCATTGAGCTGGCTGCGGGTGGCGCTATCCTCGATCCGATTGAGCACACGCACACACCCACGCACGATCGAGACCAGCATCAGCAGCAGCAGGCGGGTGTTGCACAACAACGGGCAGGGCGAGAAAATGGACCAACTCCTTCCCGCAGCTGTCGCCCAGCTGCTGAACTCGGTGAGCCCGGCACGTCTCTGCCAGGCCTGCTTCACGCTCGCATCATGCGCCGTCCTGGCCGTCGCCATCACCCCATCCAGGGAGCGGAAGCTCCTGGTCAACTACGGCGCCCGGGGTGAGGGGCAACAACCCAACACGCCGGCCGCGGGACGACAGGGCGACGGCGGCGACGTCCTGCTCAGGTCGGTCCGGAAGCTCACGTCGCTCGGCCAGGTCCCGCACATGTGGTTCTTCACCTTCTACGCGACCTACATCCTGTGCGCCGCCTTCTGGGCCGGCCAGTACCTCCTCGACGGCTCCGTCATGGCCTCCATAGCCCGAAGGCAGGCCGAGCTCGCCCCAACATCATCATCCGAGCCCAACGGCAACGCCGCCGTGGTGGTGGCGTGGTGCCTGATGCTGCTCCAGGCCGCCAGGCGGCTGTACGAGTCCTGGGCGTTTTCGAGGCCGTCCAGGTCCACCATGTGGATCGTCCACTGGCTACTCGGGCAGCTTTTCTACGTGGGCATCAGCGTGGCCATCTGGATAGAGGCACCCGGTATGTTTTGCCCCCTACACCACCACCCACCCCCGCCCAAACCCCGGCACGCCTGATTTCACAGAGTTTCGGTTCGGTTTCCTGACTATTATTGTGGCAGATGCTGTCCTCCTGCAGGACCAGTTGCGCCCCTGGACAACAACACTGGGCGCGCTCACGCATGACGCGCTGCTCAAGCTGGCCGTCGCGGTGCCGCTCTTCTCCTTCGCCTGGGTCTCACAGTACCGCTGTCACAAACACCTGGGAGGCCTCAGGAAGTACTCCCTGCCCGAACAAGGCATGTTTCGGCACCTCGTCAGCCCCCACTACACCTGCGAGTGCCTGATCTACTTGTCGTTGGCAATTGCCGCAGCCCCCGAGGGACATGTGTTCAACCGGACGATGCTATCCGCGCTGGCCTTTGTGGCGGTGAACCTGGGTGTGACGGCCCGGGGGACCAAGAGCTGGTATGCGGAGAAGTTTGGGTCGGACAAGGTGGCGCACAAGAGGATCATGATACCGTTTGTGTACTGAGATTTCCATAGAGGACCGGCGAGCGGACTGTCACCGCTTGAGGAACTTGCCGATGTTGTTCCCCAGCTTGGAGACCTTGAGAACATCCCGATATGTCAAGCTTGTCCGGACCGAGCGTTGATTGACACCACTGGCGAAATCCTCCGGGTCCCGTAGCATGTCCCAGTTAGCGACAGTCTCACGCGAAAGGCCGACGTCGGCTTCGATATCTGCGATGCCATGGAGGTACTGCGTGTACAGGTCGCCGGTCGTGACGAGTAGGCTCCGGGGCTCCTGGAGAATCCTGAAGGCGGGTTCGGGATCGAGGGCGCCGTCTGGCTTGCTCGAGTGGATGTTGAGACAGAGGCTGGCTCCCAGGCTGATGGTACAGACGACCGGGTGGTAAGCGGCCCCGTCCTTGTGCGGCATGATACCTACTCCTGGGGGATACTCATTGACGAGGACATGATTTGGGCGCTTGTGAGGGCTGGGCGCGAAGAGGTTGGCAGAATCGTCGTCAGCGGAAAGAGGCACTGAGAGCAGCCTCGACACGACTGGCTCCTCAAGCCAGGCTGGCAGGGGTGCCTCGAGGAGCCTGTCGTGGACCAGATCGGACGGCCATGTCTGCAGCCGTCGATGAGAGAGTTGCTTCCACCTGGGCTTCGGCGCGCCTGAGACCTTTGTTCCAATGTGAGCTATGTCGCCAGTCGGGCTACTAGAAGAAGGGCGGGGGAAATGGTGATGCGCGCACCTTGTCCAGAATGAGACGCTCTTCCTCTTCACTTATGAAGTCTGATATGTAGTACGCGGTTGCCGGAAGGCGTGGTATCCTGGCTTCGGCTAGGGAGGAGGGGAGTGAGACTCGTGTTATGGGGGAAGGAGCTCCACAACCCGTGGCCATGGGGGGCGAGAGATGCCAATGCAACCCCAAAAGGAAATGTTGCGAGCCGGGTCTGTTCTGGTCTGTCCAACCCTTCGACTCAAGTTCTAAGTTTGGGTTGCCGAGGAGGTCGAGGCGCGTGCAAGGGGCCCTTCGCCTCGTAAGCGTGCGACTCGATTAGCCCAATGCTCGATCCCAAAGGGCCCTCGTCTGCCTGTCCTCTCGCCCAGGTGTAGAGGCGTCCGACCGGTGGCGTGCCCAGACAAAGGTGCAGGAAAAGTGAGCAGGCTGAGAAGAGGACGTCAACGAGTGTGAGAATGACTGCGGAGCCGCGTAAATATTACCACAGCACTCTCCGCTACACTAGTCTCCGCGGGGCAGCACAACGCACAGCTGCGGGCATCGATGTTGGCACACGGAGTCGGAGCTGGGCTGCCTCGGAGCTGGTCGAGACCGTGGAGCAGGCTGGCAGGCTGGCAGGCTGGCAGGGTGAGCTGTGTGATTCGTGAATGAAGGTTGCTTTTGGTAAGGCTGGGGCGAGACTAGCTGGGCCCAGGGCCAGAGAGGCGGACAACCACACTAGGGAGCTCAGACCAGCCTGACCAGGGAGCTCGGAGGTGGGAGCTTAAGAAGAAGGACGGACGATGACTGCAGGAATGCCACAGGGATCGAACGAGTCAGGGAACCTTGGGTATGTCGTGCGACGACGCCCGCACAAAGCTTGAAGTCGAGGTGGTCCAAGCAGCCAAGCCAGGCTTCTGTCTAATGCGGCGGGTACGCGGCTGTACGGCAGCATGTGCGGATAGGACAGGATGTGATGGGACGGACGAGCCTGACGAGGTGAGGTGGGTTGTGTGACAGCTTGGCTGAGGTTGAGGCGAGGCAGAACCGGCTAACACACCTGGGCAGTCGACTAGCCAGAAGAGCAGACCGGACGATGACGACAGCCTTGGGTCTGGGTACGGAGTGCTGTGTCTGTGTGTGGACAGCAGTTAGCCGGGTGAGCAGGCGAGCAGGCGAGCTAGATGCCTAGGTCGGCAGTCGGTCCAGTCAGTCAGGCTGTCCTTTTATTACTATGCCCCCACCCTGCTGCCACCTTGCCTCCTTCCACTTGCAGCCGCCTAGCCCAGGGTTGAATCCACGGCGAGGGCAAAGATCCTGATAAGCCGGCGTGGCAGCATGGCTGGCAATTTATTGTCTCGACGGTAGCCATAAGCCACAAGAGGTCCACACTGGTCCCATTGACCTGATGGTCGTTTCGAGCGATGGCATGCGAGTCGCCGAATATTGCCAGATGCGACCGCGGCAAAAGATGGCTCGAGCTGTGAGCCTGTGACTGACCAAAGCCTGGTAGGTTTTACTAGGTAGGTTTTACTAGGGAAACAAAAGGACACGTGAAATATGCTGTAGTAGTAGGTTTGGTGGCGCTCGGGAGCTTATTTGCTATTCCTGGCCTTGCGCGTCGAAGCGTCGAAGCGTCGACTGGGCGGGGAAGGTACTCGGTACCCAAGTATCGCCTCGCCTCGCCTCGCCTCGCCCTTCTGCCTGGCATCCCGGGTGGGTAATGCGAACCCGACGAGACAGGCAGATAGGCGACAGAGACAAGGGCGCACAGAACGAGGCGCAGCCAGTCTCAGCAACTGCAAATGATCAACCGATTTACTTGGAAAGTGAAGTAAGCAGCAGCAATGTGGCGAGTCGAGAGGCAGGCTCTCGGGCAACCAGGCAGCAAGCAGCAGGCAGGCTGAGACTGGCTGGCAACAGACGGACAGACAGTCTGGTAGATAGGACACAGTATTCGTACTTAAGTAGTCAGTCTGGTCTGGTCTGGTCTGGTGTCAAGTCAAGCCCCGTCTCGTGTAGAGGGCCAGGGCCGTCTTGCCGTACGAGGTGATTAGTATGTATGGACGGAGTATGTACAGTATACAGGGGAGCATATGGAGGTACGGAGGTACATGCAGAGGCACGGACCAGGGGAGTGAACACATCATCCTTGGAAGTGATGAGTGAGTGCTGTGGGAAAATGGGAAAACAGGCAGAGCAACCGCCTGAGCAAGAGACGAGGGCTCGAAACGGCAGCACAGGGCGTTGTCGCCCGCCGTATGCGAGGTCGACCCGCCGGCCAATCAGGACAAGTGGCAATGAGAACACGCAGGGAAGGCGCGGTGCGAGATCAGACTTGGGTCACTTCGAGCCCACGGGAGAGGCAGGGGTCTGGAGGCACCCAGTCGGAGCTAGACAGGGGGGGCCACCCAGCGAAAATCTCCATCTCCCGTCCCTGCCAGCCAATGGCAGCCTCTTATCTGTGTCGTCCTTCTCTAGCCGTCTTGTCTTGATCTGGCCCTCGTGTCTGTTGTCTGTCTGTTTCTGCGACTGACGAGTGAGTGACTGTGACTGATACTGCCAGCCTGTTCTGTTCTATCCGTGCCTCTCAGTTTCTGTGCGTGTCCATCTCTCTTCTTTTCTTCTTTTTCCGTCTTCCCTCTTCCTCCTCCAAACTTTACTGTGTATACTGTAGGTAAGGTACCTAGGTACTTACCTAGATGGTGGATGGGTGTGGCACCCCCCTGGACCTCCCCCTCTCACCTTCCCTCGTTGCCCAGTCGTAGTCAATTTTATGTTGTGGTGCCTACAACAGTCAAGTAGCGTAGGTACTGTGGTAGGCAGGCAGGTTGGAGGGAGGTAGTCTCGCAGCCTGCCTTATTTGTTGTGTCTCTGTCCCCTACCAGAGGTACTCCGTACCCAGCTGCCCAGCTGCCCACCTACCCTGCCAGTCTGCCAGTCTGCCCACCCTGCACACCCTGCACACCCTGCCACCCGAACCAGGCCCTCTCTGTGGGCTCCGTCCGTCCAGTCAGTCGCGGCCCAGTCCCGATCAGACCCAGTCCCCCCAACCCAAGCTGGTCCAATCTGGTCCTTCCTGCCAGGTCAATTCAGAAAATAAACCCCAATCTCTCTAGCCTCTCCTAGAATCTTTCTTCTTGTTCACTCACGCTCCGTTTGGGTCCTCCCACTTCCTGCGTAGTCTTTTTTTTCCCCTTCCCAACCCTTCCCCCATCCTACGATCTCGAAACGGGGACAAGTCAAGCAACTACTGAGACATTATTATTATTAGTTTCTCAGTCTTTTCCATCCATCTTGTACACTACAACCCCGACCAGTGCCGTCCCGCACCACCGCAGCACCACCGCGCGCCCGTACCACATCGTACCTCACCGCATCCTCTGCAAACCCCCGTTCGTCGCCGTCGCCGTGGCCGTGCCTTGACCCGTCTGTTCGTTGGCCCGTCTTCTGTGCCTCGACCCTTGCCCCGGGCCTCTCTCCCTCTCCCTCTCCCCCTCCTTTTCCAGCGCGTGGACCTGAGAGGGCCTTTGTTGCACCCCCAAAGGAGCTCCCACCGATTGCAGATTGGCTTCCCCAGCCAGCCTCCTGGATTTTCTCCATCGGCCGCGACGAGTCCTCGTGACAGTTGGCCTGGTTTCAGTCCACCCAACAACCCCCGACCGAGTTGCTCGAGGCAACAGCGCCCGGACCATCCTGTCCCCATCCACGACCCTGACCTGACCTGGCCCGGCCAAGGTTCAGTCCCGTCCTGTCCTTGTCAGCTTGCTCTGCTGCTGCTGTTCCGTCCTGTCGTGTCCCATCACCCGGGCACTCTCTCGTCTCTCCTCTGGCACAGCACACCAGACCAGACCACGCCACGCCACGCCACGCCACGCCACCCCATCTTGAAACCACCTGGCTCGAAGCGGTTCATCAGGCCTCTCGTCCCCCCCCTCCTTCAACTCCGTGGTCCAGAGGTGCCCATGATGGTGCACAGGAACAGCTCACCTTCGAACTGAATGATATGGATGCGCAGAATGCTGCAGAGTCCGCCGCTACGAAGCTACCTGCTTCCACTTCCGCCTCTCCTCGGCCAGGCAAGGCTACCGAGCCGGATCAGGCCACCAAGCCGCCATCCTCTCCGCCCTCCTTGAACAAGTCGCCACCAGCCCCAGCGTCGACCTCGACACCACCGCCGCCGCCGCCAGCAGCTCAGGAGTCAAAAGACCCCAAGGACAGCAAGGAACCCAAGGAACCCAAGGAGCCTAAGGAGCCCAAGGAGCCTAAGGATCCAAAGCTGCCCAAGGAATCCAACAGTCCCAAAGAGTCTAACGAGCCCAAGGTCAGCCTTCCAGCCGTGGCCGCCACTCAAAATGATGACGAGACGGGCGCCGAGAACAACTCAGAGGCCGAGACGATTGTTCTTCCGGGCAAGGATGGCTCTCCCATCAAGAGCCGCAAGGTGATCAAGCGGGAAGATGCCAGTGACGGCGAGGACCGAAATAGCGTCATCAACATATCTCCGGCGAAACGGAAGTCCTCTGGTGGCAAGAACGACGGCCATGGCTCTAAGCAAGGCAGCAGCGGTGGCACCGGTCACTCCACGGACGATGCAAAACGGAAGCGACTGCTGGATCACCCCCGGAGTAAGGACTCGAGCGGGTTGAGCTCGGCGCCAGCATCTCCTGTGCAGCGCTCCCGCCAACAGTCGAGTGACATTCGCCAAGAATCCGAGGGCGACTCCGTCCACGCGAGGTCGACCAAGGTCTTCCCCAAGGAAAAGGAGCCCAGAGACAGGGACAGGGACGCCTCGAGGGCAAAGTCCTCAGACAAGACTGTCGTGCACAAGCGCAAGGTCCCCAAGGTCGAGTCTGACGACGAGGCCGATAACGAAAGCCACAAGAATCGCCGACGGAGGACATCTGCCTCGATAGACGCGTCGTCAACCCCACGGCCTCAGCACAAGGACCGCGACCAAGTCAAGGCAAAGTCAAATCATGACAGCATTTCGTCGCTGCGGCAACGTTCGACTTCACCACATCCTCGGACCCATCGTCGAAGCGCGTCCACCCAAATCGTTTCGCAGTCATCCAGCGGCCTCAGCCAGAAGAAGAGGCGTGTCCCTCCCCCTCTCACCACCGACTATCACTCAGACGAATCCTCTGCCAGTGGCAGCCCTCACATTCGAAGTTCCACAATGCGCGGCCTTGCGACACCAGCGACTGCCGATTCCAACATGTCGTCCGCCAAGAACCCCGCTCACAAGAAACATGTCGATGCGCATGGACAAACGCAACTCGCAAAGGCGTGTTCTCGCGGTGAATATGACAACGTAAAGCGAAGGCTCCAAGAGCGCCCGCAGGACCTGAATTTCCCTGATTACGCAGGCAACACTCCACTCCAGATTGCGGCCATCAATGGGTACGACGACATTGTTAAGCTCCTTGTCGACGCCGGCTGCGATATCGATTGCGTGAATCATGACAAGGACACCCCGCTTCTGGATGCTGTAGACAATGGCCATCTCGATGTCATCAAGGTCTTGCTTGAAGCTGGAGTGAACCCACGCAAAGCCAACGTGAACGGCGAGGAACCGCTGGACCGGGTGGACGATGAGCTTGAGAATTGTGAGGAAATCCGGCAAGCACTGATGGATGCCAGGAAAAAGCAGGGTGACCGGCGGCGGACCTCTGAAGAGCAACAAGATCAACAAGACAACCGATCACATGGTCCCGATAGCCCGCGACGCTCGCCCGCCCTGGCAGACTCTGCCGCGGGAAACAGGAGAGGGGCTAGTTCCCGGTCTCACAAGCTCAGCAATCATCTGTTGTACATGCACATGGACGACAAGACCCTACGGTCGGCGGCCGGCCGAGGCGACTTGGAAACCGTGGAGCGCATACTCCAGGTCAGGGATAACTTTGACGACGCCGAATCCATGGTCGCTGCAGCAAGGGGAGGACATGAAACGGTCATGAATCTGCTTCTTGCACTTGGAAATGCCAACCCGGACCCTTCCCCGGTGGATTCTGAACGCCCAGAAATTGCAACGCCGATTTTGGCAGCGATTGGTCAAGAAAATATTAGGGTTATAAAATTGCTACTGGCTCAGTCAAACTTCGATCCCACCAGGAAATTCCGAGGGAGGCACTACTTCGAGATTGCTCAAATCCGGCAGGGGCCAAACTGGAAGGAAGAAGAGCATATCCTCAAAGACGCCTATGACGATTATAAGCGCAAGCACCGCGATGCTCACAAGAAGTCTCCGAACCGGCGCGAGCTAGAGGCCAAGCGAACAGCCCGCGCGGAGTCTAAAGACGACCCGGCTAGGAGCTTGAAACGCAAGGCCACTAGCCCCACACGTGACGGCCAACGTGTCGCAACCGGAAAAGGGCGCACGTCCGACAAGGAGCCTAGAGCAACAGCCTCTGTTTCCTCCAAAAACGAAGAGCTGACCTCACCCAAGCGCGGACCTGGAAGGCCAAGGAAGGACGACCGCGGGCTCCCCACAATCGCCATATCCGACGGCGAGAACTCGCCAGCCAGCAAGTCGACTTCAAACAAGCAGAAGCGCCCAGACATGGACACCGCCTCGTTTTCTTCCGAGGGCGAGTCCAAGCCACGGAAGAGGCTCATGTCAGGCAGGGACCTTAAGGAACAGAGGGAGAAGAATCGGCGCCACAGCATGGTGTCGAACGCTTCGTCTCTTCGGGAGCCTTCGAGCCCTCGTGACAATCGCACCGATGACCCACATGAGCCCCCTACCGAGAAATACCACGACCGCGCCAAGGCACTCAAGAGGGACGAGTCGCGAGACAGATTATCCGTCTCTGGCGAGCATTCCAGCAAACGTAGCCGCACCAGTGCCACTCCTGACCGTGTGTCCGAGAAGGAAGGCGAGCCTGTTAAGAGAAGGCGACTCGATGCCGAAAAGAAGGAGCGACTACCAAAGCCGAGCTCGTCGCCAGATCGCAACCGCAAATCGACCGCACCTCGTGACACGTCTTCTTCATCAAAATCGGACGAGAAGTCCTCTCGCAAGCACGGTGATCAAGCCGACAAGAAGGACTCGACCAAGTCTCGGAAATCTGACTCGGCCTCCGATAGCAACCGGCGGGATTCTAGCAAGTGTGCACCGGCAGAAAAGTCTTCGGAAAAGAGCATCCATGTCAAGGCAGAAGATCCCGATATCGTGATGCGTGACGCAGACCAAGCCCAGGAGGAAGAGAACCAGGCCCGTGCGGCACGCGAACGTGAACGCGAACGCGAACAAGAAGAAGAGAAGAAGCGCCGCGCCGAGCTAGAAGCCAGGAAGAAAGAGAAAGAGGCCGAGGAGCGAAGACGTCGTGAGGAGGAAGAGCACAAGCGTCGCCAAGCAGAGATCAAGCAGCGCGAGGAGGCCGAAAAGGAGAAGAAGCGCCTGGAAGAAGAGGAACGTAAGCGACGAGAAGAGGAGGCGAGGAAGAAGCGGGAGGAGGCCGAGAGACTGCAGAAAGAGGAAGACGAGCGACGCAAGGCGGAGGAAGAGAGAAAGCGCCTCGAAAGGGAGAAGGAGGAAGAGGAGCGCAAGAAGCGGGAAGAGCAAGAGCGGATCCGCAAGGAGGAAGAGGCCGCTGAGCAAGCTCAACGCAAGCGCGAGGAAGACGAGCGTAGGGAGCAGGAACGTCGCGAGCGCCAGCGTGCTCTTAGAGAGGCTGAGCTGCGTAAGCGCGAGGAGCAGGAGAGAGCTCGCCTCGAGAAGCTTCCAGCGTTCCTGCGCTGGCTCGATCGTGGTGTCAACATCAGGAGTCCAGAGACGGCCAAGAGGTTCCGAATCCTTACAGGCGTTCGTTTCGACAGCATTCGGCCAGAGACAGCCGGCACCGACGAGGGACGCGAGCTGTGGGTCCTGAACACACAAGCTGCTCTTCTCTTGGGCGAGACCGATCTGCAGCTCAGTCGTTTCTCAGGCTGGGCCCACGTGCCAGCATCCGACGCGGCAAAGCATGTCATACTCGGCAAAAAGAGGCCCAGCTGCGGCCTTGTTGATGCGGACGAGTGGGACCTGGGCAGACAGCTTCCTGGCTACTACTTCGGCAAAGAACCGGAACAATTGAGCTTCAAGGAAAAGCGACAGCTCCAGGAGGAGTCCAAGTTGAAGTTCATGGCTATGGACTTGTTCTTTGTCAAGGTAAGCAGACTTCCCATGGTGCAATCTTGAGACGGTGGGACTAGGTGCTAACGCGGCTTTAGTTGTCTGACCTTTTGTTCTCTGTGCCGAACATGACGCACCTCCGCAATCTGGAGATCGTGGTCATGTACGAGGAGATACCGGAGACGGTGAAACAGTACGAAGATGGGGAGTACCCGTCCCGTTGGAGAGATGACCCCGACGCAGACCGGTACATGGGATTCTGCCCACGACCAAAGTACTATGTCAACGGTCTACTCGTCCGCGAAGGCAAGGTCGACGTCAACACTGTGAGCAGGACGCCTTGGCCGGAGCAGCGGGTGCCCAGGAGCGGGTTGACTGCGGTATCGCCCACGAACCCGAATTATGTGCGACTGGCAAAAGAGCAAGGCCTCAGCCACCTCTTTTCTGGCCTTAGAACACCTCCCAACACCACTGCCGCCCGTGCATCCCCTGGCCAACTCTTCTCGCAACGAGGATTCCAGGGTGTAAACGACGACCTCTCCCCTCCACAGTCCGATGCCACGACTTTCGTCAACGGCAGTGGACACCAGCCGCGCTCTTCGACCGGGTCGGCCGGCGAGCAGGAGAAGCCACTGGTCAATGGCACCGCTGAGCGCATTCCCCCCAACGGTGATGCAATGGATCACTGATGTCGGATATGTGTGCCTGCAACAGACGGCGCGAAACATATCGCCAACCCACGCCGTGGCGGGGTTTGCCTCCCATGTCCAATTTTAAATGCAGGAGCAGCTGGCTGGATCTCTCGACAAACATCTAAGCGACAAGATGTTCAGTGTGTGCCCTGTACGTAGTTACTGGGGGCAGTACGAGTTCCACTTTTGCTCCAAAACAGCACGATTAGCAGAATCGACCAGATGATATAGCTCTGGGGCTTTTGGATGGTTGTTGCGGTTTTGTGTGGAGGGATGGCTGGAGCGCATCATCACCTGAGAATCCGATCAGGAGAACTTTGCCCAGATTTGTATGCTGCCACCAACTGAAGGCAAGTTGGAAGAAGATGGCTTCACAGCTACGGGGTGGCTAGCCATCTTATACAATTGTGTAACTGCATCAACATAGCATGGCGATCAGCAATGAATTGAGAGGAGACAGCCGATTTGGCTGTCGAAAGACAAAAAGAACAGCGCTACGTAGTGACAAGGTGACATGGTTGAATGTGCCGTAGGATGGATGCTGCCACTCAGCGTGATTGTAACAACGGGTAATATTGGACGATGCGGAGGGTAGAAGCTGTCTGATACTGTCTTGATAAATGTCCCGATTGAATGGAAGCATGGTAATGTGATGCGCCTGAGGCGTCTGACGAAGTGGTGATCTCCCGGAGGAAGGCGGTGACATCAGCGGGGCAGAATTTTGCTGAGAGTCCTCTCTCTCTTGGTCCCCCCCGGCACCCAAAAGTTGGTAAGTACTTCTCGCCATCAAGAACAATAAACGCAGGCACCAGGCACCAGACGCCACACAGCACTCAACACCACCAAATCGAACCATAAGGCAACTTGATTTAATTCTATTAGTGGCTTTTTGCCCGCAAAAACACCGCCAAGATGTCGACCACGGTGGAGAAGGTCAGTAGTGAGGCCTCGTTTGCGACAAAGACTGCCCATGGCTGACAGCAACAACCACAGATCAAGCAAATCGAGGAAGAAGTGCGTTCAACCCCCGGGCAGATCCATACTACCCGAAATCCAAGCTCCTCGATGGACGACGACTGCCTCCAACCCCGCCCCGTCGCCGACCAACGAGACCGCGACAACTGCGGACGGGCGATGCGATGCTAACAGCATGGACAGATGGCCCGAACCCAAAAGAACAAGGCGACGTCGTTCCATCTGGGTCAACTCAAAGCAAAACTCGCGAAGCTCAAGAAGGAACTCCTCACGCCCTCGGGCGGTGGCGGCGGTGGCGGCGCCGGCTTCGATGTCGCCCGGACAGGTGTCGCGAGTGTCGGGTTCATCGGGTTCCCCTCCGTAGGGAAGAGCACGCTGATGAGCAGGCTGACGGGCCAGCACTCTGAGGCGGCGGCATACGAGTTCACGACCCTGACGAGCGTGCCGGGCCAGGTCATGTACAACGGCGCGCCGCTGCAGATCATCGACCTTCCGGGTATCATCGAGGGGGCCAAGGACGGCCGCGGGCGAGGGCGGCAGGTCATCGCGGTGGCCAAGACGTGCCACCTGATCTTCATCGTGCTGGACGTCAACAAGCCGCTGACGGACAAGCGGGTCATCGAGAACGAGCTCGAGGGCTTCGGGATCCGGTGCAACAAGTCGCCGCCCAACATCACGTTCAAGAAGAAGGACAAGGGCGGGCTCAACGTCACCAGCACGCTGCCGCTGACGCACATTGACCACGACGAGATCAAGGCCGTCATGAACGAGTACAAGATCTCGTCTGCCGACATCGCCATCCGGTGCGACGCCACCATCGACGACCTGATTGACGTCCTCGAGGCCAAGAGCCGGAGCTACATCCCTGTTGTCTACGTGCTCAACAAGATCGACGCCATCAGCATCGAGGAGCTGGACCTGTTGTACCGTATCCCCAACGCGGTGCCCATCAGCTCCGAACACGGGTGGAATATTGATGAGCTGATGGAGGTTATGTGCGTGTCTCCCGGGTTCCTCCTTTTTTTTGTCTTCCCCTTTTACTTTTTCTCAATCTTGTCTCCTGGCTTCCTCCTTTGTTCCCCTTTTACTTTTCTCAATCTTGTCTCCCGGCACTTCTTCGGCGTGCTAACGAAATGGGATTGCAATGCAGGTGGGATAAGCTGAAGTTGGTCCGGGTCTACACCAAGCCCCATGGCAAGATGCCTGACTACTCTGCACCTGTCGTGCTTCGTTCCACGAGGTGCACGGTGGAAGACTTCGTAAGTTCCAGAAGTGGCAATGCAAATTTCCTCAGCCGTTGCACCACGTCAGGTGGTGGCCCGATTCTCCATTCTGACAGGACGCCAATAGTGTAACGCTATCCACCGGAGCATAGTCGAACAGTTTAAAACGGCCATCGTGTACGGAAAGTCTGTCAAGCATCAGCCCCAGCGGGTGGGTCTGGCGCACGAGCTTGCGGATGAAGACATCGGTGAGTTTTTACCCGAGTGTGTAGTGTAGTATCATCGACAGGCGGCGGCAAAGCGTGGTGGGGACAGACCTCCAGGTTGCTAACTCGAGTCTTCGGTCAAGTCACGATCCAGAAGCGATGATTTGTTGTCTCGGCGACAAATTTCTAACGGAGCCACAAGGGCTCCAGCCGGACTGTCAACCGCCTGCTGCCGGTCGTCCGCCCCCTACGCGAGATAGACGCGACTCGCCGTGGGGGGCAAGGACCGTTGCGCTTAGACGGGGTCATCTTTGACAGCGATCGTACTCGCCAATTTCGGGGAATTTCAGGTTCAAGGTCGGGTGGAGACGAGTCGCCATAAAGCTAATCCCAAACACTCCTGTCCCTGCAACGAAACCTGACCGTTGGCGGCTCTGTGTGGGCATTCGATCGCATCCGCCAGCGCGGCCGGGGACCGACAAAAGCAACGAGACTCCACAGCTGAGCTTTGAAACGAGGGAAACGCCTGCACGACGTGAGACTTTATCAATCAGATGCTGGCAGACGCTGGCGGCATGCTACTTTGTCGAAACCGGCAAGGACGACGAGGCCACAAGGCCCCAGGGGAACGTTCCTTTGGAGTGGGGATCGATAAAAATGAATTCAAGATTCGCAAAGCTTTACGTTGTTTGCTCACCTTCCCTGACCTTACTTCCCAGCCATGTTTTTTTGCCTCCCCGGTGTTACATTGTTGGACATCTAACTTCCCCTTCGATTCCTGCGTCTTGTTGTAGCGGCCTCCTAAGACCCCCCAGAGCGCGGGAACGGCATCCGAAGTCTGATACTGGGAGACCAGACGGATTTGGGCGCAGCTCATGATTCCGTCTCAACACGCGATCTGCTCCTCGGCCGGCATGTGCTCCTTGCCTTGCCAGTGGGCAAGCATCAGCAGTGTTCAAGCATCAAGGATGTTTCCTCCGTTCTTGGTCATGCACGCATATTAGAGCCAGCGGCGTCTGCTGCTCTAATGATTGCTATCGCATATGGGCGTGGGCCCTTCCTCTTGGGACTTTTAACACACACAGTGGCCAGGCGCAGTCGGCCCTGTGAATCGAGCATCAAGGGGTGTCTCTTTGACTTCATGCGCGCAGATCGGAGCCAGAGCAGCGTCTGATGCTTTGATGATGATGCTCATACTGATGGACAATGCCGACGGGCGCAGGGCCTTCCTTCTCCTGGGAGAGGTTCAACACACCCACTCGATCGACCAAGACTGGGCAACCTCGACGGCAAGACGGGGATGCCATTCCGGTTTCTTGTTACACTTCTCCACGCTGGAGCAGGATGGTTCTGCGCGATGATACCGCGGGCACCGAGCTGCCGTCCACTTGCGCTACGCGGCCTACGGGATTGTCGTCTGGGCGAAGGAGCCATCGCTCTGGCCGCCTCAGAGTCTTCGGAAATACTGTGTACGACCCCCAAGCAAGGGGCTTCAGCTGTCCTCTCTCTCTGCCCGCCTCAGTGTTTTTGTTATTCCTGAACACGGTCCCCGGCCCCTGGGGGTAATTCAGCCAGCCTCTCGGACCACCGTCATGCCTGTGAGCCGCCTGTAGTCGACTGGCTTTCCGTGGCCAGAAATAGACTCAGGGGCATGAAGTCAACTCATCTTCTCACGGGTGCGCGATACTAGAATAGCCCAGAGGAGGAATCATGTCCTGGTGTGAATCAAGATCACGCCGGGAAATCAGAACAGACGAAAAAACCCTGCCGAGGATTTGCAGCCGGCAACGGCGACGGCTCGATCATGATGGCAGCAGGGACAGGTAAAGCTTGGGGAAGGCCCAGAGGTCGTCTCCACACACCATTCGGAATGTTTCGACCAATGAGACCGATAGCCGGCTCTCGCTTGTAGGAGCTCTGCTCACTGCCTACACCACCGGCGGATTTGGCCTTTCACAGGGAACCTCTTACCGCCGCAGTTGAGCTGCACGGCCTGAGTACCTCGCATGAGTGGTCGTCTCCTCACGTCAGAGGCGGGGGAGAGGAGACCGCAAGTTCTGGGCTCTGACCCTGCCTCCCCTGTCAGCCCGCCCGCGGCGTTCCTCGATCCGCTCGTCACCAGCTTCGACGAGCCGTCAGCCTCAGTTTTTTTGTTCATTTTCATTTTCATTTTACCACACTAGCCGCGATGGCATACCCGCAACGATAACGCGCGTCTCGGAGCTTTCACCCTAAGCTAGGCGAATTACTGGAAACGGCCATGGCTGGGTGCTCGGGCCCCGGCCTCCTCTCAGCCGTAGCAATGGAGAGAAGGAGGTTATTAAACGTCGACGCGTGGGTGTAATGCACTCGCGTGTCCGCATATGTCTGTGTGTGTGCCTGGCTGGACCTAATAGAATCCACAGAGTCCGTCTCGCTTAGCGTCTTACGGGAAGCACGTCAAGTTGCGAGACCAACGAGAAAAAAAAACGTCGTTGTTTGGTGCGAAACAGGACCATCGCCGTCCGTGCTCCGATCCCCTGATTTTTTTTTTCCTTCCCTTCGCGCCCCTTTGTCCGTGCCTGGCTCCTACCCGGGGCTACCTTACTGCCTGATAGCGCGGCCCTCGTCTGTTGGGGGGCTTGGAGGCTTGGACAGCCCGTTGCCAGCGTGTGGAGAAGGGCAGCAGTGGATACAATAACAGTACAAAACAAAGCTGCTGTGGATACCAGGGTCGCCAGGTACCCAATGGTGGATCATGCGCTCGTACCGTGCCTAGCGGCCGCGGCTTTCATGGCAAATCCACAAGCGATCCCAGCTCGTGGGCTTGTAATAACTGACTGATCTCGAAGGGTTTCACCTCAGCCGCTCTGGTTCACGTACAATCAATCCCCAACCCAGAGTGTCGGGCGCACCAGCTTCCACGAGGCAATGCGAGCTTGGACACCGGGTTCTGTCCGCAGGTACTCCGTACCGTGGGGCGATTCCAGCTGGGCCAACTCGGCCGGTGTCAGCACGCACCTGCTCGGCGATCCTGTGTCGGCCGGGCCCTCGGGGTCTGCCCCAGGCAAGGGAAGCCTGGATAGCCTTGCTACAAGGTTCTTGACAGCAAGCTCATCTGTTGAGCGATTGGCTCGTCAGATCCTGACCCGTTCAGAGAATCCCACGCTGAATCGACGCATGAGTGCAACCTAGTGATCCATTCTGGTCGAACTTAGATGACTTGATATCGAAGGAGCACGCGTTGTGAGTGTCTTCGTTTCGGCTCGAGGTCCACCGCCAAGTTCGTCCTGCTGCTCGCGGCCAAAGCTAGATTACCACACAGTCCTCGCCCACCCTCCCAAGCCTCCTCTCCTGGCCGCCCCTCTGCCTCTCCGGGCCACCAGCGGGCCCCCGGACGGCTGGTTTGAGAAGCAATACGCAGACACTTCTGGGTACGATTCGCGGGGAGCTTACCGCGCTAGGCCCTAACAGTTCCCTCCCTCCACTAGAATGTACCTGGAAAGGCTCCCGTCAGGCAGGGGTCGCGATAGCAGCCGGCGAACTGGAATACAAGCCGGGCCCGTCTCGAGTCGCTAGGCTCACTCTGGCCTGTTCTGGGTGGCCTGACTTCTGGCAAAGCAGGGCCCAGCCCCGACAGGCGGAACCGTCTGCTGCGCTCACCTGGTGGTTCCGGGGTTCGCACAGCAGCTCGTCCGCTCTGCCTGTCCCTGATGAGGCTGTCTTGCTGTCAGGCTGTCCGCCCGCAGTTCGATCACGAAAGCCCACGCGGGCGTCCCAGAGTTGCGGATCCCGTTCCATCTGAGGCACCGGGTTCGATTCTATCGACGCCGATCGGCGCATGAATCAGAACTCTTCTCAATGCGCGATGGAAGGCCTGGCGTTCTCTGGCTGGCAGCCAAGCCGTTGCCGCTTCCTTGCGGAAATAACTGCTGCTACAGTATAGCGACCGCCTCCAAGCCTGTGCCTGAGGGGGCAGGCCTTTCCGCCTGCCCTGGCAAGCCTGGCAGGCCTGGGTGGGCGTTTTTCACCCCACTCCCGCCGTCGCAGTGGCACGTCGTCCTCATGTCTCATCGATATCCTCTTTTGTACATCCGCATGACACAAGCCAGGACAGCGACGATCCCGAAGCCCAATCCGGGGTGCTCCCAGGCGATACCACATTGCTTTCAGCGACTCGACGGCCTGTGGCGTCGCGTGGAATCGTGGACACGAGAACTTGTCGATCCTTGTCGTCATGCAATGTCAACGCCACACCTCTGCAGGAACAGGGCCGTCTTGACAGCGACCCGCGAGGGGGATGGATGCAAGGCAAGAGGACGGCTCGAGAGCCTTGTTCCAGGAGCCCTAAATCCGCCTTGCTGTGCTGTGCTGCCATGCCCTGCCATGCCCGGCGAGCCATCGTCCCCGTACAGCGAGCGCACAGGGTACTTTGGCCCTGTGGCTTGCGACTAATCATTCTTACTGGGGGTCACCTGGCCTGGCAGCCTGGGTCCATTCGGGGAATACTGTAGATCTAACCCCCGCCCCTGGGCAGAGCTCCTTGAGCAGGTGCCAGTGGGCGACCTTGGCCATGCCGGCCGCGACTCCTGTCGCCCTGTGGCCCTGTCGCCCTGTGGCCCTGTGGCCCTGTGGCCTTGTAGCCCTGCGCGACAATGTGCAGACGCTATGTAAGCCCACCGGGCCGCGTCGAGTCTTGTGGACACAATGGGGTTTGTTCCGTGGTCCAGTCCCCCAGGCAAGGTCCGAGTTACAAGGCCTCGTTCGTCGCATGCAGCTTGGCCAACATGGGCTCAAAATCTGCCCAGATGCGCAACGGAACCGCAAGCAAGATCAGCGACACCTCGAGCTGCTTTTTGAGACTGGAGCTTTCCGCGCATCCAGCACCCACCCTGCCGCCGCGGTGCTTCCGGTGAGGATCTAGAGAAGCCAAGCAGGAGAAGAAGCACCACTCCGAACCCACCAGGTTTGCCGGATTGGTCGGGCAGATTGCCAAAACAGTCAACGCTCATAATATTGGCCACGATGAGATCCTGTCTTTTTCATTTCGCCGGACCGCCGGATAGTTTCAGCATGGCCATGCCTGGCGACTGGCGGATTGCGATTGCAGCCTTGAAGAACTCAAAACAGCACGAGCAGCATGCATCCACACTGCGAAGCTGGTGAGACCCGGTGACGAAGACTCATCTGAAGGGGTTTCATTAAGGAAAGCGGGTACTGGGAGCCATTGCAGGTGGAGCCCCTGGCACCAAACCCTGGCTCGGTCCACCTATGACGGGAAGCCTCTTTGGACTACAGTACATACCGCCGGCCGGAGTGATGAGTGATTCGCACACCTTGGACGTCTTCTCACACGGTGGTAGTACCACTGGCCGAATATTGGGGAATGCAATTAACGCGCTGCCCGTTGGTTGGGCTCCTCCTGCGCAGGAGCTGGGACTGGCCGACCACTCCCGTCGCAACCCACGGCATGTTCATTTTCCTCAGTCCCCGTCGCCATGACTTCTTCCTGCGGACCTGATGGGGCGTCCTGCCCCGATCCGAGGACGTAATTGTGGATGAGAGGGACCACTCGCTGTCCTGGCCGTAGGGGACGAGAGCCGGCCCAGGACTCTACCTTGCGGGATGTGGCTCGACCCTTGACCTTATATCATATGTACCTGGTCGTCCTGGTACCTTGATGCGCACCCGACTGCAGCTGCGGTACCATCCCGCATTGTGCCTTTTGACCCCCTGGCAGCTATAGCTTCCTGATGCAACACTCTTATACCTTGGGCTAGCTGCTAGACCTTCGCATCACTGCCTCCCCACACCCAGACCAACCCCCAGACAGGTCTCTATTGATCCGTCTGGCCGCCTCCATTACACGGCCCTGGTCCTGAGCCCTCCGAGTCTGCCCCCCATTCTCTGCAACCCTCCCAGACGGGGGGTCTAGCATTACCCTTGCCGGTACAGGCCGTCCTGCAAACATACATGTAGCCGTGGTGCGGCCCATCACTTGGTCGTCCTGCACCTCTCTACAGGTCAGCTACTGTACATCAGCGTTTGCGAACTGCATGCGACGTCTGTAACTGCAGTAGGCTCCTCTCTATCGTTGCGCGAGCCATCTGACTGTCACTGCTTCCCAGAGGCCATTCGTTTGTCTGGACCAGCATCTCTTCCGTCGGGCGTCTCGTCGTTTGGCAATGTCTGGCGGACAAGACCGCCTGAACAACGTAAGCCCACCTGCCCACATCTGAGCGAAATCCCCCTCTCGCCCACCCGGCAAGAAATCCCAGGGCGAGGGGAAGAAGACCGAGGCCGTCTCCCGCGACTATGGGCAAAATCGGTCGGGCTATAAGAGGCGGCTGAGGAAAAAGAAACTAACAACGCGCATTGGCTTAGCAACGAGACCACCAGGACGGCCGTACTGCTGACACCGGCGAGATAGACCAGCTGAGGGTCGATATTTTATGAGAGGTGCTCAAGCTCTGTTTCGAAACATCAGAGGGCAACTGGGAAGCTTTGGGCCCGAACCTTCTTGCGGCCTCGTCCTGTCCTTGGGTGGGAATTAGCCTCGGCGTGCATTGCATCTGCGCCCTCTCGTTTGGGACGCGCGCACCACAAAGCACCGCACCGCACCGCACCGCACCATCAACGTCGACGGCCGCCACAGCTGTCGATGACACAGTGCCTCTAGCCAAAGGGAGACTCGAGTCCATTACACAGAACTATCCAGGAACCAATTGTCGTCATCTGATGCATGCCGCCTTCCGTACATGAAGATCAATCACATCAGTCCTGTCGGGTACAGAGATATCCTCCCCCACACTTACATCGCATACTCCGGGTCGCGCACCCGTCTTTTTTCTTGTCCTGGGAGTCCCCAGCAAACTCTAGATTTGCACCAGGCCTCACTTCGTCCTCAGGGGAAAATACTTTTCGAGTTGAAGGAGCATCGCACAGCACCTCGGGACCGACTGGAGTATACACAGGATGCACAACCAAGGCGGGATAGGAGGATCGTCAAGCATGGACCAAGATACACACCTCGCTCACCATGAGCAGGCCTATGGCCACGACCAATGGAACGACATGAGCCCCTACATTCAGACGACAATGTCGGAGTACGGCGGCGGGTTTGGCTACATGCCTCCCATCTCACACGGCTTACCGTCCGAACACCTGGGCCGGATGCCGCCGTCGGCAACGCCTCCCCAGCAGCCGCTGCCTCAGCATCACTCGCAACCGGCACACCATCCAACGCTGCCAATGCTGATGGTGCCGTCACATCCGACGTGGCCGAGCATGCTCACGAACCCAAACGGGTACAACACGTCTCCCCCGGTCGCAATCCCTCCTGCATCGGCACCGATCCAGTCCCTGAAGGCCGCGAGGCCCATAGCACCGCCGATTGCATCGCAGCCCAGGAAGACGCTGACGGACGACGACCGCCGCCGCATGTGCCAGTATCATATTGACAACCCCTCGATGAAGCAGACCGAAATTGGCGCGCTGTTTGGCGTGGAGCGAAGGTGAGGGAGAACATCACCAAAGACCGCTGCATTACTATATCGCATTGTCTGGATCTGCGATAGCCCTATTTTCCTTTTGCCAGAAGCATAGCTAACTAGTTGTATCTAGCACTGTGTCCAAGGTCCTTAGTCGCAAGGATAAGTGGCTCAATCCGGAGGACCGCAGCAGCTCGCCAATCAAGAAGAGCAAGGGAAAGATCCCGGACATCGACAAGACGCTGGCCAACTGGCTGCGCAACGAGCAGCACAAGGGCCGCCGCGTGTCAGATGCCGAGATACAGGAGCAAGCCCGGATGTACGCCCGTCCATTCAGGGAGGCGGAGACGAAGATCAACAACCCTTCATGGCTTGAGAAGTTCAAGCAAAAGCACGGCATGGGAGGGCGGTTGATCAGGAGGGCCTCCGAGACGAACATTCCCAGTGCTGTTGGGAAGCTGTCGACCACCTCACCGACGCTTGCGAACTCGCAGCCTACCAGCTCCATCTCGTCAGCCTCACCTGTGGCGAACCACTCCGTTTCGCCCTTCTCGGCTGGGCCTCGAGTAGGGGGGGAGGACGATAAGGAGAGCGGCGGCAGCGGGATGATGATGGACTTTTCTTCTGCGCCCTCATCGAGCACAGCTGGACCAACCTTCAAGTACCCCTCGACAAACCAGAGCAGCACATCACTAAGCAGCAGCGGGTTCGCATCTGACACCGGGGGCTCGTCGTTCTCGGAAAGCACAATGAGCCCCACGGGCACAGGACAGTTCACATTTTCTCCAGATCCCAACATGGGAGGATTCTTGTCGTCCGACCACTCGCAAGCAAGACACATACCGCCTGGCGGGCCCAACTTCCAACGGCCACGGAGTCAGACATTCCCGACACTTGATCTGGAGTACATGAACGACACGTCGAGCCACGAGCACAACGACCCCGTCACGCCCAAGTTCCCACCAGGCCAGCACGGGGTCCCGTCGACAGCGCCGTCCTCGGCAATCGAGTCGCCCGCCCACGAGTTCGCATCCGCCGGACCATTCGGGATCGACAACACGATGGCCTCGCCCCACCACCAGAGCCACAACGCACTGCGGCACAGCAGCAGCGCCAGCAGCCTCCAGGGGCGGCAGCAGCAGCAGCAGCAGCAGCAGGGCGGCGCCGGCGGCACGACGCCCATAATCGGGAGCGCCGCGATGTCGTCGGTCGCCTCGTCGCCCGTGTCGCCCACGCAGGAGGACGCGAGGCGGGCGGCCGACACGCTGCTCTCCTTTATAGCCAACAGCGGGCCGAACGCGTTCGTGGACCAGAGCGACTACAACGCCGTCATACGGCTGACCGAGAAGCTGCGGCTGCACCAGCAGGCGCAGCAGGCCGCCGCCGCGAGGGGCGGGCAGGGCCTGGTCGGCGGCATGCAGATGGGCGGGATCCCCATGGGCCTGGGCATGGGCGGCCTGGACCGGATCCCGGAGGGGGACGCCGAGATGGGAAACACCGGGCAGCAGCACCTCGAGGACGGGGGCATGGTCAAGCACGAGGGGACCATGGTATGAGGGGCGGGGCTACACAGAGAGAGAGAGAGAACAAACCGGCGCTCTCCTCTTCTTCCTCTCTTTTTTCTCCCCCCTGCCTGGGGCCGGCGCCCTTTCTCCATTATTGTCACTGTATGTACGTCCTGCTTCTCTTTCTTTCTCCCTCTCTCCTCTTCCTTTATCCCGCTTCCGCGCGCTCGCCTCGCCTCGCCTCGCCAATCCCTCTCGCGGAATCAACCGCGAGAGATATAGGGAGGGGTGGCGAGACGATCCCCCGAAAGAGCAGGGGATGCAACTATCTGCGTCGGAGCGGGAAGATCCACAGAGAGAAAAAGCAAGTCATATGTGTCCCCACTCAACCAGCTTACACATCTTTTTGGTTTCTTTTTCTAGGACTCTCTCTTCCACACTCTCACACACATACGCGTACACACGCACACACTGCTACGGCGTCTGATTACAGCGGGATATTTCCACTCCCTCCACGGGGAAACCAAACCAGGGTCGATTGGCGAGGGGGAACAAAAAAAAAACCAACCACGATCATCGGATACCAACAAGGCCAGCCATCATCGGACTTTACACATTGAGCAACGACGTCTCGCGACGCACCATATTATCATCATCGTCGTCATCCATCCATCATCCCCCGAGGGGACGGACGACAAATCGGAACAAAAGTTCACAGTCAAACAAACCATCAAGACAACTTCGCCCCCAAAGGCCCCCCACAAAATATTGTTATCCTCTTTTGGTCCTTCTTCATCAACACCCAAACCATCATCATCATCGTCATCATCATCGTCAAGAGCGACCGACCTGCGCCCATCACCAGCAGCAGGTCGGCCTCGAGTTACACAACACAACATACACATATACCCCGGACTTATTATTTTTTCTTCCACACGGCACAAGGAAAGAACTCTCCCGCTCACGCGAAAAAAAAAGATCGGAAGGATTCCAGGAACGCCTCTCCCCTTTTTCTCCTTCGACGCCATTTTTTTTCTCTCCACACCAGCTCTATCTCGGCTCTTCTTGCCTCCCCCCTTTCGACTCCTCTTGCATACCGGCTTGGGGAGGACAAGGGGGATGGGGCGCCGGAGGGTTTCACGGGCACCTTGGGTTCAAATCTTTGTCATTTCTCATTTTCATATATATTCTTTTTCTTTTCTTTCACTTTCATTTCTCGTCTTTCCTTGAATCTCCTCTTGATCTGTAGTTTTATGGAAGTTTTCTTTACCGGGGTTTTTCTTTTCCTTTTTTTTTTCCTCTTCTCGATCTACATTTCTTTTTCTTTTCTTACCCCCCATGTGTGCGTCTTTGATGGAAAGGGAAACTGGCCGAAGGAATATGGAAAGATACCTACCGGATTCTGCAAGGGTTGCTGGGCAGGGGAAGGACAGGCGTGCGTTGCGGGCGGGCGGGCGGGCGGGCGGACGGATTGAATGTTGTGTGCCTGGGTACACAGAGAGCACATGGGGACGATCGATACCCAAAGGGGGGAGATGGAGGGATATGGGGATACCCCAAGGTGGCCAGGATACTCGGAATGAAATGGGCGAGGGGGGGTGTTGGTGCACAATGAATGGTATGGTACGGGATGGGATGCATTGGCTTGCATAATGGGATGGGGGAACGAACCACAGGTACAGTATACACAAAGAATTGATACCTCAGAGGGATTTTGACATTGGCTCTCTCTCTCTCTCTCTCTCTCTCTCTCTCGGCCTTTTGACCACCCGTGGACCCCAGGAACCACCAAATATGTTGGATCTCGATTTGTGAGAGGGTTGTTTTCCCTCTGGGCGATTGGGGAGGGGTGAGTGGGTATAAATGATTGGGCCTGGAAAGTTGTCAGCCAGCCCTGGCTGGTATGGGGTAAGGCTGTATCCAGACAGGTAGGTCAGGTCATGTATGTAAGCATGTTGTATGCGGGTGTGTATGCCTGTCTCCTGGGCAGTGGGGCACATACATACAGGGCCAAGCAATACTGAAGGGCACACGCACATTCACACATCCGCACACATCCACACCACATATTTATCTACGGGGATTAGCATGGGTATAGACCAACGGTGTTGTTATTGGCTTCCTGCGAGTCTTTCCTCAACAACCCCCAGCGTTTGCGGCGGCGGCGGCGGCGGTGGTGTTACTAAGATGAGCAAGTGTGGAGGGAGGGGAGATGATGGATGATGGGGTTCGGTTCCCCCCACCACCCACACCACACCACACATCCATGCAGCCCCCCCCCCCACATCTCCCAGGTACTCACTCCTCTTACCAACTTCAGCAAGAACAAGTGAGAAGCTACACAGTACAAGTGAGAAGCCAAAAAGGAAAAAAAGAAAAGCCAACATCTTCCCAAGGGCGGCTATCTGCATATCCAGGACTCGACGATAAGCAAATCATAATCGTCAATCAATATGCCGACCCCCCCTTTCAAATGTTCCCAACTTTCCGCCCCGAGAAATCCTTCGCAAAAAGAAGAAGCACACCTGAGGAGGGCATGGCATGCATTGTGAACTTGTGAAGTGTGTGAATTGAGCGGGCATCTCGAATAATAATGAGTGATAGGGGCGCTCCTCCTTGCCCCTCCATCCACCACCACCACCACCACCACACACTCTTTGTTTCCGCCCCTTGCATCCTGCTGTGATGTGGTGGTGGTGGTGGTGGTGGTTGGCGGTGGTCGTCGGCGCGAAGTGACAGCTCCAGCAGCGGCGGTGATCAACAACCCGTTGTTTGAGAGCTACACTAGCTAGCCCGCCTGGCTAGCCCCTCCACACCCCCCGCGTGGTTGCATCGGGCTGGTGGTATCTCCCCCTTGTACTTTTAACACCGGCCACTCACTGCCAGTGGTGGGCGAGTGTGAGAAGACAACGTCGCGAGTGAAATTGAACAGGCTAGGGCTCTGAGAGCATCAGAATACCACTGTGTAGATAGGCAGGTCAGGTAAATTAGTAAACTGGTTGATTAATGAATGAATGAATTAATTAATTAATTGGCAAGATCGGTCGGGTCGGTAGTGAAATTCTATTGTTCTATTGTGTCTCTGCTTGCTGCAGGTAGCCGCCGGCCGGCCCGCATAACCAAAAAAAAAAAAACGTCCCTCTTCACTAGCGGCCCTCGATCATCGCCGCCCGCCTCGGGTACGGTACGCAGGGCAGGGCAGTAGTATGGTTCGTGGCGTGTCTGGCGCGTCTGGCGGGCTGGGCTGGGCTGGAACTGGGCCGGGTTGGGCGCGACGGACGGGATGCTGCTTCTAAAACAGACCAGACCGCTCCGGTAGATGGGGCCACTAACTAGAAGGCGGGGAGGAGAACCAAGAACCAGAACATGACGTTCTCTGGGTCCGGCCGATGCTGGGATATCACCAAGGCAGCTTTGGCAGAACAACGAAGGCAGGCAGGCAGACAGGCAGGCACAACGGTCGGTTCGAGGCGACGGTCTGTCAGGTCAGGTGGTGCAGCAAAAAGCCGTCAAATGTGGATGACCAGTCAGGTTTTTAATCAATCCATGTGCCGCGAGCTAGGAAAGAGGCTGGTTTCTGGCTGGTTGTTGCGTTTGGCGACGTGCATATAACCCACACGCAATAGACTGACCATACTACCACACACACACACACACACACACACCCCCACACGCGCGCCTCAGAAAAGGGTATTAACTCAAAGGACAATGCATATCTACATACATTCGAGATGGAGGGAGGGAGGGTAGCGGTGGGGTCCCAGAGGACAAAACCCGCGGGCGGCCGTGGCTTATTGCACGCAACACGCCTACTTGCTTTGCCTGCTCTGCCCGCTCCATCCCGCCCTATATCAGAGCAACCCCAGGCCCTGCTCTAACCCGAAAGACGCGATCTAGATTGGGCCAGTAGAGGAAAGCAAGGAAGAATCAAGAAGAAAGAAGGAGAAAAAAAAAAGGAATTTTCCCGGGGGGTTCAGGGGATGGGTGGGTGGTTGTGGCGCGACCATGGCAGGGGGGCACAAGGAGATTGACTACTTTCTTCAACTCAACCTCTCCTCCCACAGCTCCACAACACCCTTCTCGGCCAGTTCCGGCACCAGCCTGACCAGGACCAGCTCCAGGGCGCCGTACATGAGGTGCTTGTTGCAGTAGGGATCGCTGAAGACGTCCAGGATCCCAGCCTCGATTTCGGAAATGATGCGCGCGTCTGCGTCCCGGGGGAGCTGCTGGGGGTCCAGCTCTGGGCCGCCGCCGCCGCCGCCGTTTATATGTGCCCGTTGGTTCTGTTCATTAGCAGCAGGCGAGGCAGCAGCAGCAGGGTGGTCGGGGTGGGCGCCAGGGTCAGCGGCCCAGGTGTTGGTGCCAATGTCGGTGTTGGTGCCGGCGTTGGGGGCCGGACCGGACCGCGACAGCGGCAGCTCATCGTCACCGGCGGCCCTGTCGAGCCATCGCGCCAACCACGCCGCGGCGCTGCCGCCAAACAACAACCTGCCAACCGGCTTGGGGGCGAGGCCCCACAGCGCGCTAGCACACCTGCGCCGCAGCGCGAGCAGCTCCTGGTCCGACGCGGGCGGGAAGAGCGTTGGTGTGCCCATGGCGTTGTTGGGGAACAGGGCGCCGCGCAGGTTGCGCAGGGCCGTGGGTACGAGTGCCGGGTCGAGGACGTGCTGCCGGATCGAATCGGAGAGGAACCTGTTTCGCGGGTTGGCGCGGGCGCCGCACGGTTAGCAAGATTGAAAAGGGTAGCACACGACAGGGAAAACAGGTGCTGCGATTTCAACCGGCTGAATACTGGGGCGGCATCAAGATGCAGGTCGGGATCGCTGGACGGGCCAGCTGCCAGCCAGGGGAGTTCAGCACGGGCAGGGAAAGTAGGAAAATGAAATAGGAAAAAAAGGACAGGGGCCGACGGCAGGAAACTGCGATCTCATAACCACAGCTGCTGGGCCGCGACGAGAATGCTACCGTTCGGGAAGCAGGGCGTGCTAGTATGAGGCCCTCGCAGCAGCAGCAGCAGCAGCATCGCCGCAGCGCAAAGTGCGGCACAAGACATGTGTTTCGGGGGGGACGAGGGGCTGCGTAGACAGGGCAGGGCGGTCGCCCCATCATCGGACAGGATTGACCGGTTTGTAGAAGCAGCAGGCGAGCAGCAGGGCGAGCAGCATCGAGTGCCTGTGATGCCGTGCGGGGACGGGTCCGAGATGGTGTGCAGGACACGGCTCGGTGATCAGGGTCGAATAGGGCCAAGCCGATGGACAGCTTGCCGGGGGCCCTGGCCGCCCCAAAGTGTTCCCCAATGGTGGGTGTGTGCGTGTGTGTGTGTGTGTGTCCCCCCCGCCAGCCCGCCAGCCCAGCCCAGCCCAGCCCAGCCCAAGACCGCCCTGTCTCTGGCATCCCGCAAGCCGATGCGGCATTCCGAACGGCGGTCCAAGGTAACAGACACCGGACGAAATTCGCCCTGACAGTGGGGGGCTGGTGGGCAGGACAGGACTGACGCAGGGCCAGCAGCAGCAGCAGCAGCAGCAGCAGCAGCAGCAGCAGCAGCAGCAGCAGGGCCTCCAGCGCACAACAAGACCTCCGCCATTGGGCAGCCATGCGCCCTGCAGCAGCCTGCCGTTGGGCGAGTATCGAGGTCCCTGGCTATAATGACGGCGGTGTCCAGACCGAGTGTCTGTTGGAAGGGCGAGTTCCGCGACAGCGACAGGTGGATGGCAGGATGGGCAGCAGCACCTCACGCCTCGCGGGTGCAAGACTGACTGCAGAGTCCAGGAAGTCAACGCAACGTGCGCGGGTTTTGTCTCGGCACTGTCGAGGGCTGTCGAGGGCTGTCGTGGGTCTGGATGGATCCCGTCGTACCCATTGGGAATGGTCGGGTCCAACTCCCGGAAGTTTGAGTCTCGTCTGGCAGGGCCAGCAGGGCCAGGTGAAGAATGAACGAGCCCAGGAGGGAAGCCAAAATGTAACCGCGCAGGGCGGCCGGCAGGCTAGTGGAGCGGCTCGCATCCATCCCATCATCCCATCTTTTCCCAAGCGTGTGTTGGAAGGAAGGTAAAGGTGGTTGATCAGCCGGCCGCACCCTTGCAGGTGAGCCCTGGGCTTGGCAGCTTTGATGACGGGCGCGTAACCGCAGCTCGCTGGTGGCCGGCCGGGCAGAGGCCTGCCTGGCCTGCCTGGCCTGCCTGGCCTGCCGAGGGCCTATCGCTCAATCGGAAGCGTGCATGGCGGCCACATGCCGCAATTGGCCAGCCAGGGCAGAGCCATGCCAGCCATATTCCAGCCATGCCAGCCATGCCAGCCATGCCAGCCATGCCAGCCATCTGGAGAACGGCTGCATGAACCCCGTCTTGCGCCAGCTTCTGTCGGGGCTTTTGTGGCTGCCGATTTGGCCGCAGCCCATCGCCGGGGCGTGTTCCACGGCAGGCCCTGATGACTCGGGCTGCACGGGGCATACTCCGTAGTCGCCTATTCCTCTCGCCTATTCCTTTCGCCGTCCCCAGCCTGCATTGCATGCACATTGGCCGCCGAAGCCAAACCAAGGTCCACACACCACCTCCACTTCCACCTCCACCTCCACACATCCACCCCTCCAGCCCTCTCAGCGCCGCACAAAGCTTCCTGGCATAGTGCTCACCCAGATGCCCGCCCTCAGCCCGACCCATGGCCCATGGTAGGTGCTAAGGAGCCCACTTGGAGCCCGCACCGCACCACACGAGGAGGGTGGGCACTACCCACCATCGCACTTGCGACCGCAGCATTGACTTTTCCAGATGAGTGGGAGGATGCATGGTCAAGTGACCAGTCCCGCATGCGGTGTAACGACCGGAGCGTGGGGATGAGATGAGAGTAGGGTGTGTGCTCTGTGCTCTGTGCTCTACTCGTCTGACAAGAAACATGAAAATGGCTTTCCTACCTGTCAACGACCCCATCAAAGCCAGCCACGCGCCCAGGCCCGGCGATGGCAAGCCACTGCACCATGGATAGATTGCCGCACAGCCAGGGCATGCGCCTGTCCATCTCCAACCAGTTCGAGATGGTGGTCCATATGCTGAAGGCCAAGACCGGCGTTTCGGCGGCTCCTGAAGATAATTCGGCAGGGGACTGCGCCCCCGGTTTCGTCCTTGCTGACCCGCCACCGTAACGGCCCGACTCGTTCGTGCTCAGCGGCCAGACGCGGCGTCTGGAGGGCAGGTTTCGGCTGGTGGCCAGCGTCATGACGAGGACTCTGACCAAGGTGGTGAACGCGAACACGTAGTGCACGAGGGACCAGAACAGGCCCGGGATGGAGAGACGCCTGGCGCCCTGCCCGCCGGGGCTCCTCCCGCTCGTCATGCGCGATCTGCGGGCGTCCTTCTGTTTCCGCTCGAGGACATCTGACAGGATGGTCAGGCCTGTCCAGATCATCCATGGCTCTGACACCTTTTTGGCGACGACGCCGCCAATGATCATCTCGGACAGGATCTCGCCAACCAGGGACGTCAGACACTCATTCTCCAGGTCCTCGGTGGGCAGGAGGACGGCCAGCACGCCCTGGACGAGCAGCTGTCGGTACGCCACCTCGTTCTCGGCCTGTTCGGAAACGGTGCTGGGGTTGTCGGCGTCGGGGATTGGAGATAGCTGGGGCAGGGGGCACAGCGCATGGTAGATGGCCCGCGGGTCGGCCTGGACCGGGAACTGTACGATTGGAGCGCGGGATGCCCGATAAGCTATAATAGGCGCAAGGCCACCATCAGCTGCTACTCTCTTTCCCGCGTGCCAAATCATCCCTCATGGGCGGAGAAGGCAGTGCTGCAAGAGGGGGAGAGTAGAGGGGGGGGGGGGGCTGACCCTGAATGTGTCTGTCCAACAGATCCGGGAGCTCGTCCAGCAGCAGGCTCTCAACGTCGATCTTCCTCAGCCTCTGTTCCAGGGCCCGCGTGACGTGTGCGATGATGTGAACAATCTCGGCGACAAATGTCTCGTCCGGGGTGATCTTGTTGTACCACGCCTGCACAAAGTCGCGTAGAATGATGGCAATGATGGCATACAGCTGTAGGTCGACGTCGTTGCGGCTCGTCAGGGGCGGCAGGAGGTCATGGATCGGAGCTGGGGTCGCCCGGCCCCGGTCGGAAGCCTGCTGGGGGCAGAGGACGCGGCGGACCAGCTGGGCTGTCGCCTTGTCCGAGAGGAAGTCTGTGGGCGTGGCATTGGAGCGGGTGCTGCGTCGCTTCGAGACGTTGGAGCTGGTGCGTGAGTGCTTCGACCCCGGCCGCTTGGGGCCGTCGGGCAGGGTGTTGGATGCGAAGGCCGCAGACGCTGTCAAGGGGTCGACGCCGGCGGCGGATAGGAGGCTGGAGCTGGAGCTGGAGTTCGAGCGGTCGAGGGCGCCGAGCTGCGCTTCATTTGCCATGGCCGATCCGTGCAGGCTCGCAGCATCTTTCGGGTCGTGCTGGTGCTGCCTATCAACAGGGCATCTCGGCGGGTGGGTGTGATGGCACGTCACAGCTTATTAAATGAGGAACAATGGACCGTGACGTCGACGTGAGGGTTGCGAGGAGCTTATCGTGTGTGGTTGACCCGGCAGGCATGTGAGCTTTGCTGGTCTCTCTGTGCTGTCGTCCAGGATTATGTAATCCCTCCTTGATGTGACAATACGGAGTACCGTTACAGACAAAAACGGTAGGCTGCGGTGTTACGTGAACGTAGCAGCCTTGCTTCTGCAAAAAGTGTGGTTGATTTTTATATCAAGCAGAATCGGTTGTTGAAGAATTTCCGTGACACGCCCAACATCCCCGGCAGCTCGAGACGCGGTTCAATTAAAGTTTTGGCGGTCTGCAGCTCGAGTAAAAAGGTCCACCCGCCAGCACAGCAGCGAACCACCGCTACCGTGGCCCCGGTCTGCCGGTACGGAGGTACACGGTAGACCCCCAAGACGGACGGCAACGGGATGGCACTCTCGGCAGGCGGGTGATCGGCACCGGGCATGGCCATCAGAGCCATGCTTTTGGTAGCCCTTCGGTTGGTCCCTAATACTACCGCAACGGCCCCTAGAGAATTGCTGCGGACCGTTTTCCTGCGTTGAGACACATCGAAGCAATAGGTCTGGTCCAAGTAGAGCTGGCTGAAATAGATCTCTTCCCTCATCTATCTGATAGAATCCAGGGTGGAGGATTGTGAGAGGATATTCTGTTTCTACTCACTTCACATAACTCCTGGCCTCTCGGGTTAACTCTTCTGCGTTTGAGGAAAAGGTATTCCGGGGAGCTTAGAGTAGGTCGTCATAGAAGGAGGAAGGTTCTTCTTGGAGAGAGTGTCTCGAAGGAAAATTACTGTGGCAATTTTCATGTGTTGAGTGACACACGTCCAGTGACTGCTTGCACAAAGGAATGCTATCAAAAGACCAGAATATCAAGGCAAGCAGACTTGAAATCAAAGCAGTATACAAGCCCTATTCGACACAGCAGGGTTGAGTCTAGTGACGGTTTTCAGAATCCCCATAGGGAGTGCTGCGGTAACCTGAGTCTCCCCATTGTATCTCTTGCCTTGATTCCTGACCGGGAATAGACCAGAGCCGTAGCGGAAGATTGACCGGCTACAAACGACGATGGGTCATTTTCACATATCGCAGCATGAGTCTGCCATGGTCTCCAGGGCTGTCTACTTAAATAGTTAAACACTTTGGAAGATGAGGCAGTCTAGCTCAGAACTCAGAAGTCAGCAGGACTCAGAAAAGAAATGGAATCACAGCCTTGCTTACCGAGGACCCACTCACTCGCCAGGAGTAACATCGCCTTGCTTTGCGCCCTGAAAGATGTCTATCATCTCTCTTGGGTCGGCTCGGAACGGGTATGGTCCAAGTGACAGCGGAGCTAGATTCCTCGAGTTGATGTTGACTACTCTCCCCTGGACATTCCCGCCGACAAGACCACATGCAGGCATCCTCATCACGGCCTCGGCGCAAGCGGTATCTGGCTCCCAACAGCCTCCGCAATCTCGAACCTCTGGCCGGGCGCCGCATACACGGGCACGCTCTGGTCGTCCACGCCCCACCCGAACAGCGACGAGAAGTTGGTCTCCCACTCGTTGACCCGGTACATGTCCTGCCAGAACGGGCCCTCGGGGTCCTGCGTGAAGTCCAGCATGGCCGCCTCGACGGCGGCGCCGAGCTGCTCCTCACCCGCGAGGGCGTTGTTGTTGTTGTCGGCGGCGGCCACGCCGGGCGCCCCCACGCCCGCCTGCCCCAGCAGCACCTCACGGCCCCCGCCGCCGGAGGAGGACTCGCCCCTGTTGTTGTTCTCGCGCTCCACCGCGGCGAGGAGCTCCGCCCGCAGCGGGATGCGCAGCTGCAGCAGCCGCGTGTACAGCGTCTCGAGCGGGTCCAGCGCGTCGCGGCCGGGGGCCCTGCCGGGCACGAGCACGTCCTCCTCCTCTGGCGCCCGCCACGCCCCGCCGCTGCGCCTCTCCAGCATCCACTTGACCTCGGCGATCTGCACGGCGAGGAACTTGTCCGCGTCGAGCTGGCGCCGCACGACCGCCAGGTCCCAGCCCGGCAGCGCGAGCGTCGACAGCCTCAGCGACGTGAGCATGGCGTACGTGTAGTCGAACGACGACAGGCACGTCTGCCGCGGCCGCTCCACCATCGGCACCTCGAAGCGCGCCTCGAGCATCGACCGCGTCGCCTTGAGGCACTCCCACAGCAGCTCGAGGCGCTCCGTCACGGGCAGGGACGCCGAGAGGTCGTCGTGGATCCCCACCTCGTACAGCAGGATCTCGGCTATGTGGAGCTGGGTCTTGATGGCGGCTGCTTGTGGGGTCAGCTGTGGCTCCGTATGGGGGTGGTTGCTGGGACCAACCGTGTTTCTTCACGCTCTCGGGTATCGAGGCCCGCAGCTGTGCGATCTGCTCCTGGAAGCTCTTGATGATCATGGACAGGGGCAGGCTCGCGTTGCGGAACGCCAGCGTCATGGAGATGGACTGGGAGAGCTGCTGGGTCCGCGTGAGGTATACGATGAACTCGTCCGTCGGGTACTCCATCTTCTCTTCGATGACCCGGCAACATGACTCCAGGTAGGTCGTGTTCATGAAGGCGTCCGGCTTCTTGTTCGTGGTGAATATCCTGCAGCATACCATTCAGCTCAGCTGGTGTGCTCTCCACGGGGACCCCCCGGGAAGGGACAGACATTGTCACCAGATAGTATACACCCGTGAAAGCCCGCTTCTGCTCCAGGCTTGTGGAATCGTGCTCCTGGTTGTTCATGGCCTCCTGGGACTCCGAGAAACCGAGCGACACGCACATGGAGCGCATGAGGTATAACAAATTGGTTATCTGGAAGCTCTGTAGCTTCACATGCCACCTGAAGTCCCCAACCGTCAGCTTCAGAACGCCCCGTCTGGCCTCTTGAAGAGGGAGACTTACCAAGCGACAAGGATCTCCAAGGCCTGTAAGAGATCAAAGCTCTTCTTTGGCTGGACGAAACACGCCGTGACAATGTCGTTGAGCAGCTCGTTGCCAAGCGGGATCTGGCGGCCCGCGTCCAGGCAGAGAGTCTGCATCATGACAGCCTTCCACAGGTACGGCCTCTCTCTCCGCAACTGCTCCGAGTTCATATGTCTTGGTATGACGATGAATGGGAATATGGGCTCCACTGCGGAAAGGTCAGGATAATACTCCAAAACAGGCGGGGCAGGGGAGAAAGAAACAAGGACGCAGAGTTGATACTCACTGTGCTCGCGGTACTCAGCCAACCGCTTCTCAGCCTCCTCGCCCCTGGGCCACTCCGGCCCAGACTGAGAACCACCCTGCGCAAGGCTCCTGCTCCAGTCATGCCGGCCAAGGTACGTGGGCGAGCCCCGGGAGGCCTTGTCCCCATCATCCCGCAGCGCCGGCGTGGCAACACCGGGCGTCTTGTGCGAGAGCACGGGGCTGTGCGATGGCCGGTGCCGGCTGGCAGCAGCAGAGGCAGAGGCAGAGGCAGAGGCAGAAGCACCACGCCCGTCCTCATCGTGCGTCGGGCTCGCGGCGCCGCTCTCCTCGCCGCCAAAGATGTAGCCGAACGCCGGCTGCGGCGGGCCCACCTCCCACGGCGACCTCTTCGCCCGCTTGGCGGCCCGCGAGAGGTTGGAGCTGTTCTCGGCCGGGGACTCGCCCTCCGAGGGCGTCGGGGTCCGGCCCTGGGCCTGGGCCTGGGCCTGCTGCCGTGACTCGACGCGGGCGCTGAGGTCCTCGAGCCTCTTCTCTAGCTCTGCGACGCGCGTGGGCTTGGGGGCCTTCCTCTTCCGCGGCGGCGCTGGGGTTTGTGCTGAGCAGGGCTTGTTTAGCCGGTCGCATCTGTGTTGGACTGCTTGTCAGTCATTATTTTGTGCGATCTTGGTCTGCTAAGATCATGATGTTCAGTGACCAGGTATCACCTCGACAGCATGATGCTTGTATGGAGGAGACCTCGGGACATTGTGATACGAGTGCTGGGGCCCAGGGCCCGGTGGAGTGGGCTCATCGACTAGCACTATTTGTCACGAAGGAATCATCTCCGGCGGAGAAGAGAGAAGTGCCCGCGGAGCACTTCGACTCCGTACTGTGCTCGTCCCCCCGGCCCCGGACGGCCCCAACCGTATGCAGATATAAGGTCCGCATCGCTCCGGTAGTCTATCTGGAAACTTACCTCTCGCAAACACCATCCCTCGGACCGGGAATACAACGAGACTTGGCCTATGTGGCCGAACAAGCGAGTGGTCAGCCCCGGCTGCACCTGCAAAGGTATATGATTACGGACGCTTGACCTACTTTGGCACAGGTGGCGCATGCCTTCGGGCCTTTGTTATTGGCCTTGACCTGTTGGTCGTGGTCCATCTTATCGTGTAAGTGAGGCCTGCATGTGCCTCGGTGCTGGCGGGAACGGAGGACCGGAACGGATCACCAACACTAGCAACCTTATTGAAAGTAATCGAGGAATTTGGAAGCGATACGATTGATGGCGTGAAAATCGTTTACAAACTTGTTCGGATCCGACGGAGTCGCCGTCAAAGCGGCCAGTTCTCCTGGATCCTCTGCCTACGTGGAGCGGAGTCGGATGAAAGGCGTTGCTCCGTTGGAGTGATTCGAGCGAGGTCCGGCCCCGCCTGTTCCCAAACGGAATGTCCCAGTTTATGGGCAAGAAGACGGAAGACTGTTGCAATCCCAGGGACCAGGATAGCGCTTATATAAGCTGGACTTACACGCCAAGCTCTGTGAACTGGCATCCACCTGGGCATAGATCTCACAATGAAGGGGCCCGAGCGAGGACGCTCCAGTCAAGAACCGGTTGCTGTGTTGAACCCGCGTTTCTATTCCATAGAGGACACTTGGGGAGAGGTTGAGAGAAGAAAACCAAAAAATCCCCAGACCTACAATCTAATAGTACCCTGGTTGGAAACATCCTAGCAGATTCAAGCCTATACCGCGTGTATCAATGAAGAACACGGGCGGGCTTTGCATTTCGAACTTGATGGCCACAATCTGAAGTAGGTGTGTTGTACGTGCATGCAACCAGGCTGGTTCACCCCAAGGGCCATGGTTACGGTAGCCAACGACACGCAACGGACAGGATATGGAAGTGCATGATGAAGGCAACAACCTTCCCGTCTCTTGGGATATCTCCCCGCTCAAAGACAACACATGGGACGAGTTGTTAAATGTGCGTGCGAGTAGCAACGCAGATGCATCCATACCTAGATATCTCAGCTGGAGATGATGATGCATGCGAAGTCCCCTGAATTCGCCCGTCCGTCAACCCGCACATGTGCAAGCACAGCCAGATGCTGCCAACAAAACAAAGTCCTCATCCCCGCAACGCGTGTTCCTCAGCCACCTAACCGCCCAGGTTCAAGCCCCTCATCTCTGCCTCCAGGTCAGCCAGGGTGCGGAACTCACGGCGTGCGCCACGAGGGTCCAGCAGCCCATCAGGATCTTTGACCTCGTAAACATGGCCGTTGCCATCGTCGGCGAGCTTGACTACCCGAGGGTGGACCGCAGCCTCGGGGGCCTTTGTGTGGCCGCGGGCCATGTCGATCTCGTTGATGCTGCGCAGGGTGCTGAAGGCCTCGGCACCTGAGACGTCTGTCGGGCTTTCCTCGTACAAATCGAAGTACGCGATGCCGATCGAGGCGTACTGCAAAGGCTCGAGTCAGAAGTTTGTCACAAGTGAAGGGGGCAGGAGGCTATAGCTCGATCCCATCCCAGAACCTAGGCCCAAGACACCCAAAGAGACTTTTCTTTGGAAACGTCTGGTAGCCCACCCAGAGCAAAGGAAAAGCATAGCCAGGAGCATGGGAAATAGTCTTACAGTTTCTGCGTCGATCGGACAAGGGGGCGGCTCAAGGCCAGTGACCTCACGAAACGTCTGGTTGTCGAGGATCTGGACAGGAATGGTGAGGGTCAATCCTCCCATCCACTTCTTGGGGTCGTAAGTGTCCCTTCGAATGTCCTGCTTGATCATTCCTCCGGCAGCTATTCCCATCCCTTCGCGCTTTGCCGGGAGGGGACCGCCACCTCGGAAACGCAGTACCAGGTGCAAAGTGCTTTCCTAAAGTTGGCGTGGTCAGCATTATGTGCAAATAAGGGAATTAATTGACGTGGTGTATGAAAAGAAAGTTATTGTGGCTAAGAAGGCCCAATTACCGTCTTCATTTTGTAGTCGCGCGGAGTTTGGTCAGGCTCTAGCTGTTTTCCGCTGAAAATCAGCCGCTGTTGGTCAGGTAGAATGCCTTCCTCGTTATAGATCTGGTCCATGATGCTGCTGATATCGTCATCTGGAGAGCATTTCAGATTAATGATCTTGTTTGTCAGAGTTCTGACGAAAATGTCAAGGATTTCCGTAGACTCGCGATCTTCGGGGTCACCTACGAACAGTAAGCAAGTACCAAGTGGCATAGGTATGTACAAAATATGACTTACACAGAGCGGGCGTGATCTCAAACTGCAATCCTCCAACAATCTCTTTGCCCGTAAGCTGTGCCTCAACTGTATAACCGTGGCCGATGGGCATGCTGTAGGGATCAGCCATCGAACAAATCGACCAGAGTCACCGGCTGTCTAAGAGTATTGTCGAAAGACAGCCAATTCATGGGGGAATAAGTTTCTGATGAAGCAACTTACGCAACAAATTGACGGACAACCGAGGGTTTGACGGCAACACCATCGATCCAAGGCTGCTTTGGCACGACAACATAGTCCTGAATGGACTTGCCGCCTTTGGCCAGGTTCAAGCGACGCTCCTTCGTCTCGGCATCCTCATCGCTGTGCTCGCCGGAGACCACGTTCACGCCTCCACAGTAGATCTTGATCATGAAAGGAGCATTGGCCTTGAACTTGATCCACAAGGCTTCCTTCTGGTGCATCGGGAAGAAGAGTCCTCCCTTGTCAACCATGTCTTGGGGCAGGGAGGAGGCGTAGTCCTGGACCTTGTAGAGTTTGAAGAAGCCAAGGCCGGGAGGGAGGTTTTGAACTTCGCCGCTGTCGGGAACGCGGATGGTTCGGCAGAAATAGATCTCAAGACCCTGTGGCACCTTTGAGTCAGGAAGGATGCGGTCGACGGCGATCGCATCCCGAGGTTTATGGCCATCGCCCTTTTTGATCGAGCAACGGTACTCAACCCTGGTCATCTTGATGACTTGATGAGGCCGTGATTGTGTTGAGAGTCTTCGGTGGTTTCTCGGCAGATAGGGTGGAGGGAAGGTTGTGGGCAAAGCTGAGAGGTGGGTGGGCAAGTATGTTTTGTATGTAGTGCGCCGGGCTTTGGTTGGCGACTGTTTGCATTTCCAGCATTGGAGCCTGTAGGTAGCAAACAGAAAGATCTCTTTGTCCACATGCCTCAAATTTAGACACGCAGCTGCTTGACCGCCGAAAAGCTCTAGGAGAGGTCTGGTAAACGGGTAGTTACATACTACCTAGGTACGTACAACACTTTCATTAAAACCACCCGAGCAATCCTTGAGGGCTGGACGCTTGTGTGCAGATTGGCAGTGCAGGGCTTCACGTGCTTTATAATGTGACAGAAATCCTAGGGCTGTGAACGAGCTTGGGCATAAAGAATATGCACATGTTTTCAGTCCATCGGTATTGAAATCAAGGTTGAATTTTCTGAAGCAATAGCAAAACACGATTTTAACGTTTGCGCAGTCATGTAATCAATAAGCTTATTTATGAACCCATTGTGTCGCATGGTCTTGAAGGATATTTTTCTGTTGCAACCTCAGATCCAGGCCGTGGCCCATCTTAACCTACCAAAGGCATGTCCTGCCCTTTCAGGGACCTCTAGCACAAAAATTGAAGTGACTTGCTGTCCACTACGAAACCAAATGCTCTCTACCTCCTTGTCAGTATAAATTCTTCCTTCACTAAGGCACAAATTCCTCGGATCTTGCTTTTGGGAATCCATCGAATCAGTGGTCCAACTTGCTGATACATCTACCACTGGAAGCTCCTGGCCTCCAGGCGTCTTTGTTGCACAGCAGTCCTCGACCAAGATACAATCGTATCCTCGGTAATAAGCATCAAGCAAGGTGCCGTGCACGCACTGGTTGGTGTTCACGCCAGCGAACAGCAGTGTGTGAATATCATGTTTCTTAAGAGCGTGAGAGAATGCGGTCTCCCCGTTCCAAAGCCCGGAAACCCTATCCTTGTGACAGATTATGTCCTTCGCTGTATCGCGCACCTCGGCAACTGTCTCATACAGTTCGGCGTCCCACGACCCAGTCATGAGGCAACGGGAGTTCCACTGTTATTGGAACTGTATTTCTTGAAACGCTAGGTCTTGAGCGTTTACCACTGTATGAAGGCACCACATACATTTTATATGTATGGGGATTAAAAACGAAACCACCTGGCAAAGGTTTAACCGCCATGTACAACCGGCGCCTGCTCCATGTAGTCTATCCTATTTGTACAAATCCGCCGGTCCCGTCAGCAGGCCCACCGCGATATTATCATCGTCATTATCGTCATCCGAAGAGGACGCGTCACATAACGGTTCGTCGTCTAAACCGAATCCATAAACACGGCATACCTCTTGTGGCTTCAAAAGCTCAGGGTTGAACACGAACCCCGCCGCGACTTTTGCGGCATGTTCGCGAATCAGATCTGCTACGGCTAAATGGCTCCATTTTTCAGCCTTGAAAATGGCGCCGTCATATCCACTTAGACCACGAACGCAGCTTAAAGCATTGGTGTTGAGGAGGAACTTGACCATGTCCAGCCGCCCCGCATCGGCAGCGACATCTAAAGCTGTCCCATCTGCCGTTGTTGCGTTGAGATCGGCGCCCTCGCGGAGCAAAAGAGCAGCCAACTCTAGATCCCCGCTCCTCGCTGCCATCCCAAAAATCGTGATCTGTTTTCGAGGGTATTTGGGGTTGATGTATGCGCCTTGGTTGATCAAGAGAAGACATATTCTCATCTTGCTTTGGTGTTCCTCTTCGGTGGCAGGGGGCCAGGCGCAGATGGCTTCCAGCGCTGTATAACCTTGCATATGACGACCGCGCGGGGGACTGTTAACATCGGCGCCTTCCCGTAGGAACAGACGGACCAAATCCTCGTCTCCTCTGAGTGCTGCGATCTGAAGAGGGGTGAATTCACATTCATTATGATTGGCCCAGTATGCATTCAAGTCAGATCCGGAGTACAAGACGTCTCGAATGAGGTCTTTCCGCGCATTCATCGACACCAGGGCTGCAAGGGGGGAACCTGGGACGACCTCCGCCCCTTTCCTGAAGAGGTATTCGAATACCTCCAGTCTCTTCTCTTGTTGGTTTTCTTCCGCCCTTCCGCAGCCTTGTGCGAGACAAGTTTCTAACAGAGATGATGGGAGACGGCCCGGAATCCTGTGGCTTGGCAATGTGCCGAGAAAGAATTTGATCTTGGCCAACAGATCAGATGTGTTGCTCTCCCGAAGCAGATGGTAAGCAAAATCGAGTGATGTTGTGTCTTCGGGAGTGACGATTAACCTTGCGCCATGTTTGGCCAACAATTGAGTCATCTCAAGGCTGCAGCCACTGTCAGGCAGGTCGAAAAAAGACCTAGGAATGGCGGCCTCAGTTGCGACTGCCTGGATGCTGTACTTCCGGAGTTTCGAAATGACGAATGCGTTGGGATCGACGCCCATTCGGAACAGGGCCTCGACGTCTTCAAACTTATTCAACCTCGCTGCTCTTACCAACGCCCGAACGGCCTTGCTCGCGAAGTCTTTCGGAAGTGGCGTCAGACACCCCAATCCGCCGGTCCCGTGCTGTGCAACAAAACTTTCTAGAACGAGTTCACCTATGACTCCCCCATGGGCAAGGAAGACATCCAGCAGGGCTGTTCTTTCTTTCACAGTAGCGAATTGATGCCAGGCGATATGCAGATATTCAAGTCGTGAATTTAATATCCGCCGAGGAGTGTCGATGATACTGTTGTGGCATTCTGGGTCCCATTCATTAATTCTCCAAAAGTCATGGACATCAAGCGCGACAGAAGGCCTTTCAAAGTCGACACCAAGCTCGAAAAGACCTTGCAGGATCCTCATATCGACTGATATAGACATCTCAAATTGTTCAGCAAGGAGCAAGTCCAGTAATGACTGCACGTATCGTGAATCGAAGGGCAACCCCGGCAGGCGAACTGAGAGATATTCCCTCGTTTTCTGCAAGCCTTCCTCCAGAGCGACTAGGAGGCCGGTTCTGGTGACACTGAAATCGGGTACTCTGCTGTGGGCTCGGGCTTTGTCGAACATTGAGCGGTTAATGTAGAAAATCTCGTCTAGAATAGTTGGTCTTGTCGCGTGAAGAAGCTCGTGTCGGGCGACCAGTCTTTTCCACCTGCGACTCAATCTCCATCTGGCACTTTTCTGGTCAACGTCCGCACCATTGGCCAAAAACAACTCCAGTGCAAGCCTGTGCTCTTCATTGCTTCTCTCCAGGTTTGCAACGAGGTCTTGAAACATTGACCTATCCTCTTGAGCTCTCAAGTGCGACTGTACCCTTCTGGCATTGACATTGCAGTGACGAAGCAACAGGCTCGCGCATGCAACATTGCCTTGCCTACATGCGACCAGGATTGCTCTGAAACTGTCTCGCCACCAGTGACCGCAATTGGATTCGCAGCAGTAGGCGACGATTCTGCGCAAAATATCGTCGCAATCCATCTCGACGGCACAGCAGAGATAATTAGCTGAATGCCAGGAGTCTAGCCATTTTTTATGGATTCCAATATCGATCAAGGCCCGGAATGTACATCGTCGCTTCTTTATCATAGAAAACCGAAACAAAGACTCCCACGCAGCTCTGGCGCTTGGCAGATGACTTTGTAACAATGTTGATGTCAGGATAGGATCGCGGTCGACCATGGAGCACAAAATCTGAAGTCCTTGGTCGCCATCCTCGTTGTCGTGGAGATCGTTCGATAACAGGAAAATGGCCGTTGAGAGAAAATGGCTGAGCTCAATCTGGCCTCCCGACTTTGCGACTCTGTATCCGAGATCGGGTGAGGGTCGTGGCGGAATGAATCGACAATCCCGAAGCAAGTCCAAGCGAGTTTCGGAGGGCAGTATTTCATGACGGGCCTGGGACCGGACAGCGTGGGCTGTGGCGCTTGTGGCCATGAACTCATTCAAAACCGACGAGAATGAGAGTTCGAGTTGTCTTGTCTGTTTTCCGTCATGAAAAATGTCTGCAATAGAGAAGGCGATGTAAGGATGCATTTATGTTAGAGGGGTGATCGATCACACTTACGCTGCACCGACTGACACATCTCTAGCCAAGGGATGCTCGAGGCGCACCATTGAAGAAGATAGACCGAGAAGGAGTACGTCAGGCTCCTTTCTCGCAAAGGCGGAACCACAGAAGTTTGCAGTTGGAAGGGTGCTTCGAATGTCTTATCTGTGGATCGCTTCGAAACCACGGATACACTTGGCATAACTGTTGGCGGAGTTCGTGGCGAAGCAATTGACTCCGGCGATGGGCTCCGAATTGTGACTTCAGGCGGCAGCGCACTTGGGGCTGCCACAAACTCGCATATCAGACCGCTGCAGTCGGCTTATTTCTGTTGTAGAGTTTTTACTTACATGACTCCAGATCTAGTCCTAGGGCACCCGATCTCCTGATTTCTTTCCAAGCCTTGTCCCATGGTATTGGAGAGCCGTTGAGGTGAATGATTGTTTTCCTCTTGAGGTGTTTCTTCCTAGGGTGCTCAAGGCGTGGGAGTATATGCCGATAGATTAGAGGCCAATCGTGGGATTTGGCCTTCTTCCTTAGTTGGAGCTCTTCCCTGAGTTTGGATTGCCAGGTTGATAGCCTGGTCATTGGTTGGGATATATCCGTCAGCCGTACGGTCAATCTTTGAAGCACTTTGACGCCTGCAGAGTCAGGACAGTATCATTGGCAATCTTACGGCTTTCTCGGAAATCCGTTCTCCTCCATAATTCGCTTCACCTCTCTAAGTGTCTTTCGTTGATTCTGATATAGATCTTTGATCTGAGATTCGTGCTGATGCCAAATATCGTCGACAGCACTAACGGAGATGGAACCGCTGCAGGGTGGCATTTTGACGGAATTTTAGAAAGCAGGCTTGACGACGGAAACGTTGAATTCTATTTGACTGAGTCTCTGTGCCACTAGAGATGGGAGTCTCAATGCTGAGTTCGTTTGGACAAGAGGTCAGAAGAAGAGGAAACAAAGGAAAGCTTGTGTGTTTCAGACGGGCTGCAGGCTGTGTCTATATTTACCCCAGCGAAGAGGTTGCAGAACGCACGGCAGGAGTGTGTAGGAACTGCGAGTGAGGCGCACTGCTGACACCCTTGGAAGGCTTCCAGAGTTACACAGCATTTGCCTAGGTACTTAGGTACCTGTCAATTGACCAAAGTCTTCCTGCATATCGCTCTAGTACGATCTGGGCGATGGAGCTGACATTTCCTTGGGGGGTGTGCTTCCTCAAGTGCTTGGCAACTCGACGTACAATTGCTCAGCCTCCGCTGCAAAGCGTATCCCCGCTTGTTCCAAGGCGTGCGTCAGTGGGGGCAGCTGTTCACTTGTACGACTATGCTCCATCTCTTGTAACAGCAAAGCCCCCAAAGCTTTCCGTTGACTCGATGTCCAAAATCTTGTCACGTGATCCTTTTCCCCTTACCCTTTTCCTTTACTACCATGCCATTGGCGTGGTATCATTAGTGCATATGCGAGTGGGTGACATTAAGAGCCGCTCTTCGGGAATTGCCCTTGGGACACTTCGGACTGGCTCGCACCAGGAAATTTGCCCCTTTACGGCGGCAGCATCTAGCTCATTGTGTGTTTTTGTCCGAAATCTGGTCACTCATCTCCCACACGTCGACTTCAGCCATTGTCGCCTGTTTCCAAGCAAACCTTGGAGTATTACACCTCACCGTTGGAATCTATTGTCCAAAACCTGCTACTCGCTGCACTCAACCATGTTAAACCACAGCACTGACCGCGATCAGCCGTGCCTGGCCTCCGACTGACGTTGGGGCTTGCTAGGTATAAAGTCTGAAGTCTGGCCGTGCATTTAAACCTTTCGCTCCTGCAAAATTGGACTGAATCCATCCGTACTGTAACTTTTGATTCTTCTATATTATATTTCCTCTTGCACACACGAACACATCTGTCATGATGATCGATATTAATGCGATTATTGGCATGTTGACATTGTTTGTCACATGTGTCCCAGGGCTTTGGTTCCTGTTGCGCTTTCGGCAACGCCGTCAGAGGTTGCATAAGCAGTCCATCCAGGATCCAGAGATTGGATTTCGTCACACTGTAAGTAGTGAAATAATTAATTGTTCTTGATTTCTGTTCAATTTTTCCATGTCTTTCTCATCTGGATTCCCTCTTTCTCTGGTGCTGGTGCTATTCCCGTCGCATTATCCCGTTCAAGAACATATTGCCTCCTTCCTTAGATAAACACTGTAATAACTATCTCCCAGAATTACGAAGGCTCTATTGTTTCCGTGCCACGCAGAGCATACGTTCCCAGCACCAGAATAGCGACTATTTGTCCACCGTCCTCCGAATTAAACTGAACAACCAATGTGAGATGAAAAGCAGATTATCCACATGAAAAACGTATATCCATAGAGTCTGACAATTCCGAGAATAATCTCACAATTTGAAGGAAACTGCCAGGCATGAATAGTCCATGACTTTCGCTCACCAACATCTCCGGCGTTGTGCCAAGTATTGCCTCGGAATGGGAGCATCTTCAACATTGAAGATGTTCGGGAAACATCTGACCCCGGGTTTGGTTAATGTTCGTTTTATTATTGAAGGGGTTAGTATGTGTATTTATCTGCAAGCCATATTCGAGTGCTGATACGTGAGAACAGACCACCGTTGGCGTTTCACAATGGACAATACATCACAGGGACTCGAATTTCTTGAAACAGAGCTCCTATTTGCCTGAAATATAGCTGAAATTGTCTGTGGACGATCCTTGGTTTTCTGCAGACGAGATACAAGCCTGTCAACCATTCGACAAGAGCCTCGAGAACTATATAGGCAGGGGCTAGGTAGTATCATGACCGACTGGAATCAATCAATGCGGGGCGCTGGCGGAAACGAAATAGGTTTTCCTATGGGATGATGCGCATGCTCCCCGTGAAACTCATATGTCATTCCAATACTCAGCTGAAGCGGCAAGATCGTGATTAGGATGTTAGACCCAACTTCAAATCTGCTGTATTTTGGGCGAAACCTGGGATGAGTGTCAAACTAAGACCTGGCAAGTCATAATCTTTTGCTTTTAGTTTTTCATGATACAGCTATCCCGACATCTGATCCAATCTGTATAAGGTTGAAACTCTATAGAAAAAGATTTTGCATCCGTTCCCACCATTATAGTACACACTAATTAACATTAGCTTCTTAAACATGCTAAGAAGCAATTTACGAAGGATTCTACGTGCAAAATGAATGACCTAGAGCTTGGAGCAATGAGAAGCGCCGTGAATGACTCCGGCGTGTTGCTGTCATGAGTACTAGCTATAATATTAAGTTTACTTTTTATTTTTAAATAAAATATATAGAAAGCTTTAGTACGTATTTACTTATAATTAATATTTATTATTTATTATTTAATAATACTTTTAAATATAAAGATTAAATATATAAAATAATAATAAAATTATATAAAAACTTAAATATAAAACTTATAATTTATTATTATATTATTAAATATATTAATAAATATTAAATTAATATTTTATTTATTTTATAATAGAATTTAAATGTAACTTATTTATATTTAATTAATATTAATTTTATAAACTTTTATTTAAATTTAAAATTCTTTATTTATTTAAATATTTATTTTATATAAAAGTATATCTAATAGAAAGTTTAATTAATTATAAATATTATTAAAATTAATTTAAAGTTAATAGTAAAGTTTAATTTAATATAAATAAAACTTATAAGTTATTATTTTATAAAAATATTAAAATATAACTTTAATATAAAATATTATTTATTATAATATAAAAGATAATTTTAAATATAAATTAAATTTTAAAATAAAAGTTATAAAATTAATAATAAGTTTATTTTATAATTAATATTTAATATTTAAATTAATATATTATTAATATTAATTTATTTAATTAACTATTATTTTAATTTAATTTAATTTATTATAAAGAGTTTAATAATAAAAATAAAAATAAACTTTAATGAAATAAAATATATTTTAATAAAAATATTAAATATTAAATATTATTAGTATTTTATATAATATTTAGTTTATTAAAAGATTAGTTTATTTAATATAATAAGTAGAAAATAATAATAAAACGTATTAATTATATAGAATTAATAAAAGTATATAAGATTATATATTTAAAAACTTTTATTTTAATAAATATTATTTTAACTTTAAAAATATAATAAGTTTAAAATATAAATATAATTAAAAGACTTTTATAACTTAATACTTATAATAAATAATTAAAAGATTTATTAGTTTTATTTAATTAATTATTAAACTAACTTATTTAGAATTATAATTTCAGGTTTTATAATTTAATTAATTATTTAGTTTTATTATTATTTAATTATACTTTAAAGTAATTATTATATTAATAAAACTTTAAGTTTAATATAAAAGAGTTTTAAAATATTAAAAAAAACCTTTTTAATATTATTTTTAATTATACTAAGCTTATATTTATATAATAAATATAATATATTATCTTAATAATAATATTTACACATTACTAGCATACTTTAGCACCATGGAATGCAAACAAGTGTAGGTATGTCATATTGTGGACTACTGCATTCATGTCTTTTTGTACAAATGTCAAGACAGTGTTCTTCCTCTCGAGATCACATAGCTCCCTATCTGCACCACAAGGTTGAGGCCACGCGCACCTACCGTATCTTTTACCACTGTTATTGACATTGTATGGTTTTTTTAAACGCTGTTTCTTGAGCGTTTACCACAGTATGAAAGCACCATGTATGTCCTCGGACAGGTACGGAATAGAAGCGAAACTAGCTAGACTGAGTTTGGGTTGACTTATTCATTAATAAAAAGTAGTGACATGGCATTAATTAGAATCTATGTCTGGTGGCAGTAGAGACCTGATTAAAGAGAGACTGCGCATAATGTCATTCCCAATGCACCTATCCGAAATTCTATGCCACATGGAAAATGATTTCCTAACACCATGTACCAAAAATTTAGTCCTGCGTAGTTGCCTTGTCCTTCTGCACGACTCTACTGACTTCATCCTCAATAACCAAAATGTCCAGCTGATGAGCTTCCCGCTCCTCCATATTCCCCTCCATACACTCCTCCGTACCCTTTTCCGTACCCTCCTCTGGAACCTCCTCCATGCCCTCCTCCCTGACCTCCGTGTCCCTTCACTGGTGGTTCAGCCGGTGTAGACGTTGAGCCGAGCTCATATACCCTGTAAGGGTATCCATCTTCAGTCATTCGGCGCTGCCCGACAGGCCAGCCCAAAAAGAATCCCATATCGACTGCAGATGCTGAAATGACAGTGACTTCCCGATTATTAGGACCCTCCATTTGTTCGCAAAAGATTGCCAGGGCAGCGAAGATGTCTGTGATACCCGAGTATTTCTTCAATCCACCGTCCTTCTTTATCCATACTTGTCGATCCCAGGATTTCACGGGCCGACGAATGCGGAAATCTGCCTCCAGAACGAATAGAACTTGGGCGCTTGAAATTGATCCCAAACAATTAGCTGGATTTCTGGAAGGGATATCCCGATCTCTTGATATGTATTTAGGGCCAAGAATCTGGGTTGCGGCCGGAACAATACTTACACAAAGTCTCTGCAGCCAACAAACCCCTCCAAGTCGTTAACTATTTTTGTTCCGAAGCCAAAGTTGAGCAATCCTCCTTCTGAAAGCCTTCCGATAAAGGGACCAAGTCTTGTGCCGTCATTTGTCCGGTCGAAACTTGTCGTGATCTCGACGCAAAGTTTCATACTCTCAGTGGGTGGCCCTTCGTATTTCTCCAAGCGCAGATATATCTTTGCGGGAGTCACTGGCTGTCTTGGATCGGCCCCGTTTTGATTTTCATTGGCCTTAAGTGTGACGCCGCGCCAGGGATGACGGGGGCAGGGCTTGAAGTCGAACTTTAAGAAAACATGGTTGGTTCTTACATCAAAATTCTCCTGGTAAAAGCAAATCCAGGCACGCGAAAACCGAAAGTCTTTGTGATCAAAAGCCTCTATCAGCTGTTGATTATTGTCCGAATTGTTCGAATACTCAGACTCTGTGATGTAGCAGTTTTGGGCATTGGTCCAGTTCCAGTTCTTGGAGGAAGATCCATGAGATGGCATCGTAAATCCTCGTGCTTTTCAACGTTTCACCACAGCTTTACGTGAATAGCTGTTCAGCTTCTGCTCAAATTTCCTGCGGCAAGCAAAGTCTGAGGGAGGCTTTGCTTATGTATGGGAACAACGATAACCGGTTGTCAGTTGTTTCTTTTTGTTGTTTGTGCTGAGGGCCTCGGCTTGCTTTTTGCTTCTCGAAATGTCGTTCAAGTTGTTAGTCTTGGTGTTCTTCTTGAAGTTGATTAGCTGTGCAGGAGTTAGGGCCTGATCAGGTCTCTGGGCTCAAGTAGACGAGATTTATATAGTGCCAAAGAAGGGACTGAGTCACTGTAGTTGATGCAGTTGATTCCATGCCGACCGGCACCAACGAGGACTCGTGCGTTCAATCTTTGTATGACGGAAGAACATATGATGGCCAACTATTGATATGAGTGGCTTATTTCGATGAGTGACAGCAGACTCCTTCCTGAAGTCACTTCAAAACTCTTTGATAAGGGAAATGCTGGCTGTTGGCAGTGCTTTGTCTGCTTATTTAGGTAGTTAGCCGTAGACACCTACATCAATACCTAGGTAGGTGCTTCTGCACAGCGTTTGCAAGCACCCTAAGCATCCAACACACACCACTCTGACCTGTCTCTCTACACGTACGTGAAGAAGGCCAACCGACAGGAAAAGTATGAATGACCAGATTTAATCTGAAAGTTACCAACACACCCAAGACAACTACATCAAAGCAACACACTGGCATCACAGCGAGTCACAAGTAAGTATGACAAGACAGCAGTGACAATGCGATATGAGATTATGTCATCCAAGCTGCCAATTCAGGGTGCCCTCTTGTCATCGCCAGCGCAGCGGGGGGAGAGTCAGGGAGCCGCACAGAGGCCGAAGGCATCTACGTCAGGCAATCTTGGAACGTGCCATGAGTGACCTGCACAGGATGGGTTCCGGCTCCTGATGTCGATATGGCACATTGCATAGGCATCAGGGCGCGTAACAAGCTCTTGTTGCAGAAATGCGACCAGTAAACAGCATCCTGAATGCAATGGACACGCTGTAAGTTCTTTGAACCCCACAACATCGTATGCCAACGCTTGGTGTAGTCAGGGACGAGATCACTTCGGCATTAGACTAAAATCTTGCTGTAGGACACCCACCCACTTGCCCGTCTATACCTCAGCATGTGGCCTTCCTCAATCTGCACCAGACGTAATCTGCCGGCAGTGTCTACCTGAGAGACTCCAGATGTGGATAAATCCTCCGGGGTCGACTTGGCCAGCCAGCCGCCCAGAACATATACCTAACTAACACGGCGTCAGAAACCTGTACGCTGCGTCTCTAGTATGGAATATGACTGGGTTTTGGAATTATCAAAATGATAAAGTCCACGGGCCATTTCGAAACCAAAATAATGGTATGAGAGATTACAAGCGGTATTAGCACCTTGACACAGTGATGTGTGTACATATGTAGCGGGCTGGGGGCTGAAATGGGTGACTGGCCAGCGCTACGCACATACGTAGGTACAAACAACCTGCAGCCTCCAGGACTATTATCTACACTTGTGCGATGCGAATCTGGGGGAATAGATGCTGTGATCACGTAGCGAAGACCCGAGCGGAGTTTGTACTTTCTGCTGATAGACTCGGGGAGCACGTCAAGTGGCGTATTATCGCACTTGGTCAAGGCGTATTGAGTGATCAGGTAGCCGAATGATAGGTATTGGGATTAGAAACGAAACCACTTGGAAGGCCGTGAAGTATGCATGATCTCTAAGTGCACATAAACAGCCATCAAGATCTCGGTCGCTACATCAAGCATGGCGAGGAAGGAGACTGGGGTTTGCTCTCTAGTTCGCTGCCGTAGGGTGCTACTCGGCTCGCAGAGATGCAGTCAGGAACTGTGGGCTGGGCAGTTGGGCCAGGGCTTGCCAAACAGGCAGTCAGCGCCGAGCTGTGATATGGGATTTGTATGCCATGGCTTATGTACAAGCAATATACACTATAAGTGGTACATATTCCGAACCTTCCCACCCTGGGCTGGCCCCCCACGATGGCTCGCCGAAGTGAATTACGCAAGTTTTACTCTACGTCTTTCGTCGTTGTCTCGTATCTGTTCGATATGTTAGCATCGCGCGTTTTCTGATTAATGCATGGTGAGCACAAGGAGCATACCTCTTTCCACGGAAGGCCCAGACCCCCCAGTTGCCACAAGTGACATCCTGGGGGTCCATATCGTTGAGATCCCACCTGAGACTCCTGAAGATGTTCTCGCCCGGCTTCAGCAACAGGTCGAACTCGCCAGCGGCGGTCTTGTTGACCCACTCGATATCCCTCTCCATGTCGTACTGCGTGTAGCCGGTCACGATGATGGGCGCCTTTGTCTCCAGCAGCATGGGGATGGTCTCGGCCCACTCGTGCGAGCTGGCGGGGTGGCCGAGGCCCGGGTGGAAGAGCACGAAACAGTCAAAGTAGGGGTCGTAAGGGTAGAAGTGGCCGGTCTTGTGGATGGTGTGGTAGTAGTCGACGATGGTGCTGATCTTCATGTTCTGCCATGGCCTCTCGACGATGGCGCCGAAGGGGTTGCTAGGCGTCCTCTCGGGGAGCGGGAACTCGTCGTCGCGGTTGGCCATGGCCTCGGGGCCGATGAAGACCAGGTGGAAGCTGGAGCGCGGGAAGAGGTGGGCGAGCTGGGCCCAGGCGTCGCGCGGGAGGGACGACTCGGCGCGGGCGCCGAGGACGAAGAGGCGGACGGGCGGGGCCTCGAGGCGCAGGTTCTTGACCTCGGTGCCGCCGCCGGTCCTGGGCGGGTGCAGGGTGTAGCGCAGGGCGCTGAAGCTCTTGAGGCCCTCGGGGGTCAGCTGGCCGCCGGCGCGCAGGGTGTGGGGGCTGAGCTCGTGCAGGATGCTGCCGACGGTCACGGGGTAGGTGAGCAGCCTCGTGGCCTGGCGCATGCTGCGGTCCGAGTTGATGGCCTCGAAGTTCCTCGTGTACAGGAAGGTGTCCCAGTTGGTCATGTTGACCATGGCCTCCTCGAGCTGCGGGCCCGCGTACTGGAACTCGGGGAAGAACCTGCCGGACCGCAGGTCGTGGTCGTCCTCGTTGATCTGCCTCAGCGTGTCGCACACCTCCAGGTGCGCCTCGTAGTCGGCCATCCAGTGCTCCTTGCTGCAGTATACGGGCACGCCGCAGTCCGGGCACTCGAAGTTGACGTGCGCCGGCGGCAGCTGCGCCGTCTCGGCGTCCTGGCGCAGGGGCGTGCCGCTCTCGGAGAGTCGGGCTGGGCGGTGCTCTGGGCAGGGGCAGTAGGCATGCTGGCGCATGAAGGCGGCGCGCTGTCGGATCTCGGGGATGGGCGAGTCGGTGTAGGAGTGGAAGAGGTTGTCCTCGGTGAGGACTTGGTTCTTGGAGGCGCTGGCATCGCCCTCGGCCTCGTTCTTGAAGCCAAAGGCCGTGGCAAAGCTCGACGAGGACCGCGTGGTCGCATCTGGCCTCGAGGTTCCCACCACCCGCCGTGCTGGCCTTGCAGGCTTTCCCGTGTGTGCTGTCCGTGTGGTTGTCGTCGATGCTGTCACCCGAGGAGCCCATCGCTTCGCTGTGGTTCGAGCGCATTGCCGGCACATGGTGCTCAGCGCAGCGCGTGCTGCCGACTCAATTGAAGGTGCCATCGCAGATCAATTGGTGGGAGCAGGTGTCCCTATGGGTGCTGAGCAAAAGAGAGATTTATATCCTCAAGCCTCTCGAAAAGGCAACATTGAACGCGAATGAAGTGAGGTAGGAGAATAGTGAGCTCATGATTTGGGGAACCCGCTTGGGGTAGGTGTGGCTGAAGCTTGGACTCAAAAGGTGGCGCAGCAGTACTTAGCATTTTTTTCTCTGAGCTGGACGTGAACGGGAGCTCTTGACCTCGCCTTGTCTCGTCGCGCCTCGGACAGGCAACAACAAACTGGAGCTTCGAGCTTCACCAACAACCCACCTCACCCACCTCACCCCCTCAACACGCGCGAGTCCGACCACCCGCCCATCGTCAGTGTCAATAGACCCATGAGGGCTCTGCGCAGGCCGTCTGCGACCTAGAAGTCAGGATGGCGACCACCTCCAACATGTTTCTCTACTCCCTGACCATCCAGCCGCCGTCAACAATCACCCAGGCCATCCTCGGCCAGTTCTCGGGCACCAAGGAGCAGCAGATCATCACGGCCTCTGGCTCGCGTCTCTCCCTTCTGCGGCCCGACCCCACCCAGGGCAAGGTCATCACGCTGCTCTCCCACGATGTCTTTGGCATCATCAGGTCCGTCGCCGCCTTCCGCCTGGCAGGAAGCAACAAAGGTAAGCTAATCCTCTTCGCAACCCACCTCCCCTCCTCAAGCGTGGGCTCTTAGTGATTTAAAGCCGACCTGCCAGATCCATCGCCAGTCCCAACCTGATCGGGCTGAGTCTGTCTTGGTACGGAGGGCCCGTCTCACCTTCCAGGCCATTGCTGACAACGGTCGCAGACTACATCATCCTAGCCACCGACTCTGGTAGAATTGCCATCGTCGAGTACCAGCCCTCCCAGAACAGGTTCACGCGGATTCACCTCGAGACCTTTGGAAAGTCGGGCATCCGCCGTGTCATCCCAGGCCAGTTTCTCGCAGCAGACCCCAAGGGCAGGGCTTGCTTGATTGCGTCCGTCGAGAAGAACAAGCTCGTCTACGTCCTGAACCGAAACTCCCAGGCAGAGCTCACCATTTCCTCCCCCCTGGAGGCGCACAAGCCTGGCGTGCTGGTTTTCTCCCTCGTCGCCCTCGATGTCGGCTATGCGAACCCCGTCTTTGCCGCACTCGAGACCGAATATATGGAAGCCGACCAGGACTCTTCAGGCCAGGCTGCTCGCGAGGCGGAGACGCAGCTGGTGTACTATGAGCTCGACCTGGGGCTGAACCACGTGGTTCGCAAGTGGTCGGAGCCTGTCGACCCCACCTCGAGCCTGCTGTTCCAGGTCCCGGGAGGCAACGACGGCCCATCGGGTGTACTTGTCTGCGGAGAAGAGAATGTCACCTATAGGCACTCCAACCAGGAGGCTTTCAGGGTACCCATCCCACGGCGGAGGGGCGCAACTGAGGACCCCCAGCGCAAGCGTTGCATTGTGGCAGGAGTCATGCACAAGCTCAAGAACAGTGCCGGTCTTTTCTTCTTCCTCCTCCAGACCGAAGATGGAGACCTGTTCAAGGTCACCATTGACATGGTCGAGGACGCTGAGGGCAACCCGACTGGCGAAGTTGAGCGCTTGAAGATCAAATATTTCGACACTGTTCCGGTCGCATCCAGTCTGTGCATCCTGAAGAGTGGGTTTCTGTTTGTCGCGAGCGAATTCGGAAACCACCAGTTCTATCAGTTCGAAAAGCTTGGTGATGACGACGAGGAGCTCGAGTTCACCAGTGACAACTTCCCCACCGACCCGCAGACCGCCTACGAGCCGGCCTATTTCCACCCCCGCCCGAACGAGAACTTGGCTCTCGTTGAGGGTGTCAACTCGATGAATCCGCTGCTGGACTGCAAGGTTGCGAACCTCACAGAAGACGACGCGCCACAAATTTACGCCGTGAGCGGAAATGGCGCACGCAGCACATTCCGCACGCTCAAACACGGCCTCGAGGTTAATGAAATCGTGGCATCGGAGCTTCCTGGTACGCCATCTGCCGTCTGGACCACAAAGCTGCAGAGCGACGACCAGTTCGACGCGTACATTATCTTGTCCTTCACAAACAGCACGCTGGTGCTCAGCATCGGCGAGACTGTCGAACAAGTCAGCGATACTGGCTTTTTGGACTCGGTCCCGACTCTCGCTGTTCAACAACTCGGAGATGACGGTCTCATTCAGGTGCATCCGAAAGGAATAAGGCACATTCGGAGCGGCCGGGTGAACGAGTGGAGTGCACCTCAGCACAGATCCATTGTAGCCGCAACCACGAATTCCAGACAAGTCGCCATCGCCCTCAGCTCGGGCGAAATCGTCTACTTCGAGATGGACGAGGATGGGTCGCTGGCTGAGTACGATGAGAAGAAAGAAATGTTCGGGACAGTGACTTGTCTGAGTCTCGGTGAGGTCCCTGAGGGCCGGCAGAGGAGCTCCTTCTTGGCCGTAGGCTGTGACGACCGCACAGTCCGTGTGCTCAGTCTAGACCCTGACTCTACGTTGGAGAACAAGTCCGTCCAGGCGCTGTCTGCAGCTCCATCGTCCTTGTCTATCATGGCGATGGAGGATTCGGCTACTGGAGGGTCGACGCTCTACTTACACATCGGTCTGCATTCGGGCGTCTACCTGCGAACGGTTCTGGATGAGATCACGGGCGACCTGACAGACACTCGACAGAAGTTCCTGGGCATCAAATCCGTGCGGTTGTTCCAGGTGACCTGCCAAGGGTCGGTCTGCGTTCTTGCCCTCAGCTCCCGGTCATGGCTTGGTTATGCCGATCCTCTTACTCGAAGCTTTATGATGACGCCTCTCGATTATCCTGAGCTGGAATGGGGCTGGAGTTTCAACAGTGAGCAATGCGTGGAGGGCATAGTAGGCATCCACGCCAACTACCTGCGGTCAGTACTCTCCATTTTTACAACAACGCCCCTGGGAATTTCATGATGATAAAAGGGATACCGACTGCCTTTTCTGGCTATGAGGCCTTGTAATCTTTTTTAGATTTCAATTGTTCCTTCTGACGAAACCCATGATGCCTGAGATTTTGTTTACTATTGCTATCTTTGTCGCAAGCATACTGACGACGCAGCAGAATCTTCTCGATCGAGAAGCTCAGTGAAAACCTGATTCAGAAGTCGATACCGCTTACTTACACACCCAGAAAGCTGGTCAAACACCCCGATCAGCCTTACTTCTACACCATCGAGGCCGACAATAACACGTTGCCCCCCGAGTTGAGACAGCAACTCCTGGCGGATCCAGGTGTCGTTAATGGCGACTCAACGGTCCTCGCCCCAGAAGACTTCGGATACCCCAAAGGCCGTGGACGATGGGCATCGTGCATCAATGTGGTTGATCCAGCTTCAGACGAACCCGGTGTTACATACAGGGTTGATCTGGAGGGCAACGAGGCAGCAGTGAGCGTAGCTGTGGTACCCTTCGCAAGCCAGGATGGCGAAAGCTTCCTGATCGTAGGTACAGCCAAGGACCTGATTCTCGACCCGCGCCAGTTCACCGAGGGCTACATCCACGTTTATCGATTCCAGGAGAACGGAAGGGAACTGGAGTTCATTCACAAGACCAAGATAGAAGAGCCTCCGATGGCCCTGCTGCCATTCCAGGGCAGACTACTGGCCGGCATCGGCACAACACTGCGAATCTACGATCTTGGTCTGCGGCAGCTGCTGAGAAAATCGCAGGCTGAAGTCACACCCAACCTTATCGTGTCTCTCCAGGCCCAAGGCAACCGCATTGTCGTCAGTGACGTGCAGCAAGGTGTGACGTATGTCGTGTACAAGTCGGAGACGAACAAGTTAATACCGTTTGTGTCCGACACTGTCAACCGATGGGTAACCTCAACCACTATGGTCGACTATGAGTCGGTGGCTGGTACCGACAAGTTTGGCAATGTCTGGATCCTCCGATGTCCCGAGAAGGCGAGTCTGGAGGCTGATGAGCCGGGGTCAGAGGTGCACCTTACCCACGCACGGCCGTACCTTCATGCCACGCCTCACAGAGTGGACCTCATGGCGCACTTCTACACGCAAGACCTGCCCACCAGCATCACCAAGACGAGCCTCGTGGTCGGTGGCCAAGAGGTTCTGCTATGGGGTGGCATTCAAGGCACCATCGGTGTATTCATTCCGTTTGTCAGCAGGGAGGACGTGGACTTCTTCCAGAGTCTGGAGCAACACATGAGGGCCGAGGATGCGCCGCTCGCTGGGCGTGACCACCTCATGTACCGTGGCTACTATGCCCCCGTCAAGGGCGTGATTGATGGCGACCTTTGCGAGAGGTACTCTTTGCTTCCGAACGACAAGAAGCTGATGATCGCGGGAGAGCTGGACCGCTCGGTCCGGGAGGTCGAACGAAAGCTTTCGGTGAGTGCAATTTGTCTCGAGTTTATGTTTCCACTCAGTTCAAGGCCAGTGCTAACAAGACGGTACAGGATATCCGCACACGCTCTGCCTTCTAGAGTGGTTAATATGTATGACAAGGCGTTGTGGAATAGGGTGGCGATAGCATCTAATGATTTGCTTCAAGGTATGCGATCTGTATATACACACATACAAGTGGCTTGGTGAGATGGGGGGGGGGTTCTTCTGCCGGGCGTCTGGTGCAGGATACACTTGATATACCAACCATGGGTAAAAGCAGAAATCAACATGAAAGTCTGGCTTGCTCGACAAACATCTTACACAGCTTCTAGCCCACTCGCTCTAATGCCCCCCCCCCCCGCCCCACCGGCGTCAAATGTCCCTCCAAAATCACGACTGCCCCTGCCGCTTCAGAAACGCAGCCTGCGCAGCCCAGGTGCCCCCACCGCCAAAGCTCGGCCCCGCCCTCCCCTTGCCCTTGCCCTTGGCCCTCGGCCCCGACTCGAGCGGGTTCGCCCTCTCCCACTCCTCATCGGCGAGGTACCGCTCGACGGCCGCGCCGAGGTCGCCGCCCGCCTGCGCGAGGTACAGCTCGGCGACGTCGTAGGACGCGCACTTGCACGCGACCATCCACCGCCGGATGCGCGCCTTGCGCGCCTCCTCGGCCTCGCCGCCCACGGGCCGCGGCGACAGCGACACGCCCGACGGGTAGTGCGACCCCGGGACCAGCAGGGTGCGCCGCGCCGAGAGGAGGTGGTCTGAGGTGAGGTTGTTGTGGCGCCGCAGCACCGGCGCGGGGACGCCGTAGCGCAGCGAGAGGGAGGGGATGCTGTCTTCTGTTGGGTGGATGAAGTGGAGGGTGTCTGGGGGCGGGGGGGTGTCGGAGGACTTGGGCTTTTCTGCGTCTTGGTGGTGTGGGTGTGGGGAGGGCTTGTACGGCGGCGGCGGCGCGTCGTCGGCGCTGCCGCCCGGCGTGTCTGTCGTCCTCGGGTTGGTGGTGGTGGTGGTGCTCGTCTGGGATGTGGCGGTGTCGTATGAGGGTGGCTCGCGGAGGCCTTGTGGGAGGGGGTTGGAGGACGCCTCGCTGGCGACCTGGCAATAGGGGCAGTACGTGGCGAAGCGGGCGTTTTCCTGGTCGGGGTGCACGCTGTCAGCCAGCCTGGTTTTCTGGAGAGGAGGAGATCGCAGCCCTCCCTGCTGGGTGTGTATTTGTGTATAGGCTGGAGAAAACTCACGTGGATACACCGCCCACAAATCACCCTCGGGCAACAGCCCAGCCTCCTATCAGCCGGGTACGGCTTCTCCGTCTGGGGCGAGTATCTGGGGACTTCCGAGAGCACCGTGGCGCACGTGCAGCACGCCTCGGATGTCTCACCCGGCAGGATTACTGAGAGGGGGATCTTCATGCTGGGGATGGGGGACCAATGCAGAAAATACCAGAGGATTTCCTAGAAACTCAACGCACAAGAATCGTCAAAAATGGTGGCCGTGACTGCGGTTAGTTGTGAGCGGGAATGATGCCGGAAGGTGGCGGCGAGGTGACGTTCTCGATGTGTCTTATCGATAGTGCTGCGGATGATGGGCGGCCGAGGCGGCACCGAAGCTTAAAGCGAGAGAGAGAGTATGTCGTTGATGAATAGAGGTCGGTCTGCTTTTTGTTTCAACAAAACTTCACACTATACTAGACATGCACTATCCCACGTGGTGAATTTATAGGAATATATACATATGAGTCCTTCTGTGCTAATACGCGCATGAGATACAAGTCTGGTTTGGATGCGAGGCTCGCTAGCATAACCACAATCATTCATGCCATGGACTAACTGTCACGGAATATCGACCACGCGGTACTGATCTTTAGGATACTGACATCGTCTTCCTCGATTCCGTATAAGTCGTTTTGTATGAGAATGCTGCAGAAGAAACAACTCCAGTGCAGGCAACGGCAACTCGAATATACCGTGTGAGTTTGATCTACGCAAGAGCCTGCCAGCTGGAGGCCAGCTGCCGTCCAGCTGAGCATGTCTAGGTACTGGTACGGAGTATTTCCGTACTAGAATTGTTCAATGAGTGCTTGGGATGACTCCATATAACGACGAGCAGAAAGATGGGTGATTGTTCGTATATTGTAAAAGAAAACCCCCGAATATTACAATTTATTATTTTCCGGTCATTTAAGGAGTCTTATTCCATCCTTGTCTGGTAATAGCATCCCCAAAGAAAAATGTCTGGGGCTGGACCAGCACCTGACGCCAACGCGGCCTCCTCGCCTGATCCCTCGAGTTCGGAAGAAGACTTTGACCTATTTGGCGAAGATACAGATTCGACCTCGGCCGATTTAAAAAAAGAGCTCCAGGACCGCGCGGAACGAGCCCGGCGCGCAAAGCTTGCCGAGCTCCCACCGCCCTCGGGACGGACATGTGCTCAAAACCGGACGGCATACATCCTCACACCGGAACAACGTCTTCAGCCTACTATACTACCAAAAATATTCAGCGTTCAAGAGTGCGAGTTGATACTCGATTCGGTCGTCGACTACGTCCAGCGCCAGGGTGGTCTACAGACCGACCGGCACGAGAAGTTCGCCACGACGGACGTGCCCGTGTCGGAGCTGACGCAGCAGTCTGCCGGCGATGGATCCGCTGCCCGTGGCAAGACTGTTGGTGATGCGATCCATGAATGGGTTGCAGAGAGGATTCTAACCCAGATGGCCAGCACGGCTGGGTTCAGACCCCGGGATCTTGGTCTCAAGGATCTGTTCGTCGTCTGTTACGCTGGGTCAGAGGATGATGAGACTGCTAATAGTATGAGGAAGCCGCTCGTTGGTGTGCCGGTATATCCTATTCCCTCGAAGCAGGCGTCGCTTTCACTCCACAGCGATGGCTGCCTCATGAGTTTCTCGCTGTTGCTCAATCACCACGATGCCTTCTCGGGCGGCGGCACGTTCTTCAAGGGGAGTGGGGACACCTTTCGCGTGCAGCAGGGCGGACTGCTCATACATGACGCTGGATTGGAGCGTAAGTGTGACCCTCTCTCGAAATCAGACGCTAGAAACTGGCGAAATCTATCTTGGTTGAACATCACGGTTGGTCATGGTTGCATACTGAAATTCTACGCTCAATTAGATGCCGGCGCCAAAATCACTAGTGGACAGAGGATCATTCTCGTCGGTTTCGTTGAGACTGTTGACGTCCTGAGAACGAAGCAGGGCTGGGAACAGCAAAGCATTCGTAAGAGGCGACAGGGGCGGAATCCGAGTGAATGAGTGTTTCGAGCAAGATACTCTTTCTTTGACACTCGTGTGCCTTTACCCAAAAGCAAAAGGAACACCCTACTTGGCTGAGAAGTCGGGCTCTTGAGAAAGGGGTGAGATGCATGGTCTTGTCTACCTGGGCCGGAGCGGAGCAGGAAATCATCGCAACTCCTCGATTGCCCAAGTTATCGCGGCTCTTAAAGTATATCTCAAGCAGGAGTACATATATAATCAATTTGCAGTGGCACCAAGGCTGTGGTGCTCTCGGCGCCGCACTGGCTTCCCAGAGTTAATTCAGCAAGAGCAACATCTCGAGAACTTGTGCTGACAAGCTGTCGCGTGTCCACGGGTCTCAAGGGCCCATTCGATCCTTTTCTAGGCTCAACAAAATACGTTTGTACCCAATCGTAACAGACTTTTCAGTAACTCTAACACATGATACCTAAGTAGGTATGCAGGATATCCCACCTGGTAGACCGTATCCGTTTCCATATATTGTAAAAGTACTGCACGGGATCTATTGATGTCAAATTTGCTAGAATCAAGGTGAATGAAGCCTGAATTGCAGCCTCCAAGTTTTCGGCCTATATAAGATCTATATCTTGCACAGTCATGCTCTCGGTAAAGTACTCACGGTAACCACCAGTGTACTGTTTGCGAATTCCTTCCCCAGGATATAATCCAATGCCTACACGGTGGAAAACCTTAGCTTTGGAGGCAGGCCTGCAGAAAAGAACGCACCCCTTCTTCTCCGAGCCCTGGGCTAAATGCAAAAGCGCTCTTACTCCAGGCTCAGTCAGCTCTTCAAGGCCCGCGTTGTCATCTTGCCTGCACCTCCAGAGCGGCTGTCCCTCTCGACATTCCTTGAGGTTGTCTGGGAAGGATTTTAAATTGTGGCTCTATCTGGTTGAAAATAGCGCCACCCCACTGCAAGAATTTGATGTGCCCCAATTCTCAATTTTGGACAGCTTTGGTCTCCAACACTGTAGGAAGACGCCCGAGCCACATACGTTTTATTATATGTATGGGGAACAGAAACGAAACCACATAGAGACCACCGTTCTCCAAAGCCCGACCAAAAAAAAGCTTGATGCATCCTCCAAGGAGTTGCCCACATCATTGATAGATCTGATGTCAGTGTATAATATATGGCGTCTTTAAATCCCATGTCGCCCATGGCCTTGGTAGCACTCTGTCTCATGCCCTCAGTGCCTGAGTTCAAGCATGGGACTATTGGCCCTCTAAGTTACGACCCATACCGGGACGGACTTTGGTTTGCGGGCGGCGCAGCGGAGCTGCCGTGTGAGGTCTTTTCCCCATAAATCTGCGCAATGCTGAGCCCGGATGGGACTTTATGTTTCCTGCAACAGCTTGCCTGTCGTCGTCCTTGGGGATTTTTATCCGTGGATGTTCCGGAAACAGAGTTTCTCGCCATTGTCGGTGGAGGGCCTCCAGTTCTGGCCGGCTGACATGCTTTATTTTGAGCAACTTGACGTACACCCGAAGATCCCTTGCCACCAGAAATGGAAACCGGAGCTTTGGCGGGTTTCCTTTTCGATTCTTCGGCGAGGATGGCCTGCAAAATATTCTCCGGCTCATCTCGTGCGACAGCGTAAAAGTACTGAGCGAATACAGACGGTGGGGATCTCGGGGACTCCGGCATGTTGACTCGTCTCCTCTTACTCAAAGAACCAATGAATCCGTCTCGTGATGCGTGTCTGTGATTTTGCAGGTGTTGACGGTACGCCCCAAGGGGGGTTTCCTGGTGCCGGGATGATGACATCTGGAAGAAGAGCCGGATCAGGTGTTGCTCTTCCGTTTTGCTCACGTGATTTTTAATTTAGTGTGTAGCAAATGAACTCTCTTTAGCTTTCTGAGAGTGGTTTGGTCTTTTTGTAAAAGTCGTATCGGAAGGCTCTCTTGAGTACCCTAGGGTATGTTGGCCACTATGGCGGAGCTATTCTATTAGCTATATGGTTGGGATGGGGGCTATGATTTGGACAGGCATACCTGGCAAGGGTCGTTCTAAGTGGTTGTCGAGTATGTTTATGGGGAATGTATTTTGTTTCTTTGTTGGCTAGGCCCTCTTTATATGATTCTACTCTTATAGTTAGGGGCTATCTCAAGAGACTATTATACTAGTCTCACCGTAGAGCTACTTTACCACCCTCTAGTCAGCAGCCTTATTAGCAGTAATGCCTCCTAGTGAGACGGACCCATCAACTGCTGCATAACAGACGTCCCGGCCAAAAGACTTAATAACCATTTCGACCAATTAGTAACCTAGCAGTATTTAAGCCCATGCCGTCAGACCTAGCCTTATCTATCTAGTATAAGGCTAAGGTCACATGCCCACACATTACATCCTATATACACTATTATTAGTATTGTGTTCTTTTAAACACTAGGCCTCTAAGTGTTAACTACTATGTAAAGGCACTATATACGCTTTGTGTATCTGGGGATCAGAAATGAAATCACCCACGCCTTGCAAATTTTCTTTGGTCGCGAGCCTTGGAAAGTTCACCTTGGGCATGAGGTCTTTGTATCTGAACTCGATAGGCGGCTCGCCCCATATCATCGTAAGTCTCACCAGAGTCTCTCTGCTCATGGATCCGCCAGCACTCGCACTCTTTTGGAGTCTCGTGATGTATTACTGCTTTGCCGGCTTTGACTCTAGCACCGTGGCAGGTTAGCCCTTGGGCCACTTGTGTCGACTATCAGCGGCACCGTCGGGAGCGGTACCTCCTAGCCTTGTCTATACGGCACCTGTGCGAGGCTGTGGTCAGGTTGTGGCCACGTGTCACAGATGTATTGCATTATCTCTGTACTGTTATTGGCATTGTATTCTGGCTCTTTAGAACGGAACACTGGGTCTTAAGTGTTTACCACTATTTGAAGGCGCTATGTACGTTTCATATATGTATGGGGATTAGAAATGAAACTACTCTCTGGACCAGAAATAGAGTAGGCGTCGCGGAAGTACTGTCTCTTTAAAAGCCAAGGCTCGTGAATGAATCGATCGGCTCGTCACTGATCATCCGCCGGTGGTCAATGGTTTGGCGGCAACGCAGATGCTGTAATAGGCAGTTCTCTCGGATCTGGAACTAACGATATAGATTGATCTCTCTCCCAGAGGAACCCTCCGTCGCCACCAGGAGAACAGGCTGCCGAAATCTTCAAAGAGGAGTATCGATACACATCGCACATTTTAGCTGCTCCTGCATGGAAATCGGAACCACTGAAAGGGTTGGTATCAGTTAGCACGGCGGGGGCATGCTGGAGATAGAAAATCCAATATGAGAAGCATTCCGTAGAAGTGCCCACCCGTCGTTTGAATACACGGAGCGAGTCGATCCATGGGCATCGAAGGTGACGGACCACGATCTCAACTTTAGGACGTGATTTAGCTCTCGATTTGATGTGGTGGACACAACAACAAAGCTTTGATGCGTCCCAGCATGCAAATGGCCCTGCCTGCTCAGCACACGTTGGCATTGCTACCTAGGTAGCATTGGGTCGGTCCACATGCACCCCGGGCTGCTGGGAAGCTTTTCTTGTTTGTCTTTCCATTGTCTTCGACCAACTAGACAGTCAACCAAGAATTTTAGCTGCAGTTATTTCGGAATGAAGACTAGAATTTGGACGCATTGCTTGTAACAGAGTATGGACAGGTTTTCCATGATATTGTTCTGTCGGCCTCATAACTGAGACGATTTGATCGTGCACAATGAATTGCATCGGCACAGAAGATAGATTTGTTCCTGCTGGAGATAAATTTGTTTCTAATGGAGGGAGACTTGTTCCAGCAAGCCGCGTTGCCAGAAATGTTCGCCCCAAAGGGTTGACGGAAGTCGGAAGATTCGACACGAACAGTCACTGTTCAATCAAGAGTTTCAAAAGGCTCACTAGGGGAGGCTTCGGTATACAAGAAGACAGTCCGGAACAACTATGCAATTAATTGACAAATAGACAAGATCGGGGGCGCAGCGCTCTTCCAAGTATGCGTTTTTACACTTGCTTGATGCAACCTTGATTCAAAAGTCTGCCCCGCCTCACCTGGCGAGCCAACGGAACCACTGCTGGAGGGGAGGGGGGGTGGTCACACAAAAGGAGCAGTCCAGGCTGCCACGAGCGGGTCCACGGTTGTTTCTCCACCAAGCTGAATTGGTCAGCCCCAATAGGGCCGCCAAGCGGAACGGAAATACAGGATCAGGCACCAACCAACCAACCGACCAACCAACCAACCAACCTTCTCTGCCACTTGCAGATCTTGTTCTCTTCCACTGGACTCTCTTCCTCAGGCGTAGTGTGATCGTGGCAACTTCTCGTAGCAACCCTTGGGAAAAGTGAGTGTGGTCTGAGTTGAAACAAGTGAGCGGATTCCTTAACTCGTTGTTGTATTTCACGAATTTGAACCTCATACTTTGGCCGCACTCTGTTGCGAAGATGGCGAGCACCAAAACAGGGGAGAGGGTGAGTGGTCCTCCCTCAGGTAAGTTTACACTGCTCTCATGGTTGTCGATTGAAGCTGAAAACGCGCGCAGAGGTGATCGGGGCCGAGGAGCTACGTAACACTCAGCCAGAGGCCAGTGGACTCTTACTTTTGACGAAGAAAGAGGTTGACGGGTCTACGTCAAGCGTCGATGGAGACCAGGGGCTTTCAGGCCACACCCAGAGCCTATCAGCAGAGAAATCACGAAATGAAACAGGAGAACACGAGGAGAATGGGGTTTCTTCTGGCAACGACGTGGAAGATGCACCTAGTAGTTTGGAAAACTCGAAGTGCGAACATGTCTCCATCGACAACGAACGAGAGACGGCCACTGACAAAACTTCTTGCAGGGATCCTTCACCTGGTTACGAGACTAGCGATATTCGCACGTCCGCCACCGATGAGGTCGACCAATACATTTCTGAATTGCCACCTGGGACTCTAGATAGAGTGTCCCAGGGGAGAATGTGGGAGCAACATGAATCTGATTCGACGATGCACGCAGCCAGGCTGCAGGCACAGCGAAATCTGCAGCTGAGAGTCGCAGACGCAATCAACCAGGTCGGAGCGGCCAGCAATGAATTCTCGGAAGTCCCTGATACTAGATGGCCCTCGGGTCACCCGGAGGGTTGTAGCAACCATGCACTGCGAGACTATCAGATGCAACTGATGGAGTTGGAGCAGAAGAACAAAATGAGGTTGATGATGGCACGCCAGGAACAAGACCAAAACAGTACGGCCCCCGCCGCGAGTGCTCCTCAAGAGCTGCCAGATGCCACGGGAGGAAACGATAGTGCGGCAAGCCATGGTTTCAAGGCACACTTATAAAAGTGCTTCTTATCGACTCGATTTCTCGTACTAGGAGAATAATTAGAATACACTCATTTTTTTCTTCTCCGTAGATTCTACCATTGTGAGGGTTCATTTACACCAGGGTGACCGCTTCTTCCTACCTAGGTAGACGAGATGGTCTTGGATCATCCGGGTCTCTATCTCAGCAAGACCGACCCAATCCACCTGTTGAGAGTTCTCTATGACTGAAAAGATAAAACCGGCATCAACAATACAGAAATGGCGGTCGGAGAAGCTCCCGATGCGGCAGGATTCGTTATCATTGCACTCACGATCTCTTCACAGCCAATCGCAAACTCTTTTGAGAAGCGCCTGGGACTTGACTTGACAATGTTTCGATCCGAATCATTCGGGTTGGATAGCCGTTTCGCTCAATCATTCGGAACATGCCCCAGTTGCGAGACCACCTTTCCAAACTCGAGGCCAGACATGGACCACCAGAGACCAAAGACGATGTGTCAGGTGAACCACGAGCGGATGAGATCACGCCTGGCGGTGATTTTTGGACTGGGCGGCTAGGTCTCGGCCCTAATATGCCTCGTTATATTCGGTGTTATACCGGTACTTGGCTGTGTCCTTGTTCCCTGAGGCTATAACAGTCTGAGTTGAATAGTGTAAGACAGAAGGGACAAGCCGCACTTGAAACTTCCGAGAGCAGAGCGCATTGGGACGCGGAGTCTCACGCAAAAGGGCTGCGCAGACTCTTGTACCCGGACCTGACTACTCCCACCACCACTACTTCCACATCTAGATGTATAGCGATCCAAAATGTTAAATCCATAATGACCAACCGAATCACAAATGGCGCGAGCTACTGCTATCGTCCAAGTCACATGTCATATACCGCCACCCCAATATGAGATCTTCCACCACCAATTTCCCTCATGCAAGATCCCCATTTTAGAATCACCCTGAAGTAGCACTTGACCCTTTGTATCAGCTTCCGACAAGTGGTATCGACACGGCACCAGTTACTGGGCGGAAGGAACACGCCTTCAGGATTCAAGAGTATCATCAAAATGTGCGCCTTTGAGCGCTCCCTAACGACCGATTCAATCCCAGGACCTGGGTGGTTTCATTTCTAATCCTGATACGTATAAAACGTACCTAGGTATGTGGCACCTTCACACAGTGATAAACACTCAAAGACCCAGCGTTAAAAGAAGCACAATGCTAAAAACGGTATAAGAAGACTCAATAAACTCTCCCGTATGTGCTCGAGCTAAACAGGACGTCACCATCCAGCTTCAATTACGGCACGGTATTACCTAGGAGTCTCTATCGGATACTGCACAAGACAGACTAAACTACCACCTACGCATCTACCCACCTATCATGAAGGACTAAAGAATACCCTCTAACCTGCCTGCTAACGTACCTAGGGCACTCACTCGCTCAATCTCACGAGCGCGAAACTCGAGCCCGAGCCATCCATCACCTCGCCGAGCCATCCATCCTCTTTCGTTCTCCTTCTCCCCCACCGAGATAGCCACGACAAGGAAGTTCGGGCACCTAAGTCACGCCCTGAGCAGGCCCCCCCCCCACCCAGACCAGACTCACTCATCCCTTGGCATCCAGCTCCCTCAAGTCCGTGTTGATGACGAGGTCGTCCCTGCCTCTGAGGTGCAGCACGATCGTCAGCCCCTCCAGGCCGATATCGTCCCGCTGGCCCTGGCCCTCGCCGTCCTCCGGCTTCTTGAGCGCGGCGTACTTCTCCCTCCACCCGCACTGGTGGTCATCGCCAGCCTCGGCGGCACCGGAGGCGGCCTGATCGACCTCCGCCCTGAGGGCGTCGTACTTCTCCTTCCAGTCACACTGGTGCTCACCACCGCCCGCCTCGGCGCTCGTCCGACGACGGGGAGCGGCCGGGTGCGCCAGTGAGCCCAGTATAGGGCCCCCGGCCGTCGACATGCGGTCGCCCTCCCGGTGCTCCGAGTCCTCCTCAGCGGCGGGGTAGTGGGACTTGCTCTGGCGACGCGGCTCAGAGGGACCAGCCCTCCCCTTCCCCTTCTCCCGGGCCGACAGCCTCGGCCCCTCCGGCGAGGTCTCGCCGGCTAAAGAAGTGGCAGAGCTCGGCACAGCGAGACCTGCTGCTGGCCTGAGGTCTTGGAACGTCGTGCGGCGCCGCAGCGGCGCGTGCTCCCTGGACTCGTCCTCAGGCCCCGAGATCTTGGAGAGGAGGAGCCGCGCTTCGGAACGGATCTTTCTCAGGCTCCTCTCTGCGTCGTCCTGGGAGAGCCTGGTCCTGCCGTCCCTTGATGGTTGGTTGGGGTGAGACGGGTGTGAAGTTCTTGGCTTGCTGGGACTCAGTCTTCTGCGCACGTCACGAAAGTCCTCCTCTTCTGTTTGGTCGTTGGGCCAGTACCGGTGCGCAGGGCCGGTCGGGCGACGAGAACGGTTGCTTGTAACGTGCTCTCGCGAGCGCGTGTTTCCGCCTCGTGGGTAGGCATGCCTTGTGTGGAACTCGTCAGGCCTGTTGCTGCTGACGTGGCTGGGATGATCTGGTCTGCTGTACAGCGAGTCTGGAGGAGAGCGGTTGCGGCTTCTCTGACGGCGTTTCCAAGGTTCAAGTTCGTCTCTGTACTCGCCACGACGATGAGATCTACGACGCGACGGTTCTTGATCCGGCGAGTGGCTACGCGGGTATTCGTAGTGTCGCTCGTGGCTCTCAATACTTTCAACATCATGGGTTCTCGGCCGACGTCGAGAGGAAGACCCGTACTCGTGACGATCTCGTTGATCGACGGGCTCTCTTCCTCGGCGGTCATCCCGCTCGTCCCGCCAGGGGCTTTCATCCCCGTGATAGCGATGAACTGGCTCACGCCCGCCATGTTCATGACGCTCACGATGAGAAGATTGGGGTCCGCTCCGCTCTGGGCCGTCGCCGGAAGTCTCATCGAGGCTGTGTGCTGGCCGAAGTTCACTGCAGCTGACACTATGGCGATAAGGCCGGTGTCCCGGGTGAGTCGCCCGGCAGGTTGGGTCGCTACAATGCTCGTCCTTGTGTTCGCTATCGGATCGACGAGAAACACAGTCGGACGGCGTGGTGACTCTCCTGGTGGCCTGGCTTGTCTTGGATTGTTTTGAGGTTGATGGTCCGCCTCCCGAGAGACGATCTGCGACAATAAAGGGGTTTTCCTTCACAGGCGACGATTTCCCAGACCCCGTAGGTTTTGGTGGGGGTCTGGTGGCGGAACTCCGATGGGAGGAGCTCTCTCCAGCTTTGTGCTCGTGTCCAGTGCTCAGTCGATGCGTTCCACCGTTGGTCTCTTCTACGGGATCCTGAAGTTCCTTGGTCGGCGAATTCGGCACGCTCCTGTTGTAGCTGGTAAGGGTCTCGCCATCGCGAATGGTGAGGTGGACGCCCCCCGACTCCTCGAAAGCCTTGTGCGCTTCGTCGGCCCCCTCCGGAACGGGGCAGGAACAAGTTTTGCAGAGGGGGTGTCCACACGACGTGCAGTACGTGCGGAGGTTCGAGACCCTGGCCAGACAGACGTGGCAGGTCCTCACAGAGGAAGGGTCGGCACTGGCTGCCCCATCGAGGCTTGCAAAAACCTTGGACAGATCTTGCACTGAGACGAAGCCGCTGCTAGCGGTGGGAGGGCTGCTCGTCCGTTCTTCCGAGAGCTAGCCGGCAGGACGGTCGACCCCATGTTGCTCAAAGAACTCGCGCGCTTCCGCCATCGTGCAGCCAGAGGGTCCTGGCGTCGGTGGCGGCGGCATGGCGAGGTTGGGATCCCCAGATACACGGCGAAGAGTCCTGAGGGGCATGACGGGCGTTGCACTTTCAAGGCTAACGTGAGAGCGGATGGTGGGGATGCCGTGTGACCTCGGTGTCTCGTCGATATTGGTCCTTCTCGACAAGGTAGATGGGTTCCGCCGCAGCGGGAAGAGTAACTCTGGGTGATGATTTGGAAGACTGACGTCGGGCTTGCAGGCCCCCAGTGTGTTGTTGCAGGGAAGCGTGAGGATGTTGTTGACAGTGCGGGAGTGTGAAGCAGGTGTTAATAACGGTATCTTTTCTAATGGCATTCAGGGTGCGGAAATGGACAAGTCTCGTAGTTGCTATTCCATGAAACGAAGGGGCAAACCGACAGGCATTGGTGCTGATGATAGAAAGATGCATAGGGTGTGAGCCCAACAGGGCGCGACCCTGTATCGGGTTGTCACTCGATTCGGTCGAGACATAGGCTTGTAGAAGTGAGCGAGCACAGGCAGGGAATAGACTGGAAGCCGCAACCCGATTACGAAGGCAAGAGAAGCGGCGACTCGGTCGAACGTGGTGCCAGAAAGCTGTGACAGATCCGTAGTAGCTGCCAGGTCCTGATATCTTGATGACCCGAGGCTGTCAGGGCCACGGAAGGAACGAACAGGGCTGGCGATGGAGGATGTAGGGATATCGATGCTCAAGATCATGTGTCGGTTTCTGAGGATGGCCCTGAGACACATATTAATACGAGGTCAAAACACATGAGCATTAGCCACAAAGCAAGCGTCAAGTGCTTCGGTGTAGAGGCCTGTTGGCCAATATCATGTCTAATTGGACCACTCTCCAACGAGATGCTCGATGCCCCATTGACGTAATATCATGGAGACGATCACTGTTCCAGCCATGCGTATTTGTGGACGATCAGATCTTCAGGATTGGTATTCTACATGGGCGCGATATAACCACCACTCTACTTCAGAGAAGCCTGCAGAGTCTCGAGAACCTAGGGATGACAAGTCAGCATGGCGGTTCCATTTCCAAGACTGGCGCCCTGCCGCTCTGCATGGGGCAACCACTGGGACGTCACTTGCCTCCACCTCAATCTTAGCCTCAGCAATGTCCTGCTCGCTGCCGCTGCCGTTGGCGATCTTCTGGGCCTCGGCGAGTTGGTTGCGGACGGCCTCGGCGCTGAAGTCCTCCAGGGGGTAGGCCTCGACGGCGTTGATGCTCAGGGCCGAGTTGGGCTGGACGACGGCGAAGCCTCCGGACACTGCGATGACACGGCCTTGTCAGCTTCCTCCCGCACTCCGCCATTGCCCCCAATGCTTATGATACCTCGACGGTCGGTTGGGGTACTGGGTCTTCGGGCTACATACGGAAGAACTGCTTGCTGTTGCCGCTCTCCTCGACGATCTCAACCAGGCCGGGCTTCAGCTGCTCAATGGAGGGGACGTGGTTGGCGAGGACACCCATCTCTCCCGACTCGGCGGGGAGGTTGACCTGGACGACATCCTGGGACTTGTAGAGGGTCTGCAGTGACGCATGAGGTAATTAGCCATCGCGGTTCAATCGCCCGTTTCGCCCGCGCATCCTGTCCGTCCATGTCTCTCGTCTTCTATTTCCAATAGCCATTGGCAGAAGGGCGGATGTGGGGAGGGAAGGGAAGGTCGTCGTCGTCGTCGTCGTACCTGGTGGGGCAGGGCCAAGCTGAGCTTGATCTGTTTGCCGTCGCAAAGTCAGTCAGCGGAGAAAGCTCCATGATCGGGTGCGGCGCGGGATTCGTCGGGTCGAGGGTCGAGGGCCTCGGTTTCGGGGGCGACTTGCCTTGTCGTTGACGGCCTCGGCGTAGCCTCTTCGCTGCAGAGGGGCCCGGATGGCGGCGGGGCGTGCCCGGAGAGCTGCGCGGGAGGCGATGCGGAGGGAGTTCATGATGGCTGGTGGACCAATTGATGTGTGTTCGCGGCTTCGCAGACCTGAGAGCTCCGAGCGCGGTTGACGGGGCGAGAGAATGCTTTCCAAGGTTCCGGAACGAGCCTGCCTCTTGGCAATCACGTGCGACGGTTGCTGACTCAGCCGGTACAGAGTACGTCGCCCAATTCGCCCAACGTCACACCTCTTGAAGCTGTTTTGCGACAGAGACATTTATCGGAGACTCAAACAAGCACTTATTTCAAAACCGTGTGCCGCTCGACATGTACGAGCATGCTGTTGAAATGAGCAGTCCGCAGTGACTGTATCTTGTCTCGCACCTCCAGCCACAAAGCATCATTTGCAGCCTTTTCCACCCATGTTCTGCCGCTGCGCCGCTGGGCCTTGGAGATGCCTCCCCTCGAACTCGTCAAGGCCGTCAATCAGATCTCGATACTTGTCCAGGAGCTAGAACAGCAGACTTCTGAGGATGCCCTCTTGTGGTTTCTGCTCCACCTGGCCCAGTCCCTAGAAGAAGAACCGCAGTGTCACTAATTCTGACTCTGCTGCCCATTCCCCTAGGAGGCTGGTCGTCCGTGGGTGCTCACTGAGATATCTCATCGGCCAGCCAAACCAGATCAGCCCACTGCAACAAAAGCAGCTTTTCCACGTCTAAATTCGTCCTGGGCGCCTCGGCACTGTCAGTGAGTGAGAGAGCAGCGATTTTCATCCCATAGACATCGATACGATCTTTCAACGTGCCGACGAGCGCGGCTGTCCCTGTAGCGAGCCCCGCAGCCTCAGCCATCTCCGCTAATTCGTAATGTATTGGATGCGAAAACTCGTGCTTGGAGTAGAAACTCGCGAAAGATACGTAGAGGTCGAAAGAAGGTGAGCGGTTGAAGCGGCTCTTGTGCCTGACAGAATCACTTGAGAGCCTGGTTGCGCAGCGGAGGCACCGGGTGCGCTTACCCCAAGGCAGAAAAGCAGTCGCACTGCATTGTGACTGCAGAAATGAATGTGCGTCTTTGGTTCGGTCCTCCTAATGGAGATCATCTCCCTGTAGTGCTCGAGCTGTGGTTGGTCCAAGCCGATCGCATGCATTTTGGATGCATCCAAGGTTGAGAGACCTCGGGTTTCGAATCTGGTGTACCTTTCAGTCAAGACGAGACACATAGCTTGAGCAATTTGCACCTCCGCGGTGAGCCTTTTGGTTTTCAATCGGGCAATTCGCTATTAAGTGGTTTTATTTCTAATCCGCACACACATATAACGTATATAGCATATTTACACAGTGTTAAATGCCTCTAGAGATTAAAAAATACAATGCTAATGGAAGTGTGGAGAGAATACAATATACAAGCACTGCCATGGCCCTAGCAGGAGCTCCTACGTAGTAATCAAATAGGATGCTCTAATTGGCTGCAAGTATCTAAGTCTACCTAGGTACGGAAGAGGTAACAACAACTCTTTATTACCACCTCGAAATAATAGTTCTAATTTACATATCTTTTCTGTTAGTATAGAACACGCTTTTTCTATTTTACACTCGAGCTGCTGTGTCAGCGTATTCCTTAGAAAGTCTTCTTGAGGAATTCGCCGCTCTTGTTGATCGAGCCATCGTCCACTGCGAAACTCAGATCCTTGATCTCGTCCAGGGCCTTGTCCACCTCACCACACTCAGCCTTAATTACTGTCCACGCTGGCGCACCAGTTGGGAAGCGGAAGGGGATAGCCTTTTTTCGCGCGACAATCTCGTACATGGCCGCGGCAACGTGCTCAGGCCGCGCCCAGGTGGCCTGCAAATCCGGGCTCTTCACGTAGCCCTCGAGCAGCCTGGCGGGCGTGTCTGGTTCTGCGTAGGCGGGGTGAGGAGTGAGCCATACCATGCCGCCGTCAGCGAAATTGGTCTTTGTGGCACCGGGCTCGACGATGCAGAAGTGGACTTTTTGACGGCGCAGGTCAGCCGGGTGCGCAACCCAGGATGCTTCCGGGTGAACAACCAAGTGTTTTTACCGCGTACGTGAAGAGGGGGGACTCACTGTTCCAGTCGGGCCGCACCTCCTTGCTCAGGGCCTCGGTGTAGCCCTCAACGGCAAACTTGGAGGCGTGGTAGAAGGCGCTGCCGGGGAAACCGGCAAACCCGCCGATGGACGTGACGTTGAGCACCGCGCCGCCGACCTGGCCGGTCCTGGGGTTCTCGTCGCGGAAGACGCGCACGGCGTGCGCGGAGACCTGGGCGGTGCCCCAGAAGTTGGTCTCGACGGTGCCGCGGGCCCTGCCGAGGTCCTGGTCGTTGCCCACGAACGACTCGGTGTCGCCCATCAGGCCGTGGCCGGCGCTGTTGACGACGACGTCGACGCGGCCGAACCGGGCGACGGCCGAGTCGAACGCGGCCCTGACGGACCCGGCGTCGCTGACGTCCAGGGCTGCCAGGTGGACCCGCGGGCCCTCGGGCAGGCTGCCGGCCAGCTTGGCGGTGTTGCGCGCCGTGGCCACGACGCGCTGGGTGGGGTGTGCGGCGACGTGCCTGGCGAGGGAGAGGCCCATGCCCGACGAGCTGCCGGTGACTGGCCGTCTCTGTTAGCTTGCTGGCCCGGGACAGGTTCGCTTGGTGCAGGACTCAGAAGGACGGTCGTGTTGATAGATAGCCCACGAGGCACTTACTGAACCAGACTGCATCGTCGGGAAGATTGTAGACGGGCTTGGGTGCTTCCATTTTGAGTGTGTGCGAGTGTGTATGCGTCTGTGTGTTCCAAGTTGTCGTGCAAAGACCAGGGAAAGCGAGAGCTATATGGGAGAAGCAACCGCAGGAGGAATGACCATTCTCTCGTCAGTAAAGAATCATAGCTAATCTACGTCTGTTACTTATTCTTATCATATAAGGATGCTGATAAGTCATCAAATGGCGCATTTGCTGACTGTCTGAATATGCTGCGTTAGCACCAACACGCAGCGAACCACAAATGGGTGGAGCCGTTTGACGGATTTGGTTCTCAGTGCTCACTGGCACCCAATCTGTATGTCTCCAGTCAGGCGTTCCGAGCGAAAGGGCTGAGTGTAAGTGTTGTTGTTGTGTGATATCTAGGATTGGCTGACTGAGGCTGTCTGCCGAGGGCCACATGAGATACACTCAGAGAGAAGATGGGTAGGGTAGCCTTGCTAGGATCATGATCCAGAACGACACGAGAATGGTTATACTCCAGCAACCAGGTCCTACATGATATACAGACAATTTGATGCATGGAGATGTTCTTCAGACTGCACATACTTCCTGACACAACAGTTGGAGAAACTTATATGTTCTCAACGCGCAAGCGCATTTGATTTGATGTGTGGCTGTCTGATAGCTGCATTATTAGTCGATTGACTTCCACATGTGGAATCAAGCAGTAGGCGGGTCTCTTTTCTCGGCAGTCCAAATTACCATCTAGTTTGGTCGAGTAAGCTGCCAGGTATTAGTAGGTAACTATATGCTAGAACCCAGCCTGATGATTACCTAGGTGACTCTAGAGCTTGGTCACTTTCAGGACCAAGAGTTGTCAATGAGCCTTGGCTGCGCGGCTGAATGCAAAACACGTTAATCTGACCGGGAAGGATCTGACATGTTTGGAGAAGTGCATTTGTGGCTGTATCAAGTGCGGTCGGCTTTTTCACGCCCAACCTGTAAGTAATTAGTGGCCTAAATATAGAGCTTCAGCTCATCCTATTTGATGAAGACACCGCAGGGAGCACGGCATATAAGATGCACTGTCTATATACTCCCAAGCTGGTTTCCTCACTCCCAACACAAATGTAGAGATGTTCAGAAAGAAGTTATAACCAGGCCAGAACCAAAAAGAAGAAACATCATAAGCCAAGCACCGGTGCCTGGCTCAACCAAAACAACACGCCGTCCTCTCTACCCACCCCAGGGTATCAAAAGAGCACCACACTATGTCTCAACCCAAAAAGTACACCACGCTCCCCACGACGCACAAATACATGGAGTTACACGTGGACAACGTGATAAGCCAGTGGGCAGAACAAAACCTAAGCAGGATCATCAGCGCGCACAGGCAGAAAGGAGGGTGGGAGGGCTGGGCGCAGGTGGAGATCGCCACGGCGCTGCAGGAGAGCACCCGCCGCGGTCATCAACCATCATCTAATAGCTCCTCCTCGCCGGCGACCACCACGACCCTGGCCGGCGAGGCGTCGCGCGAGGTGGACGTGTACCACGCGACAGGCCAGCTCGCAGACATTGTGATCGCGTCGAGGGCGCGGAGGCAGTTTGTCATCATCGAGCTCAAGTGCGAGGGGTTCCACGGCAGGGACTTCGCGAGGGGCGTGGCGGGCGACATTGCGAAGCTCAGAGGGGATATCAAGGACAAGTTCAAGCCGGCGAGGGCGTGGGCGCTGGCGATCAGCACCAGCTCGAGGGAGTACGCCAGGATGCGCAGGTTGTGGCCTACGGCTAAACACAAGGTGCTGTATGATCCTGGGCAGGGGGGCTCGTGGTGGAGTGGTCGTGGACAGAGCATGGATCCCAAGATCGTGCTGTGGGTTTTTCAGAGGGAGGTGGTTAAACTGTAGGTTGTGAGGGCCGACCATGTTGAGCTGAATACAAAGGTACATGTATGTATCTAGGTACCTAGGTACCTAGGTAGTTATGTAGGTATCTACTAACAATCTCAACGGTCATGCGCAATCTCATTGGGACATAAATCAAAGTTACATCAAGTAAGATACTTCATCTACTGTAAGTCATTAATTACTCCTACATGTTTGTAGAAACCATTCCAAGTGTCACGAGAAATGGCGCTCGGTGGCAGGGTTGGTTTCAAAGGTCGGCATGAACGATGCAATTTCCAGATCTGGGAGACAAGCTCGAAATATGGGCCGTTGATGAAGATAATCTCGTAATCAAGTTTTTCAAGTGCACAGTCTACGCAGCTTCTGCAGGCGGTCCCTTTCAGTTTCCCCGATGTAAACAGACGATCTCGAAACAAGGCGACGGGGTTAGGGACCGTTGCAGGGCGGCTCATGTACCGCGCGGGCTAGCCAAGAAGGTTAGCGGCCTTGGTCCGGAGCCGAGGCCCATTTTACCCAAGGTAAGGTCGGGCATATGCTGCGGGCGCAGGGGCAGTTCGGCGGGAAGGCTGGGAGCTGCTGTGGGCGCACGCAGGACGACTGGCGACATTCATTTTGCTTGCTTGTGACACAAGACACACACACAACAAACATACGACGATACCCGGTGCTGCCGTGCCTTTTGTCGTGTGTCTTTTGGAACCGAGCCCCAATGTAGGGGCTTCAGTCCAGGTCCTTCCTTGCCTCTCCCCTCCCTCCTCGACCTTCCCGTCGCCTGGCCGAGTCATCGTCAATAATCGAATCGCAGATCCCCTCAGACAGACAGACCAGCCATGTTCGCAGCCACACGGCGGTGGTTCCGCCGCAACAGGACGCCCATTGCCATCGGCGTGGGTGTCCTCGGCGCCGGCTATGTCGCCACGCAATACGTCCTCAACAAGCTGAACGATGCCCGCGAGCGCATGAGCGGCGACCGCATAGCCAAGGAGAAGTGCGTGCCGTCCTGTCCTGTCCTGTCGTCATGCTCATCATGGCTGGCTAACATGAACATCTACATAATACAGCCTGCGCCGCCGCTTCCAACAGAACCAGGAGGACTGCACCTACACCGTGCTGGCCCTCCTCCCCACCGCCACCACGCGCATCCTCGAGTCCATGGACGTCGAGAAGATCACCCTCGAGATCCAGAAGATGAAGGGCGGCGGCGGCGGCGCCAAGTCGGCCAAGAGCGGCAGCGGCGACTCCATGAGCCTGCCCGAGACCACCGGCATGACCGACGAGGACGGCCGCAGCATCGTCTCGGCCAGCGAGAGCGGCATCCACGCCAGCCAGATCACCATCCCGCCCGACGGCGAGCAGCCAGAGAAGCCCAGGAGGACGAAGCGGCAGCTGTGGGGGGACGTCACCATCAGCTGTGAGTGGTCCTGAAATACCCCAGGGAGGCTGACCCTCCATGACAAGACAGGCCCATCCAGCTGACAACAAGGCCACAGCCATAACGAGGGCCTACACCCTCCTCTACACCCTCGGCCTCCTGACCATGCTCACCCGCGTGCAGCTCAACCTCCTCGGCCGCCGCAGCTACCTCTCGAGCGTCGTCTCCCTCGCCACCGGCTCCGCCTCGGCCACCATCAGCCTCGAGAACAACGACGACGACGGCGGCGGCCTCGACGATGGCGACTCCTCCTCCGCGGCCCACGCCTACGGCGACGACTTCGAGGTCAACCGCAAGTACCTCACCTTCAGCTGGTGGCTGCTCAACAGGGGCTGGGCCGACGTCGCCGCCCGCGTCGAGGCCGCCGTGCGCCACGTCTTCGGCGCGACCAGCCCGCGCGACCAGCTGTCCCTCGACGCCTTCGCCGCCATGACCGCCCAGGTCCGCCGCCTGGTCGAGGGCGGCGGCCCGCCCGGCTTCTCGGACCCCTCGGGGGCGGGGGCAGGGGCAGGGGCGGGGCCTGCGACAACAACAAAGTGGCTCCCCTTCCTGCTGCCGCCGCCTGACATGGAGGAGTACGTCCTCCGGGAGTCGGGCATCCTGGACGACAGCGCGGCGTCGGTGACGCGGGCGCGGGAGGAGGGAGAGCAGGGGGGCGTGTCATCATCATCATTACCACCACCAAGAGAACAACAAGACCAAACCCAAGACCAACCACCACAACCATCACCACCACCATCACCACCCTCCTCCCCCCCCTCCCCCTCCTCCGCCCCCCTCCGCCGCCTCCTAGACGAGACCTCCGACCTGATAGAGGCCCCCGCCTTCACGCACGTCCTAACCCAGCTCCTGGACGCGGGCTTCTCGACCCTGCTGGACACGAAGCTCGCCCAGGGCGCCTTCGACGCCGCCGCCGCCGCCGACGCCGACAGCCCGCCCCCACCATCACCACCACCACCCAACGCCAGCCCCGGAGAAACAACATCACCACCACCACGGCGCCGCCCACAGCACAAGGTCCTCCTCCCAAAGTGCCTCTCCGTGCTGACGCGGCAGGCGCACGCCATCGGCGCCGGGGCCGGGGGCAACGAGTACCTCCGGGCCATGGAGGGCGTGCGGGACCTCGAGGGCTTCGCGGCGCTGGTGTACTCGAGCAACTGGGAGAGCGAGGTGCGGCCCGACGGGATGGTCCCCGCCGCCGTGCCCGTGCCCGCGCCCCAGCCGCCGTCGTCGCAGGTGGTGCCGGGCGGGGCCGGTGTCGAGGGGAGCCTGGTGCTTGTTGAGCCCTCGCAGGGGTCCGGGTCGGGGTTTGAGAGCGCCTGGGCCAGGGCGACTGAGAAGCGGTAGGGGAGGGGGCTTCCGAGGCCGTGGGGGGTAGGAGTAGAAGTACTGTGCTGTGCTGTGTTGTGTGGTGTACTCGGAGCGATATGTTCTTTTTTTTCATCCCCGGGTTGCAGTCTTTCGTAGTAGTGCTACCCAGGGGAGGACGGCTAGGGTTTTACGAGACCGGTGTTATGGGGACGATTGATATACCCCCATTGCTGTGTAAGAGCCAGCGACCCGTATAGACTCGTGTGTCTTGGTCCCTTTCTTTTTTTGACTTGTATGTTCTTGTAAAAGAGATGTATTACGATGCTATGGATGAACGCGGATGGGAATCTTTGGAGAGAGGGAGGGAAGGGGATTGTCCAGGCCCTGCTCTGGGATCCCCTTGTATCATTATCGTCTATTTTCCATCTAGGGCATTATCTAGAGCCTTTTACACCTTGGGGGTTGTGGTGGTGTGTGTGGGCTGTCTATTACGTGTCTCTCCGTCTGTGATGAGCGCCGTCTGCACACTGCTTGCTTCCCTTTATTCTGTCGTGGCAGGTGTGGCAGGGCTACTAATGCCCAGCCTGCCACGGATTGCCCCGTCGTCGCCATGTTCAACCTCCCCGGACACTTTGCCTGGTCGAGAGCGGTATGGGATGGATGGGTGGATGGCCTCCTGATACCGCCGCTGGCCCCAGCACGCTCGGCAACCCCTCCCCGCCCTCGGATCAAGCTGTCTCGCTGACTGCCCGACTGTCCGGGTGTCTGTGATGCTGGTTGGTCGACAACAAACAGCACACAGCTTTTGCCCTTGGGGTGTTCATCCGGGCCATGCCGGCCGCCGTGCCGCAGCAGCCCACCCAGGTCGAAGCAGTCCTAGAGTCATTGAGTGGTCGGAAGTCCAGCGCCGCTTTGCACTACTATTCTCTCTATCCCTTGTCGTGCGTCGTCGTCGTCGAATGGTATACCGATACCGCCTGCTCACTGGAGGCCGCGGATGAATTGGTCGAGGCCCATCTCGAACAGCTCGTTGGTGATTCCGGCGCCGCCCTTGTGCTCGACGGGGGAGAGGGGGTTCTTGACCACTGCGGAGGAACGGATACGTGTCAGCTCAGCTCGGCCCGGCCCAAGCTCCAGGCCCAGCATTCATATTCCCCAACCACCCCCCGACAACAAAATTACGTACCATACTCAACCCACAGGTTGATATAGATCTGGTGCAGCACGTTCCGCATGCTCATGGTGGCCGTGTCGGTCAGCAGCACGAAGCGCAGGTTGGTGGGCGTCTCGTAGTAGTGCATGCGGTACTGGCCGGTGCGGTAAGAAATAAAAGCGTCGTCGTCGCCGCCCAGCTTGCGCACCATGTTGCGCAGGCTGAAGACGGTGCCGAAGATGAGCTTGGCGTCGTTCTGGGCGCGCGTGCTCCTGGCCTTTGCCGCCGCCGCCGACGGTGGTGGTGCTGGGGGCGCCGGGGCGGCTGGGAGGGCTGTCGTCGGGACGCCGTTGACGGCGGTCGAGGGCCGGGCGTCGGCCGTCGAGGAGGCTGCCACCTGTGCTGCTGCCGCGGCGGAGGCGGGGAGGGCGGCCTGCTGGGAGGGGGGCAGCCAGTTCTTGGTGAAGACGCATTCCGCTGGTGGTGGTGGCGGTCGGCTCGGTCAGTATGGATGTGTGCGTGTGTGGTTTGGTTTGGAGGCGAAGGAGGCCACAAGGGCCAATGCGGAGGGGGCCTGGCTTACTGTGGCGGTCGAAAATGTAGAAGGAGTAGACGGTCATGGCGGGCAGGCTACATCACGAGCTCCGTCGGGCTCGTCTGTGGCGGTGACGGTGACGGTCGGGTTGGTTGTGTCGGTTGGTCTGTCCGTGGTCGTGGTTGACAGCAGCGACGGTTGTCGTCGAGGATGGGTTTGGGGCCCACCGTACAAGAGTGCGCAGCATGTGGCCTGGTCAGCCTAGGTAACCTGCCTAAGCTGCATGCAGAGGAACTGCAGCTCGGGGGCAGGGCAGGGCATGCATGTGCCAGAGTGGGGGAGGGAGGTCGCTCCCCTTAGCTCTCTAGGAGGGCCGAGTACCTACCTGCCAGCCTGCACAGCCCACTGAGAGGTGAAGGGGCAGGGCAGTATGGGCAAGGGGAGAGGGGAGAGGGGCGCAGTGGGGGAGGCCGATGGGCAAGGGTTGTCACAGTCGCAGGGCGGAGGAGGAACTACACTAAACTAAACCCCCCTGCCCCTCTCTCCCCCCATCCCCCCATCCCCCCATCCCCCCATAATCACCCCCCCCCAATCCATCAATCCTAGCACTCTGACTCGTCGGCGCATGTGCAAGGTGGAAATGATCAGTGAGGCTGAGAAGAGCTGAGCTGGGCTGGATTGGATTGGATTGATAAATGTTTGCTTGCCTTATGGGGGGGGACGCGAAGGAGGAAAAGAACGAATGACATATGATATGACCCCCATCGATTCCTCCTCGACCTGTTGCTCTCTCTTTTCCCCTCTCCTTTTTTTTGTTGGCTGACAACCAGCGCTTCTCTTTGCTGCTGCCCCTGAGAGGGAATTGCAAGGGAATATTGCGACAGAGAAGGCCGACCCAGACGACAGCAAACCAAACGAAACATTTCCCCAGGATCTGAGGGTGTAGGGATCAACACATTTAGAGTTTCCCTCTTGCGCCGGGGTCCCTGAGCATACTCCGTACACCCACCCAGCATTAATATCCTTAATCCGCCCGCCCAATGGAGGCCATATCACCACCACCACCACACCCGGCAGCGCAGTCGGCGCCAGCGCTGATCTCGAGGCAGAGTGCCCCTCCATCCGGCGCCCCACGAGACGCCGTGGAGACGACGACCATGGACCTGGATCTGGGTTCGAATCTGGATCAAGCCCACAGCCGAGAAACAACAAGGGACGTGCAAGTGGACATGGCCAGCGATGATCCCTCGGCGCCCAGCATCCTCTCCCCCGGTATCAAGGTAGAGTTTCATGGCAGCGGCGCATCGACGTCGACCATGCCACCCTCCCAGCCAACCCGCGACAGCAGAGGCGGCGATGGTGTGGACAGCGCTCGGCCTCCCATCGCCCCTCATCCTCGGTGAGAAATGTGCTCTGATTTATTTGTACACATGTGTGTATATATGTGTATATATATACGCGCACATACATATATATACACACATATACACATGTCTTGGTCTCTGTCTCGCCTGACTAACCGCCGCCCACTCGCCAATTCTCCAGATCTGCACCTGCTGTCCAACAATATTCGAGCCCAATGAGACACCACAAGAGGACCCCTAGTCAACATCGTGTGGTCAAGGTGTGTGCGCCCGCCCCGTCTCGTCGTCAGCCATACATAGTCTTTACTCTATAACTAACATGCGCCACCACCCCACCTCCAGGAGACCCTCAACGCCCGCTCCGAATATACAAACGACGACTCAGACGGCCGCTCGCACCATGTCATCAACCAGTACACCATCAAGGAGGAGATAGGCCGCGGATCCTACGGTGCTGTCCACCTCGCCGTGGACCAGTTCGGCAATGAATACGTACGTTGACAGGTGGAAAATTGGAAAATCCATTCATTGCAGGCACCAAGACTTATACACCCCGCGCAAAAACAGGCCGTCAAGGAATTCTCAAAGACCCGGCTGCGCAAGCGCGCGCAGTCCAACATCCTGCGCCGCGGCCCCAGGCGCGGGCCCGGCCGCTTCCCACCGCAGCCCCGGACGGCCGCCGACGCCGACGCCGACGCCGACGGCGGGCCCGGGTCCGGGCCGGGCATGGACCCGACCGTGTCGTACCAGCTGCGCGACCACAAGAAGTCCGAGGCCAACGACTCGCTGTTCCTGATCCGCGAGGAGATCGCCATCATGAAGAAGCTCAACCACCCCAACCTCGTGTCGCTGATCGAGGTGCTCGACGACCCGGAGGAGGACTCGCTCTACATGGTGCTCGAGATGTGCAAGAAGGGCGTCGTCATGAAGGTCGGGCTGGGCGAGGCCGCGGAGCCCTACAGCGAGGAGACGTGCCGCTACTGGTTCCGCGACCTGATCCTCGGCATCGAGTACCTGCACGCCCAGGGCGTCGTCCACCGCGACATCAAGCCCGACAACCTGCTGCTGACCGACGACGACGTCCTCAAGATCGTCGACTTTGGCGTCAGCGAGATGTTCGAGAAGCCCGAGGACATGCGCACCAAGAAGTCGGCCGGGTCGCCCGCCTTCCTGCCCCCCGAGCTGTGCGTCGCCAGGCACGGCGACGTGAGCGGCACCGCCGCCGACGTGTGGAGCATGGGCGTGTCGCTGTACTGCCTGAGGTACGGCCACATACCCTTCAACCGCGCCGGCGTGCTGGAGATCTACGAGGCCATCAAGGAGGAGACGCCAGTCCTGCCGGACGACGAGGACGACAACTTTAGGGACCTCATCATGAGGCTGATGGAGAAGGACCCGGAGCAGAGGATAACGATGCCCGAGATCAGGGTGAGTGAGCAGCCGACATCATCTACACACCCGCAGATCAGTGCTGACCAGATGCCAACAACAGGAACACCCGTGGGTCACAAGGGACGGCACCGACCCGCTCCTGGGCGCCGAGGAGAACTGCTCCGAGCTCGTCGAGGCCCCCAACGAGCTCGAGGTCAGCCACGCCTTCACGCGCCGCATGGGCCACCTGCTCTGCGTGATGAAGGCCATCTCAAACTTCAAGTCCCTCCTCTCGTCCCGGTCGTCGCGCACAAACAGCCCCAGGACGAGCCTCTTCCCCGAGGACGCCGCCGAGCTGTACAACAACAACAACAACAACAACAACAACAACAACAACACCAGCACCAGCGCAAACCACGTCCCCCGCTGGACCCGCCTCCACAAGCCCAAGCCCTCGGCGGACGAGCACGACCTCGAGGCCCTCAGGCGCGCAAACGAGGAGCACGCCGCCCGCCTCCTGGAGCAGCGCAAGCACGTCCTCCAGAGCAGGGGCGGCAGCGCGTCCGGGCCCTTCGGGCTCCCCGTCAAGCCCCAGCCACCGCACAGGAACAGGAGCGGCGACAGCGGCATCTCCTCGGACCAGGGCGGCGGCGGCCCGACGGAGGAGGAATCAGGCCGCAGCCACGGGGAGCGGGACCCGGCCGCCTCGCCGGGGGTCCCCGCGCTGCTGGGGATCGGGACGGGCGGGCGCGACGACGGCGGCGACAACAACAACAACCTGGCGGAGGATGGGGGTGGGGATGGGGGAGAGGAGGGGCAGGGGCAGATGTCGGTGGTGGCCGACTCGCCCGGCGCCGTGGACTTCAACGTGTACGACCGCGCGTACGAGGAGGAGGTCGCGCGCATCAAGAGGGCGGGCGGGCAGCCCAGCGTGTACATGACGTGGCACCTCGGGTCCAAGGGGCGGTTCCACGGGGACGGGGGCCTGGACGTGCGGGAGGAGCACGGCGACGGGGAGGCTGCCGCTGCTGGTGGTGGGGAGGGGGGCAGGGAGGCTGGTGGTGATAACAAGGCCGCGGGGGCGTTCAGGGGGAACAGGTTTGCCGAGCTTGTCTCGCAGACTATCCGGGACACGAGGGCCCGGAGCCAGGAGGGCGAGGGCGGGGGCGGGGGGGAGAAGGGGGCTGAAGAGGAGGGGAGCTGAGGTGAGGTGGTGCGGTGGTATATACGTGCTCGTGCGTTGAGATACCTCCGCTCCGAGTCGAGTGCACACGAGGACTCGAGCGGGGGCGGATATATAATCTTGGGGCGGCTGTGGACATATACACATATATGATCGACCCGTTGGGCGTCGGGATGGCTAATTAGCAACAAATGATACCTGCCAGAGTGCAATGTTTCCTAGCAACCCGTCCTGCTCGGTTCGACCCGAGCGAGCCCACCCTATATGGCGGGTCTGCTCGTCTGCGTCCTTCCCGACATGCCATGGCACGACATGAAGCCAGGAGAGCAGCCGGGCGACGAGGAAGGCAAGCGAGCCAGCAAGCAAGCAAGCAAGCAAGGCTGCCCCATCCAGGTGGGACTTGCTGGCCGGCCATGCCTCTCGAGATCCGGGAGGGGGTAGCTGGCAGCGCGGGCGGGGTGTCCAGGTTCCCCGTCTCCCGCCCGCCCGCCCGGCCGGTACGGTACGGTACGGTACGAAAGAGAACCGGGGCGCACTGGGGCACGGCTTGTGTGGTTTCAAAACCGCACTCCCCCCCCTCCCCGGGGGACTTGCTTTTCCAATAGCAACAAGGCCCAAACCAGCCCTCCACCGAAAAATCTATATATATATACCTAGGCACATATATACACCCCAAGGCCTAAATCCCATCCCCAGAAAGATCCAAGGAGACACAAAAGAATAAAATACCTATAGTGTAGATATAGATATAGCAAAAAATAGTCCGATCCCCACCCACCAGCCAGTCATCCGTCCACACACACACACACACACACACACACCTCCTCCCCCTACCCTAGGGGTACCTCCCTCCAATTGGGTTTCAAGAATTGTGTCGGATGCAAGTAGAGCAGAAGTCATCAATAGAGAAGAGGTAAGGGCCCAGCTTCCTGGCTCTCGCAGCTAGATAACCAACCCCCCCCCCCCCACAACAACAACAAATAAAGAATTATAACAATGATCGCCGCCTGCCACTGCGGTGCGCCCGACAACAGACAATCCCAGCCAGACAATTTTCACCTTCTTTCCCGTGTGAGCTCCCATCCAGCTCGATCAATCAATCAACCAACCAACCACCCAACCAGCCCGCCCCCGTCGAACCGACCGGCCACAACACAACACAACACAACACACACACCAAGGAAGGCCCCGTCAAACAAAAACCCACATATCCTCGCTAATCCAGCCAAACTAAAACTCCACACCCACCTACCCGCCGGGGGGAGGGTGGGGGGGGGGGCCCAAGCGATCCTTCCCGCGAAGCCAAGCAGAGGTGCCAAGGTTGATCAATGGGAAGCCAAGACCGCGGGCGCGTCTCGTCCCAATTGAACATGACACCGAAGTCTCGAAGGGGAGGGCACCGGGGGATGTGTGTGTGTGTGTGTGTGTGTGTGTGTGTGGGATATATCTGTTTCTCATTCTCTTGCGGCCTCCGTGTCCGTGTGTGTATATCTGTCGCGTATGTGGGTAGCGGGCTGGCTCGACGGCCCGCTCCCTGGTCCTTCCCCCCCCCCCCGGGCCCCCGGGGGGAAATCAAGCTGTCCTGCCTGCCTGCCACCTTGACTTGTTCTCCCGGAATATCCAAGTAAGTACTGGGATGGGCAGGCACACGAAGGACACCTTTACCTAGCACCTCCCTCCCGCACGCAAAAATCAAAGCCCTCTCTCTCACCACCAGGTCTTGTTGAAGGACATAACCAAATGTGCTCTCATCAATCAAGTCGCGTTGCACATGTGCGCTCCCGGCCTCTCGCCCCTCTCGCCCCGCAGGCGTCTCCCTGCTGTCCCCCCGTCGGGACCTCGGGACAGTGGGGATTCTCAGATATGCAATTTTGTGTATTCTGTCATGATGTCTGTAATCCGCGTTCTCTGCGCAGTTCGCTCGCCTGTGGTTTCCCCCCCATGATGACACAAGAAGAGAAAATCAGGCCAAAACCAGAAACCAGAAAGGGAGAGAAAAAAAAAGGTAGAGGTATTGTAGAAGTAGTAGTATGGATAAAAAGTTCATTTGGGATATAACCAGGAAAAAGTCCGGACTCCGATGCTGTCTTTGTGCGAAACAAGAAGGTTCATGAATTTGGGAAAGAAGAGTACTTGAGCTTCGGTTTGGCCCCCTGGGAACATTGCTGGCCTGTCGCCCTTGGCCGTGATCGCTCAATGGTGTCACCGAATCAAGGTTACTGCCGCCATCCCACGGGCTCCGTGGCCGGTGGAACGACGACGCCCTTTTCAGAGGCCTTCCTCGCCAGCCTTGCACAGTTTTATCTCGCGACCCCACTCCGATTTGAGCACCTGTGACGCCGTGATCCGCCTGGTCGGGTTGGGGTCTAATATTGAGTAGATGACGTTTCGGCACCGAGCCTTGTGGCACGTCAGCTGGTCTGGTCGTCCCGGCTGGACTTTGCCGATCATCAAGTTTGGCAGAGGACTTACCCGGTGCAGGGACTCTATCGGGCCGTAGCCCTCCTCGTCCCGCCGGCCCTTAAGATAGCGGGCATAAAACTCATCCTCGTCCTTCTTGGCGACGCGCCACAGGTGTCTACCCGTCCGCATCGCCATGTAGATAACACCGCAAGCCCAGACGTCCACAGCCCTCGCGTCGAACTCCTTGTCGATGTACTCCTCTGGCGCAATATATGGCGCTGAGCCACACAGGCCGGACACCATATGTGCGTCGTTCTCCCACGCCATGCGGAAGCACTCGCCGTTGCCAAAGTCGGTAATCTTCAGACCTCCGTTTGTCGTGAGCAGCAGGTTCTCTGGCTTCAGGTCGCGGTGCGCAACACCCATCTCGTGCATGTACTCGACGCCGCGCATCATCTGCTTGAAAAAGCAGTCTGCCTCCTGCACCTCGAGCTTTCCCGCGGCAAGCACCAGGGTGTACAGGTCACCACCGGCACAGAACTCCATTACCTCACAGTAGTCCCCCTTGGCGTCCTTGAGCAGGTCCAGGGTGTGGATGACGTTGGGGTGTCGGAGAGATGATGATATGCAGAACTCGGCGGTAAGTCGCTTGCTGTACTTCTTCTCCGTCTCCTCTGGGCGCCGCCGGAACTCCTTGACGGCAAACAGCTTCTCGCCCGGCAGGCCCTCTAGCTTCTTGTGCGATATCCTGACTATACCAAAGGCGCCACGCCCAACGACCTCCTGGCATTTTCCGTACTTCTCGACGAGTGTGACAGTCTCCTTGGGGCCGCCCTTGCGGTCCGAGGCCATGGAATCCTTCTCCTGCTTCAAGGCGTCGACCCAATTCGAGACCAGGGACAGGTCGCTGTCGGGCACCTGTTCGGCGCGCTTGCCGAGCAGGCCCTTGAACATGTCGGTCAGTTTCTCCTGGCGCCTGCTCGACCTGAGGTGATGTTCGTGGCCGCCCTGTGCCTCGGTGTTGACGACATAGCGCTGCGAGGGGTGCCCGTTGCCGTTGGTGGACCTGCCAGATTTCGGGGCAGGAGTCTTCTCGGCCGGCTTGTCCAGCCTCTCCGTGACCGAGGCTTGCCGGGAGGGTATTGTAGGCTTCAGAGGCGGGGTCGAGGCAGCGGACGTCGAGCCCTGTTCCGCAACGGTCGCAGCGGGCAGGGGCTTCTTGGAGGGCGAGGCGTTTGGGTCGAGCTTGGTGACATCTTTTGTCGAGAACATGCGGGTGAGGCGATCCTTGACAGATGATTTTTCAGGGTGTTTCGGTAGTTGGTCGGCAGTAGCCGCTTGACCATTCTGGGCATTTGACGGGGAAGAGCCCTTGCTGGTGTGGTTGAGCTCGACGGACCTGACAGACGACGGCTGGGAGGTTGACGACATGGTCGTCGACCGTGACGTAGAAGCGCTGGCCATTGTGGGAACGAGCACCGAAAGCAGAGTGGCGACGGGGGTGCGTCGGGGGAGGAAGAGGCGGCGGTATAAAAGGCGGATGGCCGCAGGTAATTAGCGGGAGCACAGCAAAGTACAATGCTGTAGGTTGCCGTAGCAGACGACAATTCGTATATAGCTGGTGTGAGTCGAGGAGAGGCAAAACATAAAAAGACGTCGTGGATGTCAGCGGCGGCGTGGGAGTGCAGCCGAATGACGGATATGGCCTGTCTGCCCCCAGTGGTGCAGGGCTTATTGGCTGTCGGAGGTATGCGACCCTGGTGCGGCGCGGCGGCAGGCGTGCGCAGTATCAGGTTTTGAGAGAAGGCGACGTATAACACAGTGGGAGTGAGGTGAGGCAGGCGGGAAAGCTGTGTGCCCAGATGCAGGTGCGGGTGCAGGCTGCTGCTGCTGCTGCTGCTGCTGCAGGTGTGCAAGGGCGGCAGCCTCTGAGAGAGACACAAGACCAAGACGGCAAGATGAGAGGAGGGGGGGAAGACAGGAAAAGAGTCGGCAGTGCAGACAGAGACAAGAAACGAGGCGGCAAAAGCGCCGGTGAGAGGGGGGGTGGGCAGAGCCCGGGTTAGACCTCCAAGTCGCAGACAAAATAGCAAATGGGTATGTGAAGAAGTTCAAGGCAGAAACGCGTCCTGTTTCTTCCTCCGGGGGGAGGGGGGAGGTGGGAGGATTGTAGTGTGCTTTAAGTCGGACAAGAAAATGTGGGCGAGAGTGGTCTGGAAATGAGCAGTGGTCGGGAACAGGCCAGTAGCCCGGTATGATGAGCCTGCCTGTGTGTAGTGTGCAGTGCGTAGTGTGCAGTGTGCTCTGGTACCGTTTATTATTCGGGCGGGCAGGCCAGGGCAGGGCACAGAGCTGTTGTGGTGGAGAAAGGCAGGCCAGGCGAGGCTGCGAGCAAAGACGGTAGGACGGAGTGGGGAGGCGAGTCGGTAGGCGGGTAGGGGGGACGGGCGAGACGGGCTCCAGAAAAGACTTGGGGGTGTTTGAGAACTTGGGCGACCTGGGAGTCTGGGACCCCAGGGCCAGGGACTGAGGTGACTTGACACTGGCCACGGACAGCTGATCTGATCGTGCCCAGGTCTTCCGCGGGGAGGGTACCCAGGTCACCGGCTTAGTACCTGCTAAGTAGGGCGCAGCTGGCTGCTGCGAGCGGTCTGCCGTTTCTGTTTGTGTTTCTGTTTTCTCCTGCCTGTGAGGTCGGCACGGAACGGCCTAGCGAAACGCTGGGCAACCGGGTGCCACCTGCCCTAGCCGCGTCCAAGTACCTACATGTGGGCAAAGAAGTACGTACAGTACAAAGCACCCAGCAAGAAAAAAAAAAAGGGCCCAGGCGGCTAGTTTGATGATGGTCACGCCCCCCTCGAGGCCGGCTGGCAGACTATGGCACGGGTTCTCCCAACTGACGGACGGGGTGACACTATGTGAATTATGACGGATCCAAAGCAGGCCAAGATTGAGCATGGTCGAGTCGACAACGTCAGGAGTGTGCTGACATTGCACCGGCAGTGGCAGTGGCAGTGAGTGACACTGGGAGTGGCAATGGCGGCAGTGGCAAGTAAACGGAACTAACATTTGAACTCTCTCACGCACACCAGCAAATGGCTGAAGAACCCCGTACCCCTCTCTCTCTCACTCACGTCCAGTTCAGTTAACAACGTTGGTGCGCCGCTTTGATGACAAAGCACAACGGTTTGGCCGTAACGTTCCTTCCCGCAAGAAAGGATTTTTTTTTCTTCATTTCCAGATTTTCAAGGGGATGGAAAATTGCAAGAGGGAAAAAACAGGTCTGGTAGATGGGGCGTTATCGGCGAAAAGATGCAGGTTCTGGAGGGACCAGAGGCAGATGTCGTCCAGCGTCTTGGTAATACCAGCCTGCCAGCCTGCATGCAGCACTGGCTGAAACCGACATTCGAGGCTGCAAGAGAACAGCACAACAAGGCCAAGCCGACCTCTTCTGGTCAACACACTCCGTACCCGGGTAAAACGGAGTGGTCTACTGTGTCAAAGGCGTACAGGACGAGTAGCCATATGTAGAGACACGACTCACGTCTTGGCTCATGTGCATTGCCAGTGGCAGTGCAGAGGGCCCTCGGCCTCCGGCAGACTAGCACAGCAACCATCATCGTCATAAACTCTAGGCAAAGGACGATGACTCCGAAGGATCTGAGTTCCGGCGATCCGTCCCCCAAAAGGCCAAGGAAAACTACCTGTAACGACAGTGGCCACGGGTAGAGCAGGGCAGGCCGGCCGAGGGAAGCGTTTTAGACCCTGGGCCGGTTGCTTATAAATGGAAACAGCAATAACAGCAGCAATGGCATTATTGAGTTAGCATCAGCAGTAATAGCAGCAGCAGCAGCAGCAGCGGGCAAGCAACTTGAACGGAGAGTCGGTCGTCGGGCTGTCAAAACTGTGAAACTGCCCCAGCCGAAACGGCCGGTCGGTCTGACTGGCTGCCACTGCCGCTGTCTTCTTTCTGCTGGCTGCCCTTGGCGGGTGAAATAGGAAGGGGGGACTAGTCCTTACCTGGGTAGCGTAGGGCATCTGGGTACCTGGGTACCTGAGCACTTGGGGCACCCGGGGTACGTGGATACTTGGTGGCGCGGAAGGAGCAAGGAGGAAGGAGGAAAGAGAAAAACGGAGAGCGTGCTGGGCGAGTTGTGCGGACCGAGTACGGTGCAGCCACTAGCAGCCTGCAAGTTAGCAAGCAGGTACGGTACAGCTGTACAGACAGTGCCTTCCCTGAAAGCTGGTTCCGCGCTTTACCTGACAGCATCTAATTACCTAGGTGAGCACGTTGCTTTCCTGTGTGCAAATTCTTACCTCATCTTACAAACCAAGAGTCCCCTGCACAGCTGAACTTTTTTGCTGACCATTCTGTTTTGGTTGATCTGCCAGTCTTGTCGTGGGGATGTGCTGCACTGTTCGCTGCAATGCAGAGGCCCTTGCTGCTGTGGCACCCTGACTGCCAGAGTACACAGCACCATCCTGCGTGCCAGCCAACCTGCCAGCCCTGCCTCAGACCGATTCGTACCGCAATATTCTCTCCGAAAATGCCCAGACATCCACACAGCATTGGCGATCAGACGACCCAGTCCCGAATGAATCCAAGACGCATCCAAAGCAACGTCTATCCACCTCCCGCCTCCTCTCGTCTCGCCTGCGTGTGCGCAGCAGAGGCCTCCTGCTGACTAACGACTCCCTCCTGCCAGCCCAGCCTGCCAGCCTGCAATCTTCAGACCTCTCATCTGCGATCCGGATTACCCACTCGAGCCTCCAAGGCGGAAGATGCCATCGGCGAGTCGGCCTGCATACAGCCACCGAAAGCATACCGAACCCCTCATTTGCAGACATGCGCTATCTCGTGCGACATGTGGTAGTGTCGCACGCCTACCACAGTCGAGACCAGCAAGCATCACTAGGCAAGCTCGGTTGAACACGGCCATCCATGCCATTAATAAGGCCATGTACTCCGAGCCATCCTCACTTCTGCTGGGCATTGGACATTGTCCTGCTATGTACGGATGCGTGTCACCCATCCAGCCCGACGGAGCCAGACCGGGCCTGCCCTCCATCTATCTGCGAGCAGTGTCTCAAACTGCGGCGACGCTTTCGTCCGTCGTCCGTCCAGCGAGCGCGCATCAACAGACGGGACAGCAAGATAGTTTACACCAGGATGGCTGTGTACCCCTGGTATCCGTACTCGTACTCTGAGCTCCCCCCTGCCACACATGGACAGCAGCTCAGTCAAGCTTCAAGCACCGTCGACATGGACGAAGCTCAGCTAGCTGTGTGAGACATGCCTGTCTCGCGACGCCTGGGGTGATCGACAAGCGACCTCGAATATCGTCCACGGTCCAGCAGCAGGCACGATCCCCCATGCATGTAATGTAGAGCCAATGTGGTGTAATGCACATTACAGCGACCCCGGAATGTCGACACATCACCTGCATGGAGCGGTTCGTCCTGCTAGCCCCGGAGCCCTGTGCTAAGCAGTAAGCTTCACGACTGCTCCACACCCTCCGGCTGCTACACTACAGTACCACCACAGGCACGCCTAGTTAAAAATGTGGCTACCCCGTGTGGGCGTGTACTCCGTATTCTCACCCGTCTTTCCTTCATTCACCGCCGGAGGGGCAGCATCAGAAAGCCACCATGGGGGGCCGCGGGTGGCAGGGTCTCGACTCTCTGTGCTGCGAACCGCGGGGCCCCGGGCGAGTGGGCATCCTGAGCATCCGAAGTGACCGTTCCACACGGCCAGCTGCATCAGATGCCCGTCTCACCCGCCCGCACCAGGTGGTGCCACACCACAGACACGCCGCGGCGTCGCTGAGCCCTGGCAGCCCTTGTGCCGGAACATTGCAGTACACCGGAGCTCTGTACAACGCACCTCACCGATCCGCCCCTCTGGAATCTTGAGATCGTCCCTTCTGCTATGAGGGATTTAATGATCCTGGCGCACCCACTGCAGGCTGGCTGCGGCTCTGGCCATCTCCATCTTCCGGCCTGCTGGATCTTGCGCCCTGTCGACGCTCATCACTCACATGTCAGAAGAGTAGGCTCTAGGTCTACTATTTGCGACAGCTTTTGCAATCAACCAATTGGCCCGGCCCGGAGCCAAGCAGTCATACAAACGCCAGACGGCGCGGGATTGTAACCCACACTCACATCTATGTATGATGTCTTATAACAGAGGTGGCCCGACAGTTAATCTATCCCGCAGTAGCCATGCAGCACCTGCTCTCATGTCCCAGACAGCTCACACCACCGCCAGCAGCTCTCTGCCGTGTCATGTACCTTGCCCACCCTGCCACAGATGCGCCATCGTGGGCAAGCCCCATATTGACCCAGCAACGCGGGGCAGTTCTCGGCCCAGTATCTCCTCTTCTGGTAAACATGGCTACACGGTTACAAGGTGGCATGGTTTTGACCTCACCAAAACACGTCCGCGGAAATCGTACTTCTGTTCGGGCCACAGAACCCCCGTACAGATTAGTAGTCACAACGTATTCTAGTGCTTGTCTCCAGATACTCCGTCACCGGTGCAGTCTGCATTCCAAAACGCAGCACAAGTTCTCGGTGCAATCTCTTTGCTCAGGTACAGTATCGAACAGGGCCCCTGCGTCACGTCGCTCCTGCACTCTGTAGCGACCTCACATATCCGACTGCCCCGGAAGCTCCAGTCGAAAAAGGTTGTGAGCGGTGAGTTCCAGAAATCAGGAAGGCCAAGAGGGGGTCCGACTAGGATTATATCCAGATAAAAGCATCACGAGTCTCAACGACTGGCCAAAAGGCCTGGTAACACCAAGGGACAAGCCTCACAGTGTCATAAAGATAAGATATCATGCAACCGCGGGAAATGTCTATCGATCAACAACACCCAACCGCTTGCGATGCTTATTCAGACTGGGCCATTTTTGAACAGCACACATGTGCATTGGCACGGCACAGCCCAGTGCAGTTTCTTGGACGCCAAGAGGGCAGGCGAGGGCCCCGGACAAGCTCCGTCGACCTCCTTGGCCGACATGAGAAACAAGACACCGCTACTCTCGAAGCACAGGTTGCGCACATGCAGTTGACGTCACACAGCGTCTGGGAAGATTTCCCGTTAAGCCCTCCCGCGCCTTCTCGAAGCCCCTTCTCGGCTTCTGGCCACGTTCGCTCTGTGTGACCTCGTGGGTCTCGTTCCCTGAGCCGAGTGGCCGCCTTTAGCAAGGCTTCTTGGATGATAATATGGTCCGATCCCCATTCGTCCAATGTGTCGGGGCCCGCGACCGACCATTTGAAACCACAAAAGCCAGCCGAGCAGCCTGCTGCTCGGCCCTTAGGTACCGACAACAGGTGTACTGTGTGGTATTTCATCGAGTGGCCAGAGTCGCTTGAAGGATTAGTAGGCCACCATGTGAGATCTCAGGCACGCCGGTGAGGCCTTGATATCAGCAAGCCCTGCAGGCAGCAACGATGAGAAACCCCGGGCACGCTGGCATCATCGCGGCCATCGAAAGTCTCCAGAAACCTGCTTAGCCCAACTTCCAGTTCACCTGACGTATGGTTTTGGGGGCTGCGACATCGCCGACCCCTCATTCTTGTTGCTGTTCCTGAGCCAGACCCTAATAGGTCAACGTCAGTCAATCTGATATGCCCTATCACTGTACTTATTTAGCAGCCTTGCGCGCTGTTCCCTAACCATTAATAGGCTCGAGAAAGGGACCAAAAGACGACCCTTGTTTCAAATCCGGTCGGGCCAAGCTTTTGGGTGAAACAAAAGAAACGGCCCGCACGTGGCAATCGAAGCGGCAGAAGCGCGGGTAGCGCATGCAGATCTTGGCTACCCAGAGTACGGTGGTACTTGTGCTCAGCTGTTTTTCATCTGGTCAACTGCATCCATCCCGTTGAGTGGCCTGGCTGGAGGCGATGGGCTCATGAATGTGTTGACCAGAACGCTATTCCATCCCTACCCCGGCTCGAATTGGAAGTCTCCTCATGCCCTTCCAACCGAAAAGGCAATCCGCGCAGCACAGTCAGTTCGATCGTTCCACGAGGGAAGGGATCCATATTTATCACCAACCCAAGCATTACGGATCGCCCCGCTTGAAGACGCCCGTCAATCATGCTCTTGCCCCTTGGCCCCTCGACCCGGGGAAGGCCTTCCATGTGGGTCTGCCGCCCAACAAAGCCCCGGACCCGGATATATCTGGTGACAGCGAGCAAAACCCCAGTGGGAAAGCTGTCATCCCTCAACAAGGGGGACAACGAAGTACAGGAACCAAGTGAGCCCCCGGGTCAGGCACACGGTGTGTGCCCAGCACACCGTCACCGTGACCACACGATGGCGTCGCAGCCCCGATGTCGTCTAGTCCTCGCTGACCTGGCTTGCCCGCACGCCCGCGCTTTTCAAAAAGTCAAAACAAACCAAGAAAAAAAAGGATTATTTTCAGCCATCAGCCTTACAGCCCAGCCCCAGAGCCTGCGAAACCGACGCCGGTCGGCCAGTTAAACCAGCCCGGGTCAGCGGGCCAATTCCAGCCCTATTCCGGCCTGTACGACACGCAAGTAACAGAATGCGAACGCCGCATCGTGCCACGGGAAGCGGGCCTTGGTGACGTGACGTGACATGACATGCGTTTTTTTGCCTCAACCCCTCGCCCCACCTTTTCTTTCCTTTCCTTCTTCTTTCCCTTCTTCGCCCCCGCGGTGCGGCCAGCCCGCACCGATGAGGCCCCCCGACTCGTCCCGTCGGGACGTACTGTGGTACCGTGTGGCGGACGGCCCCCGACCGAGCCGAGTAATGGGTGCGTGGGGGGTTGAGAGGCGCCCCGTCTGGGAACCCTCGGGCCTCGCGCGGGGACAGCGAGCAAGCACACAGTTTTGATTTACACTAGTGGTGTACCTTTTGGGTTTGTTTTCTACACAGTACATTTGGGTCGTACGGGGAAAGGGAGAAGAAAAAAAAGAAGGTATCCACATATTCCGTATAACCCGATAGGGCAGCGGTCCCTGGTCGGGGAAACCTCGAGGTATACACGGAATATTCCCCTCGTTGCGAGCTGGCTACCGCAAGAGAAATTTGTGCGCTCCCGCGAGGCTGGGATGTTGAGGACCTCGGGCCTGTGTGCCCTATACGAACGATATTTTTTTTTGTCGGCTATTCCTAGTTGGATCTGGGGCCGTGACTATGTCAACTCTATTATCGTTTGCTGGTCGGTGGTGCTCGCTGGGTCACTGGTACCTGAGTCGTGAGCACACGATCACATCGGTGGTGTACCTGGACACAACGGGAGAGAATACCATGGCACGTCGACGGATAGATGTATATTGTATTGTATTGTGTGCACGTGTCCGTGGTCCCGTCCGCCCGTTTGCGGGATTTTTTTTTTTTTAAAAAAAAAAACACAAAACACATTCTTTCCGTGTCGTCCCATGCTCCCAGGTGGGCCTCTTCTTCTTCGACGACGACCACCGCCCCTGCCCGCACCTGCATGGATCTGAAAGTCCAGCCCAGCCCAGCCCAGCCAGGTCGTTACGCAGGTACGACATCCGCCTCAGTCAGCCTCAGAGACTACTGGGGAAGGGGGGGGGGGAGGCCCAGCCAGGCAACGAACGCCCCGGGCGACGTGCAGTCTCGGCTGGCAGCTTGGCGATCGGGTTGTGTGGGGTTGGCTGGCTGGCTGGCTGGCTGGCTGGCTGGCTGGCTGGCTACGTCCTGTCTGTCTTGGGGCACGTGCTGGAGGCAGGTGGACGGCGGTCTCACTGCCTTTTTTTTTTTTACTCCGTCATGTTGGTTGCTGTGTTCTGTACCTACCCAGATACCTGGTTTGGGACACCGGCTGAGATTGATGTGGAAGCGACGCGGGCCGCAACTTTGAGAAAAAGAAAGACCTGATCGGATCCCCTTTTGATTATCAGCCCGGTATATATATTTATGTAGACCTGCTTCCCGGCATCACTGCCAGTGGGCTAGACTGGGCACTCCCTCCCTCCGTGCTGGTGGTACACGGCAACCGTGGTTTGCGTGCCCCGGTTCCGGAACTGCTGGGTGGGTTGACTGGCTGGCCCGGCCAACAGCCAACCAAGTCTAGAGACATGTGTTTCCCTTTGTTGTGTTGCGAAGTAGAGAGAGGGGGGGGGACTCAAAACCCAAGGCCCGGTTACAGATTGGGTGCTTGTTTGCCTGATTATCCACGACACAGCCAAGTCTACTGGCAAGTCAGAGACCCGAATTGCTCGTGAATGGACCTTGCTTACACGCCTCTCCATCGGACGCTCTGGGCATCAACCGCTCTGGAAATCAACATCAGCATCAACAAGAGGAGAGAGACCCTCGCACAAGGCAAACAAATGGCACACACACACACATTTCCAATACTAAATAATATTTATCCTCCTGCTTATGTAAGTAGCTATACCACTCACTAGCCAAATACAAATACAAGTACAAAACAAAACAACAGACTGAAAAACGCCACGGAACACCGCCGGCCCGTCTCGTCTTCCCCCTCTGCCCATGATATCTATTTGGACCCCCCAGAGGGGGAGGGAGGGGTACTCGAAAAACTCCATGCCATGTATGTCGATACCCAGGAAAGCAGAAAACCACAACGGGGCCCATCCAATGCAGGATACAACAACAACAAACAACAACAACAAGACAACCTATAGCCGCCCGAGCGCTCACCAAACGACAGCAACCCCCGGCTCCTAACCGTCCATCCCACTCCACGCATGCCCTACTGCTGCTCCTTGACATCATCAAGACGCCTCAAGCAGCGCACTCCGCTCCCCGTCCCCGTCCCCAGCACCCTCCACGCTCTCAAGCACCTCCTCCTCGCCCCCGCTCGCGACAGGAGACGAGTACGCAAACCGCCCATCGTCATCCCCTTCCCCCTCATACCGCCCCTCGCCGTCTTCGTCTTCGTCATCCTCCTCCTCCTCATCCTCCTCATCCTCCTCATCAACGACCGCAGTCTCCTCAAACGAAACATCCATCTCGTCAGCCGTGGTCCCCTCGTCCTCGGTGGCAGTGACGCTGCTGGGCCCCAAGCCCAAGGCGTCCGCGACAGCGCCCTTGGCACCACCACCAGCACCACCGGCAGGAGCCCCCCCGGCGCGGCCCCGCAGGAACATCCTCAGCTCCTCGTCGTCGATGATGCTGTCCCTGCCCCTGGCCCCGCCGCCGCCCGTGTCGATGTCGAGCCCCCTCGTCCGCCGGCGGCCCATCTCGACGAGCCGCTCGACCTTGAGGCGGTTGGCGACGAACTTGAGCGTGGGGAAGGCGCTCTGCTGGCCCTCGTGGATCATGCGCGCCAGGCGCGCGGGCGTCGGGTCCGACAGGATGTGCACAAAGTCCATGGCGATGCTGCGCGGCCAGATGGTGATGGTGCCGCCGAACCCGGCCTGCAGCCAGACCTGGCTCCAGTCCTGGCCCATCGGGCGGGGGAGGAGCTCGAGCTGGCGCAGGATCTTGAGCCACTTGGTCAGGTCGAGCTTGATGTACTGCTCGGCCGCGGACCCGAGGAAGCCGCCGCGCCAGCCGCGGCCGCGGCGGTGCGTGACGGGCTGGCCCACGGACCCGCGCGAGCTGAAGAAGAAGAGGTTGATGTGCGGGTTCACCTGCGACACGATGGTGAAGTTGACGTTGAAGTGCAGGTTGAGCGCCTTGACGGGTATGTCGGTGCGCAGGCTGCCGTCCTTCCACTTGTGCCCGAACGAGTACGGGACCAGCGTCCCGTCGCGCTGCTTCATCATCAGCACGACCGGGTTGAGGATCCCCGGGACGGCCGCCGACGCGATCACCGCCGACCACACGACGCAGTCCGGGCTCGTCAGGTAGTTGCACAGCATCGTCGGGCTGTGCGGGTCCGCGGGCACGCACGACACGTTGAGGATGCGACCCGTGCGCTCGTAGGCCTCGCGGAACGTCATGGACCCGTGCGTCCACCACGCGCACTGCCGCGCCCAGTCGACCGAGTCGAACCGCGCCCCCGTGCGGTACCACCGCCGGAACCACGTCGTGAACGGCTCCGAGCACGCCGTGATCTTGCTCGCCAGCGCGGGCACCAGCAGCTGCTTGAGCTCCTCGTTGGTTCGTGTGGCCACCAGTCCCGCCACCAGGGCGCCACCGCTCGTGCCCGTGATCACGTCCGGCAGGAGGTCCTCCTCCAGCAGCGCCTTGACCACGCCGAAGTGGTAGTATGCAAAGGTTGCGCCTCCTGACAGGCAGAGGGCTGTCCGGCCGTAGTTCCCGTGCAGGCTCCTAAACAGCTCACGCTTGTCCTCGAGCCTCATCTGCTTCGTGTCCAGGATGAACTTGAGGCTCTTCTCCACTGTTGGGTCATGTGTTAGCATAACTAGCTAGGACTCTGGGGGGACAAAAGGCTGCAGCGTAGAAACGTACCTTCGTCGACGTGGTTCTGCACCAGGTTCTTGGTGCCGTAGTAAGTCTGCGAGTACAACCGCGGGTTCTCGACGCCGACAAAGTTATTCTTGACGCACGCGGCCAGGAGGGCCCGCAGCGCCTCGACGGCCTTCTCGCCGTCGGCGCGCTCGTCGCTCTCGACGGCCTCGCCCTGCTCGATCCTGCGCTCGACGGCCTGGGCCCTCTCGCGGCTCTTCTTGAGGCTGTCCCACACGCGGCGGACCGTCTTCCAGTCGTAGTAGGCAAACTCGTTGGTCTCGCGCCAGGCCGAGTTGCCGAGGAAGCCGTCGAGCTCGCGGGCGGCGGCGCGCCACTCGCGGTAGCTGCCGGTGGCGCGCATGTTGCGCCGCAGCCGCTCGCGAGTGCCGCGCCAGCTGATGAAGTACTCGTAGAACCAGATGTAGTACCTCGTCAGCACGTACGCCAGCGCCAGGCCCAGCACCCACCCGCTCACGAACAGCAGGAACGGCCACTTGAGCAGCCCGTACAGGTAGCCCTCGCGCGTCTCGTCCTTGGTGCGCCGCCCGGGCCGCGCCGCCCGTGGCCGCTTGTGCCGCCGCTTGCCGTGCCTCTCTTTCGCGCCCGCGGCACCGTTGCCGCCGCCGCCGCCGCCTGACGTGGCGGACCTCGGGATCCTCTCGTGTACCGGCGCCCAGTCGTTCTGCGCTGTGATGAACAGGCTGTTCCGCTGCTGCTGCTGCGCACTCCCGTTGCCACGGACATTATTCCCATTAGCCAACGACGACGGCGCGGAGACATCGGCCGCCGCAGCCGCCGCGTGCGCAGCCACCTCCTGGGGGTCCTCCTTGTTATTATCGTCGCGCCCCCCTCCTCCCAGGTCGGGCACCACCGCGGTCGACTGCCGGCGCGTGACGCTGTTATCGAAGCTACTGCGGCCCGGGCCCGCGCTCCCCGGGACGGGGCTGCCCAGGCGGATGGTGGAGACGTCCTCGGTGCTGTGGGCCGGGTCCGGGGCGGACAGGGCCTGGACAAAGGCCTCGCGGTCCTCGGCGGAGAGGAAGTCGACGTCGATGTCCGGCAGGAGGGAGGGGTCGAAGGCGTCGCGGGGGAAGCCGTAGTTCTTGTCTGGCACGACGACGGGCGGTCTTTCCTGGTCGTCGTCATGGGCTGCAGCTGCTGCTGCTGCCACCGTCGCAGCAGCAGCTTCTTGTTTCTCTTCCGGTTCACGTGCCATGATTACGATTGCTGGTCGACGACGGGTGAGTCCAGAGCGCTGGATGGTGTTATACCATGTCTAAGGGATGTGTGTGTGGTGCTGGCTGCTTCGGCGGAACAAGGGAACGGTATGAGTGTGGCGTGTGCGTGTGTCTTGAGTGGTCGAGCCAGATGGATTGTGGTCGACTCGGATGGCTGAGTCGAGCTGGGACAAAGGCGTTCAAAGAGGACAGAACGAAACCGGCCAAAAGCAGGAGGACAACAAGTAAAGCGACCAGGTGTGTATTCGATCGCGAGTCAGCAAGCAAGCAACTATCGACCTACAAAGAGATGAGGAAAGAGAAGAGTGCGCGGTCGGTCCTATGCCAGAGAATGTGTGAAGATGCAGTGTCCGTTTGTGTGTGAGTGCACATGTGCGAGTGTCACGGCGGCACCGTCAAAGACATATTGGATTGATGGCTTGCCCTTCAGCCAGAGATGACGTCGGCATTTCTGTTGGGGAAAGCTACTTGGGGAAAGCAGCGGCCGAGCCCACTTGTGGAATTTGGGGGGCTCGGTCCGCACCTGCCTGGCCTGTACTCCGTACCTGGCTGGCTGCAACCTTGCAAAGCTCATATCATCTCTGGCAGCGACTTACTTCGGCTGGCTTTACCGAGGCTGGGGCGGGCCTCAATTGGGAGGGTAATTAAGTTTCCTTCTATTCCTGTTGCACCTCCCCTCGCCCCGCCGTTGCCGAGCCATCTGGATCCTGGAATGGCCCACGGATGGATGGGAGGGGCAGGAGATGATAACCAGACCCGGCCAGAAACTCTCCTGATGCTCGCCTCGACCGGCCATCACGAGCCCCCCCATGGCAACGGACCTCGGGACGACTTTGCTTGAAATTTCCCAACAAATTTCATCCTCCTTGCTTCATCCATCTCGTCTTTGGTAATCGAGAACACACAGGCAGGCAGTCTCGTCTGTCTCCTCGCCTCCTCATGCGTGCATCATCACAGAAACACATCTCACAATGCACGCATGTAACGTATAAGCCAATGCACGCACAAAACACAACACATAGGCATAGGCGCAAGCATACATATAACACACATATTCTAGTAGTAAATCCATTCCGATTATGAAAAAAAAAAGATATTAAGCATGTAACGCCATGCGGCCGGCAGTAGTTTCTCCCTCTTCACAGAACATGTATAGGAAAAAACAACACATAAGTCGCCGATCCATCCATCCAACAGCACACACACCGTCTTCCACAAAACTACCTTTGTATGTATCTCTCTTTTTGTTTTGTTTTCTCTTGCCGTCCTCCGGTCCGGTCTGCCTTCGTTCCGTCATTATCTTGGCCGCAGTGAGGAGATGGATTGCCCAAGCAATGGACAGAGAGAGAGAGGAACGAGACCATCTAAGTCATGTCATGATAGGCGTGTCTGTGTGTGTGTGTGTGTCCGTGAAGCTGTGCGTTTTTTGTTTGTTTTTTCCGTCACAGCCGCACAGCCTGCAACTCCTTTTTCGCCTGCTCTATCTTGCGCACCACAAAGCCTGGGTGGAGGGAGAGGGGGGGATAAACCCGGCCGACCAGACCAGACCAGACAGGCAACAACAACAAGAAGACTGCCACCTCCTCTCTCTCACACAAAAGCAGCACCCCCGCCCGCCCGCCCGCTTAGACGTACTGGCTCAGCCACCGGATGCCCTCGCCGTAGCCCTGGCGCATGACGACGGAGCACATGAACACCTCGACGGGCCGGATGCCCTCGAGCGGGACCTTGCCCTTGCCCGTGGTCTGGTACATGCCCAGCTGGTGGCGCAGCTCGTCCTCGGACACGGCGTCCGGGTGGTCGATCTTGTTGCCCAGGATCACGAACGGCACCTTGGCCAGCTCCTCCATCTGCAGCAGCGCGTCCAGCTCCGCCTTGGCCTCCACGAACCGCTCGTGGTCCTTGGCGTCCACCAGGAACACGATCCCGTTCACCTCGGGGAAGTAGTCCCTCCACAGGCGGCGTGCTATATATCCTGTTAGTGACCTAATGTCGAAAGACCTCCTATAGTCTTGTGTGATTTCCTTCCCCACCCCATCGGTGTATTCGGAAACGACCGTGTCCGGTGGCTCTCGCTGGGTTGCAATGACGGTGTGTGGGGGATCGTGGCTGCGCGTACCTTGCTGGTGACCTCCCAGGTCAAAAGTCGTAAACCTCACATTGCCGATCGCGAGTTCCTCAGAAGCTGTGTTCCTCACGTCAGCACAAACACGCACGTACACAGGCACGGGAACCCCATGCTCGAGTCGTCCGGCTACTCACTTGGGTGGAGCGTAGGCTGGAGGATGGCAACACGGTCGTTCTATATGCAAAAATGTCTCGTCAGCTCTCTGCCCTTCATTCTTCTCTCTCCTGCCCTCCCTGTCCGACCTATCCGGCCCCCGAGAGATGATAGGCGGGTGTGTGGGACGCAGGTAAGGCCGGCGGCAGGCAGGCAGGGAGTCTGCAGTCCTGAACCCTTCCTGTTATCCCCGCCTGGCCCAACCATCATCCCGGGTCGGTGTAGGGTTCGGCAGGTGGCGGGTGGGCAGCTCGGCGGACGGACGGACGCACCTTGAGCATGTGCAGCAGCGTCGTCTTTCCGGCGTTGTCGAGACCGAGGAACAGCAGCTTGGCGTGCTTGTTGAGCAGGCCGAGCGACGAGAGGACGTCGTAGACTGCGGCACGGTGTTATCCGTTGTCAGCCAGCTTGCCGGGCAGCAGGGGACGGGACGGGCCAGGGCAGGGCCGGAGGGGTGAGGTGAAGCAGCATACACCAGTTGATAATCCACATCTTGGCCGGGCGATGCGATGCGATGCGAGGGCTGTCTCTTTCTCTTTAACGTCGGGGTCTCGGGTGCAAAAGGGGGCGTGGTTGGCCAAACAGCGACGTTGTGTGGGGCTGGACGTAGGACAAGAAGAAAGTTGTTGTGTTGTGTTGGTTTTTGGGTGGCGTGGGAGGGAAGAAGTGTCAAAGTGTCGGACAAGGGAAGTTTGGTCGCTTTCGGGCTTGATGACAGCAGGTTCAGCCCGGTCCAGGCCACCTAGGCCTGGCAAGCCTGGGTGTGGGCCCGTCTAGCTGGCAGCAGGAGCAGTGCTGCCAGATGATTGGTTGGGCTTTCTGCTTACATAAGTCTCCCGTGCCTCGCTCGCTTGCTATGGTTGCTTAAGGTACGGGTGGATCTCACAAGTGTGAATGTCGTCGTCCTGCCAGACTGCTCGGAATGCCACGACAATCATTTGCTCACTATGGTTTCTCCACCCCCGTGATTGTCGAACTGTTCAAATATCACATGCATCACGGTGACTCACCACTCGCACTACGAGTTTGGATAAGGTCATCACTTGTAGCTGTTAAACATGACTGAACACCAGTCATACTACTTAGCCAGGTTGTCAAGTCCTCTCTCATTGGACGATACACTGCAGCCGCGGTGATGAGGACAGATTGACAATTTTTTTATATCTTGTCAACATGTGAATTGATATCTTGGAATCTGTCCATTCCCTATCTGCTTGCTCTCTTGGGAGCGTGGCACATCGTCATCCGTCAACTCCGGAACAGAACACCACGTTTCGAAAGTCACGGGATGCACCAATTCGAACAATGTCCAGCAAATGAGGTAGAAAGCCCATAACCAAGTATGGCTTCTTTTCATGCTATATATGCCTAGGTCAAGGCAAGTATAGAACTGCTATGTACAGCCTGAACCACAAATCGGGACCCCACCCTCACTTAGCCTCCTGAGAAAATCCAAATGCTGGGTATCCGTTGAAAAACAAAGCTGGACATATGAGATCCAAAAAAAAGTAATATAAACGGGAAAGAATGATGCTGTCATGGCTCGTCAAAAAAGTTTTGCGCCAGATCTCCCCTTCCAAGACCGGGGAGTGCCCCACTCCCCATATGCTTTGCGCCGGTGACTTGGGTATGGTTTGGTAAATGCTCAAAGAAAACAACGCCGTGTACCGCCCTGTGATGATGTCTCCACTACCATATAGGCCTAGATGGAGATCACATAGTTTCCCTGGCCCATCTTTCCGGCCAGTGTCAGGCCGAGTTCCCGCATCCTCTCGGCTCCCTCTCCCGGCTGGGCCTTCTTCTCGGGGATCTGCCCCTTGCGGGCACGGTTGCAGTACTTCTGGTAAAACTTCTCCTTTCTGCGCTGGCGCTTGTGCTCCAGGCCCTTGACAATGTCGATGGCTCCCCGCACGTGAGCGTTGTCCCGGTTTGCCGTGTTGGCCCTGGTCCTCCTGCCCGACTTCACATGGGCCGGGAAGTAGGCTCCGCGAGGAAGCGACTTTGTGTGGGTAAGTCCCGGTCTGGAGGCCATTGCCTTGAAGGCTAGGACGTTCTCGGCATGGGTTGGCGTCGCGCGTGGCGACCTCAGCCCTTGTGGAGCCGGAGACTTGATACGCCTGGGCGATGCGCGATCAAACACGCGCCGAGGGGATCGGCCACGAGCCTTGGGCGGGGGTGAGCGGAGCCTCTTGGGCGGAGGGGATCGCAGCCGCTTTGGGGAGGCGTTGTCGCCCCTCCTGTGGCGTCTGTCTGCACGCTCCTCCTCGAGTTCCTCCAGCTCGCCGTGGAGCCACAGGTGGTCGTCGCTGCCATGACCAGGCTTGACGTCGTCCTCGTCCTCGTCCTCGGGCTCAGAGGTAGGGAAGCTGGGGTCGATATCCTGAGGGATGATGCGCAGCTTTTCCTGCTTCCGGGCAGCGAGTCGCGTGAAGTAGGCCTCCTCCAGCGGTCTGTCCTCGTCCATCGTGCCACAGACGAAGTCAGTGCTGTCGGGCAGCTCCGGAGTCACGGGGCGGCCGGTCAGTCTAGACTGCGAGTGCTTGCCCCGGATGTGCTTCTTGGAGCCAATCGAAGAGTCCGAATGGTGGCCGCCCAGAGACCAAGGCCGGAAGACCGGAGTGGCCTCGGAGGCCCGACCCTGGCTTGCCTGGTGCGCGTTGAAGGTCCAGAGGTGCAGCCCGTCATTCTCCTCGTCATCAGACTCGGCAAATCCGTATTCCTCGTCGGTGTTGTAGCCATCCGAGAAATCATCATCGGAGCCATATCCTGACTGGTCGTCCTCCTCCATATCCTCTTCTTCGACGAGTCCGTCGTCTTCGTCATCGACATTCTCCTCGTCGTCGTCATCCTCGTCGAGCGCCTCATCGCCCTCCTCCTCCTCTGCCTCCTCTTGCTCGGCTTCTTCCTCAGCCTCCTTTCCCAGACGACGAATGTCGTTCTCCTTCTTCAGCAGGTCGTCCATGGTAAGTCTGGCCTTGGCAATGCCCTTCTCCTGGCGGATCCAGTCCTCTTCTGTAGGGTGGTCACTGGCAAACTCGTGGAAGTGGCAGATCTCGCCCTGTAGATCCCTCGAGTCTGCGGTGATGAACCTGGTCTTGCGAGTAGCCACAGGACTCTGCGCAGACCTGCGGGGTGATGGTCGGGACCGAGAAGCCACAGGGGAGCGCGCCTTCCTGGTAGTTGTGGGTGACCTGGTCACAACGGTCGAGACCGAGCCAATCTCCTCGGGCTTCGGAATGTCCAGGCGCTGCTTCTGTGGAGGGGTTTGCTGGGCTGTAGGGCGAGCTGTGCATGCGAACTTGATGCAAGTCTTCCTCGGCTGGACGGTTTGCGCTGCAGGTGCAGGCGCGGGTGCCGCAACTGGGACTACAACCGCAGGCTTTGGCTTGGCCACGTCGACCTTGGGCTTTGCGCAGGCGAATGAGATGCATCGCTTCTTGGCGATAGCCTCCACGGCGGGGTCCTTGGGTGCATCCTCAGGCTTCGGCACTTGCTCGTTCGAAGGCGCGGCGGGTGCAGGCCTTCTGGGCAGAGAGCCGATGATCTGGAGGCCGGACGCGCCATGTTGCTTGTCCAAGGGAAGAGCAGCGAAGCCAATACTGGGGAGGCGGGGGCTGGGAGTGTTTGTCCTGGCCGGGGTGCTCAGCCCGGTGTCGCTCGTCAGATCAGCGGTTGAGGCCAGGGAAATCTGGCTGGTGATGGATCGTCGTCGGCGCGTAGCGGCAGCGACTGGAGTGCTGTCGGGTGACTCTCCCTCGGAGGCGCTCTGCAAGGCCTGGGTCAGGAGCGAGGCGTGGTTCTCCCTGGCCTTGGCGACAGAGGCCCTTCTGAACTGTGGAGACGCTTGGTAAGTGGTCGCCATGTTTGAATCTGGGGGCTCGTCGGCGTCGGCTGCGGCGTCGTCCTCGGCGACCGACTCGACGTTTGCGGAGTGTGAGCTCCAGGCCAGCACGTTGGAGGTGGCGCTGCCGTGGTTTGGATACTTCAACATTATGAATAGTGGTTCTCTGGGTGTCTGTATGGGTGTAGATGCGTATGGCGGGGGCGGCGTAGGGTTGCAGTGGTGAATATATGCAGGAGTGCGTCGACTGGTGACGCAAGGCAGATCAATTCTCGAAACAGGTCGGTCGACTGGGTCGCGTCGAGCCGGTCAAGAGACAAGTAGATCGGAGACCGGACAGGTGCGTGATCTGGAGATCCGAGATATGAGGTGGTGAGGTGCAGCCCTCCCGCTCAGGTCCGAGGGTGGCCTTGGGGGTTGCGCAGAAAGGTGTCCCTAGGGACAGTGTTGCTATAAGCCCAGAAACATCGTGTGGTGGTGCAGGGCGGGTTGGTGTGCGAGTGGGTTGGGCGGGAGAGTAAGCGGTTGGTGTTTTGGAAGTCCGGTTCCGTCGGCCGTGGCCCGTTGGGAAGGGGTCCTTAAAGGTGCAGGTCGAGGGCCGACTGTCTCGGGGTTGTTTTCAAATTCAAGGGACCGGCCAGGCGGCCTTGGTTCTGCGGCGCAGGGTGCGCAGTGCGCAGTTGAGAGGCTGAGAGGCGGCGGGCGAATCCTGTGGTGGGAGTAGGATGACGTTGAAAAAGCTAAAGTGCAAGGTCGGGTCGTGGTCGGGTGGCGCAGAAGGTTCGGTCAACGCAACGCGCGCAAAAGAGCCGGGTTCTTATTGTTATGTGTGCGCTGGGACAACACAGCAGCAGCAGCAGCAGCGATCAACAAGCAGCGAGCAGCGATCAGCACGATCAGAGCGGGATTGTCGCTGTGGGGCTTGTGACAGTTTCCAGAAAAAGAAACTGGTCCGCGTGGGGTTTTGTTGGCGAGGAATTGTGAGTCGAGTATTTGTGTTTTTTTGTTTTGTGTGGTGTGGGATTTGCGTGGTGCGCAAAGAGTGATGAGTATGAGAGGGAAGACAGAGGCAGCACCGAGGGCGGAGGGAGGAATTTGAAGGGAGGGCGAGCTAGATGTTATTCCTCGCAGATAATGAGTAGGGATGGGCGGGTGAGTGACTTGGGTGCAGGAGCAGGTGCAGGTGCAGGCGCGGGTTGCTGATGCAAGTCGCAAGCAGGCGCAGAGCAGCAGAGCAGGTGCGCGAGTGAGGACGGTGTTAGTGCCGTTTAGTGTTCGCCCTGCATTGTGGCACCGGGGGGCACAAGCCATGGGGGTACAAGGGACGAGGGAAGGAAAAGGGCCCTGAATCTCAGGGGCATGGCAAGTGCGCTTGTTGGGGGAGAAGAGAAAATCCTGCCGAAAGGGCCCGCGTGGGATGTACTGTGGTACGTACTCTCCGACTGAGTGGGAAGCGCGGGATACATGCAAAAACGTGGGATGGTGCATGTGCTGGGAAGTAGCTTCCACAGAGGCGAGTGGCCGAGCGGCCCCGTGACAATGGACGGCTACATCACCTCCTCCGTTTTGTCAAAACGGAGCCGCCCAACCAGCTCCTGCGCCTGCCCCGTCTGCCTGTCAGCCTGTCACCAGTGCTGCTGCCCCCAAACCCACTTGCGCTCACCACAACAATGCACAGTAATCCACCAGGCGAACGACAGCCAACTGGTCCGTCACTTATCACAGCTCACATACATGTAGTGTCCTCAGATTGTCTTGCCTCTGTCTCGTGATGATGACGGCCATTGTCACATTCCACGAGCATAATGGGGATGAGTTGGCCCGGCACTACCACCCTCGAGCCAAATCCGCCTGTCAAAATAAACAAATCTTGCATGACAGCGATCCTCGTTGAGGCATATTCTCCCAAACTCCTCCAGGGTCCCCTTCCCCGGGGCATTGGAACTTGTCCGAGTGCCATTGGACTAACCGTGCCGTAATAGGAATAACAGACGCTGAGAAAAAACCAACAAGCGGCCTTCCAATGTGGACATGTGGGATCGCCTTAGCTCGGCTCATCTCTTTCGACATCTGAGCGTCCGACGCACAAAATATTATTCCCCGTGTCGTGTTCTGGCCCACGGGCTCAAGACTGAACATTGCAGAATGCTACTCCGTACACAGTACAGTCAGAACATCGGTCAGGGGAGACTGTGTCAGCATCACTCATCAGGCCTGCACCACCAAGAAAAGCACGCACAACATCGCTCATCCCGAGCCCTATGGCAAACTCCGCACGTGGTGGCACTGTGCTGTGCGTCTTCTGCCTTCGTCTTTTCACTCCCGCCGCCCGCCCCCGACTCCCGCCCCCGTCTTCCCACCAATCCGCTCGAGCCTCTCGCATGGACTAGCCACCAACCAACAACCACTACCACCGACCGACCCAAGGGCTCTTCATCTTCAGGGCTTGCAAGTTCAAAACCCGTAGCGCCGTGCCCCCCTCTCTTCACTTGCCGTACCGCCAGGCCGCCAGTTCTCACCGACACTTACCCGTCGAGCTAGGTCAAGCTGGTCAAGCTGGTCAGTCCGTCTGTCCCTCTGTCCTGTACACAGTAGCGCAGACCCGGTCCTTTCGCGCCGCCAACAGCCAACAAAACCTGGATTTAGACCTGGTGTCTGCCATGTGCCGCTGCATGTGGTGTGCCAGCGCAGAGCCAGGGCTAACCAGACGCTGGACGGGCGCTCGCGAATCGCGGGAGCGGATCCCAAGTCATGGGGCTCGTCCTCAAAAGTCTATCCCATACCCTCGGCTGCGAGCTTCTTGACTTCTGACGCGTGCAGCAGGCTGTGTGCGTGCTCCAAGTCAGTCGGTCACCAAGATCGCCATGCCGCACATCAGCTCACGCCTCCTGCTGCCACCCGTCCAGCCGTAAACCCATCTGAAAAGCATGGCCCAAACGGCTGCCGGGATCGCATTCGTTGACGAGCTGGAGCTCGAGTGGGCAGGGTGGGGGGCATCCTCGGCCCTACAGAACGGTTACCTAACACGGTCGGAGCAGCGGTGAGAGTCTGTGCTCTCTCTCCCTCTCACCTGGCCCATTCTTCTTCTCCGTCGATAATAAACCAAACAAGAAATGTCGCCATCCAATATGGGCGGCTCTTCCGTGGTCGGTCCGGGGCGAGATCTCGTTTGGCCGCTTGCGAGATGGAACCCCACCACATGCATGCGTGATGCTCCTACGGAGTACCACCACAACATGCAGTGCTGGGTACACTACTGACTGAGTAAAGCTGCTTCGCCATGCTCAGTCACCCGCCCTAGGAACCACGGCTGGCTGGCTGGTTGCATGGCTGACTGCCTGTCAGCATTTCCACATTTCCACACCTAATAGCGTCGTGCTGATGGCTGCACACAAGGACACGAGCATGCCGAGTGCCCAGTCAGCTTGATCGACCATTGCATAGTATTGTCAGATTGTGGTGGTGATTAGCCTCAGCCGACACCCCTTTTTCGAGTCAATACCAAGCCTTTGCGATGAGTCGTCGCCGGAAACGTCAAAGGGGGTTGGACGAGGCGTTGTGAATCTTCTTGAAAGAGTCAAGACCGTTTTCAAGCAGTCGCTCTTTTGCCATTTCTGGTGAAACATGGTACTGAAGCCACAAGAGGCAGGCTCTGTTTGTGCTCTGTGCACACCAGCGAGCCTGCGCGGCCGGCACGTCGCCAGGGTCGCACGCCCGCGGCACCGTTTCTGCAGGCTACAGCACAACCAACGCCGGGCCTAAACCGCATCTTGACGGTCTTGCCTTGCCCAGAATTGATTGTCTCAGGGGCAGGAGCGCTGGCGCGTCTTGGAGGAGACGCCTCCCGCAGGTCCCCCAGGCCCTTCAGACCCTGAAGCCTGAAGCCTGAAGCCGAAGCCTACTAAGCCTCCTCGACGAGAATGCCTCTTTCGAGAATTGCCCTGACTCGGCCGTGGCTCTACTGGTGAGACAGGAGTTCGCATCATAAACTCTGACCTCATCGTTTTTAGCTCCCAGGCGGCCTTGCCCTTGCCAATTCTGCTCTTCCCATCCGAGGCCGGCCTGCCCTGAGCCGCCTGGCCGCCTGTCTCTCTCATGCAGCGGGCCTGGTGGTGAGCCAATTTAATTAGATGAACTCTGCAGTGTCAGTACGACGAACGGGTGCTTGCAACGGACTCTTCTGGGCTTCCGTGAGACCAAGGGCCACGAGCAGCCTCCTGAACAAAGCTCATATCCTTGCAGCCGCGTAGGTTCGGATCCTCAGTCAGTGGTCCACCAGACCCACGAATGCTACCACCCTAAGCTTCTGCAGGGTTGCACTTTTCTTGGTGCCCCGGAGAATCGGAGCGATCCATTGTTTCGAGGAACAGGACACTGAGGTGGCAGTCGGTCATTAATTCTGCCTGCCTGCCTTCACCAACGACTCCTCACCGCAACCCAAGACCCAACAGCATCCACTGGGAGCTCACCGACCGCGCTTTGGTATTGCGCCGCGCACCGGGGGATGAGGCATGGTTCGTAAACCATTTGGACTGGCTGACTGGCTGACTGTTACCTCTGCCACATGTCAGAGGAGCCATCACTCTCACCAACAAACCTGCAAGGCAGCCAAGGCCACAGAGCGAACCCCCAAAAGGCACAGGCCCAAGGCCCTGAATCCCAAGCCGGCGAAATTGGGCGGCTAGCAGTGAAGATCCCCCAACACCATCGCCAATCCCCGTGATGAAATGTAGATCTGCACCGCTCGTCACCGCTGCTCAATGTCGTCTTCATGCAAGACGGATCTTGGTCCCGATCCGACCACCTATCCATATTCTATCCACCCACCCAGCCCTTTTCCTCATCCCATCTCAACCCCACGCCCGAGTCAAGCAAGCATGGAACGCGTCTGCCGTCACTGTCAGGCCGCCCGTGTCGCATGGCTGCTGGGCTGCTGGGCTGCTGCAACCTGCCCACACACAAAGATGAACCCCGCATCTCAAAGGCGCGCGGGTTCGGCATGGGATGACACGACGCAGCAGCCCTCTTGCAATGGCGTTTCCAATCCTGCAGGCCTGGGTCCTCGTGCCCTTCCTCCCACGCGGTGGAGCGTGTGGCAGGCGTGGGGTTTAAGTGGCAACCGCGCCTACGAGATAATAACTCGGAAGCTGGGGACGCTGGCGGGGGGCTTAGGGACTGAGTGAGCAACTGAAGTACGGAGGCATGAACTCAATGCCACGCCCACGCCCGTCTTCGCTCGCCAGCACGATGACGCCACGGCTGCATGGGAGTCCGCTTGCAGCGCTGTCCTGCACAGGCTGACAAGCTGCACTGCACTGCGCGAGCACTTACTCTTGGGAGGGCGACGACAATGCCTGGTTCTGTGTCGTCTCCCCGCTCCGCTTTCTGCGCGTGGTGAGCAGGCTGCACCCCATTCATGCACGTAACGTGGTTGTTGGAGAGGTGCGTCATTGCGACTACTGGACACTACCCGTCTACAACCAATGATGGGGGTAGCAACCTGTCTCAAGCTTGTTCTGTGGCAGGGGGTCCGCGGCGAGGGCAAGATTGAGTGCAGCACAGAAGAGCAGGGCAGGGCAGGGCCAGGTAAGGCCTGGTGTAGTATGACGGTTCAAGTTTATTCCTCCCAGGTTCAAGCTTTCGGCCTTCCGACAGCAAAAGTGCCGTTTCGGAAGCGCAGTTCGAAGGCCTACACAGCTTGTTGAAACGGGGCCTAGCGACGTTTCCTCTAGGCCTTGCCGACGAGCGCCTAGAAAGTGTCTAGAAAGTGCTTCCCGAGGTCCGAACGCCGGAAACGAACAAGAAGGGCCCCCTTCGTCCCGTCTTCCATGCGTGACAATGGCCTCACAAGCAGCAGGCCGCGTCCCATCTGTCCGGGTCTGGAGAAACAGGGCCCCCTAACAACAAAGGCGAGTAGCCGCGCCTACGGATAGACTTCAACAACCGCCCCAGGAATAGACACAGCGCAGCGTGTAGATGGGCCTCACCCCCAGCCCGGCGGACGGGCCGACCTAGGCGGGGTTTTGTCTTCTCGCGATCCTCCAGGCAATCAGCCTTCCCGGACGTCGTCCGGAGCCAGGGCCAAGTGAATCTTGTTCTTTTTGTCTCCCTCCATTGGGGCCGCCTGCGATTCAGGCTCCCCTGTCGGGTTGCGTTTTGAAACTTGTTGCGACTTTTTTTTTTCTCTCTTGCCCTTCCCCCCAGAAAGGCGGCGAGGACAGCCAGCCGCCCCAGATTGGCTGTGGTGGTGCCGTCGTCCTTCTTGCTCTTTGGGATGGCGTGTCTTGTGTTTCGAAAGGACGTGCGCGTGACCTGGTGGAGGCGACCCTACCTGGCAGCCCTGACCCGACCCGGGGCCCTCGACCCGACCTGTAGCAACTGGCGGTTCCCCCCCCCCCCCCTTCCTTCTTTGTGGACTGTAGATCGCTTCATGTGCACATGATTTTTTGCAGTGTGGGAGGAAAACCCACCCGGTTTGACTGACGGCGCCGAGAGAGGAGCCAACCGCCTTGGAATGGCCATCGTCCCTTCAGTCGGCCCTTCCTCCGCCCTGTCTGTCTGTCTGTCTGTCTCTCGGCCGCTCCCGGCTGTTGCGGCTGTCACTCAGCTCGGCGGTGGAGGCTTGTGCCCGCTTGGCGCCATGGCGGTTGATCTCCCGGGCATTAAGACCCGAGACAAGGCAAGGAAGAAAAAGGGCTGCACGCTCTGAACCCTTCGTGCTTGGCGCCGTTGCACAATCCCTTTACTGCTGTGCTTTTCCGACCGACGTAACGTACGTGCAGGCATGTATGCATGTATGCATGCACTCACTCGCTTTATTCATTGTATGGACGGGGTAGGGATCGTCTTGTCCTTTTTTTTTTTTTGAGAGTTCATTGCTGATTTGGCTGAGGCCTGTTTCGTTTCTGCCAGGATATAGCGTCTGTAGTCTTCAGCAGTGACGGTCCCCTGTGAGATGGGATGTGTATGTGTGAGCGATCTGCCATCTGCCTGGCTCCCTGGCTGCCTTTACCCCTTCCCTCGTGCTTGAGGGCAGGCCAAGAATGCAGATGCCAATCGCATTACATGATCTTATTACGAGATCGGGATGGCTTGTGATGATTCAGTAGAGAGGCAGGCTGGATGGCCACGTAGCTAACCGCACGGTGTCGATCCTTGTGGGTGGCAGAGAGGGCCAAGCCTGGCTGGCCTGCCGGCCGCCGGCTTGGTGATTGGTTATTGCCTCGAGGATATATCAATCAGCCGTCACGGAAACGCCTCTTGGCTTCCTCAACAATTATTACTTGCCAAGGGGCTGCGATTAGGATATCATGAGGTAAATGAATTAAACATTGGCTGGGGAATTGTCTGAAGGATTTGTAGCTGTAATTGATGTTAAATTACAGGCTGTGTCTGGTGCTGTAGATCCCACTCACTCACTGGCTGGGAGATTAACTAAATGGTGAACCACAAGTGATACTGTACAGGCAATAAATATGGCCCGCTTGGTTTTCGATGCTGGGGACGCTTGGCTTGTCACTTCGGCAGTGGTACAATCGAAGCCACTGGGGCAGCCATGCTGAGTTCATCTGGGAAGCCCTGGAGGGGAAATATTATTACCGGTAGTTATTTGTGCGGTGGCGCTCGCTCCTAATCAGCTCTGCTGCCCACGATTTAGTTCAGCGTTTCACTTGTGGCTTGAGCCGTTGACTTGCACTGTGCGAGAATTCAAAACGTCGAGTTTGTGTTCAAGAGCGTTTTGCCCCTGTCACTTTTTGGTGATAGGTTGGTGTAGACAGACATGTATGTTGGCGGGACAGTTTCACTGTTTTCTGGGACAGTACATGTGTAAAGAACAACCTGAGGATACTGGAGGACTTGATGGGCATTTGCGAACCCTAAAAGTTTCTTGAAGAATTTGATGACGAAGACTTGTTCAACTCTTTTGGCTATTTCACGCCCTCCTTGGAAACGTGCTGTTTCTCATTGTCTCCCCAGGACCTATGAATACATTATAGAAGCCTCGGATGATTCTTACTGGACTTGGATTGATGGGATATGAATGGTCCTATAGAAGAGCACACACATCTGTGTCTCTCTGTCGCCTACTAAGCGGGACTTAGGAGAGGCAGCTTCTTTGACAACATGTTGAGGAGGGCTTCTGCGATGTGCTGATCGCATTTCGTTGTAACCAAACCACTATGAAATGAAAAGACTACATTCCGTAATCTACAGGTGTCCATCGGGCAGTGAACTACACCAGTTTCTCTTGTGACGTTCGCGCCGCCTGGCAGAATGCTCTCTCATGTGGCACCTCACACGAAAATAGAGCCACTGGGACCGCGCCTCTACTATTCTCAACGCATAGGGCATCAATCTCACAGATATGATTGGCAGAGATACCTCACTTCTTGCCAATCTTGACCGAGACTTATTGGTTAATGCCGCCGAGATCATGAGATGGGATTGCGGCTGGAACGATGGCAGCTTTTCCAACCAGAATCACTGGCTGTTTGCGAGGCAATCTATCATCACTGGACAAGCCAAGTATGGGCTAGCATCTATTAAAGTCCTCTTGTGCTGGGCGGCCCTATGCGCGCAATGAATGGAAGCGGAGGACGGCCCGGGGCTTGTCCCGCTGTAGCGGACCTGGCCTGGGTTGCCAAGACCCAAGTCGAGCAGCAAAGACGTTAGCGGACAATTGATCGGGAAAGATTATATGAGAAACAACAGTGTCTGTTACTGACCCTAGTACCACAGTCTGGAGAAAGTGTGTATTGTGTTGAAGAGATTCAGCTGACCCAAAGCGTGAGGCATATGGCCTGCAACTCTCAGCCTCCTACTGAAGCCCACTGTTGATCACCTAATACTACATGCCAGTGGACAATTTAAGACCATAATCTTCCTTCATTGGAAATCCTTCTTCCCGTGAATTTTCAAATTTTGACTCTATACAAAGCCCTGAGGGTCCTGGGCCTGTAAATTTGCACCGCTGGTAGTATCAGGTTCCTTGTATAAGGGATAACTTGAGGTCTAACATCTGCATCACTGTTAACATGGATGAATCCAGCGCGGCTGAAGTACAACCACCACAAAATGGAGGCCATGTTCAAATCAAATCTGTGCATCCATCTGAGCAAGTCGTCAACGGAGAAAAGCCCATGACAGCTCTCGCCGAGCTGTATGCCCCCTCCGTGACGGCAAAGCTATGGTCCGTGGCTCAAGAGGCGTTGAGACTGAGCACTGGCCCACCAACACTCTTCCCGGAATATACTCACCCAGGCGGCGGCAAATACATCTACCGCGACCTGGAATTCTGGACCTCAGGCTTCTTCCCAGGGAGCCTGTACCTCCTACTAGAGAGACAAATCCGACACCCCCACGTCCTCCAGCAGCAAGGACAACAGCCGCCGCCCCTCCACCGGCTCCAGCTCGAACACGCCTGCACATGGTGGACAGAAAACCTGCACGCCAACGCCCACCTGGCGACGACCCACGACATCGGCTTCATGACCATGCCCTGGGCCCGCCCGGCCTGGGAGCTGCGGCACGACGCCCGCGCCCTCGCGACGCTCACGGCCGCCGCCGCCACCCTCCAGGCGCGCTTCAGCCCCGCCGCGGGCGCGATCCGCTCCTGGGACTCGTGCGCCACGGGGGACTACAGCTTCCAGGACCCGGCGCGCGAGTTCCTCGTCGTCATCGACAACATGATGAACCTCGCGCTGCTGTTCTACGTCGCGGCGCAGACGGGCGACGGCGCGATGCGCGACGTGGCCATCTGCCATGCCCGGACGACGCGCCGCACCCATGTGCGTGCTGACGGGACGACGCTCCACCTGGCTGTGCTGGACCCGGGGGACGGCGCGGTCCGGCGGCGCCTCACCCACCAGGGGCGGCACCACGGGAGCTGCTGGTCGCGGGGCCAGGCGTGGGCTGTTGCTGGGTTTGCGGAGGCGTGGGGGTGGACGCGGGGGGAGGAGTTCCTCGACACGGCGGTGTTGTGTGCGGATGCTTTCTTGGGGCGGATGCCGGAGGGTGACGGTGCGGTTCCGCCTTGGGACTTTGAGCCGGCGTCGGCGGTGGATGGTGATGGTGATGGTGCTCTCGGAAGAGAAAGGGGAGCGGGAGAGAAGAAGAAAAAGGAAGAGCCTACCGATACCAGCGCGGCAATGATTGCTTCGTACGGGTTTTTACTTATCTATGAGGCATTGAGGCTGCGGAACAGTGCCCGCGCGCAGAAGTATCTCGATGCGGCGCTGAGGATCACAAACGCGGTGTGCAAAGGGTATCTCACGCCACGGGCCAAGTTCGTACCCCAAGCCAACGAGGCCACGGTCAGGACGGTCGCCGACACAGCTGATCACGGGGCTGAGGAGCAGGACGTCGCGGTGGTCCGGTTCGATGTTGACGACGGTGGCTGCCAGGCCATCCTCGACGGTGCCACCATCAATAACTATGAGTTTGCGCCTCGGAGGTGGGCTAACCACTCGCTGGTGTATGCGGACTACTACTTCATGTTGGTGGGCAACAAGCTGTTAGATATGGGGATCGGTCACGCATTTGGGAGCTTGGGCGGTTGAGATTCAGTTCTCAGGGTTGACGAATGCTCAGAAATGACGTTGCGTGGTCAAAAGTAGACGCTATAAAGATGGATCAGGTTGCACGGAGGTAAGGTTCTGCATCAGCTTTGTCAGGAGTGAGAGGCTTTCCAGTGATGTAAAGATATACACGGTGCCCCTTAGCCTTGTCTGTGCGTCGCAAGGCTGAGGCCACAAGCACCTATCGTATTATAACTATCGTTATCAGTATCGTATTCTTTCCAAACGCTGGGTCTTAAGTGCTTACCACCGTATGAAGGCGCCATGTATATCCTCGGACGTATACGGAATAGAACCGAAACCACAAACTACATAAAGATATACGGGGGAGAGGAATGTTGAGACAGTGAGACTACATATTCTAGGAATTATGAAACCCGACAAACGCTGATTTTGTTAACCAGACTTGGAGCTGTGTTCTCGGGGGAAAACAAGACGAAAACGAATCCCACAGTAAGTCAATACAATGAGTGACGAACGAGAACACAGCAACTTTGAATTAAAAGGTATATCCAGAATCGACCAAACTTGAGTATGCCCTGCCACTCTCTGCCCGATAATCTTCAACTGCACATCAGATTCCAGCCTACTGACCCATCGGCGGCCCATTCGAATCACCGGGGTGCCCATACATACTAACTCGCTCATCTGGCGGGAACGTATACTCCATGAAAAAGTTAAGATCTTCAAATTCCCCTGTGTCCAGGGTCACCATGCCGCTTCCAAAGTGCTGATCTGGGTAAGGCGCAGGTTGCAAGTCTGGAGAATGGATGGCAGTCTGTGATGCACTGGGGATCTGACCTGCCTGGAAGGCCAGGGGCAGGGGAGGAAAAGCGAAGGATATGCTGTCTGGTGACTCCTCATCGATGGGACGCATGTTGTGATAATTGCTGTTGATAGGCCCGGACACCTCCACCGGCTGTCCTGTTTGTGAGGCATGACCAAACTGGTGCGATGGGCCGGTAAAGGTGTGATTGTGATGTGTGACGTTGGGAGGTGGCTGATTTACTTGGAAACGTGACTTTCCATTGCGCAGCCTCGACACATCAGAGTTGTCTCCGAGGATTGTGGGAAAGCTGTCTGTGACCGTAGCCTGGTCGTCGGAGAACACAGCCTGCCGAATATCCAGGGAAGCACCTTGTTGTCTGGCCCTCAGAAGGCGTGAGGCGAACTTGGACGCTAAGTTGTTCTCGAGCTTCCATCTTTTTGATATTTCCCAAAGGGAGTCCAGTAATACGTCGAACTCCCTTGGAAGCGAGATGTTATAGTACGCAGCGTGTGCTAATAACATACGGCCGCAGATAAACAAGCAGAATGCAAACTGGGGGTTCGTGAGGGTGGCAGGATTATCCCGTAAGAACCGCTCCACGATAGTGACAACCTCAGTCGCGGCAATAAGGCAGGTCTCAGCGCTAGAGGCAGATGGCAGACGGACGCCGATGGTCGGTAGCACAGACTGCCATTCGGTAGATGGGTAGGCAATGCCCTGGTGAAGGAGGACGACGGCGATATTGTGGGTGATGTGAGCAAGGGTCAAGTTGGGATCCATGTTTCCATCCTCGTTGAGCGCGCACGCCTCACGCCACCGCTCGGGCAGGAATATTTTCCACTGCACCAAGCGGAGGTCGAGCTGCTTGAAGCGCATCAGCCACATTTGGACATCTTGCGCCTTGGACACGTCCACGGCTTGCTGGAGGAAGAACGAGGTAACCAGGCTGAGACTCTCGGTTGCTTCGATGCAATAGGCGAATCCACCTAGGGATTCTTGATCTTCACTCTCGGCTCTGGCAGCAGGCAGTCTCATCTCATCTACCGGAGCCTTGTTCTTTTGATGGTGACTTTGAGACGGTGAAGGGGTCGAAGCCTGGTTGTACTTGTCTGAAACTCCAAAGAACGGCGTGGGGGTCTCGAGGGCCTCGCCTGCCTCCCACAGAGCACCTTCGCAAGGTAGCCTCCGTTTCACATCAGCACTCGTCAGGGACAGATTCCATCCCGTAGCAAAGCTACAGAAGCGGTCCATCAAAAATATGTTCCAGAACACGCGTCTTCTCTCCTCCAGCTCGCTCCAGTCACGAGCAGGAGGCAGAAAAGCTGCTCTCTTGATCTGGTTCTGGAAATTGTCCGCAGAGCGATGGGGGCCTTCATCCACGGGTTCGACGCTGAGTTGCAGCTGCTCCACTGTGCGCGTCATGCTGCCCACGACAGACCAGGCACTCGGGCTCCGCCCACTCCCGATGGTGTCAAAGGCGACGATGATCAGAGCCTGTAGGTTCTCCACGGAGAAAGATTGCATACTCTGCAGGATGACGGTATCACGACTGCGTTTGGCTCTTAGCGTGCGTGCCTCACTGTCATAGCCGAGGCGAGCATCGTCGGAGAAGCGTGAGCAGATGGAGACTATGGCATGGCATATCGTGGTGATCTGACCCCGCTGTGACGATTCTTTCATGCGCTGGCGAAAGTTTCGGACGTGGAGCATAGGTACCCAGGGGTGGATGAGCCGGAAGTAAATCTCCACAAGTGAGAACAGGACATCGTCCGGGGGAAGCTCGTCTTCTCCATATGTTGCTCCCAGTTTTCTGGCGGGTCTGGCCTGTACATGTTCTGTTTGATTACGCCGAGTGTCGGGCGTTGGGTCTATTGCAGTCTGCGGCCCCTCGGGCGGCAGTACCTGTGACTTACGGTCTCCAGGAATGGAGGATAACAAGGATTTCCTAAGTTGCGCCGTACGCTCCTTCAGAGAGGCCCCAGACATGGAGCATCCTGAGTCTTGTGTGCTGGAACCGGTAGCACCTCCTGGTGAGATGTCATCGAGTCGACGCCATATTTGGTTGACATTCTGTTGCCACAGTATGCCCTGCCCAAGAAACATGTTCTCGAGAGCTGTTATTCTCTGGCTGAGGTGCTCTATAGCACCGGACCGCAGTCCTGGCTTGAGCTTTCTTTCATCATACACACATTGCAAGTCTTCGCTAATGTCAGAACGTGGGATGGCCTGGGTCATGTTGCAAATAAAGTGTCTTCTTACTTTGCCTTTCACACTGCGAACAAGGCAGTCGTCTAGAACATTTTGCCTTCTTCCGTCGACAGGACTGGCAACTGGCGTGTGGAGACACATGTCAGCATACAAACAAGGATAGAAACCGGGCATCCACCACAGCCACCCTGGCAGCTGTACTTCGAGGTGAGGGTCGTTAGGGAATATCTCACGCTGGGCCATCAAACTTTGAGGCCGCGTTGCCGTCAGTCTTTCTCTTTTTCGTCGGTGGTGCCCCCTCAGCTTCGTCGTTATCATCGCCTTCAGGGCCCTGCTCGGCCCCGCCCTCCTCAGGTTCAGAGGCTGAGGCGTCCGGGTCGTCATCGAAGGCTTCACCCAAATCATGCATGTTCTCAACGGTCTCGCATTATGTGATAATAACCTTGGCCGACATGGTTTTCGACACTGAATATGCAGTCACAATGCCATTATTGTAAGTGACGGGAGGACATGACACCAAGGCGATCATCCATGCAAAAAGGCTCACTTGCAGACTTTACGTCGAACTATGGTCCCATTTGGGCTTTCCCCTCTAACCCTTTTCATAACACTGCAGTTCGCGGGGAAGTCGATTCGGGGCCTGGGGACCAGACACATACTCACTCAAGACTCTTCAACTAAAGCCGCGCCAATCACTTGCATTGTAGGAGTTTTTAAGAGCTGCAACACCACCTAGACACCCAAGAAAGAAGGCATCTAAAATAATGATCGTGGGTGTGGCTTAAGTCATTGCGGGGGGATCCGCGGTATTGTGCCCAGGTGGGGAACGCATGTGGATGATAGCCACCAGTCCGGCCACCGGAGGAAGTACCGGAGGGCCCTCCGGTACCACTAGGTGTCCAGTCATTGTCTACACCCTGGTCACTGTCACTACTGCTGGTGTCCGGTTCGCTAAGATGCAAGGCGTGGTCTCACTAAGCGTACTAATGACCTGTCGGGAGAGCATGCCAGGAGAGTCTGATTCGCCGAGCTGCAGTTGGTTCTCGATACAGGCAGTTCCTTGTAACTCTCTTTTCCCAAGGTACCTAAGTATCCAGTTCCACGCAATGTGGCATGTCAAATGTGAGTAGCGAAGCAGGGGCAGTGTCTCGCTGGCTGCGAATGGTCCTTCCCGCCGTGAAACTCGTAGCTTTTATTAGTACAGACGCTTCCTTCTCGTCAGATCCCAGGGGCCCCAGGCTGATTCCTGGGGTTCTTAAGCCCAAGACAGATATTAAGAATCAGTGAGCCATCCAAGTCTCGATAAGACCTGTCCGAACCTTGCCTTCGATTGAGCATTTGGATCTACCTTTGTGTATCACTTCAAGCCTCAGAAATTAACAGGTCAATTTATTGTCACAAGAGTTATCGGGATCTTCCTGAACGGTTCGAAGTCGACATGGAAAAGTCGAACTCAATACCATCTGGTGATCATGATGAGATCGCTGTGATGAAGGGTCCTGGACCGAAGCCGTACTCGGTGACGGAGCCTAAAGAGCAGGCAGACAATGAGGTAAGTAGCCACATCCATATATAAGTTCTGCTTGCGAGGCTGCAGTAAAGTTTGACTGTACCAAGTTACCTGATATCCTGAAACAGCGGTACGAGACTGACACATCCACCAATTCTCAATTTTACAGACCGCCCAATACGCAGGCCGCGAGGCTATCTATATAGATGAGAAGACAGACCGAAAACTCTTCTGGAAGATCAACGGGAGAATTTTGGTCTGCATGTTAGGCACCTACTTCTGCCAGGCGCTTGACAAGGGAACGCTATCCTTCTCGTCAATTATGGGGATACAAGAGGACACGCATCTTGTCGGACAGCAGTATAGTTGGCTTGGGACCATTCTATACATGGGTGTTCTCGTGGGTGAGTATCCCACCAACTTCCTGCTCCAAAAGCTGCCTGTTGCCAAATACCTCTCTGCAAACATCTTCTGCTGGGGCGTGGTTATCGCTTGCTCCGCAGCCTGCAAGAATTTTGGCTCATTAATGACGGTGCGGTTCCTATTGGGGATCTTCGAGAGCTGTGTGCAGCCTGCGTTCATTATCATGACTTCTATGTGGGTAGGTCTGAAGCCATGGGGCTTGACCCTGGGCATGACTCCGAGATAATGAGCTATTCAAAGTGACAGCATGGCTAATTGCGATGCATTCTGCTGTAGTATACCAAAAAGGAGCAGATGATCTTGACGTCGATGTGGTACTGTATGATGGGTGTGCAGCTCATGGTGAGCCGATGATTGTTTTTATCCCCGCGGTCTACCAGGACACGCTGACACTTGCGGATCGCAGTTTGGTGGAATCATAGCATGGGGTGTATCACAGTACAAGGGCCATGAAATCCTACCCTGGCAGCTGCTCTTCCTCATCCTGGGTTGCCTGACCTGCGCCTGGGGCCTTTTCGTCGGGTGGTGGCTCCCGGATACCCCAATGAAGGCTAAGTGCTTCAACGAGGACGAGAAGCGGCTGATGGTCGAGCGGGTCCGCGCAAACGAGACAGGCATCCAGAACAAGGTTTATAAGCGCTACCAGGCGGTGGAAGCCCTTACAGACCCGATAGTATGGCTCTACATCATGCTACAGCTAACCTCAACCCTCGTCATTGGCGGGTTGGGTGTCTTCTCCAACCTAATAATTTCCTCGTTCGGCTTCACTTATCTTGAGACGCAGCTCCTCAATATTGCGCAGGGTGCGGTGACTATTATTGTCATGGTCGGTTCGGCTGCATTGTGCACGTGGACTGACCAGACCGCTTGGATCATGCATGTGAGTAGTCCTTGACATCCTATATCATAGCTCTTTGGGCGGTACATACTAACACTTGGTCTCTCACTAGGCATGGACCATGTAAGGAACGACCAGAAGAGGATTACGCGAGCCTCACAATGCTGATGATGTGTCTTTAGACCTCCCATCATTGGGACCGCTGTCGTTTATCATATCGAGCCCACGCAATCCACACGTGTTGGACTTCTCATCGCCTTTTACTGTATGCAGTTCTACCTCGCTGAGGGTAACATGATATTCTCTCTGATCTCGCGCAACATCGCTGGGCAAACAAAGAAGTCAACTGCTCTCGCCATGACTTTCATCGCGTGGGCAGCTGGCAACATGACCGCGCCACAGGTATACCTCTCTTACGATCCGAACATGTGTTACCACCAAATGTTTTCACAGGTGTCCAATGATTTCATTGCTGATTATCCTATCTGTTTCCTAGATATTCCAGAGCGGTGATGCCCCTCGCTACCACAAAGGCTTCACTGCCCACTTCTGTCTCTACGTGCTCTTTAACATCACTCTTGCCATTACTCGTATCAATCTCACGAGGCGCAATCATAGAAAGAGGAGTTTGGCATCTGTGGCGTCAGAAGCTGCATCGAACAGGGGCAATGACAGAGCGGGATCTGAAAAGATTGGCCACTCAAATGCGTTTATGGATCTCACAGATACAGAAAACCCTGACTTCAGATATGATTTCTGAGGAGGTTTCACCATGGAGCTGAAATATACTCCTCAGACGAAGATACGTGAAGTGATGGAAGACTGGGGGTAGAGGGACGACAGTCGAAATCGCGATGAAGGATCCCAATTTGTGACAGCTGCTCCGACGCCGAGTCACTGTGTATGGGCCGAGGATATAGTTGCGTTGTATGATCTGAACGCAGGACCGTCCACAAAGCACTTCAATGTAAGCGCTGGGTCTCGAGCGATTCAAATGTTGCCACCGTATGAAGGCGCCATGTATGTCGTCGGACGCATAAGTACGGAATAGAAGCGAAACCAGTTGTGGTACTGAGGTAGATCTTCAGGCAAACGCCGTAATCAGGGGCTGGGTACTATTATATGCTTTGGTAGTCAATTGGGGGTTTGCACGAGAAAATATTATATGCCACCACAAAGCTAGCAATCATTTAGCAGGAATTCCTTCCTGTCTGTGGTGATACAGGGCAGGACCAACGGGCTGAAAGACGTCACTATGAACTAAGCCCAAATCACTGAAGACATCTTACCAGCGCCCACAGGTCCCTCTACGAAGCTCGCCTTGCAGACCTACTGGCCGGTTTGATGCATTCTGATCCCAGCATCCTATTCTGCAAAATGGCAAAATGCCTCCTTCCCTGAATCAGACCGAGACACCGTCCATTATCTGGCGGGACACCGCCCAACCCAAGGACTACGAAAAAGCCCGCACGTGTAGACTCTTCAACGGAAAGCTCCCCGAAAGATATCCCACCGCCATCATGTTTGCCAAGACAGAGCACGACGTGGTGGATGCGACGAAGTTAGCGACCGAGAGGAGACTCCGTGTCTCCATTCGTGCAGGAGGCCACAGTTACGCGGCGTGGAGCGTCCGGGACGACGCTCTGCTTCTGGATCTGGGCGAGCTTTCCGAGTTGACTCTCGATAAAACGACAGGCATCGTGAGTCTGTCGCCAAGTATCACGGGCAGAGACCTGGACCAATACCTGGTGGCCAATGGCCGAGCGTTTCCCGGTGGCCACTGCCCTGATGTGGCGATGGGAGGGTATCTTCTCGGGGGAGGCATGGGCTGGAACACGAACGTAAGCATGTGCCTTATTCATTTTAACAGAGACTACGCAGCTAAATCTCTCGTAGAACTGGGGTTGGGCGTGTGAGAGCGTGGTTGCCATCGATGCAGTGACAGCAGAAGGTCAGCTGGTTCGAGCCGACGCAAACGAAAATGCAGAACTTTTATGGGCCGCCAGAGGTGGTGGGCCGGCGTTCCCCGGTATCGTTACAAGATTCCATATACAGACTCGATCAGCACCGAAGGTCATGCGATCCTCTGTGTACGTGTTTCCCATGACACATTACAAGACAGCCTTGAGCTGGGCACTTGAGGTATGATTGTCTCAAACTAACTACATTGTAATTTTGACCATACTGACCATTACAGATTGCCTCGTCTCTCGAGAATACTATAGAGCTTACTGCCGTTGGAAGTTACCAAGAAGGAATTCAAAGTCCTTGTATCATGGTCATCCTCTTGGCAATGGGCGACGACAAAGACTTCGTTGAGGAACTCTTGCGGTCTGTAGAGGACTCCCGCCCTGATGGAGCGTTGTCAGCATCAGTTTGCAAGGAAACAAGCATACAGCAAGAATACGACAACAAAGCCAAAGCGTTTCCAGTCGGTCCGCGATACAAAGTTGACAACGTCTTTCTTCGCAACGACGCAGATGTCGTATCTCTTCTGGAGTCTCCTTTCAACACGCTCCCCACGAGGCAGTCTATGGTGCTTTGGACGTCCATGAAGCCACGCAGCAGTCGGCCTCTGACAAATATGGCTCTCAGTATGCAGTCAGATCACTACTTGGCTATCTACGTTCTGTGGGAGAGTAAGGCCGACGATGCTAGGTGCGAATCATGGCTTTCAAATGCGATGCAGCAAGTGGGCCGCCACTCAATCGGCTCTTATCTGGGCGAATATGATTTTCAAACCCGTGCCTCTGACTGCTGGGGAGCCGAGCAACATCAGAGATTGGTCGAGCTCAGACACAAATGGGACCCTGATAATCGGATCTGCGGATGTCTTGGGCTAGACGATATCTGAAGATGGCGAGCCGGGTTTGATAGCCCCGGACTGGAAAGCGAGGCCGAAACGAGGGCTCCGTGAGCAAAAGTGTGGCAAACTTACACACATGACCTTACGTTGATCTATATCGGATCAGACTGAATTGGTGCTCAGACGTAATAGTAAAGTTGGACTTATTCCTTCAGATTCTCGCCTGGGCATGGTGTATGGACCACGCAAATTGAAGCCAAGGTAGCCGTGGCCACATGCTACAAGTGCTTGGGACCCAACTGGCTGAATCTGGTGGGCCTGTAATTGCAGCATTCGAGTGTAGCGGCATATACCACCTAAGCTGGAGTTCACGTAGCGAGCCTTATTGTCATCTGAGATGTCTAGACAGTATGGTAGACCGATTGACTACCTTGGCTTCCGCGCCAGGCAGATCGTCAACACCGGTGATATGACGTAGGACATTCAAGTTGGGGCCAGCTTTGAGTCGTTTCGTTATGACAAGATATTCAAATAAGAGCAAACCTAGTGATCCACATGAACGCATGACCAGGTCCTATGCAATTGCACAAAAACATGTATATTACGGTTCTGGATCATGCTCTATATCCTGCGGAGCCACCGAACCGACCGATTTCACGTCGAAGGAGCCCAAAATGCTATTGTCACTCCCTTTCCCTAGGGCTCGCCTCCACGGGATAGTGCTGGACCGAATCAGCGAACTTGCATGTGGGGTGTTCAAGAAGGGAATAGAAACATACAAGGCCATAAGTGTCCTGGAAAGTACTACCAATCAATTTCAAGTTCTCTTCGTTCTTATCCGGAAACTCATCATCGGTCCAAACTTCCATGATTCCATGATGAGCTAGGAAGTGGTACCCCTGAGCCGGATAGCCATGTTGCCTCACAAAGTTCAGGACAACTTCAATGTTCTTTCGGCGGGCTGGGCTTGTTTCTTCCTCGATATGCTTTTCCATTGCATTCATATACGACTGCCAAGTACTGTCGCTAGCCTTCGACGTACCAGCAACGGGTGCAGATGAATCGGGTCCACTATCAGCGGCCATATCTGTTGCTGTGGGTACAAGCCGATCCTGAGATTTTGACGGGTCGTTTGACATTGTGATTCTGCGAAGCAGACGGAAGTGTCCGAAACGTTGAGGTGGGTCGGCTGGGTCTCAAAATGATCAGAAGAGTTGGCAACATGCAAATCATACACAGAACTGAGTCTGACTTCAGAAGCGTTGAATCAAGAGAGAGAATGAGTCCTTGGGCCTGAGGACAGGCCACACGCTTTTTGTAAAGGGGTGATAGGTCACAGGGTGATTAGATAATCTTGTTAGGCAGAACCAACTTGAATCTGAAGCATGTGTTCGGCTGAGCCGCCTGTGCCGTACAACTTAGAATAACACTTCGCTAAGTCCGATACTCATGTGCTAGGCTAGAATGTCCATTTCTACCTCCTTTGACGAGTTGAATTTTATGAATATGCTACGCAGGAGATAGTCGATCTTTCGAATGGCGCGGTGAATCATCTTCAAATCCTCATCCCCAAAGAAGCTTTCCAACATCCTCCCAATTCTCGAAGCCGTAGACAAAGGAACTGTTCCCACTTACGGGCCCCGTATGTCCTCGCCAACCTAGGCGCACATTGGCAACCTCCACGCCGTATGTCTGAAAGGTCTCCGCCGCGCTCCCATCGAAGCCGGCAACAATGCCAATGTTAGTAGGCCCTTCCCACAATGGCTGAAGATCTGCGTCGCCATCCGACACAAAGACCACATTGTTCACCTCTCCGGACACAGATCTTAGCAGATTCTCTATCAGCTCCGTCTTATCACCACCCGAGAACAGCTGAGCGCCATGATCGAGCCCTGTAGCCGGAAGGGTGTTCTCGGGTAGTATCTCGGGACAGTACGTCTCGATGTTCTCGACGACCTGTGGGCACTCGCTAGCCTCCTGCAGGACAAGACGGATCCACGACGGTGACCAGTTTAGGCTGACCACATTCACCTTGACCCCCTTCTCTTGTGCAGCTGTGGCAAATTCGCACCATCCATCTCGAAGGGTCTGATTCTTGGCGAACTTGACGAGTTCGTCCTGCTTCGTGGCGTCGAAGACCCCGAGGTTCTGTACCCAGAGGAAAGACCACTGTTCTACAGCGCGTAGAGCCTTGATTGACCATGTCAGACTGCGAGACGGACTCATGCTTCATCTTGACCTACTGCGTTGTTCGCGAAGTTGATCGCCTCGGCCAACGAGGTCGGCTCATCTACTGTGGCCGAAACAGCATCATACACCGTGCTGTAGGTAGCCTCGATCTCATCCCATGATGGGAATGATGTGGTCGTGTTAGCAGGTAGGCTTGCGTATGCCGCGGATGCGAGGGACGTGTATGCATCCGATATGACAATTGTGCTATTACAGTCTCGTAAGCTCAGACTGAACCCTCGCCACGTTACCGCATTGGTGTTCGGCCAGAGGCAAGCTCATTCTGGATTCGACTAACCCATCAAAGTCTAGGAAAATCTGCAGTCCGGTGGAAGCGTTCATGTTGAGATGAGTCTTGGCTAGCGCAACTCCTGCGCTCAGCGCAAGCAGTAGGCCTGCGCAGTGATGCATCGTTGACGTTGACAGCAAGCTCTCATGTAGTGGCCGGAATTAGGTGATGCGTATCACATGATCCATGAGTGAAGAGAATGACGACTTTATATTAGATGTGGGTACCGCCCGGTTCATGCAATCATTTGACTCGGCAGCACAGCGGACTTGGTTTTGAAGGCCAATGACTCCATCTAGCACGACCGGTTATTTACTTAACGGTTGTTGCATGCATTAGTCAAGCTGGGCATCGCTATATGCGGTATGCCACCAAAGCGGCCAGGCGTTTTTAACGCCGGCAAACATCTAGGCCATGGATCTTGTTGGTCCTAGCCAATACCGTGATACCTACGTAGTGGTGAAAAAGAGATAGTATTGACCTTCATGTTCACTCACAGTTGGCCTTAAACTTACGCAGAAAACATGACTATCTGCGGACTGAGAAGGGTCGCCTTCACGCATTATTATTTTTGAACTTATGATACCTTGCGGATTTCATATCTTTTTGCAGTGAGGGACCTAAGTCGTGAAGGCCCTGGGGCATCCATCTGAAAACGGAAGAGGACCTTGGGAGTCGTCAACGTACTTAAGTAAAGCTGAGAACTCGATGTTCCTGAGGATCCAGTGCGCTGACACAAACAATCCTCGCGGTCACAGATGGATCAATGAACTGAATACTCAACTCTGAACAGCTGTGCGGTTGATTGTACGATACTTCGTGCACGTGCAGCTAGAGGGATACAGTACCGTATATCCGGGCACCATGACCTGCATGTGGTGGTCTGGGCAACCACATATGCCCAGGATGATTGCGTGCCTACGGGCTGTTAGTGCTTACATGACAGCTGTGCGGACAGCGCTAACATTCTGGTGTATGGACTGCATTGACTCTGTATACGACGGCTGCAGGAACCTTTATACGACGGCTGCATGTTTGCAGGGATCATCATGTGGATTTGTAAACAGCCCCAGACACACGGACATCTCACGTTCGAAATTCGTGGGCCCTTCACAGCAGTCAGCCAATTGGAGACGATTGAGGGATTCAAAAGGTCTACCTCATATGTTTTGGGACGGGGAAGTAAGCTAGGATTTGCAGCAGGAATAGCAGGAACACCAATGATGCCAACCTGCCAACAGATTCTAGGAACGGGTCAGCCTCCACCCTCCTGGGCCCAAAAATTCCCTGCAGCGATGGAGATCATCATCCGTATAACCTGGCTGGGCATTTCCAGGGACATACCCCATGGGGATAGGATGCTCGGTACCCACAGCAGGTGCATCAGAAATAAGCTTATACTTGAGAACAAAAGGAACGGGTAGTAGCGGATCAAAAACTACACTCATTTGCATTCCAAGGTACTAAAAGTATGCTAGTAGTGTATAAATATTATATATATTTAAAGTTATATATATAAATAGTTAACTTAATAAATTTAAGTCTTATAAATTAATAAATAGTATTAAAAGAAAAAGGGTATTCTTAGTACTTTAAAACTTCTTTCTATATTATTCTAAAAGGTTTAATTATAGAGAAATTTAAGTTAGAAATTCTATTTAAAATATTTATTATTATTTAAGTATTTTAAAAGAGTAATATAAATAATATAAAACCTATATATAAATAAAGTACTTTTAATTAAAGTATTAAATATATTTATTATAAATTTAAAATATTATTAAAAATATAAATTACTTGATAATTAATAGTTATAGCTTAATAGGAATAATACTATTTAATAACTTTATTTAAAAGAAGTATTTTAGTATATAGAAAGTTTATAAATATTATATATTTAATATAAAATAAAAGAAAATATTTAAGTTATATACTTTAAGTATTAATTACTTTATAACTAAAACTCTAAATTTAATATAAAAAAAAGTTTTAAAGTATTAAGAATACCCTTTTTTATTTAATATTTCTCTTAACTATATTAGATTTATATTTATAGAGTAAATATAATATATTATTCTAATAATAGTTATATAGGGAGTTTAATAATGTGTAATATTTATATATTACTAGTGTACTTTTAGCACCTTGGAATGTAAACGAGTGTATTAGATTGCCCATAATTCTTGTCTTTCCATATTTCTTGCCCTTCTCCGTTCAGTATACTGGCAAACAGTAGGAATCTTCCCATCACAATCCCATCGTATTGTAGCCTTGATCTTCGCCATGATCCCCTATGGCTCCCGTCTCCTGCCCAACGTCGTTGACGAGACAGCAAAGAGTCAACCGGAGCTTCCTTACTCTTATGTTCCTGTCAGCAGCAATGTCGGTGATGGTTTCAGGACCGTGACCTTTTATGAGATTGCAACAGCTGCAAACCATGTGGCCTTCTGGATTGAACAGAACTTGGGGCTCAGCACCTGCTTCGAGACACTGGCATATATGGGCATAGGTGATCTTCGCTATGTTGTGGTGTTTCTCGCTGCCGTCAAATGCGGTTACAAGGTAAGCAAGCTGGAACCGCCCGCTCTGTGGTAATGGTGGAACAACACACTGACTATCTGCTTGCAGGTCCTGCTGCCCTCACCAAGAAACTCTGCCTGGATGAACGCATCTCTTCTTGAACAGACCCAATGTCGACGCTTTCTCTACTCGGAGGAGGTAGAAGAGCTGGTTATGCCTCTGTTGGAGCACAAGTCAGATTTGCTCCTGAGCAGAACTGAGTCCTTCGATGATATGATCAGACCAGACACGCCGAACTTTGTGTGGGACAAGGAGTACGAGGCTGTGAAGTGGGACCCAGTTCTTATTCTTCACTCATCGGGATCGACTGGAGCCCCGAAGCCCATTGTGATGAACCATGCAACATTTGCCGTGGGCGATCATGACCGAAACCTGCCCAAAGTTCCCGGTCGTGTAAACCAAAACTGGTCTCTGTGGGATTTCCCAGAGCAAGAGACTTTCTTCTCCCCATTCCCAGCATTTCACCTCGCAGGCTTTTCATCCCTGGTTTTACTCCCAATTTACTATCAGAATGCGAAGCTTGTCATGAGCCCTCCATCGCGTCCCCCCACCGGCCATCTGGTCAGCGAAATTATGGACCATTTCAAGCTGAAGTCAATATTCTGCCCGCCAATTGTTGCAGAGCAGCTAGCTCAGGAGCCCGATGGCATTGAAAAATGCAAGGGCCTCAAGTTCCTCCTCTATGCCGGGGGACCTCTCTCCCATGACGCCGGTGAGGCATTAAGCAAGGTTACAGATGTTTGTCAGTTCTATGGACAGACCGAGACCGGCGCTATCCAGGCATTGGTGCCAAGGCGAGAAGATTGGGCCAGCCTGGAATGGAATCCAGTACAGGAAGTCGTCATGGAACCGTATGAGGAGCATATCTACGAGATGACTTTGCGGCGCAATCCGAATCTTGAGAAGATCCGCAGCGTTTCTGCCAATTTTCCGGACGAGGAGGTGTGGCACACCAAAGACTTGTTCAAGCGCAACCCATGCAATCCGAACCTGTGGACTTTTCACGGCCGCGTCGACGACATTGTCGTCTTATCGAACGGAGAAAAGTTCAACCCAGTTCCTAGCGAGGTTCAAATATCAGCCCACCCACTCGTCAATGGTTCGCTCATCATTGGCCAAGGTCGCCCACAACCCTCCCTGATCTTAGAGCTGAAAGAACCCCACGATACTCTGAAGCATCTGGTACAGACTGTCTGGCCGACCATCGAAAAAGCCAATACTCAGGCTCCTGGACAGGGCCGAATCACCCGAGACATGATTCTTATTGCTTCCCCCTCGAAACCATTCAAAAGATCCCCCAAGGGCACCGTGGTCAGGGCCACTACGAGTCGCCTATACCAAGATGAGCTCGATCAGTTGTATAAGCGTGAGATCTCGAACAATATCGAGCACATTAATCTCGCTTCGATCACCGATCCTGAAGTGATCACCAACTTCGTTAGCGATGTTGTTATGGCCGCTTTCCCAGGGCACACTGTGCAGCCGACAGATGATCTTTTCGGTCTGGGCCTCGACTCGTTGCAGACCATGGAGATAATTAGACTGCTCAAGGCTGGCATTCGTGCACATGATCGTGCGGCGGATATCTCTTGGGTGTCGATGAAGTACATCTACCAGCACCCATCCATTGCTGAGTTAGTTCAAGCCATTATCCGGGTCGGTTCTGCGAGGAGCACTGGTGTGTCAGAAGGCCAGGACAATGCTGATGCACTCGAGCAACGCGTTCGGAAGATGAATGAGATGCTCCGAAAATACACTACCGGCCTTCCTCAACGGTTCAGTCACAACGCAAGGCAGTCTCGTCCTCAAAACGGATTCCATATCATTTTGACAGGCTCTACCGGCTCATTGGGCACACAGCTGCTAGTGAAGTTGCTCTCAAACACCAGCGTAGCCCGAGTCGTCTGTCTGGATCGATCATCTGACGCCGAGTCGCGCATAAAGACCTCTCTCTCAACATGGCCGATTCCACCAAGCATCGACCCCTCGAGGGTTTCTTTCCACCAAGCAGACTACAAACAAGCTGACCTGGGTCTCCCGACCGCGGTTTTCAACGACCTGCGGGATACCACCAACGTCGTTATCCACAATGCCTGGAAGGTGGACTTCAACCACTCTCTCGAGACGTTCGAGGAGACGCACATCCGCGGCGTGCGCAACCTCGCGAACTTCAGCGCCAGCAGCCCGACCCGCCCGCGGATCGTCTTCGTGTCCTCCATCTCCTCGGTCGGAGACTGGTGCGCTGTCGACCCGGGGGTAAAGGCCATCCCTGAGTCCCTGCCGCCAACACTCGGGGCCGCCCAGGCTACCGGTTATGCAGAGTCCAAGGCGGTCGCCGAGCATATCCTTGCTGCCGCCGCGGAGACGAGCGGTGTCGACGTCTCGATCCTTAGGGTCGGACAGATCGCGGGGCCTTCTTTGCCTGGGAACGGGGCCAAATGGAATGAGTCTGAATGGTTTCCTATCATGCTCAAGACGGCCAAGGCCATGAAGCAGATCCCGGACGGGCGTGCTCTTGGCGACGTTGACTGGATTCCGGTCGATTTTCTGTCGTCCGTCATTTGGGAGCTTGCTTCGGCGGATCAACCCACGGTTGGGGGGGAAAGCACCAAGAGGCCGTTGCGCATTTTCCACCTCGTAAATCCCGCTCGCAGGCCGTGGGCCGAGATATTGCCCTCCATCAAGGCCGGGATAGCAGGGGGCGGGTCTATGGAAGACGTTTCCATGGCCGATTGGATTTCCCAGCTCGAGCAGACGAATCTACATGACCAGGAAGAGCTGTTGTCGAGGCCAGCGGTGAAAATCTTGGATTTCTTCAGGGGTGTCGAGGATAGACGGGGTGTCACAGCAACCAACGGAATCGCCTTTTCAACTGAACAAGCCAAGAGGTCGAGCCAAGAACTGTGTGCCCTGGAACCGGTGCAGGATGAATGGCTGTGTAGATGGATCAGGGACTGGGGGCTATGGTATCGACAATGAACCACCAGCCTGGCCCCAGTCGCAATGGAGGAAGAATCCTCTATGGGGCATTCTAGGGCCATTGGACAAACCAACTATTATCGTTCTTTTCCCCTGCTAGGAGACAAGTCAGAAACAACGCATGAATGACTTATTTCACGATTGACGAACCCGCCCACAAATATTACTCGGAACGAAAAGAAGGGAAGATTTGGGTGCCAAGAGAGTAGATTTCCAAGTGAATCCATGGTGTTTCTGCTCTAACTGAGATATTAAGGGAGACTTTCAACTCCTTCGATTTTTCCCCTTAATTATCGCTAGGCTCAGGCTGTTGTAACAAGAGACTCATGAGCGTTTCCACGATGCCAATGGAATGCCAATTTGAGCGCGCAGTACTGTCCCCGAGGTCCCCCACTGGCAGTTCGGAAAAAGTCCACATGCAGGATCCCCTAGTGTGCTCCTTTCCAAACTACTCTCCCAGCTATTGCTCCACACGTTCTTCACCGAATACAGCCATAGCCCTTGGTGGCTATGGCGCGTCATCGTGGTCCTTATTCTCGAACTAATTTACAGTGGGCCTCCAAAAGTTTTGCAGGACTTGGGCATCCTCACCTAACCCCATACTGACCACTAATCTTCCACCAAGCACTACTTTACGAGAGACAGGTTTCAGGGGTATTTGAACTATGTATAAATTATCGCTAGGGGTTCGAGCTTAGTATCCCTTGTAAGAGCCGCGTGCGCGTCAGACTGTGTCGACTGTTTGCTCGAGTGAATATCGGACAACAGAACTAGAGTTGGACATAACTGGACATTCAGAGGAGCCCCGTCACGTAAAAGAGATATAGGAAAGGGTTATGTGTATTCGTTGGCTACGAGTTGTATTGAAACAGTTAAGAACAGGATTCTCGCAGGCTGGGGACTAATGGGATATCTAGTTCTTGGGGCGGAGGCTGTCCCCCCCCATCGCTCAGTGCCGGCCCCATGGTATGACGGCAGCAGCCGGAATTTCGACCGAATGGTGTATAGTAAGAATTCTGAAACGTTGATCGCTTTTATAAAATACGAGCTGGTCTGAGTGTTGCTGTTGGGACCGAAGGGATGGTCGGGGTACACATGTAGTTTGCGACCCGAGCGTGGGTGGGTTCCAACCTGGGATCGCTGACTGATTCTATCAGCGCGTGCAAGAAGCAAATACATACACGACTAAGGAGTACCCACTGAATCCTAGGTAGTTGGTCTCGTGGGACTATACAAGTATACCCAAGTTGGCCAGTCTCCGTACCCAAGACTGTGCCAAGCACAACAGCGAATGCTGGGCGCAAGGGATTCGGCAATGATTGGCACAAACGCAGACACCCTGGTCAAAGATGCGCCCCAGTGATCAGCGAAGGGGCTTGATTTTCCGCGTATAGACCAGAATCATGGCTAACACCGAAATCACGTTCGAAATAGATGCGACGCAAACATCCCCACCGAGTCGTTATGGCGGGCGTGTCTCGTGGGACTGGAAAAGGAGTGATGTACATAGTATCCGCTCCCACGCCAAGAACCCTTAATGAATGGAGACGAGATCCTGGGTCCGTACGGAGGTACACAAGCAATTATCCACCAATGCTTCTAAGATCTTCTCAAGGAATCTGGGTGGGAGCTGAGAGATTTCAATGTTGATATAACTGGATGTGTCCGTTTCGTGCTTGAAGAGATTGGGTTCCATGCCGGTAGTTGATACCTAAGCTACCTGTGAATCGGAACTCCTGAGGCCATTACCACTACTTAGAAATCTTCCCATTATCAAAGCCACCATGCATATCAAGGCATTTCAACTCCTCGCAGCACTCACTGTCGCTCTTCCGGCGGTCCATGCCTGCGTAGGCAAGGACGCCCTGCCCAAGGCTACAGAAACCATCACCAACTCGGCGCCCATTGAGGTCCCCGCGGGCACGACTTACGATGGAAAGAATGCGCGTTTTGATAGAGGCGAAGGTGCCTGTAAAGAGCAAACAGAAGGAGGTGAGTAGAGGCCCCATTTACCAAGGTTGAAGCGCGCGTAAGCTGATTTTCCTTGAAGGCCAGGCAGACACTGTCTTCTTACTCCGCAAGGGTGCGACCTTGAAAAATGCGATCATCGGCAAGAACCAGGGAGAGGGTGTCTACTGCATCGGCGGAGGTTGCACTATCGAGAATGTGTGGTTTGAGGATGTGTGCGAGGATGCCATCTCGATGTATGATCGCCTCACCACCCTGGAGTTGAATTTCCTATGGGCACGTGGAACTTGAAGTACTGACACAATTTCCACACGGCAGCAAGGAGGATACAGCCGGAACCGAGACCAGAATTATCGGCGGTGGTGCGTACCACGCCTCGGACAAGATTGTCCAGCACAACGGATGCGGCAGCGTCAGTGTAAGTGGATAGCGACCCGCGCTTCGCGGCCTTACGTTTTGCAGGGGCTGACGACATCAGATCACAAACTTCTATGCAGAGGACTATGGCAAGGTCTACAGAGCTTGCGGCACTGTAAGTATCTGCTACCTCGGTTTCGTGAACAGCCTGCCTCGGCTGATAACCCCTTCTTTTGCTGACTTTGTCCCAGTGCGAGAAATGCAAGCGGACCGTCACTGTTTCTGGTGTGTCTGCTTACGGCGGTGGCGAAATAGTTGGCATCAGCAAGGACACTGGCGATGTGGCAACACTGACCAACATCTGCACAGACGCCAAGACCCCTTGCCAGCTGTACAGCGGTCCTGGTGAGAAGGCTGGAGCTTGCTAAGTGCTGTTTTCTAGAGCCTTGCTACTCGTCTAGTCTTGTCACACTGGTTTACGAGGGAGCACTTGAGGAGTCACGATTGAGTTCTGTGCAGTGGCACCCTACGGAGGATAACGTCATTCTTCGACCTGTACATAAAATATTGTCCCTAGGTGCTATTCTTCGAACATCAAGATACCTCGGTACCGCTCCTTCAGCCACTGCAATGAATGCCCTTGATAATTCCCAAGGACGGCCATGGACTGCCTTAGTAGCAGCATGACCATGGCCCAATTAAGTCCTCTATCGACTCACCAATCTCAGAGCATATTTCTCAGGCTCGCGGAAATTGGTCGTAATTTCCGCCTTGCTCTCCTCAATCCACTCCTGAACCCTCCGCCGGGTCTCCTCCTTGCTTTCGCCCTCAAGTGGAACTGCTTCCACTTTGTACAGTCTCAGCACATACGACATGACGGCCACGAACTCAACCTGGGCGAACTTCTTGCCCGGACAGTTGCGCGCGCCGAGCGACCACGGGAAAAATGACTCCTTGGCGACAGGTGGCGGCGCAACCTCCTCGGCATCAAGCATCTCCGCTTTTGTACTGTCTTTCGTGGAGGTTTCCGTCGACTCGGAAGATACCGAAGCGCTTCGGATCCAGCGGGCTGGGCGGAATTCCTCGCTGTCGGCGCCCCAGTATTCAGGCAGCATGTGCACGGCGAGGTTGGACATGTGAACTTCGGAACCCTTGGGAACGAAAATGTAGCGCCCATCGAGACGCAGATGTTGACCTTCGCCAAGGACATCCTTTTCCATGTCGACCACAGGACTGTAGAGACGCAGCATCTCGTACTGGTCAAGCATTAGTGGATGGTTGCTACAATGGCAGTTTCAGATCTGTGATGACCAAAAGTACATACCATGAGGGCTAGACAGCGTTTGAGCCTGTAAAAGTACTGCTCGTACTCGAGCGTAGAAAAATCCAAGGCCGTCGTGTGGTATACGTGATCGACTTCCTCACGGATCCAGTCTTGCCATCCAGGCTCGACAGAGAGGATGTGGAGGCAGTAGTTCAAGCTGTGGGCAGTAGTCTCATGACCTGCAATGTTGTAGCTGAACATATTCGCAAAGAGCTCGTCGTCGTTGAGGCCTCCAGCGCCACCGGCTTCAAGCTCTCCAATCTCGCCGCCGGCACCGAGCGAATTGGCCAGCTTTTCTTGTCGCATCTCAACAGACTTCGCGATAATCGCGTTGAGGAATATGTTCTCGTTAGCCCTACCCGCGGCGACCTCGACCTTTCTCTCCTCTACCAGCTCCCGCATCTGTTTTCGGAACGCCTGTGCCGCCAAGACATGATCCCGGAACAGCTTGGGCAGATATTTGATGCGGCTGGGGCCAAGCTCGTACATCCACTTTGGTGTTATACTCAAAATACGAATGCTAGTAAGGAGCAGGGCAAGATTATCTCGATAGCGAGCCGAGAACTCGTCGCCGGCCTGTGTCTCCTTGCCTGCTGGTATGTACTTCCACGAGTATCCGAGTCCAGCCGCTGCCAGAACGTTTAGGGCGAGAGTCATTGTGTCTGAACATGAGCTCCTCAGGCCCTCTTTGCCATGCTGGACAGGATAATCACGCGTTAGCCTGATATGAGCCGATGCCCAGTGCGCGAGGAAACAGGTCAAGGTGCAAAACTCACAGAAATCCACCATTGAGCCAGCCCGGCTGCTTGCGTCAGGGACTCTTGCCATACGATTTTCATGTTACTCTCGTTGAAAGGAGGAGCGGTAATGCGTCGGTGCCGTTGCCAGTCTACTCCATAGACCGAAGAGACGCTAGGCGTGAGTAGGCCAGGCATATTCTCGCATGTCTGAGGAGAACGCTCGAAATCCCTTTTCCTCAGATATACCTGCCTAATGGCATCAAGGTCAACCGTGTACACCTGTCGTATTATCAGCCATCTTTTATCTTATTTCCGGAGGCGCGGGCATGTGGCACCTGTAGCTTGGTTGAGGTGACAACAACAAAGCTTTTCCCCATCTCCTGAAACGGGCTGGCCTTTTCCTCCAACACCCACATGAAGCGATTGTACCGAACCCATGAGCCCAACCCAAACGGCAGCTTCAGGAGGAGAGGGGCGAGGAGTGGCGACAGTGCAAGCCATGCCAAGTTTCTGCTATACACGGGACTGATGACAACGGGAAGTCCCATCTTCTTGGCTGCGGAATAATTCTGGATGAGAGAGAAGAAGCTGCCGGCTAGGCGGAACGCCAGCGCTGCGAGGAGCAACAAGATCCATAGCGCCCACATTCTCAAGGTAATACCGATACACAGAATAGTTCAATGAGAATGAAAGTAGGGAGCGAGGGATCGACGGATCTCAATCTCGAGCACGCCGATAGGGATGGTGTTGACGGATCTGGTCGATGCTTGTTGGCAATTGGGGCAGCTTTTCAGTGATCCGTTTAACAGGGAAAGAGCGAATGGTCAACATCGAGGTGCAAAGCGATGGGGCATATTTGACTGAAACTCTGTTTTCTAGATAGACCCTCGTATTCGTACGATGCCTCCAACTCTCTTCCTCTCCCTCTCCCACTCTCTCGCATTCGCTTCCCAAAGGGTCTCATTGGAAGTGTTGAACGATTGCTCCCACATTCGTTCGTTTGAAATTGCCAAAACCGGCTACAACGCTTGACTAATCGTCTACCCCAAACATCACACTCCGGGGCTCCGGGAGTTACCCTAGGGTATCTAGCCACATGGCATCAAGCGGCCTGCTCCAGCATTATAATATTAAGAGCTATAATATTATATTTTATATTAAAAAACTTAAAGTTAAATTAGAAATATTTTATATTATATATATTTTTTTATAGTAATAAAAGTTTTTAAAAAAGATAAATAATATTTATTTTATTTATTTTTTATATATATTAAATTATTTTCTTTACTACTTTTAATATAATATATTTCTTAAAAATATTTAATCTTTAAGTATTTACTTCTATATAAAGGTGCTATATATAGTTCTAGCTATATATATACTATAGACGAAACTAATTAAATTATCCTATTATTTTCTAGAAACTAGGGCTTTTATGTAATAAAGGCCCTGCAACGAGAAGTCCTCCATGTCCCAAAGTCCTCTATCTTTGAACCTCTGCGGCCTTATTTTGTGCGGACTTGGCACCTGGGCGGCCTTCAGGCACACTCAAGATGCCTAGTGTTAAAATCCTGATATGCCGCTATGGCCCCAGTTGTGAACTGGTCCTTGTACCGTTTCAGTGATCTGAAGTTTCTGAAAATGCTGGCTGGAGGTTGCATTTAGCCCCAAAAGGTGGAAAATTTGGTATTTTCTGCGGTGATCATTAGTGACAAAAAGGAAATCTGGGAAGTCGTGCTGATTGCAGCGAATAATCATCAATGGCTCACCAGTGAGGATTGTAGATGTCGAGGAGTTGCCTAGGAATAAAGGTACCCTACGGTAAGCTACTTAAGTAGGTTACCCTTGGCATAGTGCCAGCAAGCCCATAGATTAGTTATCGTTGACACTCACACAATATGTGTCTCTGTTGGCGCGCAAACTGGGATGCCTGTCGGGATTGCGACACTGCCCAGGTGTTGAAGTCGGCGTTAGTTTGGCGTGATTGATAATGTTGAACACGTAATTTCTGCAGGGCTTGCGCAACCGCAGACCGGCATGCAAAGTATGATAACCGCACACTGAAACTTTGGATGAGCATATAAAAGATCACCAAACATCAGGACTTACACAATAATGTGATGCAAACAGATGTCGTTCGCCAACTCCACTCGGAAACAAAAGAAAAAAAAGACGAAAAGCATCAAGAGCCACTCAGGAAGGTATTAGGCGCCAAGCTCCACGTGTGGCTATTCGTGAATCGACAAAGAAATAGTCCGACATAAAAATGCCTGCAAAGGCTCGTCGCGTAGCTGTGATCGGTGCTGGCCCTTCAGGTGCCATCGCAGCAGATGCTCTGGCCAAAGAGCAAGCGTTCGAGATCATCAGAGTATTTGACCGGCGCCCTGTCATCGGAGGAACATGGTGAGCTTGGTCACCCCTCTTCTTCTAGAACCACAGGCACTAACATTCCATGCAGGGTGCACACTCCTCACTTGCCCCCGAGAATCCCCTCTTTAAGTGAACTCTTAGAGGGCAAGGCAGATAAGGCTGTGCCAATCCCGGCCGAGCTGCCCGCGGAGACCCCAAAGTCCGAGGTTGTGAACGACCACCAACTGCGCTACTCGGACTCGGCCCAGCATGAGCATCTGCATAGCAACATTATCCCTGAAATCATGAGCTTTACCCAGGAGCCATTCCCGGACCAACTCTCTGAGCGGACTCTCCGGCAGTATGGCCCGGGTGCCCCATTCCGCCACCGGGAGACAATTAGGACCTGGGTGGAGAACATATTCGTTAAAAATGGCACTGAAAAGTTGTTGGAGCTCGGTACCACGGTCGAAAGGGCCGTTAAGGAAGGTGACGAGTGGGTGCTAACGCTGCGGAAGGAGGGCGCTGGGAAGGATTATTGGTGGAGAGAATGGTTCGATGCGCTGGTAGTAGCAACTGGCCACTACAATGTCCCTTGGTTCCCGGAAATACCGGGACTGGCTGAGTACGACGAGCGATTCCCAGGCAGGATCATACATAGCAAGCACTTTCGAGGTGCTGATAAGTTCAGGGGAAAGGTAAGGATTCGGATTCTAATCCGCAATGAGCCTGTGACTCACAGACTAATAATTCTTACAGCGAGTTATCGTCGTTGGCGGGTCAGTCTCCTCACACGAGGTGCTCCATGAAATCCTACCACGGGCACAACATCCGGTCTATGCATCCATCCGCGGAGAGCCTATCCCTGCTTTTGGCTGGGCGCCGTTCAAACACCCGCATGTTGCCATCAAGAAGCAGATCAGCAGCCTGGACCCGTTGACGGGAAAGATCTCCTTTGCCGACGGCAGCGAGCTGAACGACGTCGATCACATTGTGTTTGGAACGGGGTACACCTTTTCCATGCCTTGGCTTCCTCACGTCCAGGAGCGAATCAGCAAGGCTTATCGTCGCTTGCCTGGGGTCTATCAGCATACCTGGGACATTGAAGATCCAACTCTCACATTCGTTGGCATGGCAAGTACAAAAGTAATTTTATTAAAGATAAAGAATCTCAGCTAAATTATGATATCACAGCTTGGAGGAGGATTCACTTTCCGTGTCTATGAGTGGCAAGCCGTCGCAGTCGCTAGACACCTCGCGGGTCGAGCCAATCCTTTGCCACCGACGGCGGAGCAACGTGATTGGGAGGAGCAAAGGGTGGCCAAATTCAAGGGTGGAAAGGATTACTACTCAATTGCTCCTGACTATGGCTCGTACCTGGAGTTCTTGAGGAACATAGCAAGTGAACCCAAGCCGGGGACCACCGGCCGCACTTTGCCACCTTTCGACAAGAGGTGGCTTGATGTTTGGACGGGCATGGTAACATACAAAATTAAAGGCTTCGAAAGGGATGCGAGAAGAGCCGAAGAGGAATTGAGCAGGCCGAAGCCTCGTCTATAGTCGTGCTACTACTATATATACTTGGAGCGATGTCTCGCTGGAGCAGAAAGCATGCAAATGAAAAGACTTCCTAGCACTTTCATAGCTGTATTGGTCTTATGCTACCTGATTCCCTTGAACTAGACTTAGACACAAACAGTAGGACTCACAGCTCCCCCATCACTAAGGACAGTATATCATTGAAACGATCGAAGGTGGAAACGAGGTCGATGGTGGAAGGCGAGTTGTAATCTGAATATTTTGCATCTACTAGGCTAGGCTTACATACAATGAGCTAGATATGTAGCAGACTTACTTGATTTAAGTATCAGCTTATTAATACCCAGCCAGGATCCGATGTATCTTTTACGAGTAGCCTATATCTCTAATAGAGGTTCTAAAGCTAAAGTCCTTTCAAAGTAACAATATGGTTATGAATATATGTGAATAAATATATTAGAAGGGGTTGAAAGAGGTTCTAAAAGAATAATCACTATACTATTTAAAATAAATATATCTTATAATTAGTGATGAGTACAATGCCGCTTGATCCGTGATTCCATCTCGTGAGTACGGAGTATCGATGTCTACAGGCTCGGCGTTCATTGATGCAGCCTCTTCGGGGATCCTGGGACGTCTCAAGATCATATCTCGACATCACTCGGTATTCCTGTGACACGATAGTTTGCCCTTTTCGGCTACGTCAATACACCAGGTGGTGCCCAAGAGCTGCAAATATCCTTGGTTAAGGTGCCGATCATTTCTGAAGCTATCGTGGTTTGACGCACTCTGTCTTATCTCAGCAGGGCCTAATGAATATATGAGGAATCCAATCTTCAAGTGGGTGGTCATCTGTGTACAGTGGATTTGATTATTTCTCACGGGTTGGGGGCCAATAGCTCTCAAGGTGGGCGAGACATTTTGACTTTCCCCGCAGTAACGCCCTTCCTGAGCCTCAAGATCTTATAATTCACTACTAACGCAATGTAGACATGTGAGCGATTTCCGAGAGACAGTGGGTGCTTACATGGTGTTGTAGTCATCCGCGGGACGGCAAGTTCAGACTTGACTGGATCTGAGGTGTCAGACATGTCCGCATCTGGACTACGGGCGTGGAAAGGGTAGGATTGACCAATGTCCGTTACTAAGTCTACAACCCATTTTTTCCATTACAGATCACTTTGAGATCGATTGAAACCCCATGAGAATATGTGTCCAATCAGAGAGGAGGCATACACACTTGTCCACGGCATCTATGATGAGCTTCAGCAAATCCAAACACCCCCCCCCCCCCCACACACACACATTTCACTCGAAGAGTGTGAGGTCAAGGTGGAATCACCTATGCCGTCTTTTCCGAGTTGAATCTTGGATGTTGGCAAGCTCGGTGTAGGCCGGGTGGTTGAAGCCGTTCTTGACACGAATCGAAAAAAACTATAAAGGCATGCTTTGTCCCTGCCCAGTATCTAGAGGAACTCATCCCTCATCCCATCAACTCAATCTTCACAACTACTCACTCTACATCTCCAAAGCAAATCAAGCTTCTCAACTTCATCAAAGACAAAATGTACTTCACTCGATTCCTCGTCGCTGCCGGCCTCCTGGCCACCTCATCTCTCGCCTGCAACCCTGGCCAGTGGGGCTGCGGCAACCAGAACGGTGTCCCGGGCCCTGACGGTGCCGTCTACGTCTGCAACTCTTCTGGCAGCTGGGTCTTCTCCGCCCAATGCAACGGTGCGAGCTGCTGCACCGTCAGCGCTGACCAGAGCAACGCCGGTTGCAGGTGCTAAAGCACGGTGATATCTACTATCCTTGGACCACAGAGTTACTGGTAGGTATTCTACCTTGCGATTAAGACCATTTGAAACAGTGCTTAAGCTCACAAGCTAATAAATGATACAGGACAATGGCTTGATCAACCATCTGTTGAGTAGGCATCTGCAAGGAATAGTCATGCGGGAGTGGAGGTGCCTCGGGGTTATTTTCAACTTGGCGAATGGATGACTTGTGTATGAGGTATGAGCTGTGCGGAAGTCCTCTCCACCAGATATAGATGGACTTTCAGATCCTACGCATGAGTCTCCCGTTCGAATACAAAACACATTCGTTTGCTCAATCTCGTATCATGCATCATGCACCTAAACCACTTGAACAGCAAATCTCACATACAAGGCGTTCTCATGGCCTGAAACGAAAGAGAATCCTCTTGGATTTACCAAGTAACGTACTTGAGCACTCGAGCAGATGTACTGGTACTTATGGTGATAAAAGTCGTAAGGACGAGTACTGATCTGGGGTGTCGTTGCAGCATGGAAAGCGAACCTCTGGCGAGCACCAAGATACACAATATGGACGCTTACTAGTCCCTGAGTAGGTATGAATGAAGACGGCATGTGATTATATGTGAGCCCCAACAGCTGTGCAGGACACTCATGCAGTGAATATGAATGGCTGTAAAAAGCAACAAGGATGTTCATTTACTCGGAATTACTTGTGTATTGAGACGTGGAATGTACTGTATAACATATGAAGATATTGCTTTCACATGTAAGTGATGTTACACTTGGGCATGGTCGACTGCCAGTGCAGGCATTTAAACTTGCGATTCGTATGTGCTCCCAAACAACCTGGGCAGAGACTTCCCACCCCTCAAGAGCCAATTCCATCAGCATACTCTGCTTCGGAAGGAGTAAAGCAAAAATCAATGCATATTTCGAATTACCAGTCATCCCAGGACGCCCCAGACCAACTCAGATGTAGTTAGAAACTGAACCAATATTTTGGGCGGTCTCTCCACACCAGTCCACCACAACCATACCCTAGGGTATGGTATCAAACTTGGCATTTTGGGCGCGGTTCTGCCTGTTTTTGTCCACCCAAGTAGAAAAAGCTGGGCAGTGTTGATTGGTGCATGGATAACAACAATGCATCCAGCTGACATGCAGGATTACCTTGACCGAGCTGCAGGTCTGAATGGTCTTCCCCAGCCCGAGCAACAAACGGCATTGACCCCGCTCTCACTTTCAGCCCACAGGAAAGCCCAACCAGTTTCTGCATGTGGAATTTGGTCACTGGCAGCCAAGTAATAAATTTCGGCTGACTTGATTTCCACATCTGACTCTTCTTCAAATCTGTCAATTCAATGAGTGTCTCCTGGCCAAGTTCAACGACTCTACATCTGCGAAGCTACGCCCATTCTCAACTTCCAGAGACCTCGTCGACAGCATTCTAAAAACACCAGAGATATCTCAGCAACCACTGCGAAATACTTCATAGCATATCAGAACGATCCAATGGCAGACCCTCTGTCGCTTGCGGCCAGCATTGCCGGCCTCGTATCACTCGCAGACACTGCCTTTCGCCACGTCTACAAATATGCCAAAGATGTCAAAGGAGCAAAGGACGAAATCACGACGGTTGCAGACGATCTTCACTCCTTGGCCGGCATCCTTCAGAGCACTCGAGTCCTGGCTCAGAGCCTCGAAGAAGAGGGCGACACATACGACCCGGCAATACGAGTCCACCATATCTACCATTGCGAGCAGACTCTCAGCAAAATAAACGATAAGATGAAGAGGGCTGCGCAAAAAATGGAAAAGGGAAAGTTCAGAGACGTTGTGCAGCGGCTCAAATGGCCGTTCTCGAAATCGGAGACACAAGAGATTCTAGGGGAACTTGAACGTCACAAGACTAGGATGAGCCTCGGTATTGCAACTGACTCCATGCAAAAGATGCAACTCCTTCTTTCGCAGCAAGAGAAAACAGATGTCGTAGCAAAAGAAACACGTGGAGTCGTTCGAGAGCTACACACTGAGATCTTGGTTGATGCCAGGAAGAGACGAGTTCTGGAGTTCTTCCTGGACACAAAGACAATCAACCCACAAACCGGTTTGGACGCTAATATCAAACTGCGACATCCAATGACAGGTCTCTGGCTGACAGAATCACATGCCTTCGTCCAATGGCTCGACACACCCGGCTCGAAGATCTGGCTCAGTGGCATCCCTGGTGGAGGAAAGACCGTGCTAGCTGGTGCTGCCATCCAAGAAGCTCTTACACGTGCATCTCCAAGTACTACAATTGGCGCAGCATTCTTCTTCTGCGACTTCAAGAACGAGAAAACGCTCAAAAGTACTAACATTTTTGGTGCAATAGCGTCGCAGTTAGCTCGCCAAAAAAATGAGGCATTTGATCTTCTTCAAGACTACTATAACACTCTACATCCTTCAGATGGTCTTCCAAAAGAAGCAGATGCAGACGACCTCAGAGCTCTGGTTGGGAGCCTGTCTGAGCTATTTGAACAGGTTCTCATAGTGGTGGATGGAATCGATGAATGCGGAGACAGCATGGACGAAATTGCAGAGATGTTATCAGACCTTGGCAACGACTCAGAGACCATATCTTTGGCAGTTTTCAGCCGGGATGAGGCTAGCATCCGCGGGCAGCTTCAAGAAGACTTCAAGTCCATATCGATCTCCGCTCGCTCGAAGGACATTGAACTCTATGTTAGAGCTGAGCTGGAATCCCTGATGAACAGGGGCCGACTGCAGGTGAGGAGTCCCAAGCTGAAAGATGAAATACGGGAAACACTTGTGAATCAAGCGCAAGGAATGTGAGTTACAATACCATGATATACTGTTTCCAGCTCTGGGACCAAATTAGTGTCCCTAACAGTTACTAGGTTCCGGTGGGTGGCCTGTCAGTTGGACTACCTCTGTGGTTTCTCAAACGACTTCGAGAGACGGGAGGCTCTTGGACACCTTCCACCCACCTTACACGAGACATACCTGCGATTGCTGCAAAGATTCACCAAACTTCCTATCCAGACTCAGTCGAAGATACAAATGTGTTTTCACTTCATAGCCTTTTGCCCTCAAAGGCTGTCCATGACACAACTGCGTGAGGTTATTTCCACGCCGGAGGTCATTGGCGCCTCGCTTGATGATCACATGGTCTCGGAAGACTACCTCGCATCAGTATGTGGCAGTCTGCTCAAGAAGTCAACAGGTGACACAGGTTTCGAGTTTGCACACTTTTCCGTCCGCGAGTTTCTGGAGCACCAATCTTTGGCTGAGACGCCGGGCCTGGAAAATTATCGAATATCTCAATCAGAGTGCTACAGATTGCTCGCTGTACAGAGTCTCCGCTACCTGCAGTTGTCGAACTTCGTTGTTGATCTGCCAGATGTGGGCACCGTGGTCAGGCTCGCCAACAAGACGACGGCGAAGGAGGAGGGATACAGTTACCACCGAATGGCAGCGAGGATCACTTTGCAGATGACAGCGCACAAGGAGTGCTCAAATCCAACGGTGCACGGGCTTACGATTTCGCTCTTTCACCCATCAAAGACCTCTTGCGTTACTCTCTTTGCTGTGCGCATCTTTCTGGAGTTGGTGGATCACTGTCATAGAGCAGGTCTCACCCGTGAGAATGGCGAGATTGATGTGATGAAAGAGAACTTCACACTCCAATTGCTAAGTGGCGACTTCCAACCATTGCACTTCGCGGCGGCTCTCAGTCTTCCAATGGTCTGCGACTCTCTGATCGGCACGGGAATTGACCCAATCGCGAAGTCTTCATTCGGAACACCACTTGAACTGTCTATTGCGTCGTTCCTTTGGTGTTTAGATGGCTGCTTGGAGTGGGAAGCTGTCAAAACAAAGCCTAGGAGCCTGTGCGCCCCGATTCAGGACCTCTTCCCCTCAAGCATTCAGCGCAATTCGACAGTTGAGATTCTGGAACGGCCAGCTCTTGGAAAATTGATGTCGCATCATTCATCGCAGCCCAGAGATATGGAACTGGTTCTACCCTGTATCATTGGGTTCGCACAAAATGACTTTCAGATCCTGCAACAGCTTTTAACACGAGGGGCAGCCTTTCAAGATCTCAAATACACAACTATATTCCGGGAGCTTATGCACCAGCACTCTGGATTGATCCGAAAAGACCCAAAACCGCTCCTTCAGTTCCTCCAATACATTGGGTCTTGTCTGGAATCCGATCCGTCAGAATGGCGATTGGAGATTGGGCGCGAGATCTGGAAAACCGCTGTTGGCCTGTCGTTGCCCTTTATTGGGGATCCATTTGTGACAGATTCTCGAATCACAATGTCAAAGGATGCATTACTTACCAAGGCATTTGCCACAATCAAGTCCCACGATTTGCCAGGCCTTCAAACGTGTCTCGCTGATGGGCGCCTGGGTATATCTGAAAGACATCTAGCGCCTTGGTTGAGAGTTTCCGACGGCGACAAAAAGTACTTGACGTTATTACACGCCGCTGTGATCCAGAACAATGTCGAAGCAACTTCTCACTTGGCTGCCGCTGGATGTGATCCGAACATTCCATTAGTTGGTCCTGACTTGGAGGTACCACCAATTCACGACTGCACCACTATTGCACTCTTTGAGGAGCTGGTGGCGCTTGGCGCCGACGTGACAGCTGTGGACGCTTCTAGTAAAGGCCGGACTATCTGGCACGTTTACGCAACCAGTCCCCACTATCCTTTCGATTTATTGGACTCTGTTGCAAACCGATACCCTCGGGAGACAGCGGAAGCGCTTTTGACAAAATCAGCCAGCGGCCACACACCACTGCGGTATGCATTACTTAGGACGGCCAATGTGGCACGAGACGACCATGACCAGAGAATCACGGAAATCATTTCGGTCTGTTCCAACATCGTGGGATTCTGGTCGATACATGAACCATTGTTTGGGGCAGCAGCTAAGTACGGGTCAGAAAGGGTATTACATTATCTAATCAAGGCTGGTGCCAGGTTGGACCCGGTGGGACCCAGTCAAGAGTCACCGCTGCATCATGTCGGCGTTAAGGCATCATCAGTGATGGTCCGGTGTCTTAAGGAATTATACCCAAGAGCCTTGAACACAAGATTCAAGGGGCAATTCCCGCTGCAACTCTATCTTGAAAGATGTTGTCACCAAAAACGTTCGATAGAGGACTCTGTTGCACAAGAGCTCTTGTCGACCGAAAGTCTGGAGTCAATAGACGGGAATGGGACAACACTATGGGAGCACTATTGGGGCTCCAGTCACATTCAGCAAGAATTGGAGAACATCTGCTCTTGGCTGTTGAGAGATAATTCAGCAATGGCGGTCTACGAAAGCTCCGCCGGAAGGAGTGGGACGAGTATGGTCTTCTCATCCTTGATCGCAATACACTGGACTCCTAAACAATTGGCGTCTTCCTTTCCGGCCTCGGTACTAGCTCGGGTGATCGATGCTTCGCGTTACTGGGAACAGGCCAAGGCCGATCCAAGCGTGCTGCGTTTTCTGCAGTTCACGATTAGGAACGAGTTATACCAGCATACCGATGTGCTCCTTGACCATGGAGTGAGCGTCACTAAAGTCGTGGATAATCAGAGCGCAGTCCAGCTTGCTTGTCAGTCGCCACTGGCGATTTCGCTCTGCTCAAACGCAGAAGGGAAAGATATACTCTCCAAGCTGCTGGATCTCGCTGATAGAGCTCATTTGAATGCCCTCACCATGGACGGACTTACCATTCTGCATCGCCTCGCTACTGATAAGGAAGCCGGCTCGCAGCTTCACTGGTTGATCGACCGCGTTTTAGCCAAAGGGGTGGAAATCAACAAGAGATCCAAGGATGGAGCTGCTCCCATCAGGTACCACGTTGAAAACCGGTCGTTATCCTGTGCTGAATATTTGCTCCAGTTGGGGGCAGACCCAAGGATTCGAAGAAATGACGGAACAGACACTGCGACGGAAGCTGCTTACAAGGGCTTTCGATCCTTCCTGGATAAGTTACTCCAGAACTCGAAGACCCAGGGATCATTCCAAGACTGGGGAAGGCCGCTGAAGGTCAATTTAGCAATCAAAAAAGGCCAGGCTAGCCTTTTCCGCCCAGTCAATGTGTTGCACATCACCTGCTGGGCAGACCAGTTGGAGTGTTTAAAATTCTTCATTGACAACAATCTCATTGATGTGCTAGAGGCCCCAGGTACCAAGGGCTGGACCCCAATGCACGTCAGCGCATGGATCGGTCATACACGCATTATAGAGTATCTCAGGTCGAAAGGTTGTCAGGTTATGCCACAGGCGGTGGATGGAACAACACCTTTACACCTTGCAGTTCGACAGCGACAGTATGATGCCTGCAAAACCTTAATTCGGCTTGGCGCTCAAGACATTCCCGATGTCCTTGGGATCACCCCGACCATGAGTGCTCGCACTGGCAATGATGAACTCATGATTCAGCTGCTGGGAGAAATGCTCCCGCCTGAGAACGCGGCCCCACAGCAGTTGCACGATTGTTTGCCTCGCAAGGCACCCAAGGCTCTGACTGACGCAATGGAGAAGGCCATACAATCCGACGACATCGCAGAATGCAAAAGGCTGCATGCAATCGGCTGCCCGATCAGTTTCCAAACCGGGAGTTGCGTTCCCTTAGCCTTGGCGCTGAATGAAGGACATCTCGATATTGCGGAGTGGCTACTGGATAACGGCACGAACACCAGTCTGTGTATGTTCCGGCACGGTACTGGTGATGACTATGACGGTGAACATGAAAGCATCAATGTCGTCGAAGCTTGCCTGCGTCACTCGAAACTGAACAAGCTTGTCACAAAGCTCGTTGATCACTGCATAACAGATGGTTCAGGCTGGCCTCTTCTTGGGAATGCGGGCCTTTCGGCAGCGATTCGGTATGGCAACATCACGGGGTTGTCAACGCTGTTGAAATGCGTTCATGAAAGGGCTGAGGAAATAAGGTAACCACGCAATTTAAATTGCTATCCTGCCGGTTCAATAGCTATCCAATTGGGCACTAACACCTTTCCAGCGCTGCCACCAACATACCACAGGCTGAGGTCTTGCACACTGTAGTCAATCAAGAGCATCGACTAAACAACAGGGGTCCGCGTATTACAACAGCGCTACATCTCGCAGCATACCGGAATGACGCAGAATCTGTGAGAATTCTCCTAGAAAGCGGCGCCGACATCGATAAACTCGATTCCCCGGGCAAGACCGCACTTCAGGCGTGCGGTGGCCGTGAGACAGTGACCACGCTTGTGCACCATGGGGCCTCTCTTGCCACTCACTATTGCCAAAATATTTTCAGCGTTTTGAGACGGCGTGTGGACGTATTCAGAGAAATAACGGCCTCATACTCTGACCTGGATGTAGCAGACACTGGCAGTCAACCCACAAAGCTCCCAGATCTGTTATGCACATTTCATAACACAAGAGGCGCAGTTGCGGTTCAACAAGTTACAATGACCGTGGATCACCTCACATATTTTGTCGAGGCCGAGCTTGACTTGAACCAAGACATGGGATCGGGAGTGTCATTAATGCATCTCGCAATGGTTGGTACGGCGACTTCGACTTTCATTCTAGGAAACAACTTGGGCGTGGAGGCTGCGGCAGGGTTCCCATGGTACCTTGAGTTCTGGGTTGAACCATCATTCATGACTTCAATGTTCAGGCATTTTCGGAAAAAGCTCGGCGTAGCGGACTTCGCTAGGCTCGCCCATCTTCAGCCAGATCGCGGGTGGAGTCCACTATGCCACGCATCTCTCGTGGCCCATATGGATTGGCTTCAAAACTGCATATCTTTGGGGGCAGATCTCGACTTTGAAGGCAGCCCACACGGCTCTGCTCTGATAGTCGCGAGCGCATGTGGACAATTGGAGGTGGTGCGAACCTTGGTCCGGGCTGGGGCGAGTCTCTCCTACCAAGGAGAAAAGGGCCACAAAAGTGTCTTCACCTTCTGTCGATCAAAAGTCGTAAGACGTTGGCTACTTGTGGGTCGCTTTACCGAACAACGAAATATCGACATTAGACCGCACTGGGGGGACGGCCAAAGGGTATGGATGGGGGCCGGAAGAGCTGTAGCGGGCTTGAAACTTGTTGGTTCGCGGGCGATGTGCTACCATGAGACGCGGATAGATTATGCTAAGAGGTTGGCAAAAATGCGTCGGGCCTGGCGCGGGAAGGTCATAACACCGATTTGCATGTCAGGGATAGTATACGGATCATAGGTTTGGGGGGGGGGGGGGGGAGAAGTGCCTAGGTAGATTCCACTGGACATTTTCAAGTGAATGAGATGGCAACCTGGACAAGACCTGCTCACAATCACAAGACAACCAACTCATCAGGAACTAAGACAGCACTTCAGTGATATGCCCCTATAAACCAAGGGTGAGCTCTGGGTGTCTCGCCTAGGCACATGGTCAGCAATCTAGTAGTATAGTCACGGGCGCTTTCACCCAGGGGCAGTCAATTTAACCAACTGCACAAGCCTATGTTCTTTGTGGGGGGTCTTGCTTGTGCTTGTCTTTGACTGCAAGACCTATATTGTGTGGACTCCACGAGTTCTACCTTGGAAATGTCAATTGAATAAATCTGACAGTTCCACTTTTAAACGAATATGACGGCCGAGGTGATAAGATGGGCAGGGCAGGGAGTGAGAGTGGGGTCAGGCGCGAGAGTGAGCGAGCGAAGGAATCGAGAAGAACGGCTGAGATCGTCCCGTTTGAGCATGGCGTCCCAGCGGGCTTGCTTGTGACCACCACCCAAATAAATACCTTATCAAGGGCCCCCTTGCCAACCTTGACTCGCCACGCCTGGACTTCTTCAACCCTCGAGCTGATTTGCACAATACGCGCGTCTCCCTCTCGCACTCCCAAGCCGGCTCCCAAAGTCCCCCAAGCCGTCTCCTCTCTCACGCATCATGCTCAACTTCCGCAGGAAGAAGTCGGCCGAGTCCGAGGCCTCGGCCCAGCAGGGCCCGGCCGCCGTCGACGCGCCCCGACAGCCGTTCCGAAAGGCCATCGTGCCCGTCATCGCCTGCGGCGCCGGTCTGTTCTCGGACGGATACATCAACAACGTGAGCGGCCCCCTCCCGAAGCCCCGGACTTGGCTGGCCCCGTACCGCCGGACGGGCTGCTTGGCTTGCATCCCCGCCAAGGTTCGGCGGCCCGGGGTTCAGAAAGCTTAGTTCTTGCTAACCGTCGCGGCATGCTCTTGGCCGGTCTAGGTCATCGGATCCGTCTCCACCGTGCTTGGCCTGCAGTATGGCGATCTGTACAAGGACTCGAACGCCAAGAAGTATGTCAACGACATCGCCTTTGCTGGCACCGTCGTGGGCATGCTGGCTTTTGGATGGCTTGCGGACCACTGGTCGCGCACCAACTCGCTGCTTATCTCGACCATCATCTTGATGGTGTTTACCGCCCTCGCTGCGGGCTCTTACTACAAGGGTGACGCCGTTGGCATGTTCAACATCCTCACCGCATGGCGTTTCTTCGTGAGTAGCACATCCGGCCTTGCAAACATGTCCCTCATTAACGTTATCTCGCCTTGAAAGGTCGGCATCGGCATCGGAGGCGAATACCCCGCAGGCAGTGTCGGTGCAGCTGAGTCTACTGGCGAACTCAAGTCCGGCTCCAGAAACCTCTGGTTCATCATGTTCACCAATACTATGATCGACTGGGTAAGAAGACTGCTGACTTCAACATCCCTGGTCCCAAACTTGACTCGTTTATGCTGACTGGTGAGCCAGGGATTCGTGATTGGCGGTTTGTTTACCTTCAGAACCTCGCGTATGTCGTGACAGTAAGCATCTAACAGCCAGTAGCCTTTGTCCCGTACGTAGTTGCCGCCGCCTGCCAAAACAGCCATTACAGCACTATCTGGCGCACCAGCTTGGGCATCGGCGTCGTGTTCCCTATCATCCTGTTCATCCTGCGTCTGTTCGTGAAGGAGCCCGAGGCTTCCACCAAGAACTCGATGCGATATGCCAAGACACCCTACATGCTGTCGTTCAAGATGTACGGATGGCGTTTATTTATTGTCTCTTTAATTTGGTTTATCTACGATGTGAGTCCAGCTCGGCCGTGTTTGTTCAAGTGCCAGTGAACCTAATGCGTAGCGCTTAGTTCTCAACCTACTCGTTTGGGATTTACTCGTCCACGATTCTGAGCAACATCTACGGCGACACGGCCCCGCTGACTACGGTGTTTGGCTGGAACACGGTCATCAACCTGTTCTACATTCCCGGAACCATGCTCGGCGCCCCGGCCTCCGACTGGCTTGGCCCGAGGTACGCGCTGGCTATTGGTGTCTTCCTCCAAGCCATCGTCGGATTCATCATGGCTGGTGACTACTTCAACCTCTCGCAGCCCGGCATGGTCGGCGGGTTCGTGGTCGTGTACGGCGTGTTCCTCGCCCTGGGCGAGTTCGGGCCCGGAAACAACATCGGCCTCCTCGCCGCCAAGACATGTGCTACCGGAATTCGAGGCAAGGGACCCATCTCTCTTTGGCGATACGGCGTCCCTCGACTGCATGCTGACTTACATCCAAGGCAAATATTACGGAATCGCCGCTGCCATCGGCAAAATCGGCGCGTTCATCGGTACCTGGGGTAGGTTCATTGACACTTGAGCAGCTGGCGAGGTCCGAGTCATTCTGCTAATCATTGCCTTTCAGTATTCCCATACATCATAGCAGCCGGAGGCGACAATGAGGTTGCCTCGGCCCAGTACCCCTTCTGGGTTTCCTCGTCGCTGTGCATCTTGTCTGCCGGCCTCGTCCTGTTCTGCCTGCCGCACATCGGCCAGGACACCATCCAGCTCGAGGACGAACGCTTCCGCGCTTACCTGGAGGAGAACGGTTACGATACTCGCCAGCTCGGTATGAAGAAGGGTGACGTCTTTGAGAGCACTGACGCTGTGATCCCGGTGGAGGGACTGGCTGAGACTGCGAAGGGTGAGAAGACCGCGGCTTGAGCTTGAGGTCGCCATGGAGATGAAATTGCGTCTGATGGTCACTTGACCGTGGTCCTGTTGGGGAGAGAAGAGTAATAGAGTAATGCCCTGGCTGCAAGAGCTATGCCTAATGTACCAGAAAACAATTAATCAGGATTTTGCCCCCACCCATGAGGCGGCTTTCTCCATTAGTGCCTGGAATTTGTAATATCTGCTTCCATTGTCGTTACTGATATCTATGTATTTTGCCGTTCACACTGGCACCAAGGACATTTGCCGGCCAATGACGATATGCTCAGTTAGGAGTACTGAAATGATGGACTCATGGATGAGGGTCTTGTGTTCTGGTTCACAAAGTCAAAACTGCCGTTAAGTGCTCCTCGCCACTACTAAATACGTCAGGGCTGGACTTTGATGCTGATGGCTATAGGCCCGGCAGGTGATCCTAAGCGACACGCTCTGCAGCATGCCGTCCCCTTCGTCGGCCGGTGCTGATCGGAGTCTACAGATGAATGACTCGAGCCAGGCCACCTGGTTCTCTAGGCTGGTCACATACTCGTTGGTAGCAGACCGTCGTTTTCGGTCGACGTCACGGTGTACGTCTGTCTGGCCGTGGCGCAGTTCTAGCACGGCTCTGTGCGTGAACACTGGAGCTGCGCGGTCGGGTGCCGAGCCAGCGAGCTCCGAGTGTGGGCAACGTATCGAGAGGGTGGGTGCTGTACCTTTCGAAAGTGGCATCTCTTGCAGCTTATCTACAATGTCAGTCTTGTTCTTTAAGCATGGGATCGTGGGAAAATAATTACCAGATATTTTTGGCTAGCGCTGAGGGCATGATACTAGGGGTGTTTGACAGCGGTCAAATCCAGAGCTGTAGAAGCAGGTCTTGCATAACCTGTACGATAGGCCCCATGAACGGCGGGGCCGCCTCCCTTTAGGACCGTAAACGCGCCAGACGGACGCAGAGTGCCAGTCTGTATTAATAGATGGGCCGCTAACATCAACTGCCCAGGAAGTGGACACCCACTGTTAATTAGAGGCTTCCATAATTCCTATGAGCATCTATTCCCTTCAACACTCAAAAGTTTTCCATTTGAAAATCATATATTTCTACCTGGATACATAGACTGCTTACACTGATTAAGTTTATCTACTTATCTAGTAACCTAGATGAGCTCGATCAGATTAGATGATATTATGACATTAAGAACTTGAGAACTCTTCTTGAAGGGGCCACTGGGAGGGGATGAATCTTGTGAATTTAAACGGGTATCTCAATGACCAACTCATTAAAAATTCAGAAATGCAAATAAGCGCGGAATTACAAGTGCTGGTGGTCAAGGGCCCGTCGTCAGTCTCTCGACTAGCCAAAATGTATGGCTGAGCCCCCTGGGCCGTTAATTGATTGGTCCTCTATAACTCACTTGAGTGGGCCTGGATTGCCCCCATGTTGTTCAACTGGATGTTGAGCGCCAACTACCTAGGTACCGTCGCTATGATACCCCGGCTCGGACGATATACACAATTTCCATTGCACAATTTATGCAGAAAAGAGCCGTGCCAAGAGCGAACGTCCCCAGATGTCATGGTGATCTTTCCGCCTGCGCAATGAACTTGCTACACGATGGGATATTGTACCTACACCATGGCAGGGGATATGAGGTGGATCTGGGAAGCTAGCAGACTTATTTGGCAACCGCATGGTGGCCATTGAATACCCACACTGCGAGGGAAGACCGCAGACTAAGAAACGATCTCGGCGTTGAGGAGGGGGCGGGCAAGGGTGACAGCACAGACGAGCAGCCCGTGGAGAAGAAATGTGACCTATCTTCAAGACCCCACCAAGGCGAAGAGAAATATTTCAGAAATGCTATTGTCATCTATTTTCTTTACATAACAGGGAACATTCACCATTCGAATCATATTGTGGATACAAGTCGATCTGAAGACATGGGTGTGGTTGTGGTTGTCTAAACGCGTAATAAACGCGTTCCTGTGGGCGACTGGGATGGATGGCCTGGGGCCCTTGTGCTAAGCCTGTTACAGGCCTCGGCTACACGGCGACAGGGGAAGTTTCAAGTTTCTATACTCCGTACCGGTAATCTTTTGTGACAAGTGACTGCACCAGAGTTCCACTGATCACGAGCATGCCAATTGGAAGACCAAGACCCGCTCTTAGCTGCCAAGACACATACCATTTGCCATGGTACCTAGTTTGGTAGACCGTTCCCGGCTCGGCGGCCTTCATTATTCAACAAGGTCTTGCCCGTTGCATAAAATGCCAGTGTTGATGCAACCTTGCAATACGAATTCTGATGGGCTACCACCTTCCCATTCACGTGTCGATTGCGGCTATCTGACTTGATCCAGCTTAGTTCCGGCGTTTATACTACAACTGTGCACCTCACGAGGGTTTTCAACATGTCCAAGGCTTGTGCATTTTTGTGCTTAAACTGGAGACGCACCTTTCTCATCAACAACATGCTTTCCGACTCAATCTGAGTTTTAATTTTTGCTTCGGCAGCCGGCGCCAGAAAGAATAGAGTTTCACCGGCCTGTCCTATCCTCTGGCTAGCGGCAACTTGTTCAAAGATGGAATCAGCATTCGGACTCACATTGTCCGCGTCAGCAACACAATGGCCGACATATCTGCTCCTCGCCATATTTGCGTCGTTGTGGTTGATCAAGCGCCATGCTTCTAAGGTCGATGTCGCTCCCAGCGAGCCTGTTCTCCTCTCGTCAGGAGTACCACTTCTTGGACACCTCTTGGGAATGCTGGTCTCTGGATCCGGATACTATATGAGCCTGTTTCGAAAGACCGGTCGCCAACTTCAGGGAGCGACACTGTCTATCTTTGGCCATAAGGTCTACGTGATATTCTCGCCATCTCTTGCTCAGGCAGCCCTTCGGAACAAGGATCTGTCTTTCGAACCCTTCGTTGTGCTGGCAAGCCAGGCCTTGGCCAACTTAGAAGGGCGCAGCCTCAAGCTGCTCAGAGATGGCACAATATCGCGCGCCTTCTTCCACACTCTGCCCACCGCTGTTTCTGCTGAGCCAATGAGTCGTATGGCTGCAACTGGACTGCTTTCGATGACTGGAGAGGTCAGCAAGCTATGCCATCAGATCGACTTGTCAGTAAACGAACAAGTGGAGATATCAGACTTGTTCGGCTACCTCAAAAGAACAATGACGCTCGCCGTCACAGATGCGCTTTACGGACTGAAGGATAACATATTTCGAGATGACCTGACTTTGATCGATGATTTGTGGTATATCTCCGCTGGACCTCAGGCTATGGACGGCAACTCAACTTTACTGATCATTTTGCGTTAGGAAATTCGATGAAAATCTCCCTTACTTGGCATCTGGTATTCTTCCTTGGCTGTTGGCACCGAAAGGAAACAGGGCTCGTATCCGTGTGCAAACTGCCCTAGCAGAATACTACCGTCAACACAAGACCGAAGAAGAATTTCCCGAGCAAACAGCCGACATCACTCTTCTGCGACACCGAGTCTTTCGCGGTCTGGGATTCAACGACTCTGAGATCGGGCGCATGGAGCTGACGATGGTCTTTGCGGGCACGAACAACAGCGTACCCCTGCTCTTCTGGATCATCGTCAATGTTTTTGCGCGCCCGGGAGTCGTTGACCGGTTGAGGGCTGAGGTGCAAGGCGTGGTTGATATCGTGCCCATAGAAGATCAGCCAAAGAAGACTGGTGAGAGCGAGGGAAGACCCGCACCCAGACGGCAGGCCAATGTGCGAGCATCACTACTCACAGATGAGGCGCGGTGCCCGTACCTCACAGCTATCCAGCGGGAGGCGCTTCGCCTCTGCAACACGACCACCGGATTCAGGCATGCCATGAGCGACACCACGCTCCCTGACGGCACCCTGCTCCGCGCTGGATCGACAGTGCACATCCCGACGTCTATCTCACATCGCCTGCCAGAGGTGTGGGGCCCGGCGGACCCGAGCGAGTTTGAGCCAGCCCGATGGCTCAAGACTTCAGGGGCGCCCGGCCTGATCAAGGCCCCTGCGGCTTATTTCCCGTTCGGGGGTGGGAAACATTTATGCCCCGGGAGAGGTTTTGCGTACGCTGAGAATGCGGGCTTGCTTGTGACCCTCGCGCTTGGGTTTACCATCAGCGGTCTTTCGCCCGAGACGCAGCCGCCGTGTCCAATTGCGAATCTAATGGGAGAGGGCGTACCGAAACCGAGACGAAAGGCTGGAGTGTGCATAAAGAGGAGGGAAGGGTGGGAGGACGTTCGGTGGAATTTGATTTGGTAATAGTGTGCCCTTATACAGCATTAGTTATCTCAGATCTCAAATCGATACCCAGCCATGCAAGCATGTCCGAACTGCGACTCATACGGTTGGCTATGTGTTCCATATCTTGAACACTTGGATTCCCAGGTGCGTTGTCCAAATGCTGATCCAAATAGTTTCAGTAGTTCTTAATCAATACGTACGCATGTGCCTGTTCCCCAACATGAAGCTTCCAAGCGTGACATTGAATTTCTATGTACGGAGTAATTGATCTACATTAATTTTGCACAAGTATACCTAGGGTATTCTATGCATGGCTGCATTGTGGAAATCATCGTTTATGCCACTTCCAAGTTCCAGGGGGCCGCTCAAGCTTCAATGCACCTGTCCCTCGAGACGCTCGATCTCGAGGGAAGCAAGAATGTACGCAGCAGAGCCGAGCACACTGTTATACTTGATGGGCTGGGAAACGTAGTACTGCAGGGCCATGTCAGATGCCGTCTTGAGACTCCAACGGAAAGTATTCCACTTACCTCGTACGAAGCCGTAGAGTTCAAGCTGCACACAGCCACGGTTCCATTGTATCCAAGAGTACCATCTCCCTCGTACACGACAAAACTCTCACTCAAGTAGTTGTATGCTCTCTTCGCGACCTCTATCGAAACGGCTGACGTATTTCCAGGTTTGTAATACCCCAACCTTGCGCCCTTGAGCAGCGCATATGTGAACATGGCGCTGCCGCTCGACTCAATGTAGTTCCCCTCGCGGCCGGGTTGGTCCAGGACCTGCCACCAGCCGCCCGTGTCTGAGTCCACTGCCCGGATCACCGCATCCGCGAGGGACTGGAACTTCTGGAGCAGCGGCTCCCTGTACTGGCAGGTCTGGGGTTGGTCCTGGATAACCTCAAGCGTGTCCACTAGCGCCATGACATACCACCCGAGACTCCGACCCCATACGTGTGGGCTGGCGCCTGTGACAGGATCAGCCCACACAGCTGTGCCACTCGCGTCGTATCCATGCACCAGGAGGCCCGAGTTCTCATCGAGGCAATGGTCCCAGAGGAGGTTGATCTGGTGGGCCATGTCATCAAGCGCGGTCGTGTTGAGGGTTGTTGCGTTATCCGACGTAACCGTGTACAGCGTGTAAAATGGCGCCAAAGAGTACATGCCGTCCAGGTAGCTCCAATATGGATAGGTGTAGTACCACAAGCCCTCCTCCTGGTTCCGACGATTTAGGTCGATACTGAGCCGCAGAGCCTCCAGCCCCGATATGTACGAGGATGTCTGAGCATCCGATCTTTGAGACAAAGAAAGCATGGCATTCCCATTTGAAAGCCGATCGAGGGGATAACTCAGCGCGTCTTCAGTTGCATTTGACAGATACGGTAGGACAGAGTCAACGCTCGCGGCAATATACCCCTTTATTTTCTCGTTTCCAGGATACAGGTCGAGTAGGGCAGTGAAGGCCTTCTGCGTGAATCCAGCTTGGAGGGGCTCGGAAGATCCTCCTTCTCCGGTCATTATGCCATCGTTCCGTGCAATGAGACTGGAGGCCATACAGATCGAGTGATGTGTATCATTGTGTGGGAGTACGGCCGCTGCCAGTGTTGGTTGAATGATGACGAGTATAGCGCCGAGGGCCGGTCGCCCAATCGAGACCCTCATGTCTGCGTAACTTGAACTGCTTATATTAAGAACGTGACGGCAGTGGCAGGAACTCATTTTGCCCGGAAGACGTAAAGTTAAAATAGCAGATATGTACACACACTAGCGACTTCAACTAAGCCAGCCCGGGACAGCAACTTGCGGGGAGATTCAAGGATGAGCCGACAAGCAGGTGCCGAAGAGCCAGCAAGGGCTTCCTTTCAGCTGTGGCAAGGTAGTAGCTGGCAAAGATGAACCGGCACTTTCGTGTCATTGGCTGCTGACGGCCAACACCTCGTGCGACGTCTCTATTTCGCCACCATTTTGATTGATCATATTAATCTCCAAGGGCGCTGATTCGGTCGCTTGCTGACCCTATATTATTCTTGATCTGTGTCCGCAGGCTCACTGGCTGTCCACTCCCTTTCCTTGCATCAAGTTCCGTCAACTTACAGTGGACATTTGATGTTTCTTAGCAAACTTTGCGCGACTGTTGGTAACCTTGTTAGCCAAATTGGAGAAGTCTGGCCAAAATCCGTTTATCTGTAAAATCAAACTTGGGTCAAGGTCATGACGAAGCCAGAGTCCCAGCTCCCACCCAAAGTCGGAGTCCATGGGTGCGGGTGTGCCACACTTGCATATCCTTGGAGCTGCTTAATGCGTTAGTCGGGCACCAGTTCACCTTTCTGCACACTTGGGGTAGTATAAGATCCCGACGGCCCTATGATCTGCGAGGGCTAGCGAATCTTCTGCATGCGGGTTCATCTAGGCCGTCAGCCCGCAATGAAGCGCCTATGATATTGTTGTTGAATGATGGAGTTGAGTATGGAAGGGTTGCACAATGTTGCAACGATCCCCGGGTTCCGATCAGGCCTCCAGGCAAGCTGACATCTATGCAACTATCTCACCACGGCGCTCATTAGCGGCCGATGTTCGATACAGCCATCTTGTCGAGGTCGTGGGGCAATAACCCTTGCGCCGTCAGCCGTAAGCTGTCCACGGGTCCCCGGGGTCACATATTCGCTTGATAAAATCTGTAAGAGCCGCGCGCTGAGTCCTGAGCATGTGGTAAATGGCTGCCTTGGATGTACCCAGCTCCCATCTCTCGTCCGTGATCATAAAGTCGTCAGTGCTAGAAATGCTTGTCCCTCTCCATCTTCCGCCCTCGGGTTAACAGGAGAGATATTTATTGCGCTTGCTCGTCACACTAGGTCCACCACTCTTTGTTGTCTAATGTCCTACAGGCACTTTAGAATGAGCGTTTGACACTATATGACGGGACCACATATTCTGCGGAACCACACCAGCGCCTTGCAACTTCCAAAAATGGCCAGCTATCGTGATAGCTTGATCGCGGCGATGGTGGTATTCCTCGTCATCAACACTGCAGCGATTGCAGCTCGTCTTTACGTGCGTGTCAAGCTTCTCACGCGCGCTATAGGAATGGATGACTTGATGCTATGCCTCGTATTTGTGAGTTCTACCGTGGCTCTGCCGATTTTCGCGTACTCAAGGCTCGGCTACAACGCACCAGGCATCCTCATCACGAAAAATCACTGTTCTGACGTCAATTTCTTAGAGCGGATACGTGATACACTGCGGCTTGGAGTCCGCATCTATGTACTGGGGTTACGCGGCGCCTGCGGGCGAGAAGCACCCTCGCTACGACAATGCCAAAGCGACCGACGTGAGCTCTAGTGATTCCATTACCCACAAAATTTTGTGTTATTCGGCGGTTGTCAGTAACCAAACGTGACTAGTTATTGTTTGCGAACCAGCTCACCATTTACATATGTGCAGGTCTCGTCAAGCTAGCGGTAGCTTGCATCCTGCTCCGCATTGTCACAAAAAGGGCGCTGCGATGGCTCCTGTATCTCTCCATGGTTGTTGTCATCGCATGGACCATCGTGATGACTCTGTATGCCTCGTGGCTGTGTGCGTCTGGGGGATCAAGTAATTACGCTGGGTCCAAGACGTGCTTGTTTGTCGGCTACTTCAGGACGAGCACAAACATCATCATCGATTATTTCTACGCGTTACTGCCGGTCTATATCCTCTGGAACATTCAGATGAGTCTGAAATTAAAGTTTAGCGTTCTTCTATTGCTTGGAATGGGAATATTGTAAGTTGTTCTCAACTTTTGCTTGGCTGTGTTCTCGTTCATTTCCCCAGGTCGACAGATTCCAAGATCCAAATAACTGGTCTTAAAATTTTCTAACACCATTCACTTCGTCGACTTCATAGTGCCAGTAGCGCAACAGTTGTCAAGCTTGTAATAATCATCCGGCTCAAAACGGCTGAGGGCGCACGTGCAAAAGGATTGCATTATGACCTCCTCCTTTGGGCAGATATCGAACTCGGCATGGCTACCTTTGCGGCTTCAGCGGCCGCACTTCGCCCTTTGCTCCTCCGCATCCCCGCCATGATAGATACGTACTTCAGCAAAGCCAGCAGCAGGCGGGCGCAGCAGAGCAACAACAGCGGTTTTCATGGCATGGGCCCATATTTCGAGGTTGAACCTGTGAGTACTACTCAGGATGTAGAGATGGGGCGGCTGAAACATTCGACCTCCGGCGCGCTTGGTGGGATCACAAGGACGACGACTTTAGCCGTCCGGATCGATGGCAATCAGTATCTCCAAGGTCCATCAACTGGCACTTTCGCGCATTTTTGATTGTTAAGCAAATGATCATTCTGTACTTCAAATACTACCTCTCTCCTCTAACCTCTCAGTCTTCAATGTGAGTATTTATTGGTTGACTGGGAGGTAATGTGATTCGAGAAAATGATAATTTGTTGGAAGGTTGGCCGGCCGTGCAAGTGACCCAGGATCAAAAGCCATTACCAGTCCAGGCCGTCTTGTAAGAAAGCTCGCCTTCAGGTGATGGGAGATATTGAGGATCCAAAGATCCGTGGCAAGGATCACAACCACAATCAATTTCTGTTTAGCGCCACCTGCAACCTATGCTGTCACTCCACCGATCTCGCGGGAGAACTCCGGGCTGAAAGGATAATAGATATAACCGCTCTTAGTTTTAGGCGCGTAGAATGTCTCCCTGTTGTAGGGGTTCGGAATCAGACCTTTTCGAATCCTAAAAGGCAGATCTGGCGTGGAGATGAAATATCTCCAAAACATGATGACGATGTTCTTTTCCGGGAATTCCTTGTCAACCACCTGCCTCGCTAATTCCGGCGTGAAACCGCCCGCCACAAGCACGGGTCCATCGAACTCCTTGAATGCGAAAGCCAGGCTTTCTGAGCCCTCAGAGTCTACGTTTCCATGCACCCTAGACTCAATGAGGTGGACGTAGGCTATGCCCAGCTGGTTGACCCGCCGAATAACGTCCGTGAACTGCGGGACGGGATCATCCATCCTCATGTGGTTGTAATCACTCCACGGGCTGAGGCGAAGTCCGGTCCTCTCGGCTCCCACGGCATCCCTTACAGCCGTCACAGCCTCGACAGCAAATCGGGAGCGGCGCTCCACGCTGCCACCGTACTCGTCATTCCGATTATTGGTGCGGTCTGAAAGGAACTGATCGATCAGGTACCCGTTGGCTCCGTGCAGCTCAACACCATCGAAGCCAGCGGCGATGGCATTCTTGGCAGCTGTGGCGTAGTTACGCACCCTGGCCTGGATCTCGTCGGTGGTCAGGGGAGTGGGCCGCCGCTCGTCGTCCAGTCCAATGTCGCCAGAGCTGACGATCTTGATCCCCTCCGCGGCGGCCACGTCCGCATAGACGTCGCGGCCGAGAGCCCAAAGCTGGCAGAAAATGTAGCTGCCTTTGGCGTGCACAGCGTCTGTGATCTCCTTCCACGCGTCGATTTGATTCTGGTTGTAGATCCCGGGGGCATTGGGGTGGCCACCGTCCCCTGGAGATATAAAAGTACCCTCAGTGATCAACAGAGTTCCGGGGACCGAAGCTCTTTGCTCATAATAATCTTTGACAAACTCCAGCGGAACATGATCGTCTGATGCTCGGTAGCGGGTCAGGGGGCTTAGACCCACGCGGTGTGACAAGGTCAGGTTGCCAATCTTGAGCGGCTCGAAGAGACGGGAAGTTGTCGACATAGTGACTGATCAGGAAAATTTTGAATGTAAGTAACTTTGTAAAAACCTTTGCAAGCGGCTTTTGTCACGTAGTTAGAAGTCCTCGAGAATTGTCAACTCTGATGTTGCACACAAAATCACCTGCATTTAAATACCCGTTGACTTGGCTGTGTTAAAGCCCCTCTAAGGCTGGTATTTAATCCGCATTCATCAGCAGAATTGGAAGCTGCCTGATTGATAATGCAGGTTTAAGCAAGCGAGCAAGCGAATCAGGAAGTGTCGAGTCGTCAGGTCAACTCTGAATCCCGAGGGCCGTCTTGGCACACATGCTTTACTGCAGTTCCTTTTCGTGCTCTGTGGCTTCCAGCAATCGTTTCGAGCGGTTGATGCAACTACTTCTTCATAAGACATAGGCTGGATGTAACACGAAGATAAGGCAGTATCCATCGTACGACTGCTGCATATTGGATCTGTCTAGTTTCGAAAAGAAATGGAATCAAGACGCAACGAATAGGGTGTGCCAGGGAGCGCTTACTCACAGCCATGAGGCCGTCGTTCCATCTCGGCGCTAGCAATAAATGTTTAGTGATCAATGCCCAGCCACATTTCAGCCGACTTGGAAAGCAAGCTGCTTGGTCATCACTGGAGGAATATCGTGGGGCTTTGCCTAGACAAGACCTCACGTCTGCAACTATACTGGTTGATAAACAACAGGGGTGTGACGGGCGTATTTTTCGATTACTGAACGCAGTGCCGAATTAACGCCTAACAGCGACTTGCAGCGAGATGAGGCACCACTACGACTTAGATGGCATGCAGCATCACAACCCAGTCCTTAGCCATCATAAATGGCTCTCTACGAGACGGATTTCCTATAAGGTGACCTTTTCACCACATTGAATGCAGACTAACAGCTCCCACATCTAATACGATCACCCGCGCACCACTCAGAAGGCACATCTTCCATTATAATGTCGTCCCCATTCAAGAACATTGTCATTATTGGCGCATCTGGCGCCATAGGCAGCGTCCTACTCGAGGCCTTCCTCAGCACCCCCTCAGTAGCAGTCACAGTCCTCCAGCGGGCGTCCTCCACCAAGATTGTTGCTCCTCCATCAGTTCGCGTCGTGAACGTCCCGGACGACTACCCCCACGACTCACTTGTCGCCGCCTTCAAAAGCCAAGATGCAGTCATCAACTGCGTAACTACACTCGCCGTTCGCACCCAGCTGCGGATCATCTCCGCCGCTGTCGAGGCGGGCGTGAGGCGCTTTGTACCCTCCGAGTACGGCCTCAACAACAACAACCCGGCCGCACGCGAGCTCTGCTCCGTCTTCCGCGAGAAGGGCGAGGTCCAGGACTACCTGCGCACGCTGGAGGGTCGCATGGAATGGACGTCGTTTGCGGTGGGGATGTGGCTCAAGTGGAGCGCCACACACGAGTTCCTCGGCATGCACCTTGCGCAGAAGAAGTTCGTCTTCTGGGACGACGGTGAGGGCTTGTTCAGCACGACGACGGAAGAGAATACGGCTCTTGCAGTCGTGAATGCTCTTACCAAGAAATGGGAGGAGACGAAGAACCAAGTTGTCTGGCTGAGCGACTTTGCCATATCTCAGAAGCAATTGCTAGAGGCCATTGAGCGATTCACTGGGGAGAAGCTCGAGACGGAGGTCATCGACTCGGAGTCGCTCATCCGGGAGAAGCAGGCAGCGATCGCGGCTGGGGATGGCGGGGCCATCTACTCACTGATTGAGACTGGTTTCGTGACGGGAAGATATGGTGGACATCTGGAGAAAGAGGGAAACATAATGAACGACCTGCTAGAACTTCCGCAGCGGTCATTTGATGAGGTTGTGAAGGCTGCTATTGAAGCCGTCAAGGCGCCATGAGACGGCGCTGGCGAGACGTTGGGAATTGGAATAAGATCGTCCGATTACGCATTATAAACCTTACTTAAACATAAACTCATATTCTGTGTAAGCTTCATGTCTCGTAATCCTCGCACCTCGCATTGCGGTTGTCAAGAAACTCCAGATGCACTTTCTCTTCAGCTCGAAACGCCCTATATTCCTAACAGTACTGCCGCGATCGATTCGACCCTCACATCTCACAGGAAGTTTCACCCTATGGGACCTCGTACGAAAGGCCCGGTTCCTTGACTCGGTGGATCCATCAGTGGTAGACCAAAGGCGCGTGCGTGCAGCACCTGAGCAATGCCAACATCACGTCTCGCACCGTAACTGAATATTTCCCTGACAAGCTCCTGATTATCAGTCCTGGCAGCATACTCCAAGAGGGTCTCTCCATTAGAGAGCAGTTGATTCGGGTCGAGGCCGTTCTCGAGTAGAAGGGGCACGAGACTGAGGGTCCCCCGCTCTACTATGAAGCTGACGACGGACTTCCCCCACGCATCACGGTCGTTGGGTTTAGCGCCATGATTGAGAAGGGCTTTGATCACCTCCTTTCGAGCGTCCGCCTCCAGCTTGTCAGATTTGGCCGCGTTCATAAGCATGCTGGACCCCACGAGGTCTTTGGCGTTTGCGTCGGCGCCTCGTTCCAGCAACGTCTTGACGACGTCGATGCGCCCCCTCGTGAACGCCTCAACTACCAGGGGTAGACCAGTGGCTGTTGTGGCGTTAACATTCGCACCGTACTCGATCAGGAAATTGAGTATGTCATCCTTATTTTCCTGCAGAGCGAGGATGATCATTGGGCAGCCGGTCATGTCGCTGGCGTTGACTGAGCCGCCGCGCGACTGCAACAGCTTCAACATCGCCAGATTGTTTGCCGAGTAGGCGTGATGAATGGCAGGCCGGCCGTACAGGTCGGTCGTGTTGGCCTTGGCCCCGTGGTCCAATAAGAGCTGTACCATGTCCACGTCGCCCTTGTCAATGACGTCCAAGAAATAGGCATGCCCATACATATTCTTCTGGTTCGGTTTGCATCCATGTTGTAGGAGAACCTTCGCCATTTGAAGGTCCCCAACCGAGGCCGCCCAGAAGAGAGGAGGCATCTTCTTTGCCGAGTCTTTCACGTCCTTCGACGCTCCAAGCTCCAGTAGCTCGGTAAAGACAGGAAGCTGTCTGTTCTCGATGGCCACGACAAGGGGTGTCTTGCCATCTTGATTGCGTCCGTTGATATCCGCCCCATTTGAGACGAGCGCGGTGACGTTTTTGATGTCGCCTCTGGCGCACGCCTCACAGAGAGCCGCGACGAGAGGCTTCGGCTTCTGACGGAAAGAAGCAGTCACAGCCCTGAAGAGCTCCACCAGATTCTTTGGCGGCGCGCTTTTGGAAGATGATGGGCTTGCAGTGGACGGTGCGACAGGTTCGGGTTGTTTCACATCCGACACATGTTCAGATGTGTCCTCGTCGTAGGGCGGCGGTGGTTCGTCATCCAAGGGCGGTGGTGCCTCACTCTCCATGCCAGAAGGGCCAGTTTGGCTGGAGATAACGGCCATGAATGCAGTGTCTGCGATTCCTATCAGTGCGCGATACTCTGGGCCACTCAAGAGCTTGTTCTGGCCATCCGTGGTTTTCCTGGACCAATCAGATATTCATCAACAGCAGACTCCCCACGGCTAGAATTCTTACATCTCGAGAGCTTCTACCAAGCTCTCCATTGCCGAAGTCTCGAGACTTGCCCAACTACTATATTTGGACAACAGGTCCTGGCTGATCGGGAGCAGACGAGTCTTGGAGACAGCGGTCCCTTCTTCCACGATCGCCTCAGCCGACGCACATTTCTCAAGTCGGTCTTTGATTGCGTTTTGGAGATCCTGAGAAATGGGCTCCGTGCCGCTCAGCTTGCTTCCCAGCTGCAATGCCGCTTCGCCTAGCTCCCTCAGCTTGGCAGACAATTGGATGAGCGGGGAGTCGCTGGCGTGCCGTTGTGCAGCACTCTCACCGATACCAGCCGCTGCCGAGATCACACGATCGTGGATGCTCTGACACCGTGCTGAGAGTGCCGCAGCTGAGAAGGTCGACATTGCGGGACTTGCAAACGTCAAATATAGGAATGACACGACTTCTGTGGGGGTGAGACATCAGGGTTCATGGTTCCACATGTATTCCAAGGGTCAAGAAACATAGCATGAATGCGAACGGTCTGGCATATAAGAGTGAATTTCAGGCAGCCGAAGTTGGTGGCGCGGAGGATGCACGTGGTCAGCTGCTAGAGGCGCAGCCCAGCCACTAACCACGACTGGGTCGGGCATATGTACGTGAGCACGTATTCTTCGGTTTGTTCGTTAGTGATTGGGCTAATCCACCCGAAATCGATATATCATGCCTTGGTTGTGAGGTCATGTGTCCAGGATGCAGCACAACTCAAATGTTATTACCCTTCAAGGAGTGTGATGAAATGTGGTGAGGCTTTCTTCATTTATTCATGTGGCTTAGAACAATTGAATCAGCAGATCTCGCTTGCCACCGAGGCCAGCTATTGAGTCATTCTGTCAGTGATGCAGACAAATGTGGTTCCATGTGCGGGCCCCTGCAACATACATCTCTGGTGCCAGTTTGCAGTTACTGTTTGACCTCTCCTTGCAAGGCCGCAACAATGAGCTTTCTGTGAGCATGTTGGACAATGCTTGAAGCGACTTCATCTTGATGTATTGAGCTTAAAAATGATTCTCTCCTTTGCCGCTGCAATTGTGTGGTATTCCGGGCAAGCCGTTGGCATTCAAATTCTTGTCCCCCCGAAGATGTCACTGCCAGTGACATTGGTCCGCTGAGTTGACTTCGACCTAGCAAGATCGATGTAGTCTAAGGCATATAAAACGAATTAATAGCTATAAACGGCTGGAAATCCATGAGAGGCCCGGTAAGAAGCAAAACAGCTAGCTTCTACGTATAGAGAATAGTGTGTTCACCCGAGCGTGAAGCCGGCTCAGTAGGCTCAATCCTTTTATATTTATCAACCTTTTCTGTGCCCACAAACTGATTCTTGCAGCTTGCATCCATCACCAGCCACTGTGTTGACATATGAAAATGAAAGGGCAATCTTTCTCGGGGACTAAGCATATATTAGGTTTTATTCTCATGCCTTCTTGGAGATATTGCACATGTGGGCTGAGCATTTCCATTATCAGGCCAAGCTACTATTTGAGAGGCCAAAATCTGAACAAAACCTATTGTTTGCCTGAAGTTGAATTGAGGCAATTTTGGGCTCGCTCACTATTTCATCACGCAGTCAATTAACTGCCAGTTACCCTAGGGTAGGCAGACTCCTGAAGTCTCACCAAAACCTTTGGCAGAGGATCGTGTGAGAATGTCCAACACAATTTACCGATGCATTGCTGAGTCTAAACTTTGCTCAATGAAATCTGGAGACATAGCCATATCTATTACATATAGTTAATAATCCAATGGTTCTCAGGGTGAGCGAAACTCATCAAGTCGTCCCACGGGGCGTCATCATTTTCCGAGGGCCCAGGTAGTCTCAATAGCTTCTGCCCCACATCTCAGGCCCCCACACCGCAGCAGAACACAATTCGCACTCTACTGTTGGCCGCAGCGGGTCCCCGAGCAAAAAGTGAGGTCCTAGTGGATCAATCAAAAAGGTTCGACGCCGGCATGATTCGAACATGCGCCTCCGAAGAGAATAGATAACTGGAACTCATCCAAGATGCTTTCTAGTCTATCGCATTAGACCACTCTGCCACGGCGCCAACTGGCGTCAAGGCTAATACAAGTCATTATGTAGTTACGTTCAAACCGTGTGAAATCTAGATCATGGACATTAATGAAAACAAGAAGAAAAATACTCTACTCTTAGAACCTATAAGCTTATTTTTAATATATCTATTATTATTAATAATTTTTACTTTTTTTATATTAATTCTTTATTTATTAAAATATTTAAAGTAATATATATCTAGTAAATATACTAGATTAAATAAAGGAGGTAAGTTTAGATATATAGGACCTAACTTATTAGTATTATTCTTAGTGTCCAGATGTCATCCCTGCTCACATCATACACGGAAGATGAAATTTCGCACAGAAACATTTTGACATTAGAGAGTACTTACTCACTATGGCGCAAGTTGTGAAGGAAGCATTGATCAGAGAGCGTTACTTGGATCATGCAGAGTGGATGTCATCCCAGGCTTTCGGAGAGGAGCCTTCAACCGTTGAACATTCCAGGGCACATCCATGGCCCCATCTTCAGGCACCGTTTTACATGTTACCTTACTAAAAACATAAAAAGTACATTTCAAGTACCAAAGTCGCTCAAGCAGGGAGATAGCTGGATGTTGAAAGCACTGTCATCGCATTTCCTTCGCTAATGGCGCATGCCATATGATAGTGGTCTTTTGTCTTCTACCTGTGTTTTTCTATCAAAGGCCTCGATGTATTCTGATATTGTGAAGTGCCTGAACTGTGTCCTCGTTCACTTCCAATTTAGCACCTAGTCTTATTCCCCGGCTGATATACGCATCATTTGTGAGCCAAGACGAATAGATGAGGAACGATGTTGGCAGGAAGTTCGCATGCTCAAAATCTATGATAATCAGGCGGCTCGATAGGTCTTCGCCGCCCTCCATGATGAAATTCTCCAGGTTCATGTCGCCATAGCAGAGCCGCAGGTCTTCCGAAACCAGGTCTATTGGCGGGTAGCCCGGGTCCGTCTGTATGTCATTAGTATTGTGCTTTTAGTGAAGGGTTTCAACTGGGGAGTTCTGTCGGACTCACCCTCTCATTTTCCGAGTTGATCCAGTCCTGTAAATCTTCCACGCTCCCATATTTTCGTGGCGATTCGGGCTCCTCGCGACCCCAGACGAGATTTGTGGCAATGCCGCCTCCGTAAGGGCCTGGCGCTGCGTCTTCGGGTGGAGTCAGAGAGTACAGAAGACAGACAGCCTCAATGATCCGATCCTTATACAGGCATATCTTGTTCTGCTTCTCTTCCTGGCTCATGTCGCTGGACTTTAGGATCGTGGATTCGATATCGTCTACAGAAATGCCTTTGGCAAACTCCATGACGATCAATCCGTATTTGAGCTTATTGATTCTCGTGTCGAAGAAATCGTATACAGCGGGAACGTGAAATCTTGCATTTGCGTTTTCGTCTTTGGCGATGCACTCGTGTGCCCACGCCTGAGTTTTTGCCTGCAATCGCATGCGTGGGACGTCAAGGTTGAACTTTATCCAAATGCGATCCTCGCCAGGCGGCAGGTGTCCCTTGGTACATTGGAACCCCGTCGGCATTGTAAAGCGGTCGGATGCGCTGCGTTGTTCAAACGAGTCGAGGTAATCAGAAAGGGCAGCGATGATCTCGTCACGATCAGGCTTCCAGCCGCTGATCAGTTGCTGGTCTTCCATGATGAATGATCAACATGTGTCGTTGAGACACATATTGGTTGATGTGTGTTGGCGACCTCGTGGGTGGATTGTTGACAGTGTCAAGGAACTGGGCAGACGGGAAGATTCAATTTACTCACTGGCAGTGATTGCTCAGTCAGACGTGCATGTGAGCTTCTGTCTAGGGACTGTTTTATTCGTTAGGTGCACAGGCCTTTTCACAATAACCATGTCTTACATATTATAGGGGCCGTGTATATACCTAACTTCTCTATCTAAATAGAGTGCTTATAATGACATTAATAAATGCACTACCTGTTTTTTTGATACATATAAAGAAGTCAGCACCAATTTGTCCTTGATTGTAAAAAAAACAATGGCCCGTGCACTCAACGAATAAAACAGTGGGGGGGAGCAACTCTCGTTTTTCCCGGACAGCTGTTGGTGTTGCACAACGGCGGCAGCTGGAAACACGGAATAATGGGTCCAGTCTAAAAATATGGCTGTACTGGCATTCTGCTAAATTTACCGGCCTGGTCCACCCAAAGTGCTAATCACCAGCATGCAGGCCACCGAAACGGCCCCGGCGAGCCTGTGCCTCCCTCACCCGGGTGGGACGTTGAGCGCCTCGCGCAGCGATGATCGTGCACTCATCGCGGCACTTGCCCGGGAAACAGCCCCAGGCCCATCGGCTCCAGGCTGCCTGCGACCAGGAGGAGGCACAGGCGGCCAGGTACTTCCTGCTCGATTCCTACACTCGTGGTCCAGCGCTCTGAGCCAGCTGGTGGCCAATCATTAACTGTGGCAGCAACTGGCAGTACTTGAATTGTCTGGCTTTTAAAAACAGACAGCTGGTCAAGCTCCACCATTGCGGCGTTTCGGCCGCGACCAGTTCCTAGGCCATCTTTCCCCTCAGCATGGTCCGAGTTGGTGACCCGGGTGTTGAAATTCCAATTTTAGTTCATCAGTGGCCACTCCACTCTTCACAATGAACTTGAGTGGGATGTCGAATGGGACTGTCCGTGGCCCAGCATGTCGTCTATAAAGCAGCGAGACGGTCTGTCCTAATTGCAACTGGATTAAACCAAATCGCAATCATTGTTCCAGGGACAAAACTTGTCTATCACTAGATTCAGAACGTTATATTATACCTTCATATATTGCATCATTATCCACTAGGAAAGCATTCTTGCTCTACCAAGCCGGGAAACATCACCTCCGCGAATATGTCTAGCAGCAAGAACCCAGCTAAAAATTCAAGGTAGGGAAAGGAGCCGGCTCCTCTCATAAACACTATAAGAGTAGAGTTAGAAGTATTAATATATAGAGTAAAGATCACTATAGTTATAGTAGAGGCTTTAAAAGTTAGATAACTTAATACTATTATAGATTTTAAGAAGGTAGTAATAAATAAAAAGAAGAAGAATTAAGTACTATATCTAATATTTAATTATCTATAAGTTCTTTACTTATATAAATCACCCTTTTTATTAATACTTTTATTTTAATAGAATTATATAATATTTCTATAAAAATATAAACAAGGTCTATTAAAGTATTTAATTATCTATTAAGTATATAGGATCCCTAAAGTATTAGAATCTAACGTTAAAGGTAATAGGGAATGGGGAGCAGACATTAAGAAGCTTATATGTTTCTTTCAAATTCCATGTCTTCCAGCCGACCCGGACTGTACAGGAATTTATAGATGTGGCAACACCTTTACTGCCATTCGAATACACGATTGTAGCCCGAACACTGGCACCAAAGTCGGACACAGCGTCAGCGGGACGAGGTCGCAATGCCGGGCAATCCGGGCGGGGCCAGGAGTTGAGGCAGCATCCTAATGGCTGCCGCGATTTCACGTAAGTTCTGCAACTTGCCGATAGTCATCATGCGGTATCTCTAATTTTAAATGCTAATCATATGCAGTGCTCAATTCTTCTACCATCTCCATCTTCGTGGCTTCGTTGGCTGGGAAACTTTTCTAGCTGAGGCTGCTTCGAAAGACTACGATCCGATCCAAGAAACTGAGGCCTTCCATCACATTATCGGCTATAGATATAGCTCTAAACGTGTCGACAAGGCCCCAATCGCGATAGCCAAGTTCAGAAATGGCTATACCCGGGTTGAAACTTGCACGGTTGCACTAATCATGCGCCCCGATGCTGGTCAGCTTCAACAGGAAGGAAACTACACGGTGGTGCTTCCGTACCAGAATCAGCCGCCTGCTGTGAAAACATTCAAAAGTGGTTCCAAATAGTTATTAGGTGGTTTTCTTTTAGAAAATGTTGTCAATCGAGTTGGCAGGGGGGGCCACAGCAGGTCTGTGGACCGGGTTTGTAGGGTGGGTGCAGATGCCCCGGTGGCATAGAGTATCAAATACAAGTACAGGTTTTCCCACGCATTCCCACAAAAAGGCTAGGATAGCTCTGTGGATGTCTAATCTTTGGCGACACTAAGAGATGTGAATTCACAAAGCCCTACAAGCTTCATTTACACATTCACATTGGCTTTTACAAGAGGAGAGCAGAGCTTTGCACCTAGAAAAGAGGGTGCACCTGTATAAGTATATCCCGATACATATGTTACCTGTAAGTCCTAGACGGGGATCTCCTATAGGATGAGGGCCTATTAGGCCTCACGAAGAGCACTTGAGCCCGACGACCGCTGCTTGGGCTGCGTACTAGAGCACTCGTCAATATCTCTAAGCATCGATCATGTAAGTTCCAAGCTAACAGACCGGTAAATGCAACGCGTAAGTCGAATGTTCATAGTCATCTCCTTAGATTCAACTAATCTTTCACATTGTGAAATAGTGGCCTCTATGCTAGGTACCTGTTCCGTGGCTTATAGTGGTCATATAACTGAACCGGCTTACATTAATGCAGGCATCACAATTGATCGGCGTCAAAAAGGGGGGGGGGGTTCCATGTGATACACTGTTACGCACCCGGGCCTGATCGTGTACCAGATATCATTGATACCTCTAGCGTGAGAAGTTGATTTTACATGATACCTGGCGGCTCGACCAGCAGCACTGGAGCCGTAGTGCGTTCACGGGTACGGCCGAGGCAGCAGTGACGCATAAGGGAAATCAATTCTTTTTGACGCAAGAATACAACTGTTGTGGAGCAGCTCTAGGCTAGCTCTGTGAGACACGGATGGTGCACCTAATTTGTTTACAATAATTTGCTTTCCAAAAACCACGTTAGTAGCACGTTCATGTACGTATTTATTAACAAAAAGGGTCAACTTTCTTCAACATAGCGGACACCCGAGCAAAGCTCACTGGGAACAAATCCCCTACGGTGCCGAGAGTATTTCATCCACAACGGATTTGACGACTTCATCCAGACTCTCCGGCTTCAGACCAAGCCGCTCGGGATCCAGAACCTTGGCCTGGTAGTCACCGCCATTCCCCTTGCCGAGGGTCAGTGCCATCAGAAGCTGCTGCCCCGCAGCCATGCCCGCGCCGCTCGCCATCTTATCCTCGCACTCCTTGACCACGTCCTCGCTAGGCCTCGCCGACACAGCCCAGTCGCTCTCCTTGGTGCCGGTGGCACGCATGGCAGCCGCCCAGATGTCCCGCTGGGTGATGTGGAACGAGCTAAAGTACACCCAGTCGTTCCTGAACTTGGCAAGCTCGTCCTCGGGCCACCCCAGGACGGCAGCGAGGCTCTCGCCCACGCGCCTCAGGGTGGTGAAGTTGGTCTTGGTGTCCCCGTCGTCGTACAAGGCAGCCGTTTTGGTGCTGGCGTCGACGCCCAGGCCGAACGCGCCGAGGCGCATCACGTACTCGAGCCAGAGCCCGTTGACGACGCCGATCCACGAGCTGACGCCGAGCTCCTCGACCAGCTCGCGGTAGGGCTGCTTGGCCTTCATGAGGGGCATGTGGTCGTTCAGCGGGGCCTTGGGGTCCGCGGCGAACTCGCAGGGCACGATCCAGCGGACGTTGGCTGCGGCGGCGGCGCGGAACAGGTGGGTTTGGACGTCGTATGCGCCAAAGGCCAGGGCGGCGATGAGGACGTCTTGGCCTTTTAGGGCGGATTCCAGGAAGGCCTCGTCGTTGTAGTCGCCGCGGTGCAGGGTCACGTTTTCCGGGACGGTGACGGTAGAGCTGGAGCGTGTGATCACGCTCACTTGGTGACCCGCTGCCACGAGGGCGTCCAAGATGTGTTTTCCGATATTGCCCGTGGCGCCGACGAGGGTGACCTTGCGGGTCTGTTGGACGGCCATGTTTGTTGAGCTCAGAGGGTTGCGATTTGAATAATGCGTAAATTGATGTTTCGACTGCTTGCTTGCTTGGTCGCTTGTGAATGTGGTCCTGATCTCGCGACTCCCTCAAAGGATTGGAGCCGAAGTGACGATTACTTATAGCAACTGCTTGTCGCACCGAGCCCAAACATACCAGTTGTCGCTTCCGGGCGAGTTCATCGGCATGTGAGCGACTCGGCGCAATTGCATGTGCGGCGACTAGTCCAATGAGCCCAGCTAGCCCTATTTTTGTCACAGAGACGCGACCCGGAGCAACATGATGGCTGGGTTACAAAGCAGGCCGGGAGTTCATGCCCGCTTACATATCATTCGGGCCGTGCAGTCTGTGAGCGCATTCCTCCGGCAGGACTCGGCGGTGTTCAGCCCCGAAACTAAAACCCCCGTTCCAATTTGTGTCTAGCTTTTGAAGACAGCAGAGTATGACCCGAAAAAGTACATGAATTATTACAATTCTATTCTGGTGGGGCCTCCGTATCTGCTGATAGCGAGACTCGTGTTGTTGACGCTCTCGAGCGCCGAGCTTCATTGGCACAGAGCAGGGTCACCTGCTGTTCCTACCAATGGCTTCCGCTGATAGGAGTGCAATGATTTATGCATGCCCTTCATACAAGACAACTGCATAGACTTATGCCGTCCGGGCATGTACTTGTGGTTCTTATCTTCGTGCCGGTGCAAGCCCTTGCGCCTGATTCTTTGTGATGATGAGGAAGAGAGAACTTGAGGTTTCGCAGAGATTGAACGGAATAAAGCGGCCAATCTGGCCGTCAGGCAGACTTACGCGCTTACGGCTCTGATCATCTCCTGCTGACATGTCATGAAAAAAAGAATGACACTCGGAATTTGGTGAAACAAGACATAGTACATACTAAGTACCCAGGCGGCCCCATCTATTGTTGCTTGTAAGCTATTGAGCCAGACTAGCGTTGCCCACGACTGATACTTGTTTTCAATGTTGCGATCAAGCATGTTGGAGAGGCTGAATTCTTGAGCCAAATAATTCATCTCCTTGGAAAGTAATATGCTCAAGTAGCGACAGGTCGCTTATTACTCGTTGAGCTTCTTGGTCCCATCGAGGTGCCCAACGCAGCCTGCCCACTGTCAACCAACACCCCCCCTTCCCACATCGCCCTTGATCCATCCCACCGAGTGGATGCGTGCCGACGACCCTCCCCGCCCCTCCCGCAGCCCAGAGCTCCAGAGGAGGCTCGACACGGGTCCGGCCCTGCCGCGCACCCGCGTCCTCGGCGTGGACCCAGGCTCCATGCCGGGCAACCTCACGCGCCTGGGGCCGTGGTACACCCGGCTCCTCATGTTCAAGCTCGTCATTCCGCTGCTGGCGCCGCTCACGGCGTGGCGGCGGACGTGCTCGCTGGCGCGTTCCGGGGCTCGCCGAAGCCGCGCCCATTCCCCCCCCCCCCCGGGGAGGGTAGTCGCGCGCCGAGCAGATGACGGCTGAGGCCCAGGACGTGAGGAAGAGGAGAGGCCTTGGGTTGAGACGGTGGGGTATACGCGGCTGAAGGAGGGCGAGACTATTTTGAGGAGTTGGGCGTAGGAAGCGGAAGGTATATTGGATGCTCTCGTCGAGACGGGGGGCCATGGGGCCGACGCCAGCTGCGAGCGCGGATTTGTTCCGCGCAAGCCAGGTTGGTTTGCTATTGAGACAAAATGCTGGCTTGGTCTCATTGACGCCGACATGTAGCTATTGTATGCACACTGGGCCGGCAGCAACGAGGGTCTGAAAGGCTTGTCATTAATGTGTCAAAATTGAATCCAGACTCATCAGATGTCGCTCTTGGGTGACTCAATGATGGATTGGGCCATTTTGGCCAAGGCTTTGTTCGGTACACCCTGCCTGCTCATTGGTTTTTTGATTAAACACATCAGCGTCACATTTGCTCAATGGCGAGAACATAGACTTTAAGACCTTGCCCCAAGCTTGGCAGCTGAATGCTCAACAAGGTCGCAGTCGAGTTGTTTGGAGTCCCTATTGTGTTCTAGACCAGGGTTCTGGTCACAGGACCACAGTGCATATCATATTCCTCGACAGTTCCGAAATTGGTGTAATTAGCTTTTCTATTGTCTTTTTGATGTAGCAATCCAAGACTTGCAATTCGTATTCTGACGAACATTGCAGCGTGTTTGGTAGGGTTCTAACTTTCCTTGTATAGACCTGCCAGGCACAATATTAGGTCGCATCTTTCTATGGAGATCAACCAAACCGATCCCTCGCACGTAAACCTTCGTAAACCTTCCCAACTAAGCGGATCTTTTTCTGGTCCCAAATAAGCCTCACATGTAAGACATGAAATGTATCCCAAACCGCAAAACCACGCCCATCCCAAGGGCAGCCATCCAGCGCTTGGTGTGTGCTCCCGCCCCCGTGCCCAACCCAGCTCAGCCGTCCATGCAAGATACCGAAAACGCCACCTCCCCGATGCAAGGGGATGTTGATAAAAATCCTGAAACCCACAAAAAGACCGAAACATTGGATCCATCAAAACCTGATCACGACGCCATCCATCTCACCCCGACCCACCCATCCCCCAACGTCCTCCCCCAAAAGCCAAAAAATGAACAAGAAAAAACCAAAAAAACCAAGCCCGCGATCATGAGCTCTCCTCGGCAATGCGCGCCTCGTCGGGCGCCACGGCAGCGGAACTCATCCGCCTGTGGTGCATGCCGCCGCCGCCAACAAGGTCGTCGTCGTCGTCAGCGCCCCAGCCGCCCACGCCAGCGCCGGTGCCGGCGGAGGAGTCGATGCTGCACCGGGGGCTGATGCCAGAGAAGCTGCTGCGGCCGCCGCGGCTGAAGCGGCGGCTGCGGCCAAACTTCATGGTGAAGGTGCCCAGCATCTCCTGGTGGCGCAGGTTCTGCTCGGTGAGGGGCCGCTCGCTGGGGTGCACGCGCTTGGGGAAGGCAGACCCGAACGGCCCGCCGCCGCCGCCGCCGCCTCCCCCGTTGCCGCCCGACCGCTTGAGGATGGACTTGGGCGGGGAGTCCCGCTTGGGCGAGGCCTTCCTGCTGGCCCCGCCCCCCGAGTCGCCGCTGCCGCTGCCGCCGTGGTCCTTGGCGCCGCTGCTGCCGCCGTGGCGGTTGTGGGAGGCGTGGGAGCGCCACGAGGTCATCTTGGACAGGTTGCCGGTGAGGCGGGACGAGGTCTTGGACAGGGGGACGCTCGGGGTGGGCGACGTGCCTGCTGGCGGGGCTGCTGCTGGCGGGGCTGTGTCATCGCCGTCGTCGCTCCGTGCTGTTGAGGATGAGGAGGAGAAGGACTTGCGCACCATGCGGTGCCAGGTGTCCCGGATCGCCATCTGGTGTGTGCGTTTTGTGCGTGGGTGTGTTTGTGTGGGTGCTGCTGAATATGCAGTTCGTCCGCTATTATGCAGGTTGAGTGCGCAGGATGATGACTCGCGCCCTGCTCTGGCTCAAGCTTCTCTCTGTGGATTTGTCGGTTGGATTTGGTGCGAGGGGGCAGTCGTTTGTTGCGAGTCCAGCTGTTTTCTCGGCCCAAGAGGGTAGGTGGGTAGGTAGTTAGGGCTGGAGGGAAAAGCTTGGTTGCCAATCGAGTTTGGATCTTGGACTTGGGCGATGAACGGACGGACCAGAGCTGGCGTTGAGGTGGACAAAGAAATCAAAGAGACGGACAGCAGGCGGACAGCAGGCGGACAGCAGGCGGACAAGCAAACGGGCCCGGCATCGCGGGAGGAAGGCGTCTGTATGTATAGATAGATAGACAGGCCGTAGACTCGAAACTCATGGGACGGAGTACACCTACCCCATACTACCCCCCCGTACTGCGCTACTCCCCCGTGCTCCCACACACCCACCCACACGAAGGTACCTGGGTACCTGGATACCTGGGTACTTGAGTAGCGTAGTGAGCCACTGGGGCTAGGGAAAGCCGCCGCTGCCCACACCACACCCACACACACTCCCTCGCTCATGCCCCAATTGGGCAGAGGCTTCGTCCCGATCGGGCATTGGTGTGCCTCCTGCCTTGGGCCCAGAGCCGCTGTTTCGGCCGCTCGTCCAGCGTCGTCCCTGTCGTCGGTTGTCCCTGCCTCCCCTCTGTGATGTCGCCTGCTCACTGGAAGACTGGCTGGCTGGCTGGCGGGTCAGGACTCAGTCAGGGCTGGGCTTCTCTCGCCTGTCTCGCTCCAACATCGGCGCTTTCTCCCAAAGCTGGGGATTGACAATCCACATCTACCCACAGTGGGGTAACTCTCCTCCTCGGCCTCTTCCAGTCTCGACCAGCTTCCTCACTGGGGGCCGGGGTGGACCCACTTTGCTGGGGGGAAGCGGCCCAGTTTTACAGGGGAGGACCTAGATCACACCCCAGACCCGCCGATCGGGGGTGGGAAGCTCACCAGGGCCTAGAACCAAGGGTTCGAGGTCGGCAGGTCGGGCTGGGTCGGCTGGGTCGGCCAGTGCTGCCACCCAGCCAGCCAGTCAGCCTGCGTGTGGCCCGAGCGCAACGTCATTTACGGGGCCGCCGTGGCCCGTGGGCAGACACATCCTGCCCAGCCAGGCCTGCCAGGCCCTGCCTGCACATCCTTCTCGGTACATGCGGTGGTCTGGCCGTCTGGGCATTTTCTTAAATGCCTGCAACGCGTGGTTTTTTCGTCCCTATGCTCGCCGCAGAATCTACTGGACAGGCGTCTTCTGCATCATGACAAGCTCATATCATAACATAGCTCTGCATGCAAAGTTCCCATGGCTGCATACATCGCCAACCCCCCAGGCATAACCGTCTCCTGACCTCTCCTGCTGTCTCGTCTTGACAGCTGCCGTGTGACCGCGTCAGTACGCGATCTCTGTGCCACCCGCACACAACGACGAGACACACACACACTCACTCACACACATATGCACAACGCCCCAAGGGTCCCCAATCCCACACCGGGGGCCTGGCAGGCCTGTCTCTCTTCTCGTATCTCCTTCCTCTGGCCGCCTCGGTACCACCCACCGAGACCAACTGACACAAGAAAGAGCCACGGCCGGACCCAAGCCATGGTTTTTGCCCCCCCCCCCCCAACAGATACAAAAGCCACAGCCGCTTTCCCGCGATCCCCCCGCCCAGGGCGTTTTTGTGTGATCGTGGAGGCATCGAGATACTTGAACATACCATCATCGCAGGATGAGAGGGGGCAAAAAAAAAAAAAAAAGAGGAATCCAGCGTCGGATTGATTTATTGAACGGCGCATCCGCGACGCGTGCGCGAGATTTTTTCCCCTGCTTTGCTTTACTTTCCTCTGCATGACATGTCTCGGCCACGCCCACTTACTTACTTACCTTGCTCTGTCAGTGGGCGGGCTGGTCTTTTTTTTCCTGCGCTACTGTAACCCCCCTTTCGCTTTGTTGCGATGGTGTGAGAGCATATGCGGGTGTAGGCGTGGGTGTGCTCGGCTTCGGTTTCGGCCGTGTACAATACACACATACACACACACACACATGTAGGACATCCCCGGTCCCCCCCTCCCCTGGCGGCGTGGGGTCTTGGAGTGGCAGAAATTTAGGGTAGTCTACTACTGCAGTCTGGATGGGGATCACCCTTTCCAGGGGCGCTGTTCTGGCCCCGACACCCGTCCGTCAGCCTAACTTCGGAATCGGCAAACTTTGACCAGCCTTGGAAGCCTTCCCAGCGTTGCATTCCGAAGGCACGGAAAGCATATGTGCCGTAGTAGGGTAATTAATTTTAGTGCAAGGAAATCATGTCCTAATAGTCTAATCCATGGGGCGTCGACCCCAGACGAGCCAGGCTGCGCTGGTTCAACGACATCTTGCGAAGACTGTCCACACGAGCGCTCCTCCTTAACTGCAGATTGGCTCATCGTAGCTCATCAACGGTGCGGGAATCCTCAATAACTTCACACTAGGAAATATTAAGGGGCCAGGCCGTGTACTCCCTACTGCACGCTTGGACTACGCACCAAAAAAGAACGTATGGTGGTAGTATCATCCCGCCATGACAAAAATATGGCTGACTGCCCATCCCACTGCAACGTCGGGTCCCCCCCTCCAGCCCCATCTCACGATAACAATAATAGTGCCCATGTCGAGAGGTTATGTCGAGAGACCATTTCCCACCCGACCCGGGGAAATGACCAGGCCAAAGCTCAACGGGCCAGGCACTCACCACCAAAGACGCCCGCGCTGCCTAGGCCCAACCCGCCCAGCGCGGTCAGGCCCCAGGCCACCGCGGCAGCCTCCCAGTCCACCTCCGGGCTCGGCAGCGAGTCCCCCTCCGCGCTGTTCCTGACCTCCTCCGCCGAGGGCTTGTACGTCTCGTCGCCTGGCTCCTCCTCCGGGTCATGCTTGACCTTCCTCGGCCGGCCCCTGCGCCGGGGCGCTGGAGCTGCCGCGCGGTGGTGATGGTCGTCGCCGTCCCGGCTGGTCACGCTGCTGACGCTGGGGACCCGCGCCTTGTGCTGCCTGCCGCTCCGGCGGACCGACCCGGACGTGGATGCCTTGTCGTCGTCGTCGTCGTCTTTGTCTGTTGCCTTTTCTTCTGAGATGTGCCCGCCGCTGGCGGCGTTGTTGGTGTCCTCGTATAACGGCACGGCTGAGGTGAGAATGTGGCTTGCCCTGAGGGACCGCACGGCGGCCCAGATCCCGAGGCTCAAGCCGCTCACGAGTACATCGTAGCCGACGGCCGCGACGACGGGGTGGTCTGCCATCGAGCCCAGGAGCTTCCCCGAGGCTGTCCGCGCTCGCTCCCACCTTGATCGCTCCTCGATATCCCATGGCAGCAATTTGCTGTGGCGGTGGTAGTGCGAGTCCGGAAGATTGTACCGGAGGCCAGTGAATGTTGTAACGCCGTGGAGTGCGAGACTCAGGAACGACATCAGCCTGAACAGGTCCGTGAAGGCGGAATCGGCCTTCTCGGGATGGGGGTGGACAAGGCCCCATGAGACGGGTGCCAGGCTCTGCAGGATCAAGGGAGCAAAGGTTAGGCCTCTCGCTGCGGCGACGACGCGGTTGAAGGTCGGGGTGGCCGCCGCATATGGTAGGTAGAAGATTCCTGCGTAGCTAAGGGCGATGGAGAGCAGGAAGACGCCTGGCTTCAATGACCAATTCTGGGGTTTGGGGGGCGATATGGTGTCACGGACACGAGTCCATCTGCAGAGGAAGCCATATCAGTACAGTGAACAGCTTCTGGCCCGCATTTTTGTTTCATTTACCTTGTGGTTGGCTTGTCCACAGCGGGCAACGGCGTCGGCGTCAAAAGCAAGGCCACGTAGAATAGGTTCTGCGCGAACGAGAGGCTGACCAGGTGCGCGAGACAGAGGAAGGCAAATAGATTCGGAATCCTGCGCCTCATGCCCTCGATGGCCAGGAGCACACTCCAGGGGACCATAGCCAGGTCGATCTGCTGACCCCACCAGAACCGCCGCGCCTTCTCGGCGACAATCTCGAAGGCGTCCTGGTAGATTGGCGTGTCTGCCAGCCAGCGGATTCTGTAAATTGCTAGCTCCGTGGCATTCGGTTGGCCGGTATTCGTCAAGTTGGTGGTGACATTTCCAGTGACATCATCCAAGATGCTGAGAATCAAGAGTCAGTTCGTCGAGTCTTACACATACGAGCTCACAAAGGCGACTGACCTGGTTTGGGCCTTGGGCAAATAACCCCTGGCATCGGCCCAGACTTGGTATGAGAGCTGGGTGTAAGTGTAAGCAGAGTAGATGGCGGTGCCGAGGCTCAGCAGGGCCAGCCCGGAAAACAGAGGCACGAGCTTCCTTCTTCTGTCCTGGCGCAACCTGACATCCTGGGCGGGAGATAGCGACTTGTACGAGTGGGCGAGGCTGCGCGCGACACTGAGGGTGAAGTAGATGGCGCTCGAGGCATGCAGAGCCACGAGGGCTATGCCCGTGTAGCTGTTACTGAATCAGTGGCGTGCAAGGGTGTCGGTGCCCGTAAACGGAACCCACTCACCTCAACCTTGGCTCCAGTGGAACGGGAGCCATGATCACGACCCTCTCGGACGACAATGTTGATGTAGCAATGAAACGGAAAATGACCTGGCGCACAGGGCTTGGTCAACAAGAGACGCGACTGAAAGCTGCATATGACGTTGCGGGCTACCAAGCAGGATCGCGTGCCCTTGTGGTAGGGTAGGTTGCACGAATTAGGAAGTCATGGATGTAGAGGGACTTTGGGACACTGCAGGGAGACGGGCGAAAGTCATGTAACGCTACTTCCACCTGCGCCAGGGGCTTACATGTGGTAACTGCCAGATGGGCCATACCCCTGTCAGTGCTCAGAGCACCCCGCGCTGAGCTTCTTCAGTGACAGGTTGCCGCATCTGCAGTGCCTGGCACCCTGCATCATCCCTATCCCGCGATCGATTGTCTGGCATCAGACTGTGGTCCCCGGAGGACCTCAAGTTGTTATTCTACAATGTATCATCTGGCCAAGGGTCTCTACCTGCTGGCGACCAGCAAGGAAGGTACAACATCTTCATTTACTAACAAATCCATGCCCCCCGATCCCTACAGCCAGCTGACCTTGTCCCCTGGCGGTGGTGCAGAATACTCGGTGATCCTCCTCGGTCTCGACAATGCCGGCAAGACCACCTTCCACGAGCAGGTCAAGGCGCTCTTCCTGCCCGACGCCCCCGAGCCCAAGCTCAACACGGTCCCCACCGTGGGCCAGAACGTGTCGACCATCTCCCTGCCGGACATGTACGTGAAGCTGTGGGACGTGGGCGGCCAGCTGTCGCTGCGCAAGCTGTGGCAGAGCTACTACGCCTCGTGCCACGCCATCATCTTCATCATCGACAGCACCGACATCGGCGACGGCCGCCTCGACCACGACCAGACGGGCCGCCTGGACGAGTGCCGCCTCGTGCTCGAGGACGTCCTGCAAAACAGCGAGACCGAGGGCGTGCCGCTGCTCATACTGGCCAACAAGCAGGACAGGGAGGACTGCGTCGAGGTCGTGCGCATCAAGGAGGGCCTGGTCAAGAAGGTGTTTGAGGGTGAGAAGGCGAGCAGCATCCGCGACTCGAGGGTGCTCCCCGTGTCTGCGCTGACGGGCACCGGCGTGAGGGAGGCGATAGAATGGGTGCGGTCACGGGTGAAGTGGAACAAGGAGTCTAGGCCGCCCGTCATGCGGTGAGGCTGTCCTGGACATGGCATATTACAGGTTCAGAGGCGGCAAGGCCGTCCAGGGAGAGGGAGACATGGAGTTCAGGCGTTGCTGGTTGGGTCACCACACAAGCCCGGGGCTGGTAAGCCTGTTGTTGTTGTTGTTGTTATAGAAGTCTTTTCAATACCAACTGTTACTGAGTTGCATAGCCAAGGGAAGCCAAGGGAATCCAAGGGGTATCACGATTTTGTCTAGACCTCAACCTGCCTCTCATTCTCTGCCGACAGCTCCGCCAGCAACCCTCCCTTGTCTCTGCTCTTGGCATCCTCCGCGAGCTTCTGGTCCACCAGGGTCGAGAACTCCTTGGCCTTGGTTAGCGCGACGCTCGCGCACTGCAGCAGCGCCACCGCGTCGACGGGCGTCCCCCCGAGCTTCGCGATCTGGCAGATCTCGCCGTGCCTGTTGAGGCTGATGGTGCAGCTGCCGACGCGCACCTGCTCCTCGGTCCAGTCGGCGTCGACCAGCGTCGTCTCGGCCTCGTCGCCGTAGAAGCTGAAGGTGACGCAGAAGGGCGAGTGCAGCCAGCTCAGCGGGACGGGCTCCCTCTCGGCAGGCGTGTAGACGGTCAGCACCTCGCCCTCCATGCTGGTGTCGGGCTTGCGGAAGTGCCGCAGCGAGGCCACCACGGCCAGGCACGCCGCGTCGACCAGGTTGCCGTCGTGCGACAGCACGTGCAGGTCCACGCGGACCGACCACACCTTCTGCCCCGCCACCAGGCACAGCGACTCGACGTCCAGGGCGCCCGACCGCCGCACCGTCTTCTCCAGCGTCCGCGACAGGAGCACCTCGGTCTCGGTGGGGCGGTTGACCTCGAAGGCGGGCGAGGCCATGGGGCTGAGCTCGGTCACGATGTTGAAGACGCCGTCGAAGGGGCGGTCGGGGTAGGGGACTGTGACTTCGGCCGATGTTCTGGCCAGGACTCTGTTGTGAGACAATTGGTGTCAGCGGGCGATCTTGTGCTGTTGCGGAGATTGCACGGCCTTCTGGGATGTTCATCTTACCTCGTCTTGCCGAGCCTCACCTCGGCGGCGCCATACTCGTCGCCAAAGCTGAGCTCGATCGGCCTGTAGTCGTCGAAGCCGCGGTTGTCGAGCCGCAGGTGTTCTTGAAGTGCCTGCGTGACAAACGCCTTCTCGTTCAGGGACGGTTCTGCTTCACGGGGCATCTTGATTTCCGTGCTGGGCCAGAATCCTTCAGGTAATACCTCTCATACCTGAGGCCGCGGCCGGTGTCCAAGCTTTGGCGCAGCTGGGCTCTGGGGCTCTTTGCTCTGGGCCTGCAGAAAGTTTTGGGCCGGGGTGATCTCATAGCGGCGGACAGAGCATAATTAATTCTGCCGCTAGGCGGTGGGACTTTCACCTCCAGAGTTCCACTGCAGGGGTAGGGGGGCCCAGGAACCCAAGAGTTCGGCCGGCGGCGCGACTGCAACCTTCAAAGACAGACACCCGCCAACAACTCCAAGAACACAACGCCGCAACTCAACCTCATCCTCCCGCAACCGTCGCTCCTAGTTCTGCGGCTGGCAACATGACTACCGCCCACAGGCCTACCTTCGATCCCGCTCGTGGCAAGGAGACCCTCCGTGGTCCAGCCTACCACCAGCGTCTCCTGCCCGCACACACCCAACTCAAGTTCCGGTAGGCCAATCAATACAGCTAGTTCTTCTCTCCTCCTCTTGCCCAACTAACTCACACCTGCAGAAAACCAGGTCAAGGCGGACGTGCCGACCGTGACACCCGTGATCTGCGCGCGGAACTCCTCGCCGCGGAGCAGGCACACCACGCCAAGCTGAACGGCGGCCCCCTTCCACCAAGCAACGGCGACGAAGACAGTTCCGAGCCCACGCCCGCCAGCCGAAGCGCCAAGCACGCCCTCGAAGCCGGGTCGGCAGCAGCAGACGACGACGGCGAGGACCCAGAGGCAAAACGGCGGCGGATAATAGAAGAGACACGGGACATCGACGCAGACGACTCAGACTCCTCATCCTCGGAGAAGGATGACGGCGGCGACGACGATGATGATGACTCGGATAGCGACTCGGACAGCGACGACGACGAGGCAGAACTGCAGCGGGAGCTGGAGCGGGTCAAGCGTGAGAGGCAAGAGAAGCGCGAGCGGGAGGAGCGGGAGAAGGCCGCCGCGGAGGCGGAGGAGCGCGAGAGGGAGATCGCGAGGGGGAACCCGCTGCTGAACAACAACGGCGGCGGCGGCGGCGGCGCAAAGACCGATTTTACAGTCAAGAGGAGGTGGGACGACGACGTCGTGTTCAAGAACCAGGCGAGGGGCACGGAGGACAAGAACAAGAGCAAGGAGTTTGTGAACGACCTGCTGCGGAGCGACTTCCACAAGCGGTTCATGAGCAAGTATGTCAGGTAGTGGGTCATGGACCGTGGGAGTAATGCAGGGAGGACAGCACGGCCGATCTCGACGTGTTATGGAGCTCCGTCCGACAGGCACTTCGGGGGTGGGCCTCAATTATGAACTCATGCTGGGGAGCGAGCTGCGCCGTGACGGTCAGATGATCTAGGAGATGACTCGTCAGGAGCCGGGGCATGATCACAAAGAGGGTGGTTATATTTACAAGAGCGGCATATTGTTGGTAGACGAACTGAAGAACAAAGCCGAACTGCCTCATTGAGCTTCGGATTGGATTCTGTCCATCCTGTCCAAAGTCGCGGCAGCCTTGTTGATGGAAACAACACTCCGTTGAATGGCTCTCACGCTATTTATGAGGATGGCTTGCAACAGGCAATCAGGTCAGCACACTGCGGCACCCTCCCAGCACGCCGGGCCGGGCGAAACTTACCAGCGGGGACGACCACCCAGGGCGCATTAAACCCAGCGTAATAGACCCAAAAGTATAGGAATTCAGGCCGACTGTACACGAGACCCCTGTATCTCTCATTGGCGTAGCACGTCGAGTAATAAAGGGCCACGCCGTACAGGTGAGCCAGGCTCACGATGATCTGCAGCGGATATCGCAGGCCGCCGCCGCGGCAGATGGACACCGCCGTCGCAAAGCACAGTGGGCCCCACACAATCTGTTCATTTTCTCAGTCATCAGCGGACAGGGTCGTGTTGAGTTTATGAAAAGTAGCATACTGCCGTTATTGCCTCGACGCATATCATGAAGGGGTCCGAGGTGAGGTATCTCGAGTCCGACAGGGCGTACTCCTTCCACAGCTGGGCGAAGAGGTCATTCGAGCTTGCGAGATGGGCGTGGTTGAGCACGAAGTATCCTGAAGTTTCACAGAAGTGTGTCAGAGAACACTTGGAGCGAATGATTCTCAGTCATTGAGCTTGGGCACGTACCTTCGAAGAAGCAGTGGAGAGAGCCGCCTTCATTCCTATGTTAACGGATGCAGCCCTCAAACAAGCAACAGGACGGATGACTTGCATAGAATGAACCATCCGAGAACAAATTTATCATATGGTCTCATCTGCGGGTTAAAACGTGTCGCAAGCCATAGTGCCGTGAGCATGGTGGTGCTCAACAGACTCGCGAATGTCACAAGCAGCTCCTGGACAGGACTGGCATTGGGGATGTAGTGTGGGATATCGGCGTCCTGGGGGAAGTATGGGTGGCCTGTCACCGACAACGTCTGGGCCATTCTCAATGTCTACTGATTCATTTATGCAATGCTGTCGTGCGAGTCTGTCTCCAAACTGCCCGTCTATAGCCAGACATCTTGGGGAAGTCTCCAAGGTTGTGACAGGGGGGTTGCGGGTTAGGGCTTTTACGCCTAAACACATCACAGCCGATAATTTCGGTAAAAATATCCGGATTCATGGGGGGGGGGGGATTCCAGGCCACCGTCAACTGATCCTTCAAAACGATCTCAATGCAGTTGTCACGAGAGGGAAAACAAAGAAAAGGCAAATGTCTTCAATATCTCAATTGTAGTTAAGTCGGCGCTATCTTCTTGTAAGGGGTAATGTTTGAGAGGATTGCGATGTAAGAATAAGCTTATAAGTCTCTCCAATCTAGACCTAGCGAAGATTTTTGTTCCCTACATGCGAGAGGAAGGCTAGGGTCCTGAAGTGGGTGGGCGATTGTTGGTTCCAGATGTCCCCAACCACCCATGCGCACACTCGCAGCAACCATGGTACAACTTTCTGTAGCGAAGTACTTTCAGAGATAAAACCTATAAGATATAGACGTCCGTGAGTGGTTTCGCTTCTATTCCGTATATGTCGAAGCCATACACGGCACCTTCATACAATGGTATGGACCCTTTACACAGTGGTAAACGCTCAAAGACCCAGCGTTTGAAAAACACAATAACAGCAACTTATTAAGAAGACTATGCCTGCTTAAATAACCTCAGCCTCGTGCCGTACAGACAAGACCAGGAAGCATTGCTCCTCACGGCGCTGCTGACTAGGAGGACGGCGAAGAGTCATACCAGTTGACGGCAAAGCAGTCATGCGGCGAGACTACAGAGGTTGGTGGAAAAGCGACATGGGAGGAGCGAAGTTCTCATTCTTACAGGGGCTGGAAACTTCGTGGGTTGGTTGGAGAGACCCACAGACTAGATTACAAAATGGATCATGGTCAGGCAGAGGCCATGCACATACTGGAGCTATGGCATTCCCACCTGGGCACTTACGTTTGTTGTCTATGTATAGGCGCGTGAAGATGTTACATGCTGTCTTCCTCTTGACATACAACCATCATTAAATCTTTGTTGAACAATCGAGGAATTGTGTATTCCAAATTATTACGAGACTCAATCAACAATCCTTACCCATCATTTCCTCGACAATGGGAACAATCACCCCGCCCGTGGACGGCAGTCTGCTCAGCTCAAGCCCTGATGAATCTACTTGGCAAGTAGACATGGAAGAGCTTATAGCGGCAGCAAAGGCATACATGGAACTATGCAACAGCCGAGACTATCGCGAAAACATTGGAGGATTTCCATTCACGCCAAAGGTCCCTCCTCCTGGAGTGACTCGCCTCTGGGTAAAGACACATGCTGGAGAGCCCACACTTGAAGGGGAATGTGACACACAGAACTACGTACATGACGAAATCACCAAGAGAGACCCGCCGATAAGTCATGAGTTCCATGTGCCCAAGGTTTACGCTTATGCGGAATTCGATATTGAGCAATTTCCTTACAGTTGCATCGCCATGGAGTTTGCCACGGGGACCCCTCTCAGCACTATCATGCGGCCTACTCTGCGGTCAAAGGATTTATCGGAGTCAGCTAAGAATGAAGTGCTCCGCCCGTACAAAGACAAGGTCGCCCGTTTCTTATCTTTCCTCCTCTCTCTCGAGCCGCCGCCCGATACCGCCCCAGCCCCTGTCAACGGCGGCCGAATCCAAAACTTTGTGTTCGGCCGTGATAATCACGATGCACCTTGCATTTTCGACACGCTGGAGCAGCTCCAGGACTGGGTCAATCGAGAGAACGAGAAGGTACGTTTTAGGAAGGGCTGTCATGAAGCCTTGACTAACATTCTCGCCACGTGTAGATGAAACTCAACCCTGATCTCACAACGGCCGACCTTGTATCAGAGGGCCTCAGGCTGTGTTACTGTGATGTCGGCTTCCATAACTTCCTGCTGGAGGACCCTGACGATCCAAATAGCCGATTGACAATCATCGACTTCGAACACACCGCCTGGCTTCCCTTCAGCTTCCTAGTATGGGCGCTGTGGGATAAGAGGGAGGTGTACATGGTGGATCAAGTTACATCACAGACCGGGATGGGGATACCGAGCGGAAATGTTGAGGCTCTTCACAACATATTTCTACAGCGACGGTGGCTCTAGCTATGTGTGCAAGTGGCAGGCGATACACATGTAAGGTGCCTTAGGAATGATCATTATGCCAGTCATACGGCATCCTAGGATCTGTAATACTATATAAATACGTATGAGCAGAAGGCTGTCAGGACTTCTTCCACAGCAGTAAGCTGACATATTTAATCTTTCTTATACTATATCAAATTCCCGCACACCTGAGCTCAATTTCTCTAAATCCTCCGCGGTGAGCTTAAGTTTGGCGTAGGGATCCTGTTGCTACTCGCTGTGAAATTCCGCTGACGAACAAGGAAACAAGACTTCAAGCCGCGGGTCCATCAGCGAGCGTTCCCTGGTCCGGGCGTCTTCCCAGCACGAATGGACGCCCCATTCCCGGCTCGAAGCATAGACTCTGCGGATGTCTGGCGGCAACGGACCCAGTAGTTCTTCCCCTTCAGAAATTCCGAGCGCATAACACTCGCCTACTATACGGAACTGGTCCTCCCCATGAGGCCGGAGAACCATGGGCGTGTGGCACCCGATGAAGACGCAGACAATGTCTCCTTGCCGGGCCAGCGGGGGTGCGATCCCCAGATGCCCGCCGCTCGTGTGCATCAGCTGCCTGCCTCCTATCATCGCCCGCGACACGCCAAAGAAGCCGGTATGTGGCCCCAAGGACTCGTCCTCGAGATCTCTTTGTGCCTCGGGCCGGTAGAGGTCTTCGAGCGTGCGCATTGCGTCCTCTAGGCCGGGCTCGTGGCCGACCCACGGCTCTCTGTGCTCTGCTAGAGCATTGGCAAGGATTGTCCTCGTGTATGCCTCCTTCATGGTGATCCCGGTCACGTAGTCGCCAGTCAGCTCGCTCTCCGGAATGAGTTGCCGGATAGCGTCCGCGACCTCTCTGATGTGTCTGGCTGTCAGTATGTCCGGCACAGGCTGCAGACGTGTGATCGTCATCGTCGAGGTGCCTGTCAGGGTCAGGGTGCGACGGTCGGGGGACAGCGTGCAGACAGCTGCTAGCTGCGACGAGGCGAGGCCCCTCCAGAACATCCTCCCGAAGATGGTTTCCTTTTTTGACCAGTCCGGTGTCCAGCTGGGCACATCCGGCCCATCGTCCGGCTGGGGTTCGCACTGGCTCAAGAGGTTGCAGCATTCAAAACGGACGATCCACCGCCACAGGACATCCCGGAAGACAGTACCAAAATCCTTCGTGTAGTCCGGGATACCGACCACCTCCCTCTCCGCCTCGGGCAAGAAGTTCAGCACCGCGTAGACCCTGTCCCGCCTGTCCGAGCAGCTGGACTGTCCAAAGGCGACACGGATGAACCCGAGCCCCACCGTCGACGGTTGCCCGATGAAGCCCCTGAGGAGAAGGATCCGCTCGTACAGCCTGGTCTCATACTCGCACGGCGGACGGTGCCTGTTGCTCTTGTAGAGGCCCACCAGGCCGCGCCGGAACAGAGGCCACGCGACAGCACAGGTCCCGCACTGGACCACGGCCTCTTTCTCGAGGGCGAGGATCTCCTGGCGGATCCAGAGCCGGGAGAACCAACCCCGGCAGAGGAGATGGTAGATCGAGCGGGTGTCCTCGGGGGTAATGAGGATGGTCCCGTCTGGGTTCATCTTCGGCATCGGGGACGAATAAGCCTTGTTTTCTGGGACGCCCACGTGCTTGAGCCACGCTGGGAACTCGTAATCGACGTGCGTGCCCATGCGGGCGATGAACCTCAGCGCGCGGGTGCTCTCGTGCTGTTCTGGGCCGAGCCAGGCGATGACGTGGGCCGCGAAGCTGTAGATGGCGCCCATCTGCGCAACCTGGGGCCCCTTCTCGAGATCGTTGGACTGGTCGATGCATAGCGCGTCAATCCAGAGCCTCCGCGGCCTGTCTGGGTACCGCATATTGCGGAGGGCGACGGCCAAGTTTCGCGTCACTGAGACCACGGTGGTCTTTTCTTTTCCAACGTAGACCGAGAAGGGAGTCTGGTCCGTGTCCCAAACGTATGAGACTGCTTCATAGTAGAGTGGTCCGTCAGGAACAATGGGCGTCGGGTTCAGGTCCACCACCAGGTCCTCATCGGTCGTGCCCGCAGGATGCAGGCTGACGAGCCTCGTGTGCCCGGTGGAGGGTAAGGGAGGGTACCGGTACTGGTTCACATCGGCTGTGTCCTCCGCATTGTCCTGTCTGTCCGGCTTTGAGCGGGGTATAGCGTCCATCTGGTTCGACTGTGAGGTGCCCGCAGGTCACTGTGTCGATGAAACGTGCTGTGCATCTGCTCTTGGGAGATTCAACCAACAAACCCCAAGAATACGTCTTGCATAGGTCGTGTGAGGATCCTCCGTTGCCTCGGTTTGGCTCACCTCAGAGATATATCACAACCCTAGAAGTAGGCCGGGGGCTCTGTTATGGGACAAGATCCAATAGCATTTGGAGCCTCTTTGCCTGTCCACCGAGGCAAGTAGGAGGCCAGCGAAATCAGAAATGCCATCCACGCAAGTTATCTCCTGCTGTCTGCGAAAAGGAAGTGCGGTGCCCCTGTCTGAAATCGAGTCATGCACGGGCCTTTGCAATTCACAATTAAAATGAAATTAAAAATTAGTGATGAGTTTTCGAAAGCATAGTGCATTTAGTAATGCTGTTAAGAAGACCATGTTTAGACCTGAAATTTGGGTATCAAGCTCTTTTTAGAATGGGTGAGTTTTTGCTGTGAATTTGCAAGTTCAATGCGGAGGGAGGGGGGATTTCACTTCGATTTCCCAGACAGCGTCAGCTGCCACTGTCTCTGAAAAACGAGAGTTGCCCCCCCCCTGTTTTATGACCCCTGTCAAAATTTTTAAAGGTTTATTAAAAAGTAGTCTTCTTTTAATAACTTTATTACTACTTAACCTAAAAATATATAAAAAATATATTTATAATCCTTATTAAAACTTCTATATAATAATATTTTTTAAATATTTATTATTAAATCTTTCTTATATAAGGTATAAAGGTTATTAGGTTGATAAGATAAGTAAGTGTACGGACCTACTAAGTAGTTTAACCTACAACTCTAGGAATATATAAACTTTAAATAAAAATTATTTTAAAAATTGTCTTTTATAAAGACTTTTATAAGGATTATAAATATATTTTTTATATATTTTTAAGTAAAGTATTAATAGAGTTATTAAAAGAAGACTACTTTTTAATAAACGTTTAAAATTTTTAACAGGGGTAATAAAACAGGGGGGGGGCAACTCTCGTTTTTCTGAGACAGCAAGTCTCCGGAACTTGTTTTGCTTTTCGCGCTAAAATGAGGAGGGTGGGCGAGAAACTAGAGCCAAACTGAATGCCTATAGCGGACCTGCTTATGTGCTTCTCGTGTAAGAATCACTCATGATGCTGGCCTGTGTCGACAATGACAACAGATTCGCACTAGGGAAACCACCGTGAAAACCATGAGGCACACGGAGTCCAACACCGTATGAAGCGCGCCATGTATGTCCTCGGACGTATACGGAATAGAAGCGAAACCACAACCACATAGTAAAAAAAGCGTAGATTGCTTGTAGGGAAAACTCTGGGATGCTTATGCGCTGTAGTGGCTACGTGCACCAGAACCTTCGACGGCAAAGGGAAACGAGGCCGAGGTAGAAGCAGAGATAAGGCAGGCTGTCGGAGCTCACACCGATGTGAATTACTTACTTTTCATGACTGAACTGCGCGGCCCAGTGGGTTTCCAAGCAGCCTGCAGTTCATTTCGGGGACCGCATTGATGGTAGCACTTGTTCCTTGTTGAGAATTATCCATTTCTATGATAACGTATGCCCTATAAAAAATAATTTTCGGCTTCTCTTAAGCCTTATTAGTATCGTTAACTACACGACACGAAACCTAAAGACTCCCAAGATTCATTGTGCTTTCTCACCGCCGTCAGGGGTCTCCTGCTCTGGTTTTGTCTTCTCATCTAGCCCATAATTCGTCTCCAACTCTGTTCTCAGCGGGACGTGTTTCTCTATTGCCACTGCGACCAAACCAGTAGCGCCAAAAGCCATGGCCCCGAACCAAACAGCCTTCAACGCCTGCAAATAGACACCCAAAACCTCAGATCGTACTGTTGGCTCCAAATTCTGGATATAGGGGTCGCTTGCGAACTCATATGCTTTTCCCCAGCTGAGTGTCTCTCTCACAGTAGTATTGGAAACCTGATATGAGAGCTCGTTGAAGCGATTGTTAAATAAGATCCCCGGGATTGTGACTCCCCACACGTAGCCAAAGCTGCGGAGAAATGAATAGACACCAGTGGCCGTGGCAACGTCTTTCTCTGACAAGCCAGCCAGTACGGCAGGTAGGGTCGTTGGGAGGATGCACGCCCGGCCCAGCGCATCTACAATCTGCAGCATGGCCCATCCACCAGCATGTGTATTCCTGCTCAGTAAAGTGTTGAGGCCAGGTCCAAGCGTGCTCAAGATAAACCCAATAGCATGCAAAGGGCGATACCGGCCAGTCTTGGAGAGCACGATGCCGGCGACGACAGAGCCAGGAATGAGAACAAACATGAAGGGCATAAAATTGACCCCTGTCTGGGTGAGCCCATTGCCGCGGACCGCAAGGAAGTAAAGCGGCCAGAAGAAACAGACCCATTGAAGCAGCATCGATGTGACGAAGATCATGTAAAAGGATGCCGATGAGGTTCTGTTGTAGAAGACGTGTGGGGGTAGGCAAGGGTTCTTTTCCTTGATGAAGTTCTCGTATGCGTGAAACGCAGCCCACCCAACAAAGCCCACCACAATCGGGATGATGATCCGCCATGAAGACCACGCATAGATGGATCCGCCAAAGGTAAGACCGATGAGGATTGACATGATGGAGCCGATGAAGATAATGTTACCGATCCAATCTATCCGGCCAATGGCGTCTTTCCACGGGATCGAATGATGCTTGATTCGAAGGAGTTTGACTTGGACGGGAATGACGAGGCCACAGATTGGAAGGTTCAGATAAAAGCACCAACGCCAGTCCCTATCTGCAAGGGCACCGCCCACAATAGGTCCCACAATAGCCCCAAGTGCAGCGGTAGATAGCACTATACCAAGATATTTTCCTCTTTCTCTCAGTGGCACCAGGTCGCAAACGATCAATTCTACCAGCAGCATGATCCCACCGCTACCGAGGCCTTGTACGGTGCGGCCAGCGATGATCGTGGCTGTATTGTTTGCACCACCAGCAATGCCGCTGCCCAGTGCAAATATGCAAACACTGATGATCATGGGCCAGCGGCGCCCAAATATGTCGCACAGCTGCGCCAGCCCAGGTTGGATGACCGTTTGAGCAAAGAGGAAGCAGTTTGCAACGTAAACATAATTGTTGCCGATTTGTAGAGTGGACGAGATTCGCGGGAGCGCGATGGCAATTCTGGATCCGTCAAGCGATGCTGTGAAAGCAATGAGGCACAGCGAGGCTATGAAGAGCCAGAACGAAGCGCTATGTGGAGCAGAATCTGGTGTGGTATCGTGCCCTCCCGGAACAGCTTCGGACGAAGACTTCAAAGACGGCATTGAAACTATACAAGACGACGGTTCAGGACTGTTTGGTCTTTGATCAAAAGGTGACATGAGGCACAACGAAACCATCAGAGAAAGAACTGAGTAAGGCCCAAGGTAGAGTAGGCTTTGGGTGAGAAAAGGGGGTTTCTCGCATTCTGAGCGTGGGTGACTGGGTACTTGAACAGCCACATGACACACTCAGAGTACTTGAAACCAGAACAATATATACTTAGGTACCTGCCTCGGCCGGTTAAATGTTATCTTAATCTTGGCAGCCCCCATACCGTATATTAGTAGGCATAGGGGGTAGTCACTGTAAACTTCTTTTATTTATTTAATTCTTATTTCTTTAAAACTAATATTAAAAAGATTTAAAGTAAATAGTAGTTTTATAATATAAGTAATATTTTAACTATTTAATAATTTCTTTATAACTAAATAAATTTATAAAACAAGAGTTATTAAAAGAAAAGAAGGTTATAAAGAAGTGTTTATACCTTCCTTTATATAAAAAGAGAAAGAGTTCTTTCTTTCTTCCTTTCTTCCTTCCTTTAACTTTAATATTAAGTCCTTTACCTTCCTCCTTTAAATTAGTTAGAATCCTATATTTAAAGATTTTAAAGTAGGGTTATTAAAGGTAAACTTTTTAAAAGGAAAGCTAATAGAAGTAAAGTTAATAAAAGTTAAAAACTTAAAAAAGATTTAATAAAAAGAGAAAGGAAAGGAATCTCTTTTAGCTAGTTAATATATTTAAATAGAAAACCTACCTTTAAGAATTTAAAAAAGAGTTACTTAAAAGGAAGGAGTTTTTTAAATAAGTTTATTTTTAAATTAAAAATTAATCCTCCTTTATAATTACTTTTAATATTTAAAGTTTATTTAAATTCTTAAAGATTTTATTTAAGTATAACTATTTATATTATTTTAATTATTAGATTAGAATAAATATTTTAATAATAGTTTTAGGTATTAAGAAAGGGCTTTAGAGTAAGGAAATAACCTAAAAGCCCTAGGTCCTCCCAGTAACCCTCTCGAGTACGCACCAAAGCACGGTATGGCCGGGAGGTCGCAGCGCAATTGGTTGCCGACGGACCCTGGGCATGTAAACCAACCCCCTTTTGCCAAGCGAGCGTTCGCGGATGCGCTTTGTAGGTTGGTTCGCAAGAGGACATTGCAGCCAATGATCCGGCAGTATCCGAAAGAAGGAGACGGACGCTTACAGGAGTGGTGCCGATGATCAGTTCAAAGCCCATGCGACGCTGGCGCCTGTGGCGACCCTTCGTGGCCGCAGCAATCAGTGTCAGGAATAGGAACATCATGTCACAGCCTGGCCCGCCTGCGAAGTTGTCCGGCAGAGTGGTTTCGTTTTTAATCCCCACACATGTAAAATGTCCGGCAGAAAAGTGAGGAATGGGCAACGCTTGGGTGCGGGTGATTTCCCCACCCGCAGCTAATAATTACCTCAATACAAACATACCACGCATGATTGGTCTTGTAATACCACACACCCTGCCAAGATGAGACCAAATCTCACCGGTCCCCGCCAACAGAGTCGGGCCATCCTCAATACTGGGGACGAGGCTCTGCTCAACTGTATGCTGGGCAATGTGATCGTTGCGTTCTTGTTAGGTCGCTTTAGCGGCTCTAATTTCCGTGCCGGACGCGTCAGTACTGGGCACCTGGGCGCATCCATCCCCAACAACCCACTTCCTTTAACGTTATCCCTTTGCAACTTACACCTCCTCCTCATTCACAGAACGTACTCTGCGAACAGTTCGCCACTTGTTGAATCGTTTTAGATCTTTCGTCGTTTCGACCATGGCGCTATTCACCGTGCTTACCACTGCAGGCGTCTTGCTATGCACTTCTTTCGCATATCTTGTCCGCACCGTCTACAATCACCGAAAGAAGATCAATGACCTTCGGAAGAAAGGCGTGGTGAGTGTCTTCCATCATACTAGTTCCATATTTCCCTCTAAACACTCGTGTCTTTGCTAAGGTCAATTGTAGCCCATGCCGAAGGAATGGAGCTGGGTGACGGGCCACCTACTTGTGTTGCAGAAATATGTTGACCGAATCCCCCCGGACGCAGCCGTAGGGTTTGCCATGAGGGACCTTTCCCAGGAATATGCCGACACAGAGTTGTTTCTTATGGATTTCTGGCCAGTTTACCCTGCTCTATACACAGTATTCGGCCCCCAGATCATCGACACAATCTGTAACAAGTATAACCTCCCAAAAACACCCACCGCGGCTGCCACGATGAAGCCAGTCACTGGGGGTCCCAGCCTCATCTCGATGAACGATGAAAAATGGAAGTACTGGAGATCGTTATTCAACCCTGGCTTTAGTACTGGAGCTATGTTAAATAACGTCCCTCATATTATTGACTCGGTACTGGTATTCCGCGAGAAACTGGTTGAGAATATTGGCAAGGGAAGGTTCTCACTGGATGAGTTCACGACGAAGCTTACTATGGAGGTCATCCTTAAAGTTACCCTGTTGGTCTCTCTAATGTGCTTGCCCAGATAATTTTACTGACTGATCAAAGGGACGATGCGTCGAACTACCAACGAGCACCACACATCCTTCCCACCGCACTGGGCCGGATACTGCGCTGGCATTCGTTCTGGGACCCTCGAATACTGATTCACCCCTTCCGTCCATTCGTCCAGAAGTACAATGGGTATGTGATAGATACGTACATACGCAAAGAGCTGGAAAAGCGACATCTAGAGATCAGAGAATCGAGAGCCTCAGACGTCTTGACTACACAGCCAAGGGCTATGAAATCAGTCATCTCTCTTGCACTCGAAGCATACCTGGACGAAGGGAAAGAGACCCTGGACGAGGAGTTCACAAAGTTTGCCGCATCTCAAATCCGGCTTTTCCTGTTTGCCGGGACTGACACCACCGCGTCAATGCTGGTTTACGTCTATCATATGCTAGCGAAGCACCCTAACTAGCTCAACCAACTCAAAGGGGAGCACAACCAAATTTTCGGGACAAACCCGGCCAATGCTGCCAGCCTCCTTCGAAATACACCAAGTCTCTTAAATAATTGCAAGTTGACACTGGCGTTTATCAAGGAGACACTACACATCTACACACCCGCCGGTACTATGCGCTCTAGACTCCCAGGTGTCACTGTGGCTGATTTTCAGGGGAACAAGCAGCCTGTAGACTACGTGGGTATCAATGTACTACACCAGGCACTACATTTTAACCCTCGGATATGGCCCAGAGCAAACGACTTCCTACCAGAGCGGTTCCTCATGGGACCTGAGCATGAGCTACATCCAGACCCGGCAGCGTACCGCCCCTTCGAGCAGGGCCCTCGGAACTGTATCGGGCAGACATTAGTGATGAATAAACTCCAGATCGCCATCATTCTAACCTGCAGAGACCTTAATTTAAGGGATGGATATACTGATTTTAATGTCGAGAGAGAAAGCCAGATGGGTGCTTGGGGCAGGCTAAAGAGAAGAGTGTTTGGGGAACCGATGAGGACTCTTCACGGGGACAGGGCTTATCAGACAGATTCAGGAGGCCTGCACCCTATCGATGGGTATCCTTGTTATATTGACTGGGTGAAGGGGAGTTGAGATACTGGCTACTATTCCTGCTAGTAAGGGCTGAAATGTGTATGGGTTATAGAGTTGAGTGGAAATGCTTAATAGGTTAGTTGATGTATCTAGTATGTGTATTGGTAGAATTTTGGATGGAGATACTGCTTCATATTTATATGAACGAGTCTATGCTTTAACTGCTTTGTCTGATACTGCCATTCTTGCCTTCCTATAGTCACACAACGCTGAAAATTTGGCATGTCATCATCTTGTTAGGGTAGGCTTCCTGGCCCACCGAGCCTCCGCCCATTGCGGCTGCCTGAATTACACGGTCGGGGACACTTGGTACCCTGGGTACCGCCTCTGTTTTCTATACTTCGACCATTGCGTGTAGATTAGCTCGTTCTTCTCAACCTCATCCACGTCCGCAACAGCCAGGTCTTCGTTGTAGGTCCGCCAACAAAAGCATCATCTGCCAGTGTCTCGTTTGAGTGACGTAGGCCCTGTACTTTCCTGCACGGATTCCTATTGGATCGTGAGGATTTACGAGCGTATAAAAGGTTTTTGTCATGTACGGTAGGCAGCTTACGCTTGTCACGGAACTATGGCGGCGATAGACAGGAACATTTCTTGTCCCTGGCTCCCATCCACATATTCAGCGCTACACGAGAGCCTGTGATCTCACATTGCGTTCTTCTATCTACCATGAACTTGTACAGTCACCAGAGCAGCAACTAGGCGAACGGCCGCGGAATCCAACATCGACAGCGTACGGTCTGTAGTTACCCTCAGCCGCCCACTTTGGCGGCGGGCTGCGGGAGATGCCCATGACGGAGTGGCCATTGGAGAGGAGTTCATCTAACACACAGGAACCACACTGGCCATGGCTGAAAAGTTCGAGTCCGCTTGTACTCTAGGTGGAATTCGGAATCATGAATTGTAATCATGTGACCTCAGGAATCCCTCTTTCTCCTTCGTCTTGCTAAGAAGGCCTCTCGTTGTGTTCATCGCAGATGGCCTCCTCCTCCTCCTCTTCCTCCCACTTTCTCCAATCATAGTCATAAGGGTTGATTCCGCATCCTTCTAGGTCGCCACCCCATTCCAACAGCTTCTCCGGGACTGTTATTTTGGTCTCGTGATGGACGGCCCAATTAAATACCATATCTACGAACGACCGGACCTCGGCTATTCTCAGCTTGCAAAGTCCCTTCCATGACGTTCGATCAAGACAGGGGTGGTACATAGTCCAGGAACGGCTGAAGTCGATGAGCTTGCCTCCAAGATAGTTTTTCGGGTTGATATCTCGAATGAGAATACCAAGTGAGTGCAGAGTCTCCATGTCCTCATACATCTGGCTTATCTGCGACTTGTCAAAATCTGGCGTCTCCTCTGGGACAAAGTCCTTGAGGATTGCCCGCAGGCGGTCGTGCCGGTTCGATTCCCGTCGAAACCACAGGGCCTGGCCATCCAACTCTTCTGCAGTCTTGGGATCTATGTATTCCGGGCCGCAGGCTTCGGTAACAAACTTTTCCTGCTCTGGGGTGAGAAGGACGTAGCCATGGGCACGAACGGCGATGTCTTCGTGGTTTTCTTGCTTGAGGCGTCCGTACACCCGGCATTCATTGTGAAACGGGTCCAGATAGTCAAGGTAATCTTGCGGTGTGAGTGGTGGCCGTCCCTCGTCATCATATTCTGGTGCTATGATCCACCTGCCAGAAGTCTTCTTGAGACCGACCCAATACTGAAATGGAAACTAGTTTTTCACAAGAAAAGTAGAGTTAGTGCAATAAAACGACTGCGGTTCCGAGCAGCGAGCATGAGGGACTTCAGGACGGCGTTGACTCACTACTTTCAGGGCATAGTACTTGTCGTCAACTTTCACTTTCCACACCTTGGAATCCAAATCGTCTTCATTTCCGATGTAACGTATGAATTCGAGTTCGACATCTGCAGTGCCACGAAAAGGCTCGAGCTTGGGTCCTTTGATGCGAGGGAGCGGAAAGGGCAGGGAAGTGGTTAGATCTGTGAAAGCGGTGGAGGTCGTCATGGTCCTCTCAGATGATGGGATACAGGCAGGATCCACCAACATAGACAGTTAAACTATTGGTTGAAAAGATAAGCTATATTGCAGATTTGGCAGATGATAAAATGATTCTCGCTGTTCTTGAGATAACAAAGAGAAAAGCAACAGTTGATTTAGACACAAAGTTGCACGACTTTGTGGGGTCACATTTACCCTAACCCTTCCAGCCCCCAATCCGCCCCCAATCCGTGCCTCAGGTGCCCCGTTTTGCGCCTCCTGTTGGTAACCCAACATAAGAATTAATCTTTTTAGTGGGAATGCGTGTGTGTTGGTGGGGTTGTGCGTTGCAGGGTGCGTTGACTTATAAGCTAGAGGTATATATTAGAGCTCTCTGTACGTCCAGCTGTACTTCATGATCCTCATCAAAACCCATCGCAACTTTCAGCTGGCCTGGCCATTCCGCCCATTCAACCACTTATTGCTTGACTCCAAGCCTTGAGCTGCATTTGTTTCAAAACAGTTCATTTGATATATACACATCATTCATCTTTACGTTCCGTTCACGTGATTTAGCAATGACAACCATCCGAGAGATCCTTGCCACGGAGAACCCCTCACTCATTCATCAGTGGAGAGGGACTAGCTACCGCAATACAGTGTCCAGCACTGATAATGATGTCGTTCACTTCAATGATACACAAAACTACACCATCCAGGAATGTTTGTAGTTTCAAGATGTCTGAGAAATGGTGGTACAGTGGCTAGCAGTATTAACAATGGTTCCAGGGGATGATTTCACGTTGGAGGCCATCGAGCTGGCTTATGGAGACATTCTCGGGACAACCTTGCAAGACTACAAGAAGCCCCTGACTCCTACAAGCTCGCCGAGGACCATTAAGGAGGAGGCAAAGTTGGATTTCTTCTGGCAGCAATGTGAGTTGGCCTATTAATCTGCTGGTTGTACCGGATGATCATGATGCTGGCCTCTATGCAAAAGTCTACTACACAATTCACTTTATTTGATGCAATGAAAAGCTGTACTGACAAACCTAGGGACGCTCTCTGTCCTCCATGGCTCAATCAACTCAGCCTCACAAATCCTAAGACGTCGTGCTCAGGTTTCCGGGGAAACTGCAATACAGCCTAACACGACACTAGAAAACAGAGGATTGACTTGGAAAGATGCCAATCACCCAAGCGTTGAGTACCTGCCAGGTTGAACTTGTTACGAGCACACTGTTTTCAGAATATACCCAGCGGAACATTCGACAAGACAGAAAGAGCTTACCTACATCGTAGGTGATAGCAAGTTGACAGAGAAGTGGAAATCAGGATACCTGAAGCTATCCCAAAAGGAAGCGCAATCCGTTCCCGCCGCCCCCTCGTGGAATGATGTAGGAAATCCAGCCATCGGTCAGCCACAGCCACTCACCCCAACAGGCTCCTATAATGTGGAGAAGGAGAGACGCCTTCCTTTGCAGCAAATGGCTACTTACTGCCGATTCGCTGCCACCAGATACTTCATCAATACCCAAGATGAGGTCGTTGTATTTCGAGTTAGACGACTCGACGCCACCAAATTGACTAGCATTCCTAAAGGCAAGAAGTCAAGGCTTTTCGCGGCTTTCGAGTATAAGTCTATCCCATGGAACGCCAGTGGGACGAGCACCCTAAACTTCAACCTGGCCGTTTGGGCGCTATCATGCATGGGCATGAATGATAATCATCGCGAAATGGAGGGACCTGGGCATACACCGCTGGATGAGATGGCTCGCCTTACCCACTGGGTTGAAGCCAACGGCGAATACACCAACGTGATCTCAGGACGAGTTATCAAAAAGGAGGACTGGGCCAAGAGAGACACCAGCTTCGTGAAGCTCACACGAGCTGACGGATACAGCAAGACCGAGGGCTTTTATCGCACAACAACCGGGACGAACACAGCGTCCCTGACTGCACAACTAGGAAACATGGCCCTCCGCAGCTCAGCCCCTCAAACGACAGGGAATGCTGGACCAGGCGCGCCTGGTCCATCGACGACCCAGGCCCCTAATTCCACATCCAACCGTCCGGGATCTGGACATGGACAGTCTCCTGCGGCCGGGGTGACTCCCCAGAACCCGGCTCCTACTCCCGCACCGCCGAGGAAACATAGCTCGCCGCCTGATGCACCAAAGCCGAGCCGCACAACATCGGCTCCGACCAGTGCGCGGAGTCGGGACAACTCGCCGTCCGGCCCCTCGAGAAGCAGCAATAACCCTTCTGCTTCTCAACAAGTCACTGCCACGTTCAAAGGCAAGAAGTATCCAGCAACTCTGAAGAACGGTCGACCCTTCTCGATCACGATCGCCAAGAATGATGTTCGCGCTGTGGTGCGGAGTATTAGTGGACAGGGGTATGTTGTTGAAGATAAGGGGACGGTGGTGCCCATCACCCTCAGTCAATGATGGCGCCCTGGAGGTTTGCGTACCTGGTGTTTTTGTATTTTTATTGCCTGCGTTTGTTCAGATTTAGACTGTGCTTTATTGTTTTACTTGATTGCGAGGTGGATTTAATTTGTTATATACTAGCACAGGGCAGGCATAGCGGCATATACTCAAGTAGTAGTATACCTAGATAACGCATTACATTTTCTCTGCACTGTTATTAACATTCTATTTGTTGAAAGTTAGGTTTTGAGCGCTTACCACTCACTGTATGAAGGTGCCACATATTGGGTTTCGTATGTGTGGGGATTAGAAATGAAACGACCCACACATATAATATCTGTTACTACCCTACACGGTGCAACAGCCCAGCTGCTATGAGTTACCTCAATCCACTGTGCTTGACAAAAGAAGTGGTGCAAAGGTGCTTCAGGCCCATTAATGCGGCCGTTCCTGAGTGCACTTTTCTCCAGTAGCCTAGTTAGGGTACCTAGGTATGGAACAATGCACCTAAAACTCTGTCGCAGTAATTAATTCTGTAATAGACGAGACCAGTTATTCCTTAAAGGGGTGTCACTGCAGTAGTCGCAATCATAGCCCCGGAAGCTGTAACTGTGCAACAGTCTCGTACTAGTAGGGGCAAAGACTGATCTTATCAACAACCCATTTGCAAAGCACCTACCACACACCAAGCACAATGACACCAATGAGCTCTTGGCCCCTAAAGCCAAGATGGAGACTGTGGTTATTTATACACCGAGGTGCAAGCAAGTCAGCATTTTAAGAACGCTCCAGGGCCCCGCCACCCATGCCTCAGCCACTTCATTATCCTGCTGCCTGGAGGGTCAAGGGCATAGACTGCCATGTTGTTTAGTAGACATCCATTGGATCTCGACACGCTCAACCTCAACTTCATAGTCCTCTGAGTTCGCATTTCCTCCATCTCACTCTCATTCTCATAAGCACCGAAGGCCTGACCAAGTAGTAATGGCAGACCACAACAACAGCAAAGCCCCAAAGACGCGGCTGGCCGACTCAGCCTACCTGTCGCCATACTCACAAGAAGGGGCGCCCAGGCCACATCCCAACACCAACCCGTATGCACCTCTCCGCGCCAGTGCCCTATCGACGCTCGAGGCAATGGGCTACGACCCCAGCACCATGGTTGAGCGGGGCGTCGTCTGGGCTGAGGACCAGGCTCCCTTCGGCCACGTGATGCACTCGCAGTACATGCATTTCTTGGGCACCTGCTTCCACCGTTTCATGGAGGGCTACGACGAGTTCCTCAGCGAGCAGGAGTACGACGATATGATCCATGCACGGACCGTCGTCCCTGTCATCCGCAAGTACGAGCTGGATATCCGGAGGCAGGTCAAGTATCCCGACTCGGTATGTCTACGGCGTGATCTGTCCACCCAGACTAGATAGATGTCCTGTTGTGGCCAGGCCAGCTGACCAGGCCGGGCCGCCGAACAGCTCATCGCCGCCTACCGGCAGGACCGCATCGAGCCGACGCGCAACAGCGGCACGACGTCCCTGTTCTCACTGAGACAGCAAGCTATAGTTGCCCAGGTCAAGGGCTCCGTGACCTACATGGACGTCAAGACTGGCCGCCCTGATGATATTCAAAGCCGAGGAGGAGGATGGCCGGTGCTGTACGCTGGTCTCACACGCAAGTCTGAAAGTGCAAACGCCATGAGGGAAAAGTGGGAGGCCGACCACCCGGCCAAGTCCAAGATTTGATATATTTTGTGCCTAGACCTACCGGCCAAAGCTTGGTTGAAAGAAACGGAAACTTTGCCACGGATCACTTTCCACGCCTGACAGTCCGCCTGTTGGTGCGCCCACGGCCATCTGTATTGCAGTGCCTCCTACCCTAAATCCAGCTTCCCTAGCAGGTGATACCCCTGTATCCCTAATACATCAGAAGATCCACAGGTTGCAATCCCACTGTCTTCGTGCGATTTGCAACCACCCGTCTATCGTCGCTTGGTCTGGCGCCGGACCGTGGATACTCAGACGTCCGCCCCGTGTTGCCGAGCGTCCATTTCGTGGTGGTATATCGATGTAGACCCTGGTGCTTTGCAGAAGATGGAGTCTCTCGGTGTCTAGAAATCTCGGTACATCTAGCGAGAGGTCTAGCTCGCTCAGCTTTGGGATCTGTGGTAGTGCGTGTGTGACGGATTCGTAGAGCTCGGCCGCCTCGCGGTCGCAGTCCGGGGTCTCCACGTTGACATAGTTGCTGAGGCTGAGGTTTCTCAGGCTGGGCCAGGCCGGGACCGGGGCGCCCCGCGACGGTTCCTTCTTGGCAGCCCACGACTGTTTGAGGAAGTATGGCAAGTCGACTACGTGCCAGAGACTCAGTACCTCGACTCTGCACGTCAAAGCGTATAGAGACTGGCCCAGATGAAGTGAGTGGTCCGCGGGCGACACGGGGTCAGCCATCCTGAGCCCGGCGGGACCGGAGTCGAGAGAGAATCTTTTGAGCCTTGATTCTCGGAAGCGCTCGAGGACCTTCAAGACCTTCATGAATGCTGCTCTGGCGACGGCCTTGGCCTGGACGACGGATAGGTCGGGATTGTCGCCGTGCCCGCCAGCGGGAAACATTGTGTTCAGGGCTGTAACTGTGGGGAAGGGGCCTGAATTATGTGGGTTGATCGAAAGGGACAAATTCATGACCGCATTTATTCGTTCTCTAACGCAGATCCTCTCAAAGTCGTCGAGCACATCGGGGCTGTCGTAACCCTGCATAGCGTTGGAGCGATAACAGCTCTCACCATCGTCGAGTAAAGCACTCCTGCCAAGCTCGGGAATCACAAACGACAGGGAAAGAAAGGTGAGCTTCTCAATCGCTAATTTCCACTGCTTGTCGATGGTGGCATATTCTGCAAGCGGGTTGCGGCGTCTGCTGCGCGCGCTGCCCGCGCTGCGCGCGTTGTATATCCAGGCACCAGACCAGGTAACATTCAAATTTCCCGGGGTCCAGTAGACGTCTCCTCGGCTGCGGAACCACTCCTCGATTATTTCCAAACGGAGCTCATAGGGTAGGCTAGGAAATAGGTGGAAAGACAGTTCGGGGTCAGCCGGGGACTCCATTCTCATGAATTCGACGCCCCCGACGTTCATGTCCATAGGATCCGCCATTGTGAGCGCGACGCGGTCGAGATCGATGTCCATAAGACCCGCCATTGTGAGCGTGATCGGGGCTGGCTGAATCATTGTCGGGTTGTGCAACAGATGCAGATGGGGAATACAAAGGTTATCGAAAGATGGAGAAGCATAACACGGCAGAGTATTTCAGTCTGCGGGGCCAGAGTGATAATATATATGCGCGATTGCTGAATTTGTCAAATTCTTCCAGAGGATGTGCTAGACTAGTCGAACTACACGCTGTTAAAGACATTAGACCACAAATAGAACAGCAGCGGCGCTGGTCTAGTGCCTAGTTTCACTCCCAAGGTAAAACTAATACCCCAGCTCAGCGAAACCACAATGCCAGGTGTTGATGTACAGGATACGGCACAGCTACATTAAAGGACATGTAGCATCATGGAGACGATAGATTCCACGCACGATATTGGTTGCTGATGGTGTGATTTTTACTACTGTGCCCTGAATATTGAATCCTCGGGCATGGTTCTCTAGAAAGGCTGAGCCAAGAGCATGACAACTAATGACAAAACATTCCCTGGCCGGTCGTGTTTATCCACTGACAAATGAACAATCCAAACCCCCAGAATCGACATTAAATCTCGACAGAAGGCCAGTCCAGCACCCGGTCATGTGGCTGATCTGTAGACTGCCTAGTCCTCGCCCCGGTGGCCCTAAACATTTCCATAGCCGCTGGCGCATCGCCCCGCGCCACCTAGGTGCTGGCGCTGTGAGTCGCGCGGACTACTAGCAAGAATAGCCCGCGGGATCTGAAGCTGCCCGTACTTCTGGTCCGGGGATGCGTGCGGGTCGAGCCGCAGGTACTCCATGTTGCTGTTGGCCGGCGTGTGCCCCGAGGCCGCAGAGAAGTCAGTCCTGTAGTAAGGCAGCCGGCCGGGGGCCCTTTCACCACCATCAGCGTCGAAGCTCTTGATGAGCCTGCGCAGGGCCGGGAGGCAGCTCGCCATGATCCCCAGGCCGGTCTCGATGTTCTGCCAGAACAGGACCGAGCCCTGCCTGTACAGGTAGTCGCGGTAGGAGGAGCCGGCGCCGACGTCCGCCTGGGGCGGGATGCAGAGGACCGAGGCGACGCACGCGACGCCGCCCAGCGCCAGGATCGCGCCGGTCGACAGCTTGAGGCTCGTCTTCATGTTGAGGCCGCGGACGATGGATATCGGCACCACGGCGAGTGTGATGTCGACCAGGATGAAGAGGCCCATGAAGGGGTAGATGAGGGTCTGCCACGCCCCCACGCCCTTTCTGCGTCCTGCGTCGCTGGCGGAGTGTACGATTATGAAGATCAGTGAGGTTGCTGTTGATAGGGACACTGCGGCCATGACGAGCCAGAGTGTCCAGGCTGTCTTCCGGTGGCAGGTCCCCTTGATGAGGCGGAGCAGCGTGACGCAGATGGAGGCCTTGGTGAAGCCCAGCGCCAACACGTTGGTCACGTTGACCCCTGGGTTTTTAACATGTCAGCAATTTTGTATCGAAGGATCCTAGGGCGTAGTATGCAGACAGGATAATGGTTTGAGGAGATTTCGGGATTCACTGGTGCTTACAGATGAGTACATGGCCGGCAATACGCAACATGGGCCGGTAGAGCATCACATCTGGACTGCCGATGCCCACTGTCGTTCCCCATGCCGTGATGGCATACTGGGCCAAGTTGAAAACCTGCCGCGCGTCAGTCATGTCTCGCTGGTGGTCGGGGAGCTCGCCCGCTAACGCCGTGTTGACTTACCAGTCCCAGCCAAATGAGGCCGTCGTCGACGTGGAACTTTCGCTCCCGAACTCGCTGCCACGTGCGAAGTCCGACGGCCGCCATGCAGCCCAATCCCAGCAAAATGGCAAAGGCCAGTATTGTCTGCGCATACCCGATGGGTCGCAGGGAGGTGGGCTCCGTCGTGGCCCTCAAATGCAGATGCATGGTCTGTCGTCCGGTGGTGATTGATGCAGTGCGGCAGCAGTTGACTGGTGGTTCCGGTCGAAAGGATTGCTGTGACTCCGTGATGTCTTTGCGTGCAAGACACTGGCCAAAGGCTGGGCACCACAAATCCCGGCCCTGTAGGGACCACATGAACAAACGGTCGAGTGAATGCCATGTTGTTTGGTTCTCTCGACGTTCGTGCCAATCCGCTGTCGCGCCGGAGGTGAATGACGCCGTGGCCAAGGAGAACGCTACAGCTCGAGGGGTGACCCGTTTGTCGGCCTCTGGCCGCATGGGTGCACGAAACAAACGATCATCACGCACTGGAGACTAATTGCGCTGCTGAATTATTGGTATTAGAGCTTCATATTCAGTTCCACCAAACTGGTGAATATGGCCATCCGACACGCCAAGGCGTCCCTGACCTCGGACTGTATCAAGAATCCTGCATCCCGACAGTCGCCTATGCCTGATCATCATGCTGCTTGCCTTCCGCAGCCTCCATGACAATGTCGTGCGTCTTGAACTGCCGGGCCGGAACACCTCTCTGGAACAACATGTCCAGCTCCTCGTACGTCCTGCCACGGCTTTCCGGCAGCCTGAAGAAGCACCAGAGGAAGCAGACAAAGCTGATGCCACCAAACAGGAACCCGGCCTTGCCTCCCCAGTTGCCCTCGTCGCTGTTGAGCATGTAGGGCACCGCGATGGTGAAGATGATGGATGCCGCTGCCTGCACGGCCGTCCCTATCGCGATCGTCTTGGTCCTCAGCCTGGTTGCCGAGATTTCTGAGATGATGACGAAGCAGATGGGACCAACGGTCATCTGGTAGGTGAAGGTCCACACATCCATCATTGTGGCCATGGCCCATGTAGCTCCGTTATTGTTGACGGGGATGCTGAGGAAGCCGATTATGAAGAGTAAAACGGTCATGATGACAACTTCAAAAGTGTTAGTCACTTGTTATTCTTGCCAAAAGTGATGTTTCGGATGACTCCAAAACGCGGCGGATGGGGAGCCAAGAGGGGATAAAAACACTTACTGCCGCCTGTGTAGATGGTACGACGACCCAGCTTCAAAAAGAGTTAGCCACATGCGAGACGCGCGATGGGGCGGGATATACATACATAAGACATCAACGGCCAAGAAATGATTGTCCCCACGAAGCCCATGGCCGTGTTGCCCACGCCCACTAATTCTCCATGTTAGTCATGCTGTCGATCTTCAAACCACACAATTGAGTCGAAACTTACTGGCGAACGCGTCTGAACTGTCAAGACCGGCTTGTTCAAAAAAGTAATTGGCATACCCAATGAGAGGGTTGCCGCCAATGACCTGGATCAGGTACACCATGATGGAGATCTCGGTCCGCGGGAGGTTGCTGCCCCTGAAACAGTCGATATAACTCGTCGAGGACTCCATCTCCTGCTCGAGCAGATCAGTCTGCTCGATTCCAATCAACATCTGGTCGATATCAGGGCGGTTCTTGGCCGACGACAGCCGCAACAGAGACTTGCGGGCGTCTTCCTTCCTGCCCTGGCGAATAAGCCAGTACGGAGACTCGGGGGCGAAGGGAAGCGCCACGAGGATGACAGCAGGCCAGACCCATTGTACTGCCTACAACGTGTTTTGTTAGATCCATTGAGGCCAATCGACGAGCACAGCATGGCTACTCACAAAGGGGATCCTGTAGGCCCACTCGTCCAGGCGCGTCTCGACACCAGCCGCACAGCCCTGCCCGATGAACTGGCCGATGACAAAGGCCAGGTTCACAGACGCGGTCAGCACGCCACGCAGGGCGAGCGGGCAGATCTCGGAGGCGTAGGTCGGGGCGATGACGACGTAGAAGCCGTAGGCCAGGCCGCCGAGGACCTCGCCGGCGCACAGCATGCCGATGGAGGTGGAGAAGAACTGCACGAAGACGAAGATGATGGAGTAGACGCAGCACACGGCGAGGGGCAGGCGGCGGCCCCAGCGCTCCATGAACCAGCCGCTCGCGATGGCGCCGAGGATCTGGCCGATGGGGTTGCCCATGCCCAGCCCGGTCTGCCACTGGGCCGGGATCTCGTACGAGTCGGCGCCGCCGTCGCGCGAGACCAGCTCGCCGTACTTGCGCTGGAAGGCGGGCAGGGCGTAGAAGGAGGTGATGATCTGCGCGTCGAAGCCGGCCATGATGACGGCGATGCAGAAGAAGGCCGACCAGAACGTCGCGGCCGGGTACTGCCTCGCCGCCTTCCAGAACCCCGTCTCGTGCTCGATCCTCGTCCTGACCTCGCGCGTGGCAATCTCCACGCTGGCGCCATCTCGCTTCGAAGAGGCGTCCCCGTGGGCGCCCTTCTCATCTTGCGTCTCCGTCATGGTGGTCGTTGGCTTGTCGGTTTTGCTACTGAAGAGCAGGTCAACTGGTCCTGAGAGGAGGATGGCATGGCCCGGGACTGGCAACTTGCAGTTCCATGCATCCCCCTTCCGATTAAGTATGAGGCAGGCCACATGCCTGTCGGCAGACTTCCTCTCTGCGGATTAGCACAGGCTCGTATCTAGACATCCAGATCAGGGGAATTATCCATATCCGGCCCGGCAAGCGTGAGGGGTCTTATCGGCTTGAAGAGGGAAGACGGCACTTCCAGAGGCCAGGGGCTGACAGGCAGGCGATGTCACGATAACGCACGGAGAAATGCAGGCTAGCACGCATCCCACCCCGGGGATCTTCCTGTCCATGTAACCATCCGAGTAATACCGCCGGGGCCTGCCCACGACATTGCGGTCTGCTGCTCACTTGTAACGTAACTCTTGGCGGAGATTTTGTTGCTTTCTGTCTCTGGGCATTTCAATGCTGAAGAATGTGTCCCTGGATCAAGTGACGGCGGCCTGGTTCAATGTTGCAACCAGGCCTCGGATGTCGTTGGGTTTGCACGTTGCAGGAAGCATCAACGCGATCCCAGACTGGAAAAGACACTGCACAGTGCTAAGGTATCCCGGGGGCGGAGATTGGGGAAACGAAAACACTGTCTCCACTCGGCCCCTCACTTATCATGTGAGCAGCTATCTGCCTGGGATAGCCATCCCCAGTTGTCTAATTACACAATAGTTTATCGGCGGTGTGAAATCCACGAGCGTCTCTCAGGCTTTATCGACGGTCCGCACAGAAGAACAAAGGCTCACAGCATCCAAGGCCAGTCACCAAGGTCTCAAAGACGAGATATCACGAGTTCGGCATAACGATATAGATCTGACGAGCCCCAGCTCACCAAGACTGCCCAGGTGCACCGGCTTTGACTGTCGGGCGTTGGGACCATGGCCGTTGCAAACTCATTATTCGACCCTGCCCTGATCACGGACGAGGCGCGGGCTGCTTTCCCCGAAGGATATCACATCCGACCGCTGCAGAGGGACGACTATGGACGGGGCTTCTTCGACTGCTTGAGCGTGTTGACGTACGTCGGCAACGTCAGCGAGGAGCGCTTCGTGGAGCGCTTCGACTGGATGGCTACCCAGGGCAAGGGCATTCACTATTTCCTGGTCATCGAGCATGAGGGCCGGATCGTGGGGACAGGGACCCTGATCGTGGAGAAGAAGTTGTGAGTCGGACGCAACGTGATCAGCGCATCAGCGGAGACCGCCACGCTAACAACACCTCAGCATCCACGACCTCGGCACCGTCGCTCACGTGGAGGAGGTGTCGATCCGCAAGGAGTACCAGTCCAGAGGCCTGGGCTTGAAACTGCTCAATGCTCTGTCATCGGTCGCGAAATCAGTGGGCTGCTACAAGTCGAATCTGGGGTGCAGCGAGGCCAACGAGCCATTTTACGTCAAGTGTGGCTACGAAAAGGGCGGCAGGGTCATGTCGGAGTCGTATGAGGGCCCAAAATCGGACTATGAGAGGGGTTGATAGACACGCGTATTCAGTGCCTTCGGACTATAGAATCACATGAATTCTAAGACTTCATTTTTGAAAACCTCTACCACGCCGGATTTGTGCACTTCGAAACTATTGAAATGAGTATTTCATAGTGAAATCAAGCCTTCCACAGAGCATTGGCCCTCCAGTAAACCTTTGGACTGAGAAAACGGTGCATGAAGATAAGGCCTTCCGATCCCACGCTGGGTCTGTCAGTGCACAGGCCGGTTTATGACGGAAGAGGTCCGAAATCAGGGGAGTCCGACGGCAGACGAGAGGCTGCATGCCCCGAGGACCGGGAACAGAGCTCCGGATTTTTCGGATTACTGGGAGGTCCAACTGCTCAGGTCATGCCAGCTTAAGTGGAACGTTACATGGAGCCTCCCGTGCGGGCGGCGCCCTGCATGCTCCTTATCCGGCCCTCGACATGAAACCGGCAGCGGCCGGCCTCTTCCCTCTGCATCCCGGGTCGAGCTCCGCCCTTATAAACGAATACCTACCAGCCTTGGTAATATGCGCGCCCTGATTGCCGGAGGAAGAGCCAAGACATAATAGTCATCCCCTGGCAAGGAAACAAGTCATTTTTTCTTCACAATGGCGCCACACGCCGACCGGGACGACAACGAGGAGACCATCGTGCGCCTGCCGGCCCCCGAGCGGCCGCCCTTCTCGGCCTCGCCCCCGCGGATCCTCATCATCGGCGGCGGCAACCGTGGCATCGTGTACTCCAAGGCCATCAAGAAGTCGACCAACGGCGTGATCGTGGGCGTGGTCGAGCCCATCGCCGTCAAGCGGCGCCACATCGGCCGCAGGTACATCTGGGGCTCGGGCGAGCCGGCCGAGGGCCAGGAGTTCGAGACGTGGACCGAGTACGTGCGGTGGGAGAAGGAGCGCCGTGCCCGGGCCGCGGCCGGTGAGGCCGGCGTCCCCGAGGGCGTCGATGCAGTCTTCATCTGCGTGCAGGACCGTAAGTAACGGCCGCTGTTCTGTTCATGGCTTTTGCTCTTGCGATATTCGGAACGGGTCCAGCAAGCATCACTTGTAGCCTCTGCAGCAGGTAATTGACACGTACTAGAGTTGCACCGCCAGGCTGTGCTGGACTTGAAGCCGCTGGATCTGCACATCATGTGTGAGAAGCCGCTCGCACCGAACCTGGACGACTGCTTGGACATATATAGGGCTCTCTTGCCCGAATCGTCACAAACCCCGTCAAAGCTCTTCTCCATCGGCCATGTTCTCCGCTACAGCCCCCATAACATGCTGCTGCGAAAGCTATTGGTCGAGGATAAGGTAATCGGCGAGGTCCAGGCTGTCAACCATACAGAGCCCGTGGGTTGGAACCATTTCACCCATAGCTATGTGAGGTAAGTTTGGGCAGACTACAACGATCCATCATGGCTTATCATACTGACAAGAGACCAGGGGAAACTGGCGAAAGGAGTCCACGTCCGCACCATCCCTCCTCGCAAAGTCGTGTCATGACATAGACCTATTGTACTGGCTCCTGGCGGCCGGCCCAACAGGCTCCTCCAAGCCAGCCCACGTGCCCAAGGACATCTCCTCGTCCGGGTCCCTCCAGCACTTCAAGCAGTCCCGCAAGCCAGCGGAGGCGGGCAGCGCGACAAACTGCATGTCCTGCGCGTTCGAGCCGTCCTGCCAGTTCTCAGCCAAGCGGATCTACACCAGCCCCCAGCTCAAGAGCGAGAACCAGGACCGCTGGGCCCGCATCGCCTGCCCGGAGATGGAGGAGTGCATCGCCGAGGGCGGCCCCGCCGCCGGCCAGGCGGCGCTGCTCGCGACGCTCTCGGAGGACTACGACGCGTCGGCCACGCCCGCGGCCGAGGTCAGCAGCCGCAACTGGTTCGGGCGGTGCGTCTACGAGGCCGATAACGACGTGTGCGACAACCAGACCGTGACGCTCACCTGGGACGACGACCCGGTGGGAGAGGCCACCGGGCCCGCGGCGCTGGCCGGCAGGGGCAGCAAGACGGCGACCCTGCACATGGTGGCGTTCACCAGGAAGATCTGCCAGCGCCTCACGCATATCTACGGCGCGGACGGCGAGATCACCGCCGACAGCTCGTCCATCACGGTCGAGGACTTCCGGACCGGCGGCAGGCAGGTGTTCTACCCGTACGTGCCCAAGGGGGGCGGGCACGGCGACGCGGACGAGGGGCTCGCCCGCCAGTTCGTGCTGGCCGTCGACAAGGTCAAGAACCACGGCTGGGACGTGGCGCGTGCGCAGAAGGAGTACATGGGCTGTTCATTGGAGGATGTCATCATGAGCCACAGCATGGTGTTTGCGGCAGAGGACGCGAGGAAGGGCAGGGCTGTGGTTGACTTCCCTAAGTGGTGGGAGGGCAATGTTGTTGGGAGGCTGTGAGACCTGCGTGTGGCGTCGAGAGCTCCTGCTTCCAGACAGTCCGTACCAATAAATAAGAAGGCTTCATATGAAGCCGATCGAACAAGAGCTTCTCCATTGACAATCAAGCGCCCTATTTGAGCTCTCATTTGAACGAGTGCCGGTCTTTGTAAGGGCCCGTATAACTGGTGAAGGCGACGAAATGAGGGCATATGAACGGGTCAGGGTGTGGGTCGGAGGCCACCTATGTTGTCGGCCCGTCTGGTCTACATCCAAGTCCAGTCGTGGCTAGGCAGACTTGTGATATCCATCATTCTCCCGTGCTGAGACCAGTTCCGAAGTCTCCGAGCTGCAAGGCAGATCGAGCTGACGGTTCTGACAGTATCCAGGGCTTCAGAGATTATTTACCAAGCAGTGTGCAAATGTGCGTTTGCCAATGATATCCACCAATTGGCAACTAAATCAAAGAAAAGCTTACTAGGACTACTAATATTCAAGAATTGGCAAAGAACCTTGCAGGTTACCAAAGCCAGTCTCTGATGGGCCTCACTAGGGTTGAGCTCCACCTGGGCTTTTCCAAGTGCCCTACCAAGTGCCCTCCATGTTCTTTGTATAGAGCAAATGTATTATACTGGAAGATATTGCGTCTCTCGGAAATCTTTGCCTGGGTGAGACGAAAGATGATTTATTGAAGAGGAATGCGTGTCATCGTGCCCCGTTGACTGCACATGTGGGTAGACTTCAGGATGTTCGACTTGTTTCTTGGCCAGGAAAACCTCGAGGTGGCTAGCCGTGTAGCCACAGCAGTCAGTTGGCCATGTTGGCCGCCCGTCCAAGCCCAGCTCAGGCAAGACCCCGAGGGACTCCGGTCGGCACGATACAACGCAACTCACTGCAGTGCCATGTTGGCCATGGACTATTCGTATTCTTTAAGTTCGTCTATTCAGATGGAAACTTTAGTTCAAAGCCATTGAACGGATAGCAGAGTTCAGATCATCTCGTGCAATTTCCATCTCGGTCCTCTGCAAGAACTGGTAGTGTTGAAGCTGAGTGAGTTTCGAGTGTGGGTACACGTGCAGAACTCAGCATCAAGAAGTGACGACTAAAAAAAGGTGCGGCACCCACTTGGGTTGGGAACCAGGGCACTTGTCTTCGCTGCTGGAAGTGCAGTAATATTTGAGCCGCTCGGAAAATGACCGCTTCCGGTTTGTTGAACACTGAAAAGGCCAGCCGCCTGCGAGTAAGACTCAGTCAGACTGCCTCTGCCATTTGCGCCACCCGTTGTCTGGGAAAAACGAAGTTGCGCCCCCCCCTGGTTAAATAACCCCTGTTCATTGGTTAACAGAAAAATACTTATATAATAAAAATAAAACCTTTTATTCTTATAAAAATTATAAAAATAGTTAGTTTTTATTCCTTTTAATAATTAAAAAGATTTTTTTATTTAAATATATAATAATTAAGTATAAATATTTATAATTAATCTTTTTTTAAGAGGGTAGTAACCCTAATAGTTTTAAGGAAAGGATGAGAAGAAGCCTGATTCGTATGGTGTAAGTGGTGGTGTTTTTTTTGCTTTAACTGATGAACAGGGGTCATTTGACCAGGGGGGGGGCGTAACTTCGTTTTTCCCAGACAGCGAGCGGACCCCGACTGCTACAGCTCGTGCACTAGCGACTCTTGGCACACCGGTTCTCGTGCGACATACCTACTTAAGTGGCCAACCAGAGCGAGCGAAGATCGCCTGTAGGGCCGTTCTCACTCTTGATTAACCATCTCTCTTGATTCGAGAGTTTCCATCCTCAGACACTCGTGACAATGATGGATGGCCATCCACATATAAGTATGACCATGGACTGGCCCTGAGCTCTGGAGAATCTGCTTCGACTCGAACTCTCGTTGTTCTGCGATTCAATCCTAAATACCACATCTACCTCGCGCATTTTTACCTTCTTCCTTTCCCAGGACAGCTTATATTTGAGTATAGCTTGAAGCAATTCTGGTGCTCCTTGTGAATCAGTCGGGATGCCGACTCCCTTTATCCCCAGCAACATTCTCAGGCGCGCTCGTGGCTGTGTCGCATTTCTGGCGCATCAAGAAGGCCACTGGATGGCAAGCAATAGGCTTTTGGTGAGTAACTGACCTCTGTTTCACGTTTCCCCAGTGTCTTTGCATTATACTAACAGAGCCCTATAAGTCACCGGCGGGGACCCTTGAATCAGTATTCTTGATTCTCATCCTTACCTTGGACCTGGACCTGGACCTGGACCTGGACCTGGACCTGGACCTGGACCTGGACCCTGATCCCATCATGGATGCGAGGCACGTCGCTCTCCAGGATTTGTTCAATCGCTGGAATTCGCCATGGTCCAGCCAGCCTCGTACGTGTGGGTTGTTGATAGTTGCTCTGGACAGCCTGAAGCATGTCAGACACCACTGTGCTACTGAATGCTGGCCAGAAATAACACACACTCACGCGCAAGTTGTGCCGCTGCCACGCATCTTAGACACAGCAAGGCAGACTCAAGTCCACGAAGCCAGCGATGGCATCCATCGTCTGATGCCACCCGACAGGACAATCTCCTTCGGCATCGACAGGGAAAGTTTCAGGCGCAGCGGGATTCCCGACGAGATCACGGAAGTCGTCATCAGCTCAGCCGAAGAGATCGTGTCGTTCATCGGAAGACAAAACCTGGGGATCGGCTTTGCCCACACGCCAGGCTCCGACTCTACCGTCTTCGACATCAGCTACGACCCAGGTCTCCCTCCCTCAGCCCTGGCCCAGTCCTTCTTCCCAAGCGACCCGCGGACAAAATGGAAGCTGCGCATCTCCCAGGCCGTAGTCACCCCCCGGTGCAAACTCGACTACCTGCCCAACATCCTCGGCCACGAGTTCGCGCACATCCTGGGCCTACGCCACTGGAATGCCCACGCCCACGAGCCGGAACGGTCATTTCATTGGCCTAATACCAGGTGGGGGTGTAAAAGGTCTATCATGGCCACTGATGTTGACTTTGAATATATGCGGTTCTCTGAGGAGGATTTCCGAGTCATCCAAGAGATGTACTCGTTTCCCAATGGATACGTGCTCGCCGGTCGGAAGATAATTGACGTCTGCACGTAGAATTCATCTGATATGTCACTGTTTGGGAGTTCTTTCACCATTTTCTCTTCTGCCCCCCCTCGGCTCTTGTATTTTGCCTGGTCGTTATCAAAAGCACTTTAAGAGTTTGTTTTGATACATTTCACACGCAGGCATGAATGCATCAGTGGCACAAGTATACATCAACGAATTATGGGCCCACGATACAGACTTTCCTTTGTACATTTGTCAAGCGTTTATGATGATGGGGCAAGAGTTAGTTCTGTTTCTACCCTTCGTGGCAACGATATTGTGGCTTGCTTGATGTGGCGTATAGATACATATGTACGGCGTTCAATTCAAGATGAGACAAACGAAGCTAACGAGCGGTGGGACATGTGGAGAATATATACATTCTTAATCAAGCACCCTTATACACACAGACAGCTACATAAGCAAAGCCCAATCCCCACCAGACCCCCTAAACAGCCAACGCCGCCTCCGCCTCCCCAGCCTTAGCAACAATAACATCCCTCTCCGCCGCCGAGTAAACCCCCGCGCTCACAAACGCATCCGCAACAGACCCAACGACACCCACAAACTCAGCATGCGACGCAAACGGCGCCGCGTCCCACACGACATCCAGGAAGGTAGGCCCGTCCGTCCCGGGCGACGCGACCCCCGAGACAGGCACGTCGTACCGCGGCAGCCCGTCGTCGCGCTTGCGGTTCGCGACCCCGGTGTCCACGGACCCAAAGACCACCTCGGGCTCCACGCGGCGGAAGTACGACGACACGGGCTGCGCGTCGCTGATGTAGTAAGGGCGCACGGTCACGTTGCCACCGCCCGCGCCCGCGGCCCGGGTGGTGGTGAAGAGCGGGTCGCCGGCGGCGTTGGCGGCCGTCTGCACGACCGCCGCGCGGGCGTAGTCGCCGTCGAGCCGGAGGCCCCGGTACAGCGACAGCTGCCAGAAGGTGTCGTTGCTGCTCGGGGTGCCGAGGGCCTGCAGGAGGACGGGCCCCCACATGAGGGCCTGGGTGTCCGGGCGGTCGAGGGCGCGCTCGGCGCGGATGGTGAAGGGCATGCTGACCTCGACCACGTCGCCGGGGGCCCAGGTGCGGCTGAGGGTGAGGTACGTGCCCGGCTGGGCCCCTGCGGCGGCGGGGGCGGCCTCGCCGTTGACGGTGACCCGGAAGCCCTTGCGGACCCACGCGGGCACGCGCAGCTTGATGTCCAGCGGGCCCTGCCCGTCGACGGTCAGCCTGGTGGCCCCCTCGCGCGGGAAGGCCGTCTCCTGCTTGACGGTGAACCCCCTCTCCTCCCAGGCCAGCGTGGACGGGATAAACAGGTTGACCCAGAGGGCGGACCCGTCGGCCGAGCGCAGGTAGACCGTCTCCTGGTACTTGGTGTGGCTCTCCATGCCCGAGCCACCGCAGCAGGTGCCCGTGTTGCCAAAGTCGCGCGGCGTGCCGGGGCTGAGCGGCTGGAAGTACGTGAGGAGGGGGTCGTCGCCGCTGTCGGTGTCGCCGCGGGACCCGGCGATCATGTTGAACAGCCCGCGCTCGTAGTTGTCCATGTAGGTCGCGTTGTGCTCGTGGAGGAACAGGTTCCGCGCCAGCTTGAGCAGGTTGTACGTCGTGCACGTCTCGGCGCCGTCCGAGGCGATGGCATTGGCGATGTTGTCGCGGTTCTGGAACAGCTCCGCGTTGGTGTCGGAGCCCGGGTAGCTCCCGGATGTCCCCCCGCTGGCGAACCCGCGGTGGGGCTCTACCCAGCCGTAGAAGTTCTTGGCCGCCGCGAAGTACTCATCGCCGCCGCCCTGCTCGAAGACCCTGAGATAGCCGATGAACTGTGGGACGTGGGTGTTGGCGTGCAGGCGCTGCTTCCGGCGCCGGCCCGGGATCTGGTCGGCTGGCACAACCAGGATGTCGCGGTCCTCCACGGCGGCGCCGAACAGCGACTCCCGGTTGTCGAAGGCCTTGGCGGTCTGCAGGTGGCGCTCGTCGCCGGTGATCTGGTAGATCTCGGGGAAGACCTCGTTGGCGCCACCAAACTCGCCGCCGATGTACAGATCCCACATGTAGTTCAGGTCGTCTCTGGTCAGGTTCCCCTTGTAGTCGGGGTGGTTCTTGTCGCCAATGGTCAGCGCAAGATAGGCCCAGTCGGCCATCTTCTCGACAACCCGGAGGGCCTGGGTGTTGTTGGTGTTGTAGTATGCGTCCAACAAGCCGCGCATGATCTTGTGCTGGGTGTACCATGGCGCCCAGGTGTTTGTGCTGAGGTTGCCTCCATATACAGCCCAGCGCGGTGGACCAAGCCTCAGCACAGTATCTTCCGGGAGCGCACCCAGGTAGCCGGCATAGGTAGGAATCCATTGTGCGTCGGGACCTGAGCCGGCAGTGCCGTTGAGCCGGGCAGTGATGGCGCTCTGGCAAGACGCCAGCTCGTCCACCAGCCAGTCGAGCTTCGTCTTGTATAGCTCCTCGCCATGCTCGGCGTACGCCTGGGAGAGAGCAGTCATGTAGTGGCCCGTCCAATGCCCACTGAGCAGACCACCATCCTCCCAACCCCCCGGAGGGGATACATCGCCTGGGTTGGGGCGGCCAGCTTGGTTGTTGAACAGGACCATGAACTTGCGCTCGTCATATGACTCGAGGAACCCCTTGATGCGGTCGCGCTTCTCCTGCATGAGGCCGTTCCCAAGCTTGACCTGGTCCAGGCGGAAGGGCCGGACTGGCGCTGTACCTCCGGGGCCGAGGTCTGCTGGGACGTCAGCCAAGACGCCCATGGTGATTGTGCCATTGCCGGCGAGCGCAGCAGTCCCCAGGGCGAATGCCTTGAGGAGCCGGCGCGGGCTGGACAGGACCTCTTGAAGCCGTGCCATGGAAAAGTGTCTCTCTCTAAGCGGAAAGACGATGTTAGCTACGAGTGTGAGTAGTGTGAGTAACTAGGTTAGTAAATACACCTACTATCTTGGCACTTCAATAATAGTTGTGCTTAAAAAGAGTTATTCCCACCAAAGGCTTGTCGTGGAATCCCCGGGACGGCATGGCACCCGCAGCGATAGACACGATTCATACCATCTTATAGTATACCCCGTAGGCCATATCTCGTGTTTAATTGCTGCTAAGGGCCTGATAAGGAAGGTAACTTTGTTGCCGGCTGAGCGATATGAGCGATCGCTGCCCCTCTTGCCACCCCTGCGGTGCCAATTACCCCGACTGCCAGACTGCCTGGACGGATCAACGACCTGATTCCGAGGTCGTCACTCCGTCGCTGTAACGTTGTTAAGCCCACCAACCACGAGGATTACCGCCGTGGCCGGAGCCTACTTCTGGTCAGGCTCAGCTGCTCGAACCCAAAGTGGATGCATATCTAGCGGTATGGAAACGTAGGTCGTCTGATTCGTACGCTAGCATGTCCACTACATACCACCTCGAGTCGGGATCTGAACCGACTACACGCATACATATGCATGCATGTCTTGGATTCCGGCTCGGCAGGGGTTGGACGCCAGCCGCATAGAGCCGACGGGTCTTGTTGGGCGGGTGCCAAGGCCTGCCGGAGCTGTTAAGTGGTCACCGTGGCACTTCAAAGTTGCCTATACGCATCACAGTGCAAGCCTTGTTTGATGGGATGAGCATTGGTATCGTGCCCAAGGAAACGGAGACATCAGCAACTGGATTCAAACGCAGAATAAGCAAGCTACAACGCAGAGTCTGTACCTGATTAGCAATCTGATCAAGACACTACTAACCTATGAAGCCCGAACCAAGCGGACCCATGGTTCAGGATGATGCTGAGCGCACAAGGAGATCCAGCGGTCCGGATTGTTTCCTCCGGACTGATACCTAGGTACTTTTTCCCTCGAACACATGCTCATTCACCTCTGGGCAGGTGACATTGTGGCTCCTTCGTATTGGGCCAGGACCACGACAGAAAGAGTCCAAACGCTCCTTCCTAAGTATCTACCCTCCACTTGACTTTCATGTTGCCATGGTCTCTCCATGTGGGAAGTTGTATCTCAGGTGCTCCCACCTGGGAATTCCATCAAGAAGTCCAGTGATATTGCGTTTCCGGCGGCATGTGCCTATGTACCTAGGCACCAAGTATTGTATTCGTATCATGACCACTACTGGGTCACTCTAGCTGTGCCACGACAGCATAATATTCACGTGGATAGTCTTGAATGTAGAATTGGTGCCGAACAAACTATGTAGTACGTAAAACAGAAAGACGCCACAAGATGCAACGAAACCATGGCACCTGGGAGTCATGAAATAGCCCGAAGAATAGTGGCAGTATTCGGACCACTTGGTCTTCCGAGGATGCTGACCGTATTTACTCTGCTCAATGTAGCAAATATATCTAAGGAAAGCGCCAGTTTCGTAAATGATATCACCCAGATCTCACATCAAGCGGGCTTCCACAGCCGCAAGATTTCGAGTAAAGAAATGTGCCTTCCCTTATGAGCAAAGAATTTAGGTAAACAAGGGAAGAGGAAACTGCAATCATAACAAAGTCTTCCAAGGAATAGATGGTCAGAATGACTCCGTGCCATCTCCCCAGTTCTGCTCTTCTCTCTTCTCCCTTCTCTCCTCTTCTCTTCCAGACCAACACACCATCAACTGTACAATCCCCATCTTCAAAACATTCGACTCCAAGCCGAATCTCCCATCAATACAGAGTACTTGCTCCTTTCCCATCAGCGCGACCCCCCAAATACCCGCATTCCACACGCCGCGTCCTCCTCCCGGCACACACGTCGCCGTCGGCACTTGTCGTCGAGACGCACACCTACGCGAGCCGGACACTTGCCCAACGGATCCACCACGCAACCTATCCACATCTCCATCCCAGTTTTCCCCTTCCTTTGTTTATCTCCCACTTGGTGATGCTGAACTCAGTGCTTGCCCCCAGCCTCGCCCTATTTCACCTTCTTTTTACCGCAACGACATTGCCTCAGCTTTGGTCCCCTCCGTCCCACGGGTCATCATCATCGGCGCGTTCGGTGTGTACAAACATGAGCGTTTTTGAGGGTTGACATCCCTTCCCTCTGCAACAAGGTGGGTATCCCCACATGAAAGGTTATTGTTACGATATGAGCGTCCAGCGAAGATTAGAAATATCCAGTAGCTTTAGGGGGGTGCCCACAAGTGTCAGCGTTAGCTGACGCCCACCAGGCAAGACAGAACCGATCCAGCCCCGCGATCCCTCGACAGCCTCAGCTTCGCACCGTTCTTTCCCACGGGTCGTCATCATCGGCAGTGTTTTTGAGGGTTGACATCCCTTCCCTCTGCAACAAGGTGGGTGCCCCCACGTGAAAGTACAGAAAGACCTTGTATCGATATGAGCGCTCCAGCGAAGATTAGAAATATTCGGCATCTTTAGGGGGTGCCCCCAAGTGAAAGTATCTTGTTACGATATGAGCGTTCCAGCGGAGAGTTGGTGTGGTCTGTCGTTCGTACCTAGGTAGCAATTTATATTTTCTTGGATAATCCTGCATGTGCTCGACTCCGTGTTGAACCCTCCCTAGAGCTTGCCATCCTGCCTAGCGGCCACTCGCTCGGCCCGCCACTTGAGCAAGCTTGGTCGTCCAAGGCAGACCCCGAGCCCGGGCCTTGGTAAGGGACCGACCGGGCACATTCCACCGAGCCCGGAACCGCAGGCAACCCTTTTAGTCCAGGGTCCGCGGTCTTGGTGCTTCCTCCTTCATGCCGCTGGTCGTTATCGCTCTTCCCACCAAAACTGATGGTGACTGTCTTGTACAACCGCACCATCGACCGACCCATGGCGTCTCCAGCCTAGCGACTAGCATAGCAACTAGCCTACCAAATGCCGCACTGGTGTATCGTCCATCTTGCTATCATCACCTCCCCTCGATGTCACGCGGTCTTGATTGAAGCCGTCCATGCCAATCGAGCTCAGGAATTATCATGTTGTACTCTTCAGGCTTTCCATCCCCATACAGTCTTATTGCAGCTGCCAACTGCCGCCTCTTTGAGTCCCTCAGCATTTCTGACAGGCGATGGTTGTCTCCCCCCGCCTTGATCCCCCCCCCCCCCGCTACTACAGCTTCCACATAATTCTCCCGGTCCGCGAGTTTCTGGGCGAGGTCGGCGGCCTTGGGAGAGCCGTCTTGATTGTAGTTCCAGGAGGGGTCCATCGCAGGCGAGGAAACTGTTAAAAGGGTCAAGGGGGAGTCTGCGAATATCTCCCAGGCCCCCCGCGAAGGCAGTCTCCCAGCCGATGACGCCGGTGATGTGGTAGGTGTCGTCGACGATCTTGTTGTTGTTGTTGTTGTTGTTGTGGCCAAAGCCGCCGCGGCAAAGGGGAGATGGGCCGCGGTCGAGGACAGAGAGACTGCTGGCTGGCTGGCTGGCTGGCTGATAGGGCCGGGGGACGACGAGGCCGATAGAAGGATTTCGTCGGCGGATGGGCCTGTCGCCTCTCGTGGCTTTTCCTGTGCCGTTTCGAATCTGGCGTGCTCCGCCCATGCTTGGAAGGACCCGGTCTCCGTGTTGGGTAGACCACCTAGCCCGGGAATTGGGCCCTTCTCGCACGTGCCGTCGGCGTCTAAGGAGACTATTGTGCCAACCTGGGGCGGCTGTGACGGCGGACAGCTGAAGCTGGCGCGAGGGCATCGGCCTAGGGCGTGGTCCCCAGGAGAATTTAGTATAGTCTGGACCTCTAACCAGTAACTCCCTCGCCAAGCCGCTCGTATGTATAACCATCCATTTCAGCTACGACAGTTTTTACACAAGCCTATATCAGCAGCTACAGGTGTAGATTGAGGGACGGGTAGGGCAATGCTAACAATGGTCGCCAAGCAACAGGCACAGACACAGAGAGGCGTGAATCCAGGAAACGGGCTAGGTGTGAGTTGTTCCGCTCTGGCAAGCTACCTAGGTATTTCGCTGTGGCTATTTGAGTATAGAACTGTAAGTCTGATATACTATATTTGAAACGTATAGAAGAATAGGTAATTTATTAAGTAGTTGATAAGCTGCTCCTTCCATAGAGGCTTATACCTATAAACACCTCTTTGTAACTTGACCTGTCCAGCAGCCAGGCTGCTGAAAGTTGTACCGAGGACTCTCTCACGACTCTGAGTATTGTGAGTGCAAGCCAGCTTTGGGGTGTTACAGTTCGAACCCATTCAATACGGAAGGTACCGCAACAAAAACACGTGTGAGCAAGGTCCCAATACTGTACATCCCTAGGTACCTGGTACTTAAGTACTTAATATGAATGGATGGCATTTCCCTAACCCCTCCCTCTGTGGTGCCTGTGCCAGGTGGAAAAGACACGCCCAGCGCAGCACAGCAACATTCTGAATAAGCTCTCACACCGGGCCGAGCGGCCCACCAGAGACAAGCCTCAGGATGCTCCGCTCCGCCCGCCGGCCGCGGCCCACCCGCCCGGTAGCTTCAACCTCTCGACCTGGAGCTCACATCCCACCTCCGCAGCGGCACAGCACAACCCAGAAGCCTCCCCTCATCACATAGCAAATGAACCGACTCCTGCCCCGCTGCAGCCCTCTGCTCCTCCGCCCAGCCAGACACCACCGCCACCGCACACCACCCATTCCCCGCCGAGCCGCCGCCAGGATGGACTACTCGACCGTCCCCACCCCGGAGCGGTGCTACGCCGACTTCTGCCTGGTCCCGGTGCGTGTGTCTGTCACCTTTATACGGCTATCCAACCACACGAAACACCCACCTGCCTTTCTCAGACTGACAGCCCTCACACAGGTCGGCACCGGCAACCTGTCGGTGGCCAAGGAGGTCGCCGAGGTGCAGAGGCTGCTCGCGGCGTCGGGCCTGGCCTACACGATGCACTCGGCCGGCACGACCGTCGAGGGCAGCTGGGACGAGGTCATGCGCGTCATCGGCCAGGCCCACTCGGTCGTCCACGCCGCCGGGCCCCAGCGCATCCAGACCTCCATGCGGGTCGGGACGAGGTGGGTGGTCCCTCTGCTTTGGGTCGGGTCGCAACCTAGAGGGCCCAGACACTAACATGCATGCGCCCGCAGGACGGACAAGAAGCAGACTGCTGCTGACAAGGTCAAGAGGGTGGAGGACTTGTTGGCGGAGCAGAAATAGGCCGTCTGTTATTGCTTTGTTTGGGTTCCACTTTCGGCCGGCTGATATGTTTTGCTGGCTGGGTGGGTGGCCTTGTGGAGGCATGAGACCTGGGATGCTGCGGTGGAGAGCACCTGGTCCAGAGGGGCCGTGTGGTCATGTCAAAGACACGCGAAGGCACAACTTCATATGTAAGCTACCGAAATACCAAGGTCGGATTGCCCTCCTTGCCCGCTACACGCCCTAATCGGGTATCCACTACGCGGCCATGTCATTTCCCGTAACCTCATCTAAGATGCCCTTTTATTAGATACCTGCCTATGGGGTCGGTCTAGAGAGGAACCCGCTATAGAAAGGTCTTGTGTTGTCGGTCTTACTGTGGGCACAAGCTGGAGAACACGAGCAAACTGAGAATCATGTGCCAAGCTCGGTGCGTCAACAAGCTATAGGCTTGAAAAGCCCAATGCTCGGGGAATCAGCCCACACAAGGAGACGAGAGCGGTCACCGAATTTAAACCGACATGTGATGAAGAGGCGGCAGTGGCAATGGTATATGCGATTATGTACCCAGGTAGGACTCAGGTGGTCCTCGACCCAGACCAGAGCCAGGTCGACCGAACCGACCCCCACATTCCAATATATATATATATCAGTACACCGGCGCGAAGCCTACATGGTTGGGATAAACTTTTGGAGAACGGATATTCGCACAGGAAAAAACGGCTGGTACACAGGTACAAATGCCCCCCGGTGCGCCGACCTTAATTTACACCACCCACTCACCATACAAAACACAAATTTACACTCATTAACTACGCATATCCTTATCAGCCCTCGATTTCTAATCTGTAATCCTCCTATTGTCGCTTCTGGTCTGGTGGTTTGCTACTTCTTTCCTCCTCGTCGCCCAGGGCGCTCTGGCGAGTCCCTAAGCACCTGAATCTCCTCCTGGGTCTCCTTCTCGTCGCCAATGAGGTCCTTTATAGTGAGGTCAACCTGCGGTACTACGAGCCCTCGTACGGGGAGGGAGTGGGTGGGTGAAGGAGAATTGGTAGGTTGCGTGGGTGGTGTAAAAAGCACATGTAGGTGGTGCGTATAGTCGGGGGGGTGGAACGAAGCCCTCTGATTGGCTGCAGCCTAGGGGGGCATTTGTACCTGTGTACCAGCCGTTTTTTCCTGTGCGAATATCCGTTCTCAACTTTTGGGGGCAAGTCCACAACCCACAGGCCAGGAGACTTCTGACCCGTGCCACCCACAAATCGTACAGCGGTCGGTGCCCGTCCACATGGGCGACCTAGCCCCGCGACGTCATCTTCTTCTGCTGCTTCCGCAGCTCCTTCTCGCGCTCCCTCTCGAGGTACTTCTTCTGGCCCTTGGCGTCGAGCTGCGACAGCTCCTGGTCGCGCTTGGCCTTCCTGGCCTTCTCGCGCTCAAAGTTGCGCTCCTCGCTCTTCTCCTCCAGGTCCGCCTTCTGGATCTGCCGGGCCACGTCCTCGCGCACGCTCTTGACCTTCTTGAGCACCTCGGGCCGGAAGTGCGCCTCCTTGACGAGCTGGTCCGTGATGCGCACAAAGTACTGGAAGATGGGCAGCAGGGGCTCGTAGTTGTTGTCCGAGGGCAGGCGGTACTTGAGGAAGATGCGCTTGCGGGGCTGGGTCTCGTCGAGGCTGGGCAGGTGTTAGCTTTTTGTGCGGCGCGGTTGGCTTTGTCTGACTCGGGCAGTCAGATACTCACGTCTTGGGCTTATCGACAGGCTGGTCGGACACAATGAGGTACTCGAAAAGGTCACCAGCTGACTCGACGGCCTTGGCAAGCTCGTTGGTAAGCAGGACCTTTGTGATCTCGGCGCTCTCGCTCATCACAGTCGACCAGATGGGCAGCTTGGCGTTGTCCTTGGTGAAGGTCAGGGAGACATCGAAGCGCTCATCCCGGACCTGCTTCATGCGCTCCTTGTTGACCACAGCCCAGACGAACCCGTCATAGGTGCTCTTGGTGTTCTGGGTCCTCAGCTCGGCGGCGCCGGGGACACCTGGCACTGTCAGGGCCTCCTTGCCGTCGAATGGGTAGATGGCCGCCTCCACGGTATCCTGGGGGGCCGGGAAGCTGTCGAGGAAGAGGCCCAGGCCCCACTCGGCGACCGTCATGAGCGGGTTGAACCGGCGGACGAGGCTGAGCTTCGCGTCCATAAAGGCGATGTTCTGGCGGCCCGTGGCGTACGTGGCGAACTCGAACAGCGACTTCTCCTTGAGGGCCTTCTCAGGCTCGGCAAGGTCGGCAAGGAGGAGGTCGGTCTCGCCATCGCCGCCGCTGGTCGGGGCGTGGCCGAAGCCGACAAGGGCGAACTCGGAGGCCAGGGTCTTGGAGTGCGCCTTCATCCACTTCCTGGCCTTGCTGCGGTTCAAGCGCGAGCCGACGACATGCAGGGTGAAGATGAAGACGATGCAGGCGAGGATGATGCCCTCGGCGCGGAAGTCGGCCAGGGTGTAGCGCTCATCGAGGCGGTACCATTTCGTGTAGGGAGGGGTGGTCGGGGCAGCAGCAGCGGCGCCCCCTGCCAGGCTCGCACCGCCCAGCGGCGTGGTGAAGGCGGGCGAGGGGTCTGCAGCCTCAGCAAAGTCGGCGAAGTCTGCCGGGAAAGCTCGAGGTCAGCGTGGCTGGGCCGTGTCAATTGATTTGCGGGTGCGCGTACCTGAGTCAGCCGAGGGGATTGGCGAAGCTGAAGACTTGCTGCCTCCCCCGAGGAGGTCCTTGAGAAGGTTGGCCATGGTGGGTTGTCTCGCGACCAGGAAGCAATGTCTGCGAGATGGGGTCGTCGGGGTGAAGAGGCGACGTGGTTTGGAAAATCCTACGAGCTTCCAGAGAGGACATTGAAGCTCGGCTTGGCAGTAGCGCGGCTCCACACCAACAAGGTTTGGGGTAGCCCGCCTTGCCCGCCAACGGTGTCACTCAATGCACGGGCCGGGGTATGTCTTACATAATTGGGCACCTCGGGCAGTTGCCCAGCCAACATCTTAGCGGCATATTTACTTTGGCTTCGTCACTGCAGAACCTCACTGACCCATCCCGCCGCCTGAGACGCCTCGATCCAACGCCTACATTCCAACCAGCTCGAAATGCTCAGCAGATGACACCATGCCGCAGAGAACCTCCGTCAGGACATATGGCAAGAGGGCCAGGAAGCCTCAGCCGGGCAAGGCTTTGGCGGAACTGGACGTCAACGTCTCCATGAGCACAACCACTTCCAAGAGCACAGTGTCCGATGACACAGTCACCAAGATCACAAGAAGGCTCAAGGACGTCACCATCCACGATGAACAGACAACCAAGTCATCGGCTAAGCCCAAGGCCGCCCTACCAGCACCGGAGCCTGAGCCAGAATCAGTGCGACTGCCGCCACAGACTCCCAGGAGACTACACCAATTGGAGAAACCAAGCCTGATCCCGACACCGCTGGACATTCAGGAAGACTCCGAGATCCTGACATGGGAGGACGTCTGCCCCTTTGGAGACCGGATCGAGAAGATCGCGGAGGCGTCTTATGCGGAAGTCTACCGCATCACAAACGACCGAGGAACCAGCATTATCAAGGTGATACGTCTAGAGTCGCCAATCAGGCCACAGACGAAAGCCCAGCAGAAGTCCGGCCTTGTCGACGAGGAGCCCCACAGCGAGGATGATCTCGCGGGCGAGCTGCAGATCTCGGAACTGCTGGCGGACATTCCGGGGTTTGTCATCTACAAGGAGAAATACACCGTCCAGGGCAAGACCACGCCGGCGCTCCTGGAGACGCACCAGAGCTTCCACAAGAAGATGAAGCGGAAGGACCCGGGTCGCCTGCAGTTCTACCCCTCGCCAAGCCGATACCTGAACGAGACCAAGTTCCTCGTGGTGGAGCTGGGCGATGCAGGCACGGCACTCGAGGATCTGGAGATACGCTCTGTCGACCAGATATGGGACATCTTCCTGAACGTCGCCGTCGCACTGGCCAGGGCGGAGAACCTGGTGAGGTTCGAGGTGAGACGTCCTCCCCATCGCCCCACAATCCGTGTGTCATACTAACACGCGAGTGGCCAGCACCGCGACCTGCACGAGGGAAACGTGTGCGTGCGCGAGGTCAGGAGCCCGGAGGCCAAGACAGACCGGTCCCCACGCCGCTTTGGATACTCGGGCCTGGACGTGACGATACTGGACTACGGCCTGTCGCGGGCCGAGGACGCCGAGGACGCCTCGGCGCGGCCCATCGCCCAGGACCTCGAGAAGGACCTGGGCCTGTTCACCAGCACCCACGCGCCGCAGTGCAGGGTGTACCGGCAGATGCGGTCGTACCTGCTGAAGGGCGACCGCGTGTGCCTCCCGCCAGAGGCGCACGACAGGCCCTACGAGAAGGGCGTCAACGGGCGCGTGTCGTGGAGGCAGCACCATGCGTATACCAACGTCCTGTGGCTGGCATACCTGTACGAGTACCTGGTCGGGAACTTCAAGGGCGGCAAGAAGGAGCTGGCCGCCTTCCGGCGCGAGTCCCAAGAGTTCTGGACGCACCTCGACCCCGAGGCACCCCCGGAGATACTCTCCTTCTCCAGCGCGGAGGACGTCGTCGAGTTCGCGGTCGAGGCAGGTTGGATAGAGGAAGACCAGCTCGTCGGCCCGAACGGCGACACGAGCTTCTCCCAGGCCGGCGACGAGAGCATAATAGAGATACGGTCGTCGCGGAGGGACGAGGTGAGTCTTAGGAGGTCGCCTAGACGGCGCGTGCAGCCGCCTGTGGGGTGAAGCTGTGCTCTCCCCTGGGGATCCTCGGCCGGGACCCGAACAGTATGCTGCGCATGGTGTTGCTTGATGAAGATCATGATAAAATGGCGATAAGGGGGTCAGGTTTTTGTTTCTTGGGTTCTGCATATTGATACCAGCGGCATAGATGATTTAGGCAGGCAGCGGTTAGTTCCAGCTGGATTCTGCTGTACCAGAGGATTTCTAGCAATTTTGTGACATGATTTCTGTGAACCAAAATGCCGCCGTCATAGGCATTATGGTGTTGGGCTTATAGGAGGTTGTCCATTGGACGATTCCCCTACAGGTCGCAGCCTGTACGGAAACTCAGCCGGTCGACTGGAGCTCTGTCTGTATCGTCATCAACACCTAACTTGCGCTTCTTCCGAAATGGAACGAGCGTTCGATCATTTCGGAACAGCCACTCGAGAAGACGTGAGAGCAAAGGAAACACTCCGTGTTGCCCTAGGGCGTAATCATGAACGAGGCAGATTCTGCCGCATCACACATCGCATCTAGTCTCACCGAGACCTCGGGAGGGTATGGAGTGTGTTGGTCTAGGTGAACGACCTTGGGGGGTCAGGAACAAAGTGAGATCGCGGCCGAAAGGGCTACCTGTAGCCTACAGTTGACGGGAGAAGTGGCTCATGCTAACGCACGAAGGTTTCATTCAGCAAGCGAAACGGGTTACCAAATCTGTATTGAATTCGTCAGGTCAGAAGAATCCATCTCAACTGCGTGGGGAAGCAGATTGACCCATGTGTGTGTTGAGGAATATCAATTGTCCAAAGATCTTGGAATATTTGGAGTATCTGATCCTGTTAGGCAAACCCCACTCGTTCCATTGCATTTCTCCCCTTCTAAAATCATTACAATCTGGGAACTCTGAGAAGAGAGCACCTCATGATACAGGCTCTGCAATCAAGAAGCACTGGTCCATATTGCGCCTCAGTCAACATCAATCACAACCTTCAGGGCGCCGTGCTTGGCTGCGTCACCAAATGTCTCATAAGCCTTCTCCATCTCGCTGAGCTTAAAGTCTGTGTCTCCAATTAATACATTCACTTGGGAAGTGCCATCTGAGTGGTACTCACGGTGGGTGATCAGCTGTGCCGGCTGCAGTTTACCTGCCTGGACAAGCTTCAGTAGCATGGGCGTGGTCGTCGTGTCGACGAGCCTGGTCGTGATGGCTGCATTCCCACGTCAGCTCAGCTCTGCACATCGGGGCTCGTCTCACAGCTACTCACAAATGTTCTTGTCCCAGAGGTTCTGCAGGTGCAGGTCCACCTTGGCCCCGTGGACGCCAACGTTGGCGAGCACGCCACCCGGCGCCAACAAGTCCTGGCATAGGGCAAAGGTAGCCGGGATGCCAACGGCCTCGATGACGGTATCGCACCCCTTGCCCTCCGTCTGCGCCCTGATGCTCGCAATGGTATCCTTCCCGCTGATGACCACATCGGTGGCGCCAAACTTCCTGGCCACCTCGAGCCTGTTGGGATCGGTGTCAACGGCGATGATCCGGGACGGCGAGTACATCTGCGCCGTGATGATGGCCGCCAGGCCGATGGGGCCCGCGCCCACGACGGCGACGGTCGCGCCCGGCTGCACCTTGCCGCAGAGGACGCCGCACTCGAGGCCCGTGGGGAAGATGTCGCTGAGCATGACGGAGGCGGCCTCGTCGGCGCCCTCGGGCAGCGGGTGCAGGCTCGACTCGGCGTGCGGCACGCGCACGTACTCGGCCTGGGTGCCGTCGACCTTGTTGCCCAGGATCCAGCCCCCCGTCGTGCAGTGGCTGTACATGCCGCGGCGGCAGTACTCGCACGTCGCGCAGCTCGAGATGGCCGAGATGAGCACCCGGTCGCCCTTCCGGTAGCGCCGCACCGACGCGCCCGCCTCGTGCACCACGCCCACGCCCTCGTGGCCCAGGATGCGGCCCGGCGCGCACGTCGGCACGTCGCCCTTGCGGATGTGCAGGTCCGTGCCGCAGATGGTCGTCTTGAGGATCTTGACGATGGCGTCTGAGGGGCCCGTGATCGTCGGGATGGGCCTGTCCTGCAGGGAGATTGCGCCGTTGCCGTCGTAGACGAGAGCCTTCATTTTGGACAGGTTTTGGGGTTTCTTTTATTAGCCGCTGGGATTTCAACCTGTGTGGCTAATGTGCCTGGAGAAACGGTGAAGCTGGGAACCTTGGAAGCTAGGAGCTTGCCTCAGCGTGGGTATTAGTCTTCCGGCATATTGTGGACCATCTTGTTGGAGATGAGGGGGCTCCATGGGGAAATGGAGTGCCATGGCATATCTATCATACGATGCTCCTGGCTCCGTGGGCCCGAATAACGGTACCCCTCAAAGACAACCTTGGAATGGAACATGACGATCTGAGGTCTCCATGTAAACCACTTTGGCGTTTTGCAGCAGCCAAGTTCGGCCCACCCAGAGTGCCGGGCCATCCACAGGCGACAACACTTCTATGTGTGATATTTCGCATACACTGGGCGATTTTAATTTCACTTATTCGGTTCCCATGAGGTACTGCGAGAGTAACCAGCATGAATGTCAGCTCACGATGGCCAAGACGGCTGAGCGGAGTTGGAAATCTTATACCGTACTAGGTGGGCCGATTCGGGCCAACTTTGTCGGTTCTCCGCTGCGTGTTCGGTTCAAGGTCGGCACCCAACAACCGAATGCAAAACCCACCTCGTCCTTGGGCTTCTCGAGCTCACAAAACAGTGCTTCCAGATGATTCACTTGCGTTCTGGAAATGGTCGGGCTCCTCCCGCCCACGAAAATCTCAGCAAGAGCCAGTAACACGGGCAGCAAATGATTTGAAATCGACGGGTGGATTTTCTTAATGTCTGAGATTATTCTAACTACTTTGAAGTTATCTTAAGTTTGATTCTCACATAGTTCCAAGCTCTCTGACTCAGATGTTCTTGTAAGCCAGCCACATGTATAATGTCCTCGGACGTATGCGGAATAGAAGCGAAACCATTATTAAGCCATCCACGATTTCCGCAGGACGATCGATCGAAGGAGACCACCCGGGAGTTTTATGCCCAGGCAGCGCGGGCAAGGATGCAGGGCTGGAGGCTTGTCTGATCTTCTGCAACCCTGAATATGCTTAATTCTGCCTGACATTCTAATAGCTATTGCGGAGGTAATAGTCTTGTTTCGACTTGGCCCAGAGCACTCAATGCAACAGACCCAGCAGTGAGGCGAGAGAGACCAACGGCCAAGATGCACACGCGAACCTGAAGTCTTGGGGTGGGAATACCGAGTCTCGACAGAGAAGCTAACATCAGGTCATGCCAGGCAACGCATTAAAACCTACTCACGGTGCTGCGTGCCATCCTGCCGGCCCAGAACCCCACTGTCAGAGCTCATCATCTGACCACAGCTCGCCCAGTCTGGCCAAGTAACATTTGAACAAGTCCTCGCACGCTCGTACACACGCAGCAGGGGGAGAAAGTGCTGGGTCAGGGCTTGAAAACGACCAATCATCCGATCTACAAAACGATGAGCGTGAAACGGTTTCTCGGCTCCGCCAGGAGCATAGGATGCCAACCCCGTCGTCCATGATGTCCTCGCTGACTTGCATGAACGCTCTGACGCTTCTTAAAATCTGTTCCGTCTATTCATGCTAACCTATCTAGTTGCCAGGATACCTAGGTATAGAAGACCGAACGCGGGGAAGAAAGCAATCGGACAGGCCAGAAGTTTATACAGGGTATGAGCCTGACCGGGACGACTCCTTCGGACCGTTTCTGTACATGTAGTAGAAAATGAGCTTATTATACTGAGAATCGGACGCCACACGTGCAGGCCCGCACGCCTGACGTCTCATAGACCAGGGGACATCCACGCAAGAACAACCACCACCAAGCTGACAAGCGCAGCAGCCCGCCGCCCAGGGAGGTGGTAGGACCCGGCCGCAGTCACGGCCTGCGCGAGAGTCGCCTCGCCACCAGTAGTAGCAGCAGCAGCAGCCGCGACCGGGCTCCCCTCCGGCGCAGCATCAGCCTGCGCAGCCGACGCGTCCAGCGGGAAGCGGTCGAGGAACCTGAACGTCCGCAGGCCGTCCTCGAGCTGGGTCGCCAGGCCCTCCACGTCCGCGGCCCCGGCGTTGATGACGCCCGGGGTGGTCGGGATGCCCACCATGGACAGGGCGGCGGACGCCGAGCCCACGGCGGCGACGGGCTTGCCCCACCTGTAGCCGTCGATGAGGATCTGGCTGGGGCGGCCGAGGGGGAAGAGGGTGTTCTGCAGGAAGGGCTGGAAGAGGCCCTCGGCGCCCTCGGCGACGACGATGCCGTCGAACCCCGAGGCGTCGGACTGCGAGTAGGTCGCTCCTATGCCCGCGGTGAGGGACTCGCCCACGATGGTGGCCACGACACCGCTCTGGGACAGGCGCTGCTGGATCGCCGTCGCCTGCTCGACCGAGGTGGGGTTGGCCGTGCTGGCGAGGATGCCGACGGACAGGGTCGCGACCGTGGGGAGGGGCACGCCGAAGATGTTGAGCCCCGCCGTCTTGTTGTCGTGGTAGAACGTCGGGTCCGGCGCCGGCGCCTCTATTGCGAGGGCTGTGGCGACGCGCACCGCGAGGTCGTTGGAGATCCTGTTGAGCTGGGTGACGATGTTCTGCCGCACCACGGGCGACTTGACGTTGCTGGTCTCGAAGCGGATCGCGTTGACCAGGATCTGCTGCTCGGGCGGCGTCAGCGAGTTGAGGAACAGGCGAGGCTGGCTCCAGTGGTCGTTGAAGCTCGGCGACAGCGCCCGCACCAGGTTCCCGCCGATCTGCCGCTGCGGAGCTGTCATGAAACCGCGCCCTTGGGTCGCGTTGGCCTGCATGGGGACCCCTCCGCCAAGGGCGCTCGGGGTGTAGTGGAAGATGTTCTTGTGCACGAGGTTCTGGCCTGCGCCGTCCCGGTTGTTGTTGTTGACCCTTGTCCGGGGACGGTTGATGGGCAGCTGCTCGAAATTGGCATTGCCATGCCGGTTGAGCTGAGTGTCAAGGTAAGAGAAGATGCGCCCTTGCTGGTGTTAGTCATTGATCTTGTGTGGTGCCAAAGTTCAAAGCTCACCTTGTAGGAGAGGGTCCTCGGTGAAGTCGATGCCACGAACGATGTGCCCGGGTTGGAACATGACCTGCTCCACCTCGGCGAAATAGTTGGTTGGGTTGACATCGAGCTTCATCGTGCCCAACACCTGGAGGGGAGCAAGCTCCTCCGGGAGGATCTTTGTAGGGTCGAGCATGTCAAAGCCAAAAGCCTCGGCCTGACTTTCGTCGACTATCTGGACAGCCAGGTCCCACTCGGGACCATTTCCGGACGCGATCGCATTCCAAAGATCAAGACGATGAAAGTCTGCATTCTTGCCATTCAAAACCTGGGCCTCCTCCCAGAGAAAACTTGCCTTTCCCTGCTTTGATTTCCAGTGCCACTTGATAAGTCTGGAAGTACCATCATCCGTAACCATTCGAAACGTGTGGACGCCAAAGCCATCCTAGTAAACGAGTCAGATTATTTGCAGTACGAAACAGCGTTCCTGTCTGGGAGGTGCTCACCATGTGACGGTAGGAGCGGACGATGCCAAAGCCGGACATGGCCCACAGCAGCGTGTGAAGGGTGGACGGCTGAGAACTAAAGAAGTCCCAGGCGCTGTCGTGGGCAGTGGCCGCTTGAGGAATCTCGCTGTCCGGGCTGGGCTTCACTGAATGAACAAGATCGGGAAATTGAATGGCATCTTGGATGAAAAACACGGGGACGTTGTTCCCAACGATATCTAGGAGCTGTCAGCTACAAATCCCATGAGCTGTAAGTGTGCTGCTGAGCCTACCGAAATTGCCCTCATCAGTGTAGCTGGATATTCGCACGCACATTAGCTCTCGTCGACGATCACCACACAAGAGACCCGTACCAACTCACAATCGCGTGGCAAACCCATGTACGTCCCTGGCCAGGTCCGCACTGCCTCTTGATCCGGCGACGGTGGAGAAGCGCACAAATGTCGATGTGCGTTTTCCCTGGCCATTGAGAAAAGACGCCGAGGTGATGTTGCTCCAGTCACCATTGGACGTGAAAGTGCCGTAGGCGCCGGCACCCCGGGCGTGCACGGCTCTCTCGGGTACCTAAAAAGCGACGATCAGATACAAGGCGCCCCAGACACGGACGCTCCAGCTCGGCTCACCCTCTCGTGGTCAAAGTGCATGATCTTCTGGCGGAGGATGAAATCCTCCAGCACAGTGGGCCCCCGAGCACCGGCCCTCAGGCTTGCCTGGTCCTCTATGGGCCCTCCGGCATCTGAGGTCAGGAAAGCCCCTGTGTCGTCTACTGAAAACTGCTCCAGAAATTCCGCGTTCCCGCCTGGAGGCGCTGACTGGTCTTGTCTTGCGTGTAGCGTAGTTGGGTCGCTGTTACGTTCCATCATGGGACAAACAGCGGACCCCAGGCTTGAGAAAGCCCCGGCGAGGAGCCATAATGATGGTTTGCCCATCTTGCGTCTTGCTCGCGAAAATGAGTGTAGGTGAGGAACGAAAAAGACAGTTCAGTAAGGCACCAGCCGGTGAAGTCAAAGATCGATCATCCAAAGAGCTGGGAGAGATGAATCAACACAACGGGCTGGCCTGAAGATATATGTCATGTCCAGGGTGCAAAACGTCCCTTGAACTTCTAGAAACATGCCATCAGATTCGGTGTCACTTTGTGCCTGACAGCTTGAGTTTACAGGCTGGGCCCATGCGTTGTCGCAGCCATCTTTAATGTTGCAGACCGGACGCGCGCTTCGACCCCAAGGAAATCTTGTCCGCGGCTCGACGTATTGCTAGATCGAGCCATTAAGACGAGAGTCCATATCAAAGAGTACCTTCCTCTTTGACGTCCTTGGCGACTGATTGGCGCAGCTCTTGATCGCGGAAAGCCCCGCTGTGGTCTCCTATTCGGGCATGATTGGCATCTCGTCTAATGTTGCTGATCTTTGCCCTCCACCCTTGTGTTGTCTATCAGGCCACCTGCCCGGGCAGTGGATGGGGGGCGAAGAGATGAAATTCGTCCGTGACACGGCCGTGAGACCTGGCGATCTTAAGTCTTGGCGTGGTTGACACATCGGATATGGACTTGTACGACGGTTGCTGTGAGAGATGCAAAGATTAATCAGGGAAGTTGATAGACCACCCAGGGGAACAAGATGTTTTCTGCAGGCATCCCGCTCAGAAACCCGGGGGCCGGGTCCAGGGGTCAGCCGGAATGTGCTGCCTGAGAATTCCACATTCGAAACAATGCCGTGCCGAAGCTCTTGAGTGGTGGGTGGAAGAGTTCCCTGTGACACGGATCACACCAACCACACGGAATCACATGCACCAGCCGCTTGGAGGACGCGTGGATATGTGCTCCGAAGGCGGCTATTAAATCTGTTGCTGTCCCAGATGTCAGAATACTGACGACAGTTATCAGGGAATGAGGTTTCCTACAACACATGGGCTGGTAGATCACTGACCGACTGGAGAGATTTCAAATCCCTCCAGCACACGTCATTGGGCACCATCTACCAGGGGGGGGGACAGAAAACGACAAGTCAAAATAAGAATTTCACAGCTTTGACAACAGAGCGAGTGGAAGACGAACCAGAAGTGCTTGGCCACCTTGGCGAAGCCCATCAGTTCGCCGGCCCCACACAAGCTTTAAGTTTAAGCTCTGCTCTCATGTTCGTAGTAACCTTGGAAGTGCATGCCTAGTGTACCGTCTTTCTCAATTTTCGGAAGGCGCCGAGCAGACCCATGAAGTGACTGAGGTGGTCGGAACCTTGTTGACGGCCGCTGCGGCATAATTCTCCATTCGGAGGATTCCAAACGCTAGCGCCCTTGGCCTGCTCGGTGTCTCCTGAAAAAAGCAACGACCCGGGAGCTTCGTAAGCCCTGCGTTTGGCAATGTTGGTGATTCCAAATGACATTGCTCGAGTCCACTCTTCTTCTGTCCTACCGCAGTGGAGTCCGTGCTGGGATGTCTTGGTTGGTGTTGGTAAATCGGACGTTGTCCTGGCCCTGGCACAAGAGGACATGGTACATCCTTTGTTTCGGGCTGAACACTGCGTGATCCCGGCTGCCAGGTTCAACCCATGCCCCCTTCTGTTCTTGAAATCGGGTAAGATCTGGGGACATTGGATGAGATGAATTGTTGCAACCATACCTTATCACGGAACGGCCCTTTCCATACGTCCACCGGCGATAGACAGGAGCGCCGCTGGGTCGTGCGTCTGTTGGACCACTGGGATTCAGCACCTGGAGAGCGTTTCCGACGTCCACGCACCTCATGTGAAGATCAACGAAAGGTTTTGAGATGAATCAAATGTATTCGAATTTTTGTAAGGTTGAAGAAGGTGGTGACCTAGGAAACAATTGCCATGAACACTGAGGCGCTTGGTTGAACAGCCGAGTAAGAGTCAATGTACCTGTGATCTTGTGGCTGCTCCCAATGGTCGGCACCCTGTTTCTGAACCAGATAGTTGAAGAGATCTGTAAGAAAACTGGGCCCGCTCTCTTTGAATAACTTTGAAGAGTGGGTGGTGTTTGTACAGAACACATGTAGCAGTAAACAGAATGGTCGAAATGTCAACACAAGCTTGTAGCAACGCCTGAGGTGTGTACGAGTGGCTATGAAGTATGTTGAAAATAAACAGAAGTGATTGAAGCTGACGTAGAAGGCGGACATCTCGGGGTGCTGCCCAAGGGGGACGAGCAGCCCATGATAGCAGTAACTGTCGCTACGTGGAAGGTGCGTTGGGTAGGTAGACTCAGCTGCTCCTGTCTCCCAGAGGAGCCCCCTCGGAACTTAGCAATAACGAAAGTTGGAAACCCTAGCTTGGTCTGCTAACCAGTCGGTCATATCAGTACTAAATCCACGCCTTGAGGTTGTGGGTACATCCATCTTCCTCTTGGCTTACTATGAGAAGAGATCCGACTGAAGTATACCAGGGGGCGACTGGAAGTTTTCACCTAAGTTTGGATTGCAGAAGGATTCAACTAACTCACATCAAATTAAAAGCCTTAGAAACTCCCCAATTAATCCTAACCCAAATCGGACTCCACATAGGGCCGTTTGTTCGTTTGTTTTCCCCTTGGCTGCCACCTCGAAATCAAACCCCAAGCCCAAAACCTCAATTCCGTCAGAACTCAAGGCTGTAATTTCAACACTCAAACCCATTTGGTCACCGACTCACCACCGTGACCGTCTACCCTAGACATCACATGCCACCTTACCTCAATCTTTTTACCTCCCCTCCTCCCCACACGCAACAGACAGCAAACGTGTGGTTTGGTGCGAAGAGCGCACACAAGCCACACAATCACCATTGACACCACTGTCACAGTAAGAGTCCAAGGAACCAACGGTGCCTGTCAAAAACTACCCCCACCTGAATCAGCAATTTGCGATCCCAAGGGGCAAGCAGACAAAACCACTTGCAGGTAGGTACCGCAACCCCTCCACCCTGTTGGACTCCGTTACTTCTACTGGAGAAGGGCTGCTGAGACTGGAAAAATCACAGAAAGCACCGAAACCATGGCAGAGACATTCCACCCCTTTCCCGACCTTCCCAAGGAGCTGCGGCTCAAGATCTGGGAGCAAGCCCTGACCGAGGCGCGCCCCGACCGACGCATCATCGTCTACGAGAGTCGTGTGGTCCCGTTCAAGCAGTCCATCAGCTCACTCCTGCTCGTCAATTACGAGTCCCGTACCTGCGCCAAGGCCTTCTACGACGTGAAACTCGACGTCTATGCGATTCCGTCGCTGACTGACTGCCAGATCGAGCGTTTGGACAAGAAGACGCACTGGGAGCGATTTCCGGACATCGAAAGGGCAGTGGACGGCAAGATCCACGGCTACACTGACGAAGTTGTCCGAATGAAATTTAACAACGAACGTTTCACTGCGCATAAGGAGCTGAGTGATGACCTTGGCAGGTACATGGACGATCGTTTGTGGAATGATCGCCGCAGGGACACTGACGATGATTTGCGCAATTATCGCCGGTTAAAGAAGGAACTGCTCCTCAAGATCGATCTTAAAGAGAAAGAATACACTGTCGATCTGGAGGAGCACTGGGCTGCATACGTTGAAGAACGACTGTGGGAGTTAGGATCAGAGTCTGCTGCTAAAGCCGAGACATCGGGGCTGAGCAAGGGCGCATTCTACATCAGCCCCGAGCATGACATCTTCATCGACGGCTATGAGTGCGGAAAGCACTTCTTCAACATTGACGATGCCTCCAAGATCTTCGGCACCACATTGGAGCCAAGACTTACATGCCGTCACATCTCGGAGACTTTGTGCGCTGCTACACGAGAAAGAGTCTCCACCCCCGTGGAAGTGACGAGAGGCCAGCCGACTAATAAAAAGCCTCACTGTGCCTTCAGGGACAACGACCTGTTGGAGTATTGTCCCCCATACAGACCTAGGGGGGTTGAAGACAACTACCCATCGATCACGTCTTACTTCAGTTTGACGCCTTACTCATTCACCCCACCCGGCTTTCTTCAGCAACTTATAGAGGCGGACGGAACCGAACTCTCCAAGATCCTTGGGGTTTGGGTAAAAACGGGGAATTTATATCCAGACAAGCCTGGAAGGGTTTTCTGGACCTTCACCCAGACGAAAGGCTTCACGTGCCATGACCCGCTGTTGAAACATCGACATTCCGTGTCAGTAGACTGGACGCATGAGATGATGGCGCACTGGAGAGTCGGACAAGCCAGAGTGCTTTATTCAATGCAATGCATGCGCCCCGTCCCAACGGATTAAATCGAGCAGTAAGTTGAGGGAAATTCACGAGGTCGCACTTTGAGCAGCGACGAGGAAAGAAGAGCCGCAAGTCTCGAAAGCTCTTCACGGGATCCTTCAGAGCAGTCGATGGGAAATACACCGGAATTGCTTGGGGAGGGGGGGGGGTTCCTGACACAGCTATAGACCCAGACACCATACCTCACGACTCGACGGGGCTAATGCTCTTCGCGGGCTATACTTGCGGATACTGACATGGGGGGGGATGTGGCCAGGCGGGACATTTTAATTTGACATTTCGAGCTGCATGCTCTGGGCGGAGCGCTGGAAATCAGCGAGACAGCGCTCCCGGGATGTCTGCGAGGATTCCTTCTACCGCTACGAAATTCGTGATGATGGGGGAACCACACATAGAACCAAATACTACTGTACTACTGTTTGTAAGTTGCTATAGTTTACATGTGTCTATCATTAATTCTTGTGACTTCCTTACAACCCGGTGATGGTCTAGTGTTGAATATGGCTCCCTGGCTGAAAGTAGGATGCACTAGAACTAGCCTCGTTCATAGTTGCGTCCTAGGGTAGCACGAAGTGTACCCTTTGCTTGTATATCGTCTCGGGTGGCTATTCTAAAATAATTAAACGCTTAGTTATTTTGGGAGAAGCGTAAGTTAGGTGTTGATGATGATATAGACAGATTTCCTGATCGACCGATAGAGTGCAGCTGCCAGGAAGTTAACTAGAAGTGGCTTTCCCTGTGTGGAGTCCAGTTTGGGTTAGAATTAACTAGGGAGTTTCTAAAGCTTTTACTTTAATTTAAGTTAGTTAATACCACTATATAAAGGCGCCATGTATATCCTCGGATCAATAGATGTATACGGAATAGAAGCGGAACCACTTAAGTAGGTACAGCATGAAGTGATCTCGGTCAGGCCTACTAAGTGTGGACAAGGTTAAGTCCTACAACCGAAATTTCCAGATTTTATCCATTTACATCCACAAGAGCCTCGCAGGAATATGCAACAAGTACTACGCCACTGATTCCGGAGCGCAAGATGTCGGACTGGTCGCGCTTCGAGGCACCCCAATTCGGGTTTTCTCAAAGGCTTTGCTGTGGTTCACAACTGGGCCACACCACAAGAGGAGCAAATTGGACGAGCTCAAGCCGTTGGCTCAACCCGGGCCTCGCGAATTGCGCCAGTCCACTTCGCCACCGCCTCTGGGGTGGACTACATGGCGCACAGCTTGGTTGATATCTGGTGCGTGACCTTCCAGAATGGCAATACCGTCGACAGCGCTCGGTTATCTGAAGACCTTAACGTTACCACATCCTCACAATACCAAGCTAGTGCCGCGGTACAACACCAGACGAGCTCCCGGCGCTCTTTCCAACCAGCAGCCACGAGGACACGGCTGCCGTCCCCGACCGATTTGTGCCCGGATCATTGGATTTCCGTGCCCCATTCACCCCCAGACCTTCTGCAGCAGTTTTCAGCTGGGCCAAAGGGTCTGAAAGGATGTGGGACTTGAAGTTCCTGGTGCGGACTGGGAAAACTTACAATGATTGTCACTTTGTGAAGCCATATTTTCCCATTGCTAAATAACACGAGGCGCGTAAGAGACAGGTCAAAAGCCAGGCAAGTGTCCCTGCACCCATCCCCCGCGTCTCCATGCCACGGTGACTGACCTATGATGGCAACAGCCTCCGAGTCCCCTGGTGGCCGTCTTCCTCACCGCCGGAGACCACGCAAGAGGACTGGCCACACATGTGCAGCGGGTGTCGAGGCACTTCAGATATGGTGGCGCCGCAGGCATCGGCATCCAAGTGGGCCCTTGGACGCCACGGAGCCTGTCTGTCTCTGCAGGAACCACTGCCGGCCTGGGCCATATGTTCGGGACTAAATATCGCTCTCAAGCCAGTGTCCCGGATACCGCCTGTACTTGACAGGCTCGTAACATTGTCCGACCTGACACTGACGGCCGCTTTTGAAGAAAACGGTCAAGGCTCGCTTGGGGGTTGTTCCTCAGAGACCGAGTTGCCGTGCCTCAAGCTGTTGAGTTAGCCTTGTGGGGAGTGATCCACAACGCAAATCCTCTGCACGCTTGACCCCATAACCACTACGACCACGGGCCGCATCCCTTCTTTTCCAGTGTCCGGGGGCCTGTCTACAGCGGCATGGGTCTCATGTTGATCTTGGACAGGAAGCCTGCAAGGGCGATACACTGAGACTGGCCAGGGATTTTGTTCCAGAGACAACGGAAGTCTGCCCCAAGCCGAGTCAGTACACCATTTCAACCGAGTGTCCCTGTGTCTTACTTGGTTTATGCAATTGTGCTGTGAAGCAGCGGAGCCAGGTCGCAGGACGACGTGGTGCACCACGAACAGATTCCGAACCACCAGCAGCCTCGGGCCACCTTCCATCCCAGGCCTAGGAGCCCCGACATGATTGGTTTGCCACATCAGGTCCTCGCATCCCTAGTAGATATCGAATGGTGGCTGAGAAGCCGGGCCAGGTACACAGTGGGCCAAGATCTGGACCCAGTATACAGCAATTGCATTCACGAGAGAGGTACAATATCTCCCCTGCCTCCGACTTGGTCATGGATTCTCCCACAACCAGCCCTCTTCCCTCCCTTCGAGGCAAACAAACCTGAGGCATCGAGCATCCGAAGCGCGCCCGCCCAGCTGCCATGCCTCGATTTACAATTTTCATCGCAGCCCAGCTCGCGGCGGCTGCTGCTGTTACGCAGGGCACGAGCCCTGCTCCGTCAGACCCAGGTGAGAGAGAGAAGCCCACGGAGACGGCGCGCGGAGACTCCCTCCTCCATCCAGAAGCCTCCTGTTCCTGACTCTCAAAACACCTCAGCAGCACCATTCCCAGCCGTGGAGATCGTGAAGGATGCCGCCGCCGCATCCGGGGTGGGCTACTTCCCCTACGAAAAGTCCCAGCTCACACCAGGGGTCCTCAGCAGCGTGGCGTCGTACCTGGGGACGCACAACGGCAGCGGCAGCGGCAGCGGCGCCGACGCCGCCATGTTCGATTTCGCCAGCGCCAGCGACGCGCCGCCGGAGGGGGGGTGGTCGCAGAGAGGCTGCAAGGCGTACCCGGGGACCGCCGCGTGGCCGTCGGACCCCGCCTGGCGGCTGTTTGGCCTCGTGCTGGGCGGCGGCTCGCTCATCGAGGGCGTCCCGGCCGCGGCGGTCTGCTACCCGGACTGGCCGCGGTATTACGACGAGGCAAGGTGCGCCGAGCTGGGTGTCTCGTGGACGGACCCGGCCTGGCGGTAGGCCCCCTTCCCCCGCCGCCATACTTCCGCACTTCGGTTTGTTGCGTAGGAGGATTTCCTGACGCGATGTGCCTGCCCACAGCGCCGCGCAGCCCACCGAGGTCGACTGGCCCGTCTTCGAGGGCATGTCGTGCCTCCCGCCCGGGCTGGGCGCCTTGCTCTCGCGGCCCAACTCCACGTGCGAGCTCGGGGGCATGCCGGCTTTTGTCGTGAACGTGACGAACGGTACGCATCCTGCCCATTTTCTTTTCGCCTTTCAGCTAGCCAGCCATTCCTCGTACTTACATGACATAGTCGCCCAGATCCAGCTCGCGGTGAACTTTGCCCGCAACCTCAACGTCCGGCTCAACATCAAGAACTCGGGCCACGACTTCAACGCCAAGAGCACGGGCGGCGGGTCGCTCTCGGTGTGGACCCACCACCTGCAGGACATTGAGTTCCTGGGCTCTGGGTACCGGTCCTCGTCCGGGGCCGGGGGCCCGGCGTTCAAGGTCGGGGCTGGCATCACGACGAGGCAGATCTATGACGCCGCGCACGAGCAGGGCTTGATGGTCGTGGGTGGGATTGCACGCGTAAGTGGCCGTGGATATGTGGCTGAGTGAGAGAGGGCGGTATGACTGATCACGCTGGTGTAGACTATTGGACTTGCTGGTGGGTATACCGCCGGTGGTGGGAACGGGCCCTTGATCAACAAGTACGGCGTGGCGGCCGACCAGGTGCTCTCGATGGAGGTTGTTCGTGAGTCGGAATCTCCAGCAAGCCTTCATTCTGGTTTTGTATGGTGAAACCCGCTGACCTGACTCTATGCAGTCCCGGACGGGTCATTTGTGTCAGCGGACGAGAAGACTAATCCCGAGTTATTCTTCGCTATGCGTGGTGGAGTAAGTCCCAAGTTCTTCTGTTCTTCTGGGCTGATTCATCTCTTGTCGCAGTGCCATTCCTCGGTACGTTTCAAAAGTTCTAACCAAAAGAACAGGGCGGGAGTACATGGGGCATAGTTACGAGCCTCGTTATCCGGGCCTACGAGGACACGACCATCTCCACACTGACCTACTCCTTTGGATCGGCTGACGAGGACACGTTCTGGGCCGGAGTCGATGCTCTGTGGTAAGTCTTTCTGACTCTTGTAATACGCCAGCCCGATGGTGCTGACCAAGAGGAAACCCGCAGGCAGCAGTTCACGGCCTGGCCTGAAGCCGGCATCTGGAGCTACTTCAGCATGGCGTGCGTGGACGCGGTCAACTGCACACTCTCGATGGCGCCCCAGGTCGCCCCGGGACTGACGAGATCAGAGCTCGAGGGCCACAACGCAGCCCTCTTCGCGAACCTCTCGGCGCTGGGCATCGCGGCGGACGACGTCTCGTACAGCGAGCACACGGGGTTCATGGAGATGTTCGACGCGGCCTTCCCCGACACGGCAAACACGGCAGGCTACTGGTACTTCCACACGACGTCGCGGTTCTTCCCCGAGCGGAACTGGCAAGGGCCGCAGGCGTTCGCGGCGCAGTCGGCCGCCGTGCGCAACACCACACAGGGCCGCGGCAGCTTCACGGGGTACAACTCGCGGCCGGCGGTCAACGGGGGCGTCAGCCAGGACAACGCGGTCAACCCGGCGTGGCGGGAGGCGCTGGTGTTCGGCATGGGCAACGTGGTGTACGGGCCCGGCGACACGGCGGAGGAGATGGCGGCGGCCAACAGGGAGATGGTGGACGCGTTTGCCGGGTGGCGGGCCGTGAGCGACGGCACGTACCTCAACGAGGCCGACATCAACGAGCCCGGGTGGCAGGGGTCGTTCTACGGCGCCAACTACGGCCGCCTCTACGAGCTGAAGCGCGAGGTTGACCCGTGGGGGGTGTTTTATGCCACCGGCGCGGTGGGCTCCGAGGACTGGTTCGTGACGGGCCAGCTCGACTATTTTCCCACCGCTGACGGGCGCCTGTGCCCTGTTGGGTCGTGATGTTGTGGGGGGAGGGGGTTGTTTTGCATGTAAATATTGCCGTATAGACTACATAGTCTATGAGATGAAGTGTACTTAAGTATTGAGGCACAGACAGGGGAGGCAGGTCGGGCCGTGTGGGGTGTGGGGGTCCAGGGTAAGGGTAGCTCCAGGGGTGCGGTGGCCGTAGTGTGGGGGTATGGGGGTATGGGGGTCCTGCAACGGCAGAGACGGGGCCGTGTCAAACCCGGGGCTTGTGATACTACCGGCTGACCTTGAACATGCACGAGCATCAACGACACATGACAACTTGTCCAAGACCTCAGCCCGGGATACAGTGGAGGACTGGACTCGCAAAGCCCTGAAACCACCAGCCGCCCTGTGCGCCGTGTAGGTCTGCAAGGGAGGCCTCTCACCTCAACATCCGCTTCCATCCCATCCCATCCGACCCTCCGTCTCCTCCAGATGCCTCACAACACGCCCGCCGGCGCAGAAACATCGTCGCCCCCCACAACACTCGTCGGCCTTCTAAACTCCTTCAGGATGGATCGTCTCAAGGGCATGCTCTACCGCCGTGGCGAGGCCAAGGACGGCCGCGACGCCGACCCAGACGAGTACGCGCCGCTGCGGGACCCGGGCGACGATGCCTCCGAGACCGGCTACATATCCGACGACGGCGAGCTGCTCGACGCCACCGAGGTGCCCTTCTCCTGGGTGGAGTACGCCATCTTTGCCATGGTCGGCGTGGCCATGCTATGGGCCTGGTGAGCTGCTTCTTGTTCTTGTTCTCCTGTCGCGTCTTCGAGGCTGACCATGACCGACCTCCCCAACCCAGGAACATGTTCCTCGCCGCCTCGCCCTACTTTGCCTCCCGCTTCGTCGACGACCAGTGGGCCACCGAGAACTTCCAGTCCGCCATCCTCTCCGTCTCGACCCTGACCAACCTGGGCTCCATGCTCGCCCTGACCAACATGCAGCGCTCCGCCGACTACCCCAACCGCATCAAGCTCGCCCTGCTCATCAACACCGCCGCCTTCGCCCTCCTGACCCTCTCCACCTCCCTCTTCACCGCCGTCCCGCCCAGGTGGTACCTGGCCTTCCTCCTGGTCGACGTCTGCTTCGCCGCCCTGGCCACGGGCCTCTTCCAGAACGGCGCCTTCGCCTTCGCCGCGAGCTTCGGCCGCCCGGAATACACCCAGGCCATCATGGCCGGCCAGGGCGTCGCCGGCGTCCTGCCCGCCCTGGCCCAGATCGTGAGCGTGCTGGTCATGCCGCCGCCGCCGGCCCAGGACCACGACCACGACCACGACACCGGCAGCAGGCCGGCCAGCTCTTCCCCCGACGGCCCCGTGGGCTCCTCCGCCGCCCTCGTCTACTTCCTGACCGCCGTGCTCGTCTCCCTCTGCACCCTCCTGGCCTTCCTGCCCCTGGTCCGCCGCCACGACCGCCTCGTCGAGGCCCGCATGGCCACCTCGCACCCGGACCTGGCCGCCAGCATGCTGTCGGCCCACTCGCACCACGACATCCAGGAGGCCGAGCAGGCCGCCCGCAGGGTCGTCGGCATGCGCGCCCTCCTCCGCAAGCTGCACTGGCTCGCCGGCGCCGTCTTCATGTGCTTCGCCGTGTCCATGTTCTTCCCCGTCCTCACGGCCAAGATCCCGTCCACCAACAGGGGGGCCGCCAGCGGCGGCGGCAGCAGGGTCTTCGACGCCGAGGTCTTCATCCCGCTCGCCTTCTTCGCCTGGAACCTGGGCGACCTCGCCGGCCGCGTCGCCGCCGCCGGGCGGTGGAACGCCGCCGTGCGCACCCGCGCGCCCTCGCTGCTGTTCCTCGTGTCCGTCGCGCGCCTCGGCTTCCTCCCGCTGTACCTGCTGTGCAACGTCCGCGGCCGCGGCGCCGCCGTCCCCGCCCCCGACCTGTTCTACCTCGCCGTCGTGCAGTTCCCCTTTGGCCTGACCAACGGGTGGCTCGCGTCCAACAGCATGATGGGCGCCGCCGAGTGGGTCGGCGAGGACGAGAGGGAGGCCGCCGGCGGGTTCATGGGGTTGAGCCTGGTCGCTGGGCTGGCGGTCGGGAGCCTGTTGAGTTTCACGGCCGCGGGGATTTAGGCGGGCGTCACCTTTTTTTTTTTTGTGTCTTCTTCTTCTTCTTTTTGGGACTTTATCTATAGGAACATCTTGACCTTTTATATGTCCTTGCACAAATTCACGACGTTGGAGTTGGGACGGGACACGCATCTTGCATGGATATGGCGTTTGGTGGCCGGTTGGCCTGGATTGTTACGAGATGGGCTTGTAAGGAATGGTTTGCGCAAGACTTGCGACAAGGCGGCAGCATTATATGTAGGATAGCCTATTATAGGAATGTCTTACATAGAATAACACTCTAAACTTACACAAGTCAACTTCTTATAGGAGCACCTCTAATGAGATGTCATCTTGACCCTATCCAAGTTGATATCCTACAGAACAGCCCCCTATACGTCAACATTCTATAGTATAATCTCTGACAGGCATGACTCTTATGGGAATACCTTCTCGTTCGGTCGGGCAAGTTGTTGAGCTCATATTGTAAGATTTTCAAATCTCGTCGCCGCCCTGCTTTAACAGCGGGTTGCATAAGACCCGCGTCTTGTCCCCGAAGCAGCGCAACACAGACACGAAATCAGTCAGCACATGTATTTTTTGCACCGCGGCCCATCGAGCCTTTTGTCCTACGGCATCCGCTGAGGCGGTCCGGTCCATCAGGGGCCGGTCATATTCGCATGGTACAGCCACCCAGTCTATACATCTTACAATTAGGTTACAGCCCAAGCGAATCCCGCCGGCCAGCCAAGCCAAAAAGAGCAACCAAGGCCCTACAGCATGTCCTTCCTCCACGCCTTGCCCGCCAGCTCCTCGATCTCGGGCACCTCGACGGGGCCCCTGACGCCCTCGTCGCTCAGCGCCTCCACGGCCGCCTGCGCGACGACGTCGACCCTCAGCGGCTTCGCCCCCGCGGCGCCCATGAGCCCGCCGAACACGCCCCGCGTCAGCCCGTTGAACGCGGCCCCGACGCCCGTCATGGCCGCCATGGGGATCGTGAAGGGCCGGCTGCTGTCGTACAGGAACGGCGGGCGCAGGAAGATGCCCCGCATGCGCGGGAACCCGCTCGCGAGGAGCGACTCGGCCTCGCGCTTCGTGTCGATGTACCGCCGCGGCAGCACGGGGGCGCCGCCGGCCGCGCTGACGTACAGGAACGCCGGGCCTGTCGCGGCTGTTGTTGATGATGATGTTGTTGTTGCTGCTGCCATGCCCTCCTCGGCGGCGCGCGCCACCAGCACGGCCGAGTCGCGGTTCATGTTCTCGTAGGTCAGCTGCTTCTCGTTCTCGGGCGGCCTGTAGCTGCCGTTGTCGCCGCCGCGCTCGAGGGGGTTCGGGCTGCTGCTGCCGCCCCGGGACGGGTCGAAGGCCCTGCGCAGCCCTGCGATGGGGGACTCCCTGCCTGACACGACGCCCTTGTAGTCGGCCTCGAGGAGGATGCCCATCGAGTGGACGATGTAGTCCGCGCCCTTGAGCAGCGGGGCGTAGGCGGCGGGCTGGAAGATGTCTGCCGACTCCCATGAGACCTTGTGGGCCCACGACGGGGGTGTTGAGGAGGCTGTGACGGCGGACCATTTTGGCTCGCCGGAGCGGCTGGGGAGGTGGTGGGTTAGTCAGGGGGAGCAGGGCGGGAAATGGTGGGTTTATTTACCTGATGGAGGTGACATCCCACCCCCGTGCTACTGCGAATTTGCAGATCCGCGAGCCCAGGAAGCCGTTGCCGCCGCAGACGACTATCTTCTTGGCTGCTGATTTTGACATGGCGGATTTGGCAGTTTGGATGTGGCTGATACTTGGTTGGCGGGGATTTGAAGGGATATAAGATGGCAGGAGTGAGAGAGAGTGAGTGAAAGTCCAAACTCGGATCAAGTATTAGCACGGATTATCCGAGACCATCACAGAGGTCGGTCGCACGAGAGAAAATATGAGCTAATGGTGTTCCTGCAGCTCAAGGGTTCTCTCTATGATTGTGTCTCGCAGATGAACCCCCGAGTTTTGATTTGTCGGAGTGGGCTGATGTTGAAAGCGCTGCAGAGGATGAGTGAGAGAGCTCTAAGCTCAGATGGTGATGAAATCATCGACCCTGGCTGGAGCTCTCGGAGCTTGAGGCAGGGGTGCCCTTGCAACCCCACGACTCGGTGCCGATCGGCCAAAACTTGGGTTGGATCGACTTGAACGGCCGAGAATCATCATTGAGCATCACATCCTGTTAGGGGTGGAGTGAGTAGAAGAAGTATTGAGGATATTGTAGACTGGATCAATCGGACCCATCCTGCCAGATTCAAAAAATACCAAATTCCCACCCTATTTGATGCTTCTCCAGCAATGCCACAAAGGGGACCAGCCCGTGACTTCGGTCCATGCTACGGTGAGAAGCCCCGGCCTGGCAGCGGGTCGTGTTGTGTCAGTACATGCGTTTTGCAGTGGAGCATGCAGAAGTGGCTCTTGTCTTTAATCCAATTCGCGAAACACTTGGTCTCTGTAAACTTCCCTCTCGATCACACTTCCTCCAAACGCCCCTGCCTTTTTCCTGCTCTCTCTCCAGGCCCCAGACTCTTTGAGCCGCGCCTGCCCGATCCGTCACCGTGTCACCGCACACGCCCTAGGCTGGAAGGAGATACCGTGCTGGTCACACGAGCGCGCCTGCAGCTGCTGCGCTGATTAGTCATCCCCCAACGCCCGCAGTCGCCCACGCCAAAACAACGGCGCCCGCCCTGCGCGCTTGCGCGACCGAAGGAATGTCTCGACATGCAGCTCGCAAGTCGCTCCACACCCTTGACTCCATCATGGCGCCCTCAAACAGCGCCGGCAAGCGCGTCAAGGGAAAACAGGTTTATCGACCATTCATATATGGCACGACGGCCCGCCCCTTCGACCCGGACAAGAACCCAAAGCCCCCGGGCACCCCCGAGGACCACACCCACTCCTGGACCGTCTTTGTCAAGGGGATCGACGACGTGGACATCACGTACTGGCTTAAGCGCGTCCAGTTCAAGCTCCACGAGAGCATCCCCAACCATGTGCGCATGATCGACGGCCAGAAGGGCGAGCCCTTTGCCGTCCACGAGACCGGCTGGGGCGAGTTCGAGATCACCATCAAGATGTACTACGCCCCCGAGAGCAGCGAGAAGCCCCAGACCCTCTACCACCACCTGCGCCTGCACGCCTACGGCTCCGACTCCGAGAAGAACGCTATGGTCGCCAACGCCGAGGTCCCCGCCTGGGTCTACGAGGAGCAGGTCTTCAACGAGCCCTACGAGGCCTTCTACGACATCCTGACCTCGGGCGCCATGCCCCCCAGCGACCCCGCCGCCGCCGCCACCAGCAAGAACAACAAGTCCGGCGCCAAGGGCGGCAAGGGCGGCCCCGCCAAGGACGCCGCCAGCCCGGCCCCCAAGCGCAGCGAGGGCGGCGTGCTCGAGCGCAGCGCCATGATACCCATGCACACCCGCCCCGGCCAGCCCTTCAGCGCCGAGGCCGAGAAGCTCGAGGTCAAGAAGCTGCGCGACGCCCAGGCCGAGGTCGAGAGGCTCATCGAAAAGATCCGCACCGAGAACAGGGACAAGGAGGAGCGGCTGCGGTCGCTCAAGGAGGAGGCCAAGTAGTCGCGCCCTTCCTCGGCACGTGCCGCCTCAGCCCTATCATTCAACGGCTACGATATCCCAGAGCTCCCGCACTGCGGACAAGCCTCGAAGGATGACGAGGACAACTTGTTCGATGACGTCGATTTTGACGACGACGACGATTTTGACGACGACGAGCCAGATGTTTACAATCCACAAGACGAGCCAGGTCCATCGCGTTCGGCCATCCCGCAGGGCTCAGCAGCTAGTCCCGCTCCGGATGATCAGGCACAGTCGTTTGCTCCGCAGCCCACATCTGGACAACCCGTGACTCCGTGCAAGACGCGTAAAGAGCAGAAAGTCAGAGAGCGGCAGGAGAAGAGAGAGCGGCAAGAGAAGGAATTCAGAGAGCGGCAAGAGAAGGAATTCAGAAAGCGGCAAGAGAAGAGAGAGCGGCAAGAGAAGGAATTCAGAGAGCGGCAAGAGAAGGAATTCAGAAAGCGGCAAGAGAAGAGAGAGCGGCAAGAGAAGGAATTCAGAGAGCGGCAAGAGAAGGAATCCAGAAAGCGGCAAGAGAACCGGCAAGAGAAGGAATCCAGAAAGCTGCAGAAATGGGTCGCGCTGACTGACTCTGAACGACAAAAGAAAGCACGGAAAATGGAGCGAGATGCAAGGCGGTACCAGCAGAAGAAACAGGCAAAAGAGAGGGAAAGGCTGGCACAAACTCACGGGTTGCCATTGTCGCATTTTCAGCCAGATCGGCACCTTCCGCCAGATCTACCCTTTCAGTCAAATTCGTACCATCAGCCAAGTCTACCCCTTCAGCAAGGTCCGTACCATCCGCCAGATCTACCCTTTCAGTCAAATTCATACCATCAGCCAGGTCTACCCCTTCAGCCAGGTCCGCACCACCCTCCGCCAGGAAACATCTGCCTCTTCTGCTTCGCCGAACTCGACGGACTCGCCGATCCCTATCAGGCCTACGCGGACCACCACGATTACTGTCCCAATCGTGATGAGAGCTATCTTCAGTAGATAGAGGTGGGAGCATAGTTCTAATTCTAGTACGAATACAGGACATCCCAAGCCTACTTAGTTAGCAACGCTGCAGTGATCGATTGGGAAGACCTTCTCCGGTCCCTCTCCCTGTCCTCCCCTCTCCCTCCCTCCCATAGGCCTCCCTCCTATATCCCTCCCTCCCATATCCCTCCCTCCCATAGGCCTCCCTCCCATATCCCTCCCTCCCATATCCCTCCCTCCCATATCCCTCCCTCCCATATCCCTCCCTCCTACATCCCTCCCTCCTACATCCCTCCCTCCTACATCCCTCCCTCCTATATCCCTCCGGTATCTCGGTTCTTCCATCTCCCAATGTGCTTGCTTACTCCACCCCCAAATCTTTCGCTCCTGTCCGCCGTAAACATAGAGAGGCAGGGGTATATGATCACATTGTAGTACAGCGAGGGCACACCTCCCCCTTTCGGGGATATTGACTGGTGCTCGGCTTAAATAGGGTGGTGTTATTGGGCGGGCTCCTTCAGAGCCGCGGTTCTCTCAGATAAGACAAAGGAAAAATGAGTATGTGGAGATGAGCGATTGTACAAGTTAGGGGTGGAGTGGAGATGGTCCATGGCCGTCCTGTCTGTCCGTCTTTTGTTTGCTTCCATTTCCGTGTGTGTGTGTGTCTCCTTTTTTTTAATGAGGGGTATCCGGCCATGCAACCATGCTAAATTCCATTCCACCGTGCAGTGTAATTGATGTCTGTCTCAGGGTCTGTCTGAGCAATGACAAAAGAAACATGAGAAAGAAAACAAGAAAAAAAACCCGAATTCCCTTTCCCTCGATCTTTTAGATATGCCGCTCGCGGCTCCTGAACGCCTTGCAGGGTTGACTCATAGTAGGATTACCAATCTTCATGGTGAACCCGGGGTATAACGCCATTGATGTGTAGTGGAAAAATACTGTTGAAAAAAAGAAAAGAAAAAAAGTGGTGATGACATAGGGGCTTCTCTGTTGCCCCTAGGAGGTGGAGGTCTCACTCTTATTGAGCCTCGTATGCCGGGGGAGGGACGTCCTCGCGCTCTTCCCAGAAGGCCGGGTTCCTCCTCTTCTCGTCGTACACCCTCCTGGCGATCTCGCCGGCCATCTTGTTGATCCATGCCTGTTCTAGGATGACAGAAGGGGTCTCTGAGGGCGGTCCTCTCCGTGGGGAGAATGCGAACGGCGCCTTCTCGTCTGTTGATAGTTGCGTGGTAGCCTCCTGTGTCTGGACCACCAGGGGCGTCGGCTCGGCCTGCTTTTGCTTCTGCGGCGGGTAGATCTCTGGTGCCTCCGTGCCATACAGCTCTGGCTTCAGCGGTGGCCGCATTGGCGCATCGTTTACGGTGCCATCGTTGAAGCGGACCTTGGTCGGGGTCAATGGAACGAAGTCTTCGGGTTCCTCCGGGATGACGGAGTCCATCAGAGGCTCAGACATGGGTCCCTCGACGGATGCTGTATCCGTGACGCTTTCGCTGGCGTCGCTTCCTTCGACGCTCACAGGCGCACTCTCGGACTGCTTCCGCCGGAGGTTCACGACTCTGTTCTTCTTCTTGCGGCCTGCGTGCGATCTTGAGTTCCGCCCGGCTCCGAGAGAGAGGCCGGTGGTCGCTGAGTGGAGGCTGACCATCGACGGTCGTGATGGTGGCATGTAGCCTTGTTCCATACTGCTGGTGTCCGAGAACGTGTATGTCGTCGAAGTGCCGTGGAAGGAATGTGCCTTGGTCAGGCTGGGGGTTGCCAGCGGTGGTGTGACACACTCGGGCTTCTCCTGTGAGCCAGCCCAGGCACGGAAGACGACGTCCCGCAGAGACGGGGTGAACAGGGACATGGTCCTGTTGCAGTCGCTCAGCGAGGCGAGCCGGATGAGGTTCTTCTGTGAGAAGAGGGTCTGGATCTCAGGGCTGTTATCGAGCGAGAGGTTCTGGATCTCGCTAGGGTCTAGCAAGTTGCCATGCGCGTCGACGGCATCCTGCGGTGGGCTCGCAAAGGGATCGACAGCAGGCTCGCTGGTTTCTGGTGCCTCGTCCTCATCTCTGGGGATCTGGTCTGGGCACCACAGACGCAATGACAAGCGGTGGATGATGGCGGGGAGCTCGTCCATCATCAGGTCGCGGAGCTTCCCCTCGATGGTCTTCTGGAGGTAGTCCCTAACAAACTGGATGGAGTCGAAGGTCGAGGAGACCTTGAGCGACTCGAGGGGGTCATTGCGAAAGACGATGGTGAGGCCCTTCTGTTTCGAGAAGACCAGGATGATGAAGGCCGACAGCTTGATGTCGGACAGCGTCAGCGACAGCGGGATGGTCAGGCCGGAGGCGGCTGCCAAGGGCTGTGGGGACGTGAAGTCCGGCTTAGAGTGCAAGTATGTGTTCAGGGGGTTCGCCTGTTTGTTGATATGTTAGTCTTGTTATTACTCGTAACGTCCGGGTCGGGTGCGGGTGCTAAACGCGCATCCTTGCACGGCAATGTCGTTCGTCAATGCAAAGCGGGTGGGGGCGCAAATTCCCCGGCCTTGGACGGAGTCATCGAAGGAAAAAGCGGGAAACAACTGAAGTGCAGAAGACCGCGTCTCTCAGGGGAGATACCGCACCAGCCGTCGCGCACACCAGTCGTTGGCCATGGAGCTCGAGCTGGTGGCGGATTGCTCGGACGTCCCTGCAGCAGCCTCCCTCCCAGATGCAGATACTCGGCCCGTAATATAGCAGTTTTGCTATAGCCAAGCTTGACACTCGTCAAGCGTGTTTGATGCCCTCCAATCGTCCAACGCCCAATTGTTTCATCGTGTAAGGACAGAGAGAAAAATTCGAGTGCTCGGTCGGCGGGCCCAAGGGATTCTGTGATTGATAAGGTCGAGAAAAATATGCTTCACGTACCTGGACTCTTGTTCTCAGGGTCAGGAAGGCGTCGCCGCTGTAGCACATCTTGAAGATGCCTCGGAAGCGATCCTCGGCCAGGTCGCCAATCTCGAGGATCTCCAGCTCTGGCGGGACGGAGCCGAGGTTGAGCTCTGTGACGAGGATGTCATCGACGATGATCGGGGGCTTTGGCGTCTTATTGAGGGCTGTTGTGAGCAGGTCTCGGGCGCGCTGGTAGAAGTCCTCGTCGGCCGTGAGGGGCGACCAGTTGAAGTTGAAAGCCATGGCGCGGGCGCGTGCGGGTGTGGCAGGCTCAGAGGTCGGCCGTCATGGCAGGAGGAGGTGGATGATATCACTACCCCGTCGGCTCGATCGTCTTGGTCGCGTGAGTGGGTGGGTGCGTGCGTGGTTAGACGAGTGGGTTTGCGGCACTCATCGGGTCGAAAAGGGAAACTGATGGCGACGGTGGAGAACGAGTCGCTGGTATTGTGGGATTGGGAGATGGGGGAGAAGAATAACGGCGGAAGTGATGGCGTGTGGTGGTGGTGGTGGTATTATTGGAGTTGTAGTAGGGTGCGGTATGTCCGCAAGATAATAGGCCGGGCAGGTCGCAAGGCGAGGCAGAGTAAGCAAAGGCGAATTTTTGCAGGCGGAGCGGAAATGACGAAAAGCGCGGGAACTCGGGAGCCAAAAAACAGACGAGCTTCCTCCCTGCGGCCTCATGCAAATGTTTTTGGTTGGTGCAATTCGGGGCGGGCGAGTCGCAGGGTGATCCGTGCACGCTCGGGCGGGTGGGGATGGGGTGGTTTGCTTTGCTCTGTTTTTTTTCTCTTTCTCCTCACTGGCTGGCTGGCTGCCTGGGGGGGCTATCTCTTGGAGAGGAGGAGGACCCTCTTTGTTGCTGAATTCCGAGGGAGAGCGCGTCTCTTGTTCATGCGAGACACACCAAAAACAGCCCGATGCCGCATGACAGGGTCACCACGGACCACCTCCTGACGCGTGCCACAACAATATGACCCCTTGGACAGGCACTCAGGCACTCAGTACCACTCACGCACGCGAGCAGGGACACAGCAGGGAAGCAAGCTGCAGGATGTTGAGAATCGAGGGGATGAGAGGGCTCCCAGGGCGGACAGAGTGGATGCAGGTTATGCTGGCAGCTGCTCCTCTTCTGGTTCGAGTGGCCTGCGTCGACCGGATCTCACACACTCGGGAGGGGGAACGAGGGGGTGGGGTATTTACATGCTGTGTATTAGTAGTATTTACGAAAAGAAACAGAGGGCTTTGTCAGTCAAGACTAACAGCAACCTTGGGAGTTCTCAGCAACTGCTGGGCTGACGATGGCCCCAAGACTCTCCCAAGACTCCCAAGCAGTCGGGAGTCGGGATATGGGGGAGATGCGACGCCAATGCCCGTTAAAACGCGGGGAGCGAGGATTTTGCGGAGAAGAGTGGTGTGACGTGAAGGGCCATTCAGCCCATTCCACCAGCGCCTGCCAGTCTAGCCATTTGCGACCACCCCAGTTGCCAATCTCGGCCAGTCTTGGGGCCATGGCACCTCGTCAAATTGCCTCTTGGGGAACAGGCATGGAAACCATCACCAGATCTCCCACTCCTCCGGGCAGCTGCGCACCTTCTGAGCAGGCAGGCGATGGTGGGGCGATGGGCTGTCAGATGTCAGCATGGGCCGACGTACTCCGACTCCGTGCTGTTGCTCTCCCAAAATAGTAGATGAGCCCAGCAGGCTGGCAGCAGCCCAGGAGGGCCCAAAGGCCCATAGACAAGTCCGCAGGTCCGACTGCCAGATTGCGTGGTCCCATCCTGCCGGTGCTCATCCCTCCTCCCCGAACACAGCCTTCCTCCTCCCGAGCAAGCAAGGAACCTGCCAGCCAACCGGCACACTGGCACAGCGCGCACAGACCCGAAAGGACGGGCAGGAGCTGGCAGCTGCCGGGTCGCCCGGGGCGACAGCCTGGAGCCAGCCAGCCCACTCTCCCTGTCTCCCTACCAATCTGCCAATCTGCCAGAGCCCAGGCCCAGGCCCAGGCCCAAGCTCAAAAGCCCCGAGCAGACAGCTGCTGCTGTTGTTTGTTAGCTGCCACCCTGCAGCCTGCCCGCCAGCCTGCCACCGCAGATGCAACAGCTGCGGCAGCTGCAGCCAGCCCAATGTGGTCTCGTCTGAACCATTCCTCCTTTAGTTCCAGACCGTTTCCACATGCGGCATGCGATCCGCATCTCGTTCGAATCTAAAATGTGAGCGACACCCTTCTCTTCGCCGCACAAAGAGTCACGATGGGCCAGTCAGAGGTCCGTATTCCACCGTGCAGTAGCCGAGGGGGAGGGAGTACGACCCCGGGACCCCTGGCAGCAGCCGCCCTGCCGCCCTGGTGGGAGTGGGTGAGAACGACAAAACAGAACAGAAAAGATGACTTGATGTCATGGCAAGACCCCTTCTCTTGATGGAATGGCCCCCATGGTGTGGACACATCCAGACTAACCCATGTCTACCGTGCAGGGTGCACATTCAATCACTCACTTGCTCGCTCACCACGAGTCTTTCTCTTGCCGTGTCCATCTTCTCCTATCTCCCAGTGCCTCTCTCTGTCCGTCGGTTATTACAGAGCCACCGCAGGTGACACATCCTGGCACCGACTTCACACGATACAAGAGCACCGCCGACATCCATTTTTTCTCCCGTTCCGATACGACAACTCTTGGCCCTCTCTCGCGCCTTAGCTCTCGCCTTAGCCATACTGTCCACGCGGTCACAATCCACAGCCAACATCCTGACCTAGTTTCTGTCCTCGTGTTATCTCAAATATTCAGATGCCCTTGGCCAGGCCTGCGGTCTAGCCGTTACTTACATAATATGCGAGTATAGACTCCCCACTCATTCTAGGTGGGGAGTCTATATATATAAATTATCTATACTACTAAATACCCTAATACTAAGGTAAGAATGTATACAACTTAATATAGACTCTCTATTTATTCTAAGTAGAGACTTTGCGCCTTATAGTAATTTTATGGCTAGGTTAATTATTAAGTAGTATTTAAATATAAGTAAAGGATATCTAAAACTAAAATATAAAAAATTTAAATTAAAAAGATTAAGTTATATAAAAAATAAATATATACCTAATTATTACTTACTAATAACACTATTATTAAAAGTTAAAATTATATTAAAATAGCTATTTAAGTTATAATTTTAAGTAAAAATTTTTTTATTTTTTTTTTATTTTATTTTAAGTTATTTTTAAAAGTTAATTATATTTATTTAATATTTTAAATAAAGGATTTAAGTAGTACTATTAATTATTTATATTTAAATTTTTAATTAACCCTTTTAAAATTTAAAAATATAATAAAAACTTTATTAAATAAGAAATCTTAGATATTAATTTTTATTTTAATATATAATTTAAGTATAGTTAAAAATAAATATATATATAAATATTTATTTTATAAATTTTTAAAAGTCCTCTATAAAATCTTATCTTATAAAGCTATAATTATAATTAAATATATAATTAGTTATTTACTAACTTATAATAGTTAAATTAAGGTTATTATTATATTATTAAAGGATAAAAATATAATATTAGTTATTACTATTAAGTATAATAAAAGTATACTTTAATATATATTTATAAGGCTATAAAATAAAATTATAATCTATTTTATACTCCTTATTAAGTTTAGGAAAGAGTAAATTAAAAATATTATATCTAATATAGTTAATTTATATTCTATTTAGGTTAATATAAATTTATATTTAAAGGTATATATAGCTATTATTTTATATTATAAACTCTTTACCTATTAAAGGTAGGAAGTTTACTACTTTAAATATTATTTATATTTAAATAAAATCTAATTATATAAAAAATAGGTTATAAAAGTATATTTATATTATAATAAGTTTTAAATAAATATTAAATACCTATTTTATAAAGCTTTATTATAATTTATTATTTAATAATATAATTAGTATTATAGTTATTAATAAAATATATATAATTATTATATAAAGAAAAAGTTTTAATTTACTTTTTCTTTATTTATTAAATTAAATTACTAATATTATAATTAATATCTTTATTTATATATATAACTATATTTAATTAAATTAATTAAAACTATATATTTAAATATATATAAATATTAATAATATTAAAATAATTTATATTTTAATTAATTAACCTAAATTATTAATTATTATATAGCCTTTTTTATAAATATTTATTTAACTTTATATATTTATATTTCTTATTTAATAAAATAAATTCTATTTACCTTATAGCTATAACTAAGGCTCTTATATATATTAATAATAAAAATTAACTCCTTTAAGCTTAAAAACTCCTTATTAAGTACCTTAAAAATAAATATAGCTTTTAAAATAAATAGATTATAGATTTTATAAAGTAGTTTAATATAAATATTTAAAAGTTAAATTAAAATTAAATATTTAAAGAATATAAAAGTTAAATTTTAAATACTATATTATATTATTAACTATATTATTTAATATTAAACTTAATATTAATAATATTAATATTATTATATAGTTTAATTTATTATAAAAGTTAAATATTTTAAACTTATAGTAATATAATAAATATAATATAAAAATATTTAAATAAAAATAGTTTATAATATTTACCTTTACTATTAGTTTAATTACTTTAATATAAATAAAATATAATTTTAATAGCTATTAAAACCTTTATTTTTAAAGCTATTTAGAAATTAAATATTAATTAATTTATAAAATTTAACTATTTCTATTATATAATACTATTAAATAATAATATTAAAGTTAAATAAATAAACTATAAAATAAATAATATAAAAGTAATATTAATATAATTTTAAAATAAATAATATATTTAAAAAACTATAAATCTTTTAATTTAAATAAAAATAAATAAAATAAAGTTTTACTATTATAAAATATTTAGAATATTAAATTTATAAATTAAATAAAGGTTAAAATTAAATAATAAAAATAGCTAAATTTAAAGTATAAGGTATTTTTAAATATTAAATACTTTTAAACTTATATTATAAAATACCTTTAAAAGTTTAATAATATAAATTTTAAATATAAAAACTAATAAACTTAAAACTTTATTATAATAATAAGGTATATTAAAATAATAATATAATATTTAAAATATTATTATTTAATATTTACCTTTTAATAATAAGAAACTATATATAAATACTTTAAATAATATTATTTTTAAGTTACTTTTAATATAATATATTAAAAGACTTAGCATTTTATATTAATATTAATTTATTACTTTATATTTATTAATAAAATATTTATAAAAATAAGGTTTAATATATAATTAATTATTTATATTATAGGGCTAAAAGTAAGAAAAGATAGCTTAAATAAATTATATTAAATATAAATAGCCTTAAATAGTTTATAAAAAGTTTAAACTTTAAAAAGTAGGAATTCCTTAGTAAAAGGTAATAAATTATTTAATTTATTATAAAACTAAATATTAATAATTTAAAAAAGTTAATATTAAAAATGGGTTAAAAAGGTAAATTAAAAGCATTATATAATAAAAAGCTAGTTAAAAATAGTTTTAATAAGCAACTAATATAAATAAATAAATAATATTTAAATAAAGCTTAGTTATTAATATAATTAAGGCTTATTTAAATAATATAAATTTTATTTTAGTATAATAGAAAGTTTATATTATTTAACACTATACCTTAAAATATTAAAAGTATTATTTATAAATATAATATTTTTAAAATAATTATTAATAATAATAATAATAATAATAATAGTAATAATAATAATTATAATAATAATAATATATTTATATAATATTTTTTTATATTTTATTTTATAAATTTAAAATTAATATTTTAAATAATATTTAATAATTTTAAAATTATAGAAGAAAATAATAATAAAAGGTAATAAAATAAATAGTAGTAGTTTTAATATATAATTTTTTATAATATATAATATTAAAATTAATTAATAAATTCTTTATTTATTTTAATAAAATTTATTAATTAAATTAAAAATATATATTATATTAATTTCTTTATTTTTATTAATTTTTATTAATTTAATTTATAATATTTATATAAAATTATATTAAAATATATATTTTTATTATTAAAAATATTATTTTATAATAAGGTTAAATAATTAA